ATTTTAATAAAAAACTCCCTCCTAATCTATCATCTTCAATAAAATCATCCAAAAACATTCATTTATCATTTTTATTACTAAAAAAAACCCTAAATCTCCATCTAATATCTCATTTCTAATAAAATCCTCTCCAAACTTCCACTTAATCTCTTAAATTTAATAAAAACTTTAATCTACTATCTTCAATAAAATCATCCAAAACATTCATTTATCATTTTTATTAATAAAAAAACCCTAAATCTCTATCTAATATCTCATTTCCAATAAATATCTCTCTAAACTTCCTTCTAATCTCTTAAATTTAATAAAAACCCCCTCCTAATCTATCATCTTCAATAAATTCTTCCAAAATCTCATCTCTAATAAAAACTTCTTTAAACTTTCTTATCATCTTTAACAATTCTCCACTAACTCTCGGGCTTTTTTCTCCATTTTTCCTATAATTAAACGGCAATTCTCAATTTTTATTTCATTATTCTAGATTAAAAATCTACACCTCATTCTTCTACATCTTCTTCTATATTATATATAAACAATGGATATATGCACTTTTTCATTCTAATCTCTTTTTTCATTCTTTTTACAACATTCCCATAACAATTAATGTCGCTGCTGTTGGAACTGTAGCCATTGTTGTTGATGTTGTTGTTATGGTCGTTATAGATATCATCGTTGATGTCGTTGTAAATATCAGTGTATGATGAGATGCAAGTTTTAATGGTTTTATTCCTTCACATAACATGTCTATTTCTTTACAAAATGGCTTAAATGTCGGACATTCCTCTTTAAAACCACAGTCTTCTTGCAAAGCTTTACATTGTCCTTTCAATTCTAAATACGAATCCAATGCTTTCGCTGTTGCATCTAATGCTTTTGTTTCTGCTTCTGAAATCTCTCCATCTACAAACGTTCTTCGAACATGTCTAACCTCCGTTGTATTTGTCCTTATATCTTGTGTAGAACTTGATCTTGTTGCTATATCTGGTACTAACGGTCCTGCTGACGGTGTTGCTGGGGCAAGAGCACTGTTATTCTGTACACTTGATGGTGCACCTTGCCCATCTTCATTAGGTCTTAATAACAATAACCTAGTTTGTTTAATACAATTTTCCGCCTCCTCTTTATCCCTTTCGAATTTATCCTTCTTTTTCTCTAAATCAATTTTCGCTTTCTCTAGATTACTTTTTAAAGTAGGACATTTTTCGATTACTTTTTTAACTAATTCATTGCAAATTTCTTCTCTCTTGAGATAATCACTTAAACCATTTTTATCTTTACATGCACTATCAAATATTTGATTTTTTTCTCCTTCCCATTTAGTGCAATACTTTTCTAATGTTTCTTTACATTTAATTGAACGATCTAAACTACCTTTCAAATTATACATCAACTTTTCCTTAAATTGCAACTCTTCCCAGAATGAATTACATTTCTCTTTTAATAATAAACAGTGTTTAGGTGTATTTCCTAAAGGGTGTTTTAAGAATTCTGGACAACTTTCCATAAGTTGTTGACAATGTGAATCCCATAATAAGCAGTTTTCCTGTAAATGTTTATTTTTATTTTTATCTGTAATCCAAGAACCATTATTTATGAAGCTAGCTCTTAATTGTGAACATTCTTTTTTAGTCCATTTTACCATAAATTCACATGTTTCTTCTAGTAAAACACAGAAAAAATTAAATGAATTCTGTCTTCTAATTAATCTATCGCATTTTTCCTTTAAAGCCTTTTTACAATTGTTTTGATTTTCTAATACATCGTTATTTCTTTTTAAAAAATCTTTTCTCAATTCATTTATAACTCTTAAATATTCACAGTATCTATCCAATGCAGTACATTTCTCATCATTTAAATCCGAATTACTTTTAAGATCATCACACTTTTTCTTTAGTTTCACACATTCCTTTTTTTCTGGAAAATCTTGTGCATCATCCAAAACTCTTCCTAATTCTTTTGATTCAGCAAAAATATTATCTAAAATTTCTAAACATAGTTCTTCCGGTTCAAGACACTTTTGCATGTATCTTATATTCCTATTAACTTTTTTACATTTATCTCTTACTAATTTTTGACATTCAGACTTTTTACCAGTAGAATTTAAATATCTAAGATTTTTTAACCCACTTCCAAAGTATCTGTTCAACATCCTATCTTGTCCCTTTTTATAACATGCTACTCTTACGTTTTTACATGCATTTCCAATTTCATCTTTACATATTTTTTCTAAATAAAAACATTCCGACACAAATCCTATACAATCTTCCCTACTAAACGATCTTGGAAGCTCTTTCCATGAAAAAAGTTTTGAACTTTTATTTTTTTCAAATTCCGTAGACCATCCCTTTAGATAAAGCTTTAATTTAAGATATGTGCATTTCTCTTCCACATCTACTATTTCTTTACATTTCTTATTTTCAATTTTTTTGCACATATTGTTCAAGAAAATACTTTTAAATATATAACATTTTTTTAATATTTCTTTGCAATTTTCTTCTGCTTTACTCTTGTTTTCTTGATTATATAATATTGTTTTTTGTAATATCTCTTTTTGTTCTTGTATATGAAACGAACTTCTAAAAAAAAAAGTATCTTTAAATGATACCTTTTCTTGTTTTCTAAAAATAATTCCTTTAGCTTCCGCTTCTTCATAAAGATCTTCCAGTTCAATTTTATCCGAAAAACTTAATGATTTAACAGGATCATAATCTAATTCTGGTTCATATAGAATCCCTTTTTCTTTACATTGATCCTTAATCTTATCACATTTTGTATTTTTACAATTTGATCCATAAAAATAACACTTTTTAAGATATTCTTCACATTTTTCCATTAATTCATTATCTTCAAATCCCGTCTGTAAAAGTTTGCAAATATCTAGAGAATTCTTTTTAAAGTCTATAAATATCTTAGATGTATTAATACATATAAATATTAATTCATCAACATATTCAATAAAAAATGAACAAGCTATATTGATAATTTCTGTGTCAGAATTAATTTTCCGTCCAAAAGCTCTAAAAATAATTTCTTTTGACACTTCTTGACGCATTTTTTTATAACATCTATCTCTCAACTCGCTGCATTTATCTTTAACATCTTTCTGATCTACATCTTCTAAAAATATACATATATCCTCATATTTTCTACAATTTTTATTATCTATGGATTTTTTTAGTAATTCATCAAGTTTTGCTTTTAGTTCATTTATTTCTTTTTCAACTTTCTGTTTTAGGCCTTTGCATTTTTCTTGTTTTCCATCTTCACAAATTTTCCTAACTTTATCATTCTCATTCCCTAAATCCTGATATATTTCCAACAATCTTTTACAATATTCCTCCAGCTTTTTCTTGCATTTAGCTTCATCCTTATAATCACTTTTCACAATTAAAACCAAAACATGTTCCTCTTTAATTTCATCCTCTATTACTTTTGATGCTTGCCTCTTAACCAATTGTGTCGTCACCTCCCCTTTCTGGGTAATTTCCTCAACCCATTGGTTATCTTGAGGATAATTTTTAGGAAAAAAAAATTCATAATCATCTTTTCTAAAATAATCAACTCCCGGATAATTTTCAAAGTAATCCATATTAGAATCCTTATTGAATCTACTATTCCAAGTACCTTTAGAACCTCTTATCTTTCTCAATCTTAATGGTCTTTCATTTTCAAATAACTCTATTACTTGATGTCCTAGAAAAAATAAGTAAAGGCTCAAAAAAGGAAAATATAATGTTATGTTAGATGAATAAGGTATAAGATCTAAATTAAAAAGCAATATAGTGATAAAAAGATTTCATGTGAACAGTTAAAATTAACTAAAATATCATTTTTGCTTCACTTTGAATGCTTTTCCAGTTAAATCTTGTTTAAATATTCTTTCTAGGAAAAAAAATGAAAATGGGAAAATGAATCACAACTACTTAAATTTTTTAAAAAGCTTACCTTGTTCATTTATGTCCGATATCATTGCATTTTCTAGAGCGGCTACCAAAATGCAGCCTAAATATGCAAAAAATGCAAAAGATGTACTTTTCATTGATTATAGATCATAAAGAAATAAAAAAATCAAAAAAAATAATATCCTGTTGCCAAAATAAATATTAGGTAAAGGAGAAATACGGATATGAATAGTAACTATATCGTTTGTAATAAAAACTATCGGAAAAGCTCGACTCCTAAAATAATTACCAATCCTAACCCTAAACTTTAAAAACGTGAATAAGATATTAAGTTAATAAATTAAAGGATAAGATTTACAATTGCTTTAAATACAGAGTTAAAATATCGAACAGCTTTAAAAAATATTAGAAAAAAATTATTCAAAAGCGTTTATAATATTTTTTCTTAAGATGATATTTTTGATATAGCTTCTAATATTATAATAATATATGCCCTTATTTGATTTATATGAGTAGATTTGGCTTCTGCTTTTTTTCTAATAATATTTTCTTTTTTATCAATAAATTCCAAAGCTTCTTCTTGTGTCATTTCGATATAAATCCCTTTGCAATCCAATGAAACAATTATTTTAGAAGTATTCTCACTGTAATTCCATCAAATTAATTGAAATAAACGAATTAAGATATACATTTTTGTTTGAACATAAAAATTTGATCCTATATCAACCATTACTTTCATTTGACTTAGTTTTTCATTTTGAATTTGTAAAATGTGTGATTTCAACTTAAAACTATTAAAAATAAGTATAAGGCCTGTGAAATTCATACATTTAAATAATACTATTCTGATAAACTCTTATCTAATTCTTCTCTTTCTTTTATAAGTGAATAAAGTTTTGGTTGTAACACATTATTCATAAAAGAAATATACTTTTTAAGATTAATAGAAGAACTATTTAAATTATGATCTATTATCATCCTATTAAATTTTAATTTATAAAAACATATAGTTTAAAATTAATTTTAGTATATTAAAAATTAAAAATTAAATTTTTAATGTTTAATGAATAAAATTGAAATAACAAATAATTTTAAAATATAATAATGGGCCTTCGTTGTAGAGAGTTCTGGAATTCTATTGGAAGTCCCTCACGAATTGTTGCTCCTATGGTTGATCAATCAGAGCTTGCTTGGAGAATTTTGTCACGTAGATATGGTGCAGATTTATGTTATACTCCTATGTTTCATGCAAAAAAATTTTGGTCATCTCCTCAATATCGTAAAAATGTTTGGAGTACCTTGGATAATGGAGAAGATCGACCTTTAATTGTTCAAGTATGCCCTACCAGTAATTGTGTAAATACTTATAGGTCCAGTTTTGTGCAAATGATCCAGAGGACTTTTTAAAAGCATCAAGAATTGTGATAGGAAAATGTGATGCGGTTGATTTGAATCTTGGATGTCCTCAAAAGATTGCAAAACGTGGATATTATGGTGCTTATTTGCAAGAAAATTGGGATTTGATTTCAAAAATAAGTATGAAAGAAATAATTAACATCATAAATAATAAGTAATATAGTTAAACATGTTAATGAGTCTCTTGACATACCTATAACTGCTAAAATTCGTATTTTTTCAGATAAAGAAAAAACATTAGCTTATGCTCAGATGATTATAGAAGCAGGAGTTTCAATTCTAGCAGTTCATGGAAGAACAAGAGAACAAAAAGGAAATTTGACTGGATTATCTGATTGGAATCAAATTTTATATTTAAGAGAAAACTTGCCTTCAGATATTGTTATATTTTCTAATGGAAATATTCTTTGGCCTCATGATGTCGATAAATGTTTGAAAGAAACAAAAGTTGATGGTGTTATGTCTGCAGAAGGAAATCTTTATAATCCATCTATTTTTAATCGCTCCGATACACGTTCAATTATTACAGAGATTGCTAAAGAATATTTGGACATTATTGTAAATTATGGATTGGAAAATGATAAAAGCTGCATAAATGCTGTGAAGCCACATTTATTCAAAATCCTTCGTACGGGATTGTCTAAATATGCGCATTTTCGAAATGAATTAAGGGAAGTAAAATCAAACGAATTGAAAAAATGTTTTAAAATAGTTGAGGAACTTGACATCTTAGTTAAGGTATTTTTTTATTAGTTACTATGATTTTTGTAATTTTGGAAGAAAGCAATTTTAGAAAATAATGATAAAGAAAAGATTTATTGGTGGCATTGTCAACCATATCTTCGATCCTTATCTCAATTTCCAACTAAATAATCAGAAGTTATTAATGATTATATAGTTAACTTAAATTGACATATTTTTTGGAATTTTGTTAACTTTTATTTTAAAAACAAAATAAATCAAGATTGATAAATTTTAAATATAATAATTTTAAAGGCTTTTATTAATGTAAATATAATATATATTTATAAAATCTTTTTTTCTCATAAATAAAGGATATTATATATTATATGTATCTATAAATTGTGTTTAAGAAAAAAAGAGTAAGAATTATTATGATAATTATCTAATGTATATTTTTAAAAAGTTCTGGATATAGAAAACGCATAATTATAAATATTTACAAAGGGCTCTATATATTATATAGTTGAATCTTGTAATTTTTTCAATATTTTTCAATATTAATTTATAATTTAAAGGAATCTTAAATTTAAGTTATTCTTTTAATGTTAAATCCTGATATTTTCATTTTAATTTTGATTTTTTATTTGTATGCTTTTCAAGATTTTTATTATATAATCTAGATATTTTATAATTAGTGAGTTTTTTTACTTTAGTTACAAAATATAATAATAAACTTTATATATTGTAATAACACAATTCGATATTTTAAAAATCATTTGAGATAGATATAGATAATATATAATAATCATGGAGATAAAGGTTATTATATTTAATAATAGTTGTAAAAATTAAAATATGAAAATGATATACTCGATATTTCTTAGTAAATTTGCGTAAAATAGCCAATTCCTTATTTTATTCGTGTACATTACTTGGATATTAATCAGATAGAATTCTTGATCTTAGTTGTTTTAGAACAATTGTAATGAAGGACTAACTTACAAGAATAAAAATTAATATAAAATCAGATGCAAAATTTTTTATAATTTTTTCGAGAATTAGAGATTGTGCTAATTTTAGTATGAAATTTTTTTATAGTTTTAAAAAAATAAGTTAAAAGAATAATTTTATAAAAATTATACTTAAATTCTTGATATATATCAATGTCAAAGAAATTAACAAAATAAATTTGAATTGAAATCATGCGATTATTATAATTTCCAGAAATATATGAAATAGCTTAGCAATATAAGAATTATTGAATTATCATTGAAAAAACTATCTAGTTTTATAAAAATATCAATAATAGGCAGAGATTTATAAGTTTTGTATCAGCTTTTAGAGAAATAGTAGAAAAAAAAACGAATACTAAGATTATGTTTGCAAAAAATAGGTATGTGTAGTTAAATAAAAATAGATATGGATTTTTTATACAGATTTTGTCATTTTTAAAAAAATCTAATGGAATTTACTATTATAATATTTTATAAATATAGTGTTTCTAATATTAATATTAGATCCAATTCTTAGGGCTATCCTATTCATTATATTAAGGATTTATTAATTATAAAATAAATTTATAAGATTATAAACTAATATTTCTGGTAAAAATAATAACCCAGCAAATGAATTAATTTTGAAATACAAAACAAATATATTATTGAACTTAAATATGAAAAACATATAAAGTGAAATATATTACAAATTATATATATGAGCTTAAAGATAAAACTTAATATTATTTCATCTATATAATGTAACAATAAAGATACATTTATATATTATTATTTACACAAATTCAATATATAATATTCTTAGTGTATTTTAACCCTTAAAATTTTAAATTTAATTTTAAATGCCCGTACTAGGAATCGAACCTAGAGCATCACAGCCACAATGTGAAGTGTTACCATTACACCATACGAGCTTAAAATTAGCTCTTAATATTTATTATAAAAATGTAAATATATTTCGAATATTAAATCATATTTATATTTTATAAAATTAAACCTTAATATACAATTTTTTGAATGATATTTTTATAAAGAATTAAAATTATATAAATTCTAGATTTTAAAAATAAAAAATATCTGAAATATTAATTTTTTATAAGATGCAAAATATTTTCTAAGAAACTAAATATTTTAAATTCATTCAACTAAAGATGAATAATCATAAAAAGGCGATAATAATATAGTAACATTATATATTAAAGAAAAAATTAAAAATTATCTTAACTATTAAAATTGTTATAAACGTAAATTAAAATAGTTTAATTTTTTGATATTATAAATCAAAAAATATGATATTAATTTATTTTTAATTATTTACAAAATTCAATTACAGTTTTTAATAAAACGGTCAATTTTTTATAACCTTTTAATTTTTAATTAATTTCAAAATTTTAGAATTTAAATATTATGGATACAGATAATAAAACCAAATTATATATTAAAGATAGAAAAGTTGGGGAAGGGACTTATGCTATTGTTTATTTGGGTCTGTACTTTTTACTAAATTATTTTTAATTAAGAAAATAGGCAGACAACTATGTACAAATAGAAAAGTAGCTATTAAAAAAATAAAAATTGGTCAATTAAAGGAAGGTCTTGATATATCTGCAATCCGTGAAGTTAAATTTCTTCGTGAAATCAAACATGAAAATATTATAGAGGTTTTCATGATATTTTTTTTAAACTAATTGTTTACCATGACTTAATAGCTTATTGACGTATTTTTATCTAAAAGAAATCTAAATTTAATTCTTGAATTTCTTACATCTGATCTTGAATTGATTATTAAAGATAAATCACTTATTTTTTCTTCTTCTGATATAAAATCATGGTTACTTATGACATTACGTGGTTTACATTATCTTCATTCTTATTTTATTCTTCATCGTGATCTTAAACCAAATAATCTTCTTATTGATGCAAATGGTGTTCTTAAAATTGCAGATTTTGGGCTTGCTAGAGATTACGGAAATCCATATGTAAATATGACTAGTCAAGTAGATATTATAATTCATTTTTAATTATCTAATCTCTCAACTTAGGTTGTAACTCGTTGGTATCGTTCTCCTGAACTACTTTTTGGTGCAAAATCATATGGTACGAGTGTTGATATATGGTCTATAGGTTGTATATTTGCAGAACTTATGCTTCGTACACCATATCTTCCTGGAAATACTGATGTTGATCAACTCGATACAATTTTTCGAGCATTAGGAACTCCAACAGATGAAGATTGGCCGGGAATGCGCCAGCTTCCAGATTTTGTAGAATTTAAGCAATATCCAAAGCCCGTTAACCATAGGGTTCTTTTTACAGCTGCGAGTGATGATGAATTACGTTTATTAGAATGGCTACTATTATTTGACCCACTAAAACGTCCATCAGCAAAACAAGCTCTTAAAAGTAAATATTTTTCTAGTTATCCACGACCAACTCCTCCATCTCAATTGCCAAAAAGAAATATTGAGGAGAATGAAGCAAGCTCTATTAATCTTATATGGGATGATAATATATCTGGTACAAAGTTTGATACAAAATCTATTGCACGTAAACTTGTTTTTTAATTATATTATTTATATATATTTATAAATATAATAAAATTAAAAAGTATATTTTATATAAATTGGTATATTTTGGATTATAGAAGTTTTTTAATTTTAATAGAATTATAATTATTTTATATGTATATATTATAGAAATATAATTACGTAAAAAATATTTAAATACAAGTTTATCTTTATTTTTATAAAATTTATGTTTTAAAAAATCAAATTCTCATTTAAATTTAATATTTTTAATTTTTTTTATTTATTTTTAACTACATTGTCTAGATATTATGAAAGAGTATGTTATAAATTCAATAAAACGCTGTTAAAAATCCGGATATATAATCATGGTCTTACAGCAACTGTTTCTATTACTGCTCATCCATATACACTTTTAGGTGGAAATTTTAATAATCACGTTGTAACAGTTGCAAGACATTTTTTTCTGTATTGTCAAATTTAATTAAATAATTACGGAAACATTTTTATCTTTAAATTATCTAATAATTGCATTTAACTTTCAAAATGCATCAAGATTTAAAAGTAAAATAAGTTGGTTAAGCCTTCCTGAACAAGATTTTCGGATTATTATAAAATATGATCTTACATATTTCCAAAAAATTGACAAAATTATTTTAGGAAGTTATTCTTATGGTGTTATAGTTGTTTTTGATATGGATTACTCTATTGAAAATACTTTTTTTTTATTTCTTCTTTTTTACCATTTCTTACATGTTTTCTTTTATTATCTTTTTAATTTACATCAATTAATTTACATAAGAAAGGTTTAGTTATTTATGGCAGAAAATATTTACTTGTTTCTTTACTCTTCTGGAGAAATTATTATAAATTTTGGGATAGTTTAAATAATTCAAGTAGCTTAACTACAATCATAGTTAACAATGTAGAACATTTTTGGGCTGAAAAGGATGTTATCAAAACTCTTGTTTTTAATATTAATAGTTGGATAAACCATATATTAAGTAGTTTTATTCCCAATTAATCATTACAGATCCAGTAAATGTTATATATTTCATTAATATTAATTAATAAAAACAGTAATTTATTAACACCTAACTAGTGTATAGACTCTCATATTTTCAATAAAATATAAAAAATAATGATAATAATTTCATACAATTATTTTTTTTGTTCTTTTTCTCCTCGTTCTTCCATTACTTTCATAAGTTCTTCGCTCATTGAAATAATTTCCATTTTTTCCTTCTGTTCATTCTCTAGCATTCTATTGGTTTCTTCTAGTTTTTCTTGAAGGGTATTAATTTTAGCTTCATATTTTTTTTCATAACTGATTTTAAGTGCTTGAACTTTTTGATGGTGTTTCTGGGAATATTGACGATGTAAGTCATTTGCTAAATTAGTCAATTGCTCTTGATGTTTAGTTTCTAATTCTGTTAAAAGTGCCTGATCGATAATCGGTGATGTAGTTTTTGAATCTGCGGATAAGGACGCCAAATTTTTAAATTCAAGTCTTTCCTTTTCCCATGAAATAATAAGATCATTTTTCTCACGTTCCATTATAGAAACAATGTTTTCGATTTTTGCAACATGCATACGAAGTTCATTAATCTCTGCTTCACGGCCTCGCAATTGAGATTCCAAATTTACTATTTCTGTACGCAACTTTGATCTTTCTTTTTCAAGGTCATGTAATGTATATTTCGGAATACTCCTTGGTGTTACAAAAACAGGTTCTGGACTCATGTCTAATAAAAGTTTTTGCGTTTCTGTTGGAGTAGATGGTGGAAGAGGCGGTAACTTCATACTAGATGTAACAAAAGGTACTGTTGGTGAATTAAAAGATAATAAAAGATTATGACTTGGTTTTTGTGAATTCGGTGTAGATAATGTCCTATTTGGTGTATCTATTTCTCCTTTAGAAAATGATTGATTTTTATGTTTATCTGACAAATTTTTTATACCATTTTCAATACATAATTCATTATGTTTTGCTTGACAGTGAGTCTTTTCTTCAAAGGATGAATTCCTTTTAGAAAAACTATCTATTTTAGGTGGCGAAGTATTTGATTTTTTTATGAATATATGATTTCCTGACATTTTTTGAAAAATAACCGAAACTTGGAAATGTAAATTATATGAATTTAAATCATAAAAAATGAATAAAATTCGTGCAATTTTACAAAGAAATCTCAAATATTTATCTATTTAAAAAAAATAAATGTAAATATGTTATATTTTAAATTTATAAAAATTATGAATATGTTTCTTGTTGAGCATTATGTCCTATTGTGATGGGTGGTATCTCTCCTTGTTCGATATAATATTTATCATAAGGGCTCTTTCCAGCACGAATATCTGCTTCATTAATTTCTACGCCAGGATGTCCATTTGTTAGACGAAGTTTGCGCTCATATGTTTTAGCATCTCCATCTTCCGATAATTTTTGTTTATTTTCAATTTGAACACTAAATGGCCCATTTACTTCTCTATCCAACCTATTGTATTCTAAAATAGCGCCTGGAATAGGTGCTCGCTCTAGAAGATAAACCATATAAATATGGGTTAAATCCTTAATTACAAGTGGCGGAAGACGTGCTGTTTTTCGAATTAAAGTAATAACTTCAGAAATTCGATTATGTGCCTTTTTTGCAGTATCAGGAGCTTTAATTATCAATAACATATAAAATAAATATACCACTACTTACAAACAGGTTGTTCCATTTCAAACATTAAATAATTAATCCAAAAATAGCGACTGTCAAGATATAATGAAGCATTTTTTTGAAACATTTCACGAGCTTCATCAGGAGAGCCTTTGATCTTATATAATAGTTAATAGATGATTAAAATGAGAATATATTCTATACCTTCCATATTAATCTGATCCATTCAGTAGTCAACGCTGCCTTCGCATAAATATCACATGTATTACTATCAATAAATCGTTTCAATATAGCAATAGAATTGTCAATGCTCGAAGAAAGACGTCGTTCCATATTGACCCATGAAATGATCGTTTCTAAATGGCCCGGAACTTTTTTATATTAATATATAGTAAGATATAGATATTATGAAAATATTACGTTTGACGAGAATCGACTCAAACATAGCTCTAGAAATATCTTCATGACCAAGAGCTTCTTCAAAATATGCATACTGATGACGAATAGCAGGCCGACTAACTCATTAAAATTTATTTAGAATAAAAAGAAAATACTTTCCAGATAGGAACAAATGTAGAACATGCACGTTGATATATTAATCGAACATCTTCCTCTTTATTTTCCTGCGCAGACATCCATCGAACATAACGAAACCAAAATTCGTCGTATAATGCCTTTTAAATTAATAATAATTATCAATAATTCAGGAAATAAAATACGCATGCGACTAAACAACGCTCATAAAGAAACTGTATTCTTTTAAAATCTCCTTCTGTTTCTTCAAAATCTAAATATTTTCTCCAATTAACTAATTGTGCTTCATCTAGCTCAGTAATATGAAAATATGGACGGCGTATCTAATTTAAATTTAATAAAACTGAAAAAATATAATATTTCAAGTATACTTCTGCTTCGTAAACCCATCTCCTTGTAGTTTCTATTTGTGTGCGATTAAATATTTCTAAGTGTAAATTATGTATCCTTATTCTAGTTTCCCTCTCAATTTCAAGTTCACCACGTTCCATCTTTATTTGTTGTTGTCCTGCTTGAATAGAAGATGCCGGCTCAGCAAGAACGTCTTGTCTAAAAGAATTTAATACATCAGGAGGAAGTAATTCCGATATGGGCCTGGTTGCTCCAACTTGTGTATATCTGTAATATAATTCTTAGCTATATATGTATATATATATATATATATATAAACCTCTCAAAATAACGAGCATACTGATGCATTGGAATATGAATAACACGATCTAAAATCATAAAAATACGATCTGGTGCCTCCATACGTTCTTCGAATTCGATATATTTATCCCAGAAAGGATGTGATAAAAAATCTAGGCCAACATGGGTAGCTCCACGTTCAAACAATCTAAAAAATTATATCAGTCAACATAACAAAATATAATTAAAAGACAAAGAAATAAAGAAATACTTTACATTTTCTAATTCTATAATTATTCAATAGAATTAGATATAATATTCAATTTCTTCAAATATAAATAAAAAAACACTATAACCATAATAATAAACAAATAAAAATACTCACTCTCTTGTTTCATCTACATCATGACTTGTCTCCATTTTGAACCCACAATAATTTGTCCAAAGATCAACAGAATTAGATATACCTGCAACTCCTCTTTCATAGACCTATTACAATTATAAAGAAATTCGATTCACAAAAATCAATAAAAAACCATTTCAGCTGCTTCTGTTCCTGCTATAGAAAATTCTAATTCTGCATATTTTCTCCAATATCCAAACAATAATGGAAATTTCGCAAGAAACCTATCATATGCATCTCTCATTGCCCCAATTGCCTGTGGTGAAGAATTTCTATTTAACCCACCATCCATGGTCTCAACTACCCTTATTAAAGCCTCCCATGATTCAAAAGTATCTGAATTTTGCTTCTATAGATATTTCTTAAAAACGTATTCATTTTCTTATTTAACCTACCACCAGACGCGAATATTTTTCATATTCAGTTTCTTCTTCTAACAAAAACCCTGAATACTCATTATAATTCATTCTTTTCTAAAGAAAAAAATAAGAAATATTAAAGAGTCTTAACAAATATTTCTTACTTTTTTTGCTTCAAAATTCTATCAAATAATCGATCTTTAAAATTTTAAAAAAAAGTTTAAACATTAATTATAAAAGAAATAAACCAGGAAAATGCATTTATAATGACTTATATTGTATATGTTTTGAATTTTTATGGATATTTTATTAGATTCTCAAAAAAATACAAAAAACCGACTGGTGGTTTTAATTAGTGGCTCGGGTACAAATCTTCAGGCAATTATTGATGCATGTGCATGTCAACAAATTAATGGTTATATATCTAGAGTTATCTCGAACACTCGATCTGCATATGGTATTGTTCGTGCAGAAAAAGTAGGAATTCCAATTACTATACATCCTCTTCTTCCATATAAAAAAAAAGAAGAAGCTAATCTAGCAGGAATTGAAATAGCTCGATATAAATATGATAAAGATCTCTCAGATATTATTATTAAGGAAGATCCAGCATTGGTTATTTGTGCAGGATGGATGCATATTTTGTCAAATGCATGTCTTGATCCATTAGAAAAATGTGGAATTAAACTTATTAATCTTCATCCTGCACTTCCAGCAACGTTTGATGGTATGTATGCTATAGAGAGAGCATATAAAGCTTTTTGTGAGGGAAAAATTATGAAAACTGGAGTTATGGTTCATCAGGTTATCGAAAAAATTGATCGAGGAGAACCTATTATTGTTAAAGAAGTTCCAATGTTAAGTAATGAAACTTTTTGTCAGTTCGAGGAACGCATGCATAAAATTGAACATGAAGTTATCATAGAGGCAATTTTAATTATTTTAAACTCTACAAATAAGTAATTTATATCAATAATATTTTTAAGGATATATATGGTTTTCAATCTTTAAATGAATATGTACAAATGAGTTAATAAGGAATGCCTATATTGAATTAGCCTATTTTAGTAATAGTTAAATAGAACTACCATTAGTAATTGATTGAAATTGGTCATATATAACTGTTCGTTTATTTTCATAACTATTATTAATAAGTTTTATCATTGTTCGTGCTGCTTCATGATCTTCTTGATCTAAATGAAAACGACTTCTAAGATTATTAATAGTTGTAGTTCCTTTAAAGCAGGGAAGTCCAGAATCTAGCATGAGAATTACACATTCAATTATATTTTCAGCATATGGTCTGCATGCAAAAAAAGCTTTAATACATAATTCTTGAAACCAAATAAATGGTTGAATTTTCTGATTCCCTCCCATCACTGCAATCATTTCTCTAGTTAACTTAAACGGTGAAGATTCAAAAGCAATTCCTCCAGGTGCTATTTATATTAAATTAAAATCTGTATTTATATGAATTAAAATACCTATATCGAGAAGAAACCCGAAATCTATATATATCAATATGTGTGTTTAGTTAGAAAACAAAAAATTACCAATATGTACTATATGTCCTTCTCTATCAATCATAATATTGCCGTTATGCCGATCTTTTATTTGTAAAAGATATGTTATAACTGAATATGCAGCCATGCTTTGAACAAAATTGTTTCTGGCCTAAATTCATTACTAAACAATTTATTTTATAATGATTTTACTTTTTGAAACTCAATAGAATTTTCATTCCCAAATTTTGTTATAAAATATCTTGATATAATAATTAATATTATAATATTTTTAAATATATCTTACTCATATAATCCATTAACAGCTTCTCGGCCAAGCATATCTCGAGAAATACTATCTGGCAATACATCTATAATTCCACACTACAAATTATTATATTTGCTAAAAGAAACTATAAATATATACCCCAGGTGAAGTGGCAGTGACTCTATACGGAAAAACATATAAACTCAAACCAATATCATTGAATATATTTCTAAACATAGAAATTAATTGCAATGCAAGAACATCTTGACGGCAATCATCTCCGACTTTAAATATTGATGATTTCCAAGATTCTTGATTAAATTCTGTATTCAAATCATTATTTAAGTTTTCCTCCGATATTTTTCTTTCCATGTTTGTATAAGCTTCTTTTTTTTTTTTAACTCTAAAAGTTGCAATAAAAGGTGCTTTAGCATGACTTTGCAAAGGTTTCCCTGATTTTCTATCGATACCTATAACAATATCATCTGGATTGCTTGGAAGATAGACACCTGAATCTATTTCAATTTTAGAAATCTCTAAATCTATTTTCTCTTTTTTTTCAAGTTTAGATTTTTTAATATACGGTTTTAATTTCCCTGAAATAGATGTAATCTTGTTAAAAAAATTGAATTCTCGTTCATAGAACTCTTTTTTTTCCCCAGTAAAACATGATGTTATACGTTCTACAACCCTATCTAACACGGGTTTTATAGAATCTGGCTCTAACGCATTTTCATCTTTATAAGAATTAGCTTTTATGTTCCATATTATTTGATGAGCAAATAGTTCAGATAAAATACTAGTTTCCACAATAAACTGCTCAATATAGCCCAATGTATCATATCGTAGTGCTTGAACAAGTTCAGGTACATAGAAAAATATAACATCCAATGAATAATGTTCCAAAATTTTTACTGCATATTGCAAAATAAATCCATCGTTATTATATATTGGAAGAAAATACGTAATAGCTGTAAGAGGAACAACCGGTGACCAAAATTGAAGATATTTTAATTGAAAAGCAGTAACATCTGAAAAATTATCAAAAAGAATACTTAATGCGCATGGACAATCAATAACATTAAATGGATTTTCTAAGATTAGATCTCTTAATTTTTTATGTAAGTCTTTTGATTTAAATCTATGGACTAAATTGATAGCAAGAATAGGATCATGATTCCATGCTGTATTAACAAACGTTTTCCATTGTTCATCCGAAATGTTTTCCCAAAGCGTAGTTATATTATATGTGCTTAATCCTATCTCTCTAACATTAAGCCAGGTTGATATACGATATTTCTCATGACTAACTAAAAGATATAGAAGCTTTTGTTGTTTCTCGTGAATAGAATTATCAAAAAGTTCATCATAAAAAGTAGACGTCATAATGATATTATCACCCTCTATAGCACTTTGAATAACTGTAAGAAGATTCAATTCTGTTTCTAATTGAATTTTATTCCCCCCAAATGCCCATTTTGGTGTTCGTGAAAACCATGCAAAAATTGCTGAATACAATACTTTCCTTGTTTTTATAAAAATTATGGGATCAATATCCTTAAATTTCAATATCTTAAAGCCAAGATTAAATAAATGAAGATGTAGTTCTCTTGATAAAATATGTTTACTTGATTTTTTATTTAATATAGCGATACCTATAAAACGAAAAAAAGATGAAATAACATTAAATACGTTATAATCCTTATGAAAAGCTTGTAAGTGACTTGAAAGAAAATTTGTAAGTAAAAGATGAGGAGTAAACAATTTTGATGCTCTTTGAATTTCTTTATCATATATCGTTCTATCAGTTGGAAGATATTCCATAGGTTTAGCAAAAGCATTTAATGGATCAATTGAATTGGAAAATAATCCTTGTCGTCTTCTAATAGACCATTGGAAATTTCTGGATATCTCTGTAAGAAGCTGAATATGAAGTGAAGGTCGTTCAGTCATTATCCATGTCCATAAAGATATTCCAAGTTTTATAGAAGGAACGTTTAAAATCATAAATGGAATCCTTACAATATAACGTGCCAAAATTTTTTCATATTCAGTGCCAGTAATTATACAGGTAGCAACCTTTTGCAAAGAATCTTTTAATTCCTTTATTTCAAGTCTTTTTTTTTGTTTCAAGTCATTTTCTATTTGGGATATATTCTGTAATACACTAGTAATGAAACCATTATCACTAAAATCATTTTGAATAGTATATGAATCTAATTAGATTAAGAATTTAAAGTAAAAAAAAAAAAAATTACTATTGCCGTTTCGCATTGGATGCAATATTGAAGCAGGAAACTTATTTAACTGTCTAATAGTATATTCTGAGATGAATTCAGATGAAACATTTGTTAGAAGATCTCCAACTAAGTATATTTAAACAAATTCAACTCAATGAACTTCAAATAACTTACACATTTTTTTATCAATATATGATAACGACCCTCCAATATCTAGTGCTACAGTTTTTCCTAAAGAAATATTACAAGTCGAACTTGAATCATCAAAATCAGAGAGATATGTCTAGATATATTAATATATATAATATAAAATACATTTATACATGTAAAAGTGATTTAAGATCTAAAGGACTAATTTGTAATGCAAGAGAGAGCCATCTTTTTGCATATGTTAATAGATCACGAAGAATTATTTTCCTTTCAATATAAGAGTCTGAAAATTCTAAAGATAAATGTCCACGAGATGATGAAAAAATATATTGAGGAGTGTACTAAATAATAATCATAAAATACTTAATAATAAAATTATATTATACCTCGGATAAATATTCATTTGCACAACTATACCATAACAATGATAATGATTCAAGCAACGTATAAAGAACTGATTGAGAACATAATACTGATGGCATTGAAGAAATAACCTTATCACAACATTTTAAAGCTAACTCACGCGGTTGCTTCATTCTATGGGAACAGCTAAGAAGTAATCTTTTCATTTCTTTTGAAAGTAGTAATGAAGTTTCTGGTTCTTTTGAACTAAAAACAAATGATGAAATAAAAACATTAGTTGCCTAAAGTAATGAAATAATGAATATAAAAGACAAAACATACCGAATGTGCTATTACTGATATGCATGTTGCGATATCACTTTCTTTAATATTAGTGTTTTTTAAATAAGCAAATGTATATGAACAAATCCCTGCACTACTTCTTAAAGTCTCTAAAAGAAATACTGATGACAAATATACTGTTTTTGAATAAGAAGCTGATCTAATTTCATACGCGCAAGAAGGGAGTGCTTTTGAAAGTGTTTCTCTTAGAAAATTGAGATCCTATTGTTTTATTAAAAAAAGGTAATCATATTTTTATTTTACTTTCTGAGAACCACCCCTTCTCAGAACGGTATTTAATTCTAGATCGCTTTCAAAATGAGTAGTAACATTATCTAATACCAACGGAGGAGAATATGTTGCAATTATTTTCAATGACTCAATATTTTGATTAACAAGAGAAGATCCTTTAGTAAATCCACATAAAACGAAAGTAAACCACATATTACAAAAAAGAAGGATTGTTTCAGAATCAAAAGAATGCTCTATATCAAATTTCTGTAGTAATATTGCTAAAGGATGCAAAATATTAAGAATGTTGTCTTGAATATTCTTTACATCATTAGTGATGATAAAATATTATTGTGATATTATGCCTTTAAGTCTCTGTTTTTGCTTTTTTTTTCAGACTCATTTTGTTTTTCAGGAACTTTATCAAATCTTATTATAATATTCAATAAGTTATTAAGATAAAATGTTAATAATCCAGATTTTTGTTCCATATTTGATGATATTTTTGCAAGGGATGATTGGAACTTTTACAAAATAAATAAAAAAAAAACCATAATTAAAATTTACCACATCTGAAACCGTATCTAGTCCATAACCGTACAATCCTTCCGCAACTCGTGAATAAAATTTAATTATACTCATAACGTTTTTTTCCGATTTTGCCTTTGTCACATTGGCAAGTTTTTCTAAAATAATTTTGTCGACTTCAATATCTATCTTGCCATATTTTTGTATAAGAATTGATATAGATAATGCTGCTATCTTCAAAATTTAGAAACTTTAAAAAACATATTTAATTTAACCTTCTCATCAGGTATCATAATTGCTATTTGGGTTATAGCATCAACAATTTTATAATGGATAATGCGTCTTTGAGAATCTGTCTTGAATATTAAAGATATACTACTTCTTACTGTCCGTTGATCTAAAGGAATAAGCAGATCTGCCGACGGTGTTTTAGGAATATTTGAAGAAATAGAATTTGCTAAAGAGTATATAGTAGTAATAATTGCATCCTGTGAAGAATGCTAATTAAATGAGACATAATTATAAATAATATATATATATACCTTAAGAACATATGTAAGTCTTTTAGATACCAATGCAGTAAGCTCGTCATTATGTTGAAGATTAGTGATAGAATCTGAAAAATGAAGAATATGCATTCGAAAATATTGAATAATAACACTGGCATTATCCGGAAAGCTCATTACATTTTAGAAATAAAAATAAGTATAAAAAATATTACCAAAGAGCAATTGCTGCAAAAACATCTTGGATCGCAATAGTATAAATAGTACTAAAACCTTCATGTGAAAACTCTAAAAGTTTTTCAAACCATTTAGACATTAATGAAAAATCCTTAATAATCATACAGCAAAGGCATGTTGTCCTCTAGATCTATTCAGCAATAACTACTAAATTGGAAGAACAAACATACCAATGAATACGAAAACACTTTCTGAAAAGTATTGGATTCAACAATATTAGATCGAGAAAATGCACTAAGATATTTAATGGTATCTTTTAAACATTGAACTATAGAAGTAATCGTTGAAAATTCAAGATGAACATGATCAAAATTTAAAGTATTATCTGTGAGAATTTCTTCCCAATCAAATATATCATTTCCTACTATTTGTTTAAAAATATATTTCTGAATTATAAAAATCAAGTTTTTTGTTAGTATTAGACACTTTCCTAACACTAAATCATTAGAATGCTTTTTAGTTAAAAATGTTATATTATTCTGATTTATATTTTCGTTTTCAAATTTTATTATTAAATTTAATATTTTTGATAGAAAATCCTCAGAAAGCAAATATTTTAAAGGTTCGAGTATAACTGTGATTTTAAAATCTGATTGAAAAAATTTTGAAGTTTTAAGTCCTTTTAGAAAACCACATAATGATGTAAATGGAACATGTATTTCTGATATTATAGAAGCTATAATTGTGAGTTATAACTTATATGGAAAAGATATTACAATCCAGAGAATTTTTCAATTCCACTAAAACCTCTTCAATATATTCAGTAAATATGTTTAAAATTTCAGTTTTGCATCCAGGAAACATATCCATAAAACGAAGAAGAGAAAGTGTACTTTTATTTGCCAGATCTTTCAGATAAAATACTTCTAAAAATATATTTTAGAGTATGATTTTTTTGAAAAATCAAATTTAACTATCAACATCCAAAAAGGATGATAAAGTAAATGAACCATAAGAAGATTTTAAAATGGCTGCAATTTCATATATAAACTCCTTTGTACAATTCAAATGTTTTGAGTCGATTATAGCTTCACATATTGTAATAGTTGCGTGGAATTCTCGAGGTGTCTAAATTCATGAATTCATATTTATAATCCTATATAAAATTACCATTTGTATAATATCTTTTTTTTGTGATTTGTATCCAATAGCATTCAAAATACCGCCTTTTTGTGACTTTAATTTATTCTTTACTAATATTTCCCATGTTTGCTTAGATTTGGCCAATATTTCATTGCCATCCTTATCAAAACTAAGAATTAATAATCTTCTTAGAGCTGTCCTCCTAATATCAGTAAAAATACTATATTTATGTTATTTTTTTATTTAAGAACAAAATAATTGAATTAACCAATCCATTTTTTCATTAAATTTTTAAAGATCTGAAATCGAAACTTAAAAAGATAAAAATAAAGAATTTTTTTATTAAATTACATCAATTATTTTTATATTCTATTAACAAATGTAATTATTTCATTCGAATTTTGATTCATGCTTATAACCAAGAGCATGTAAACGTTCACCTAATAATGGATGTGAGTAATGATAACTACTATAAAGTTTGTCTGCATCCATAGTGCTTAAATTTTGAATATGAAGCTTTATAAGCGCACGTGAAAGTTCTTTTGTGTAATTAAGTTTAGCAGCAAATGCATCTAAAATAATTATTCATAATAGTATTGTAAATTTAAAATAATGTACCTGCTTCAAATTCGTTTTTTCTGCTATAAATATTCATAAGAAATGTTAAAAGACTATTTATAGGTGTTAAAATATCATTATATAAAACGAACCCTATCAAAATTGGCTTATCTGAATGAAATCCAAATGATTCATAAAGAGAAGTATTTTGTATAAAAACAGAAAAGAGCATAAATATAAAAAATATATGAATTTGAGTAATTGCTAACATTTTCGCTATATGAGACAATGCCCAATGTCCTAACTCATGGGCTATAATATAATAAGTATTATAGGAAATATAAATAGTAAATACCTAATACTGCAATAATTTCAATGGTTTCCGACTTTTCAATTAATGTATCATAAATGACGATATGTTTATTCCATGGCAAACCAAAAAAATATGCATTACTATGTGCAGATCTTTTTGATCCATCAATTACATAAAGTTTTTTTAGAGGAAATTTCAAATTAGATGCCAATTCTTCAACCTTTAATTTCAATTCTCCTTCAGGCAAGGGAGTAAGCTTATTAAATAAAGGTTGAATTAATGTAGGATAGATTACTATCAGTATAATTTGAAATATAAATATGAAGAGCCATAGATAAAAAAAAAATGCTTGACCAAAGTACGCAATAATTTTTAGAAATATGAAAAGAGTAGGACCTCCAATAATTACAATTAATATCTGACTCTTAATCAAATCCGTAACAAAAAGACTGAATGTTTGTTTATTAAATCCAAATTTTTCTTCCAAAACAAATGTAGAATAAATAGAAACTGGAAGATTAAAAATTAGAGATTGTAAATTTAAAATAAAGAAAAACAATAAAGAATAAAAAATCTATTTCAATTAACTAAATATAAAATTATAATATTTCTATATTTTTTACCTCTCCAGAAAACTTTTCTGGAAAAAACTGATTTACTCGTAACTGAACAAAATCATAAAGCTTAGGAAGAAAGTCATAATTTATAATAAGCAATTTCTGAACAAGTTCATACAATTCAGTAACAAGGCCAAATTTTGCTTTTGCTCTACCATATTCTTGACTTTTATTATATGTTTCTAAATCAACAATGTTTTCTAAAGCTGGCGATGGCTTTTTTTCTTTAAGCTTTTTGTATTGTCGTAATACTAAAAATTGCTCAAATACATATTGGGCTTAAAAGAATTTAATTTTTACTGTCTTAATATTATAATAAATTACCTAGAATAAATGAAACAATAAGCTTTTTCCATGGAAAACCAGGGATATCCAAATCATCTCCAAGGTCCTAACATGTATTAATATTTATTTAAATTCTTGTTTGATAAAAACCTTTAAAAAATCCATTAGATTTTTATTAAATTAAGTGTCGTTATAAAAATAAGATTTAGATTATGTACAAAATATAATTATGAATAAAATAATTTGATTAATATTCAAAACAATGTATATTTTTGTGTCTTTGATTTATTAGAATCTTTTTGAATGAAAATAAGAATTAAAAAATGGAATTAATGAAGACATTTTATACTAAATATTACCGTATAAGAAACCAAAAAAAACCAGAAAAGAATTGATGAATATAATAAAGGTTTAAACAACTTGTCGGAAACAATGACTTGCTATATAATAAGTTCCTGGTCTTTCCAAATCTGATTTTAAAATAAAAGTATCCTATAATAGATGAGATGAACGTTTTTTGACCTAATCCATGTAATCATACAGAAAATCCTCTTAGTTGTGACTCATTTCCATATTGAACAGATCCAGATACAACTAATATAATAGTACATGTACCATCTTGATTCATACTTGAAATAATAGGATGACAATCAAAACTCTGGACCTAAAATGCATGTTTTATTAATTTGTTTTTAATAAAAAAGTCCAAAACTACTTCATGATGACTATTGGGAAGCCTTTTAACAAATTCTGCATAAGATAAGCCAACAAAGGCATTTCCATTCCACACAATAGTTGAAAATGGTCTATAAAACTGGTGCAGAATATCTCTGTTGTTATCCATACATTTAAAAAATATATTAATAAAACTTTCAGCGCCTTATATTTATTTGATTTAATATAAAAGCAACAAAAATAATACCTTTGCTTATAACATCAATAAGATTCCTATATTCCTATTAAAAGAATCTAAGATATTATATATTTTAATTATGTTTTAAACTTACAGACATTATGAATTTCAACGTCGAAAATGTTTTAAAAAAAATTAAATGTAGAAAAACCCTATCATTTAGTATTTATCATCTAAAATTCTTTACCTATTATTTATTTGAAATTATATTTGAGAACAGTGTTTTTTAAGCGACTTAAAAAGACTATTTTTATTAAATTTGAAGGAATATATATTATTTAAATTTAAGATGCCTTTTCTTGATATTCCAGAGAAGATAAATCCTTTAAAAAGCTTAAATATTATATCAAATAATCATGAAAAATATGAGGAGTATGATCATAAGGAAAATAGTGATTTTTCTATGGTGGAAAAAATTATGGATAGAAATTTTAAAAAACATATGTCTAATCTTTTGGAATTGCCTTCTCAGAGTGGAAAGTCTCAAAAAAATACTAAAGAGATTTATGTTTTGCCTCTTCCCGGTTTTGTAGTTAAAACTATACAGACAGGTGATAATAAGAAACGGTTTCCTCAAGGTACAAAAGTATTTCTTAACATATGTCATTCGGATTATGTTACTCCTCCAAAAGATAAAGCAGGATACGATATTATTCCAAAAATAATGAGAGGATGGCATTGGGAAATACCTGTTGTCATAAGTATAGAACGATGGGATGCAGATAAGGGTATATTTAATTGTTTCTAATGAGGTTTGTAATAATTAAAAATAGCTGGAAGAAAATGCTTGGTAATTGATTGTTGTTGTAATACATCTGTTATGGAACTATGTAAAGAAGATTCAAATGTCCGTCTTTTTTTTATTGAGACATGTCTTGAGCTTGTTGAAGATAAAACAGGAATGATTCTTTCTAGAGGTTTTTTTTTCTTGATTATTGATAAAAATGTTCACGTAATTCAGAATATGTTATCCCGAAAATGAAAGCAAAAGGAGAATTACAACCAAGTATTTTAGAAGTAGATAATATTTCTGGAGTAAAAATAGAAGAAACTAACACTAATAAAATTATACCTTTAGAAGGTTTTGGAAAGAATATCTCGAGAAAACTTGAAAATAAAAAGGATGTTATAAATAAAAATACATATATATCTTCTGCTAAAACTAATATTCAAAATAAAATATCAAAGTTAACAAAACCCGTATATACTGTTGAAAAGTTTCTCCAATTAAATAATACAGAAAAGTCAAAAATAGTGATAGATCTCCCTTTAGTAGTATGTTATTATTGTTTTATTACTATAGAATATTAATTACTTCAGGAAAATTCAAGCTATTTATGTTTAGAATTAATCGAAAAAGATAGTTTATTTTCATTGATATTTTATGCTAAAAATATTTATGATGAACTAGAAATACCTATTTCGGAATTCTATAATAGAAAAAAATCACATATAGAAGCTTTTTTTGTACTAAAAAAAAAGAAACTTTATATATTTATACAGTATATATGAATTTAAAAATAAAAAATGCGTTATTAGATCATGTTATAAATAACATATATATAAAATACATACTTCTATTATGTATACCGATATTTGTATCATTAGTAGTTAAAACATATTTTTTAATCTTGCAGAGACATTTCTGAGATTTGTATACACCTAAAAAATTATAAGAAAAATATATTGAAACAAGAACATACTTTTCCCGTAGGACTTCCTAAAATAAGACTTACTACGGAATTTCTAGCCATATTAATATTTAAAAATGCACCGAGAATATGAATTTTAGTATCTGCAATTACGAGTCTTGTTCGTGTTGCATTTTCAATTGCAAATTTCGTTTTTCCATCTTTTCCAACAATCCTACCAATAGCTCTAGAAAGATGTTGACCTTGCAATGTTTTTACATCCTTGATTTCAAATGTATCAATATAAATATCATCTAATCTTATCATCGCAATTGCATCATTTACATCAAATCCCATTGAAAATGCTTTAACAAATTCTGACCCTTTCTGAAGGGATTCAGGCCGTTCAGTATAAATACTTGTCCGTAAATCAATAGTTTTATTCTTTAAATTCATTCGTACTTGTAATTTTAAATGTTCCACCAATGGAGAATAAATTTTTGACCAATTTTCCTTTAAGGGTGCAATTCTATGATAAGGAATCCTCACTGAGATCATTTCAGGCTGCTTAAAGATCTTTATTTTTTTTGTTGAGGCAGAAAAATGAGGCTGATTTGCTTCATCAAGATGCCTTTCATTATCACCACCTTGAAACGCTAAAGGAACTGAATCTACATTAATCAAAAGTTCTTCTTCATAAGAACCATTAGTACGTGTTTTAAAAATAGTACTTTATTACCATTAGACGCTTGATTTTGCTGCAAGTCTTGCATCTTGAATTTCACAAAAAAATCAGACGTTTAACGAGAGCGGTGATGAAATAAGGCATAAAAAATTAGTGGATTTATAAGATTAATTATGTAGTTCTTCAATATCTAAGATGTTTGTTTAAGAGTATCCACAAGGCATTTTTACGGTTCTCTTAGTAAATAGGATGTATTTAAAAACTAGATTGATTTGTTTTCATGGAAGACAGAGTTTTTCTTCGGAAATGGAGAAAAATCTATGGAGAACGATGAAATACCGATTTTTTTTCTTGAAGGGAATAGATCCTGTATGGAGGGGGAGAAGGTATTGTTTTTTATCTTTAAATCAAGAAAAAAGATTAGATTTTGATGATAAAAATGAGAAAAAACGAAGATGGAATTATTTTTTGAAAAATATAATTAGGAGACATTATTCTCGGACAATTTTTTCGCAAAAGTATTCTTATAGTGTATCAAAAGTATTTGAAACTGGTTTATTTAAAATAAAGGGAATTTTTGGGAATTTTGGGTTATTTTTTAAAAGTCGAAATCTAGTAGCTAATTATTCCGAATTGTCTTCGTATAAATTTCCATTAAGAGCGCCATCTATCACAGAAACATATAGACCTACAAAAGAAGTGTTATTATCTAGTACTTCTGGCTTTTTTGGACGTTTAAAAATTAGAATGAAATATCGTTTAATGAGACAAATACGCCCATTTAACATTGATGATATCAGTGCTATGTTTACATGGCTTATTGCATGTAATATTCTTTGGATCATTGTTGGTACAACTACATTTTTTTCTCTGGTCTTAGCTGCTGCAAATAGTGTTTTTGCACAAGAATATCTAGCTACTAAAATTGGCGAATACCTTACTAAAGAAACAGGTATTACTGTATTATTTGAGTCAGCCATTGTTCCAAAGTGGAAAGATGGAACAATTTCCTTTAGAAATGTCTTTATTTCTAGGAGTCCATATAATCAAAATTTGAAAAATAATGTTAGAAAGGGGATAATTTCAGAAATATCTGGCGTAATAACTGAAAATACTACTAATTCTTTTGATTTTTATCCAGAAAAAGAATCTAATTATACTCAATTTCATTTGATAATTGAAAATATTGATGTAGTTTTTTCTTTTGTCAAATGGTTTAGTGGAACGGGTATTATTAAAGACATAGATATAAAGGGTGTTAGAGGTGTTATAGATAGTTCAAATATCAATCTAGATAATGATGCATCTCCTCTAAGTCCAAAATTTCTTAGAAAAAATCGTCAATCAAGTAGTTTTGAAATTGAAAACTTTCGACTTAAGAATGTTTTAGTAACAGTTTTCCAATCTAAAAACTTTCGGCCATTTACAGTTAGTATTTATAATTGTGAACTTCCAAGGCTTAGGAAACAATGGTTATTGTATGATATTTTAAATGCAAATACGATATCTGGTTCTTATGATAATTCTCTTTTTACGTTACATCCACATCAAACATTTCTTAGTAATATAGATGAAAAAAAGGACAAGGAAGCTAAAAAGACTCGTCTTCGAATAGATAATGTAAATATAGATCATATAAATAAAGGCATTGAAGGGCCCATTGGATGGATCACTTATGGATATGTTGATTTTATTTTAGACTTTGTATTTCCTAATGAAAACGAAAATATAAATTTTATGAAAGCTATGCATAATATTATTGATAATATTGAGACTATATTTATAAAGCAAGAAAATGAAGGGGAAAAAGGCGCATTTATATTACAGGATACGATAAATGAAACGTCCCCTGAATTACTCCGAGAATTAGTTCAAATTAGAGATTTTAAAAATTCACAAATAGTTAGTACTAAAGATATTATAATTGATATTAAAGTAGCGTTACATGGAGTGAAAGCAAATGTTCCATTATTTAAAAAACAATTATCATATGTTAGTAATGCACTTATTCGTCCTATTGTGGCATATATTAATTCACATAATACATACATATCCGTTGCTTGTAAAGTAATAAAAAACTTGGATGATTTTAATGGTAGTTGGACCATTTATGATAGTGAGTTAATAAATGAACTTTCAAAGGAGGTATTTATATAATTTTTATTGCTTTTTTTTCCTAATATTAAAGATTTATAATGCATTTGCCAATATTGTAATGAATCAAGATGTTAAGCGACATTATATACGGACTATTTCAGCTTGGTCACTTGAAATGGCAATTCATGCATTTTTAACAAGTTTGATTGGCATTATTCATCCAGTATAGGTTCATTCTTGATATAATAACATTTTATAATTTATAAAATTATGACTATCTTTTGTTTATAAAAATTAAACCATTTGAGGCTAATTTTTATACAGCAGAATTAAATAAGGACATCTGATGTTTCTAGATAGATTTTAGAGAAAAAAAGATATTTTGGAAGATATCATATATTTTTTGATGAATATTCTTTTGACACGAAATGAATGTCTCTTTGCAAGCATTTTTCTGACGGCTTATCTTGTATTTCTGAGGAAGATGTATTTTTCTCTTCGTTTCTAGTCATTTTTAGTGTTTCTAACTCTTTCCATGTTTGTAACTCTTCTGGTAGATTTGATCCATAATAATCTTTAATGCCCACATAATTTATCAATTTATCTAATAAATATGGATTTTGGGACGATGTTGAATTATCAAGATTTTCGTTTAAATGGATGTTTCTTTCTTTTAACATTCGGAAATGTTCAAATTTCTTTTCCAGTATTGGAGATGGATTCCCTGGTGGTGATGCTGGAAGGTTCCAAAACTTAGGAGCGGTGTATTGGCGAATAGCTTCTCTCTCTGAGAACATTTGATCCGGAATTTCAAAGGACTTTCTAGATGTTGTAGGCTCATTTATATGGGTTTGAGTCATATTTGAATTACATATAAATTTTTAAACGTTAACACGGAAAATGAAAAAAATATAGATACCCTTTAAAAAACTGTATATATTGGAATCAAATATTTTATTCAAAGCATTAGAAAACTTTCTAAGTATATTCTAAATAATTTTTAATTATTTCATAAGCAAAGATAGCGCAGTAATGAGAATAAAATTGTACATAAAAAAGCACTAAATGTTGCGAGTAGTTAGAAATATTCACGGAATAGTATCCAGATCTTCTGGAATATTAAATTGAGAAGCAAGGAGGTTTTTTTCCACCATTAACTCATTTACACAGTAACTCTGTAAAATTAAAACGTTGTCTATTTATATTAGTAAAGTATTTGATAAAAATATTTCCCTAGGTTCCTGTCCATCGATTTGCTGCCTCTTTTGCAACTTGGATCGCTTTTTCTAAATTTGCTGTCAGTCTTGTATAATATCTATATTTTGTATAATAATATATATGCCTTTTGCTTCAATAATTGCTGGATCAGAGTCTCGATAACGTTCCAACTTTGCAAGGATCTCTGTATGTTTTTTTTCCTTTTCCGCTACATTTTTAAGTAAAGAAGTACGTAATTGCTTTTGCTTATTAGTAAATATTATAAAAAGCATAACGATTCAATACTGAATCTTTTCGTTGACTTGTTTCTTCATTTATCTTGTCTTGTAAAGTTTGTGTTTCTGCTTGAAGTGTTTCAAGTTGCTTTTCCATTGTTGTAATTCGAAGCTGTCTTGATTGTCTTGCTTCACTTGGAAAGCTCCAAAAGTAATTACTTGTTCCAATTTTATCCATTTTAACAATGCCATCATCAACAAGCGATTGTAAAATATCTTTAATAGATTGAAGTACAATTTTTTTTTCCTGATAACCCTTCTTTTCTATCTTCAATAATATTAACTATAAACCTATATTTTAACTTCTGTAATAATACCTCTTTAAGTTGAAAAAATTCTTTCTAAAAAATAATGTTTAAAAGCTATATAAATAAAATATTTACATACACTTTCATGGAATAATTCTTCTAAACGCGCCCGTTTCTCAGCTAATGATAGGCCTTTTTTTGACTAATTCAAATTATATTTAAAATATTCCTTTTAAAAAAATCAAATTACCATTTTTTCATCTTAAACTTAACTCCTTGAAATAGATAAAAAATACTCGTACTCAGAATATCCTTAAATTTATGATATCGAAAAAACTTAACCCCACAATCCCTTCAAAAATACTTCTTTGAATCTCACCATGATCTATCATAGCAACAATCAAAAAAGAATCTCTGAAAGAGATTCGGCGTCTGCCTGAGGTAGTGCAATACAAGCGACACCTGTGCCGGTCACATAGCAAGCTAGAAATGACCAGGCTGGGTACAAAAAGTAGTATAATCAATGTGTTCCCAGTGGGAACATTTCAGAGATTAAACTGAAAAGAACAGATACTACACTTGATCTAAGCCAAAAGGCTATTAACATATTAGCAAATAGAGTTATGAAAAAAAAACAGTGTTTTACCAAAGAGAGGTAAAGAATTTAAGGGAGTAAAGGTGATTTATATAGACTTTTAAATTTAAACTCCGATATGTTTTCTAGAATACTCGTGTGACGCTTTTGAGATGGTAATATGTAAGATATAATGTATATATATATATATATATGGAACATGAATAACTGCATAAAAGAATATAAAAGTATTAAATTATACTCTAAAAAAAACTACAAACTTTAAAGAAACTCTAATAAAAAAAATGTACATTATAAAACATATGTATTAACACAATATGTTTAAATGTTATAAAATTTTATGTTCAAAAGTAAAAAATAAAGAGAATTTTATCCAGAAATAGCAATTCTTTGATCAGAAACAAAAAGATTGGGTATACTAGGAATTGATGGTATATCAATATTATTATAAACTAAATAAGATTTAGTGTTTTTGTGAATTTGTTGTTGATTATTATTTATTCTTTCTTGAATGCCAGATTTTTTTTGTAAAAAGTCATTGGTATGAGTTTCGGAATTATTTATTTTTGAAAATATATTCAAAGAATCATCTTTTAATGCTTTAGAGTGAACGTCTAATTTTCGTAAATGTTTAATTGAATTGTTATTTTTATGCTCATGTGTATGATTTGAAAAAGATTTACTTCTAATTTCATCTTGAGCATAAGTGATTGGATAATTTTGCTTTGAATTTTTTGTTTTTAAAATAGGATTAGAACTTTGTTTGCTTTTATCAAGAATATGATTAAACTGTGTCATTTTTGAATTACCATCTGTTTGAAAATAATCATCTGTATTTTTATCTTTATGGTCATAATATTCCTTCAATAACTCTTCGGTTGTACTAGATGGAGATGGTGTATGTTTAAGCATATCCTCAGATACTATTCTTTTTGGTTCAGGTGTAACTGAACGTTTTAATTTATTTTCTTCAATTGTATAAGGTAGTGATCTTCCTTGTGAAAAAGATAGTAGCGAAAGTTCATCATCAGAAGAACAAGGTGATGGATTACCATTTACCACTCTTAAAACACCGGGAGAAATCAATCCAAAATCAACATTTGACGATGATGTTAATCTCTTGTTAGATAAGCGTGTAGAATAAGACGACAATGTAGGTAACGTTTCATCTAATAGAGTAAAAGGTGATGAATTGTAGCAAGAAGTATTGGAAACTATTGAATTATGACGAACACTATTAGAACATGGAATCGTATTTGAAAAATTCTGACACTGAAGAGTTTTTGATGGAAAATAGTGGCAAGGCGTTTTAGAATTTAAAAGATCAATTCTGTATCTTTTAGAAGGATATTGATTTCGAGATCGAAGAAATTCCTTTTTTCCGTTAATAGGGAATCGAATATTGGATGTATCCAAATACATTGAAGATACATCATTTTTCTGTTTAGTATTTTTTGGATAACATTCATCAGATTTACTTATAAGATTTGTACCAGGATCAAAAATATCTGCAAATTGATATATAGGAGTGCCCGTATATCTATTTTTAAAAATAGAACCATTATAGTAACCCCGATTCTTCCATTTTTTTGTCAATCTGCCCGCAGATGTTTTTTTTTCATAAAATGATTGTTTTCCTTGAGTGTTTCCCATTTTTATTGGATCCAAAATATAAACAATCAAATAAGAGCATAAAGAAATTCTTATTGTATATAAAAAATACCTTTTTTTCAGGTATTTTGTTTTAATTTACAGTTTTGAAGAAAAAAAATTAATTATTCTGATCAATTTAAACTAATTTTTTTTTCCCTTCAATTAAATATAACCTTTTCTAAAGTTAATTACTCGCCAATTCATATGTCTTCTTTTTTTTTTCTTATACGTTTAGTTAGAGGGCTGAATATTTATATATTTATTAATTATATTATCAGCCTTGCCGAGTACGTTTTAAGATTTTAACCAGCCTTTTTAATATAAATTTAAGTCAAAAAATAAAATATACTATATTATATTGGAAAGTAATATATGAATTACTTTAGTCCTTAGAAATATGTTTTTAAATTGTTTTTTATAAAGAATTGTAATTTTTTTTTGAAATATTATTTTTCTAAACTTTTATAAAAATACGTATATGATAATGCTTTAAAACACAAATATTATTAATTACATATGGTAGAAAATGATTTCGTATGTTTCTTTCATTTTTTATATTTCTTAGGACTTTTATGAAAATGTTTTATTTTAATTAAAAAGTTACTTTTTAACTCTATATTGCCGGGAAATTAAAGGAGTGGGTGGACTATGGTAGAAGATTGTATAGAGGAATGTGTTTCTGAGTTTTTTCAAAAGTTGTATGAAAAAGATAATCAGATTACTACTTTTTCTGTGGACGATATGAATATTATTAATCAAGTGAAAAAACCATTTAGATCTCGTTATCTTACAGATTCAAATAAAGTATTTTCTTATAATGCCTGGTAGAAATATTTTTTCCCGCAAAAAATATATTTATAAAGTAAAGGGATGATGTAGAATGGGATGATGAGCAGAAAAAAATAGCTATTGAAAAAATTAATAAGCAAATGTCAAGTCCTGTTATTGATAAAGAAAAATATATGAATAACCAATCTCTTTTCTGGGACAAATTTTATCAAAATCATAAAACTCATTTTTTTAAAAATAGGAAATGGTTATTTCATGAATTTCCTCAGATATTCGATTGTATTTGTTCTTATGTAAAATAATTGTTTCTAGTCTGTTATAGAAACTTATAAATAATAGTCTGGTAAGAAATATATTCTAGAAATTGGATGCGGTGTTGGAAATACTATGTTTCCTATTTTGTTACAAAATAAGAACCCATTTCTTGTAATTCATGGAGTTGATTATTCAAGAAAGGCTATTGAAATACTAGAAAGATCCGAATTCTTTTCGGGAAATAATATACGGGCATCTGTTTGGGATATGGCTAATTTAAATGGAGAATTTCCAGAAGGAGCAACTAATGTAGATATTGTTATACTAATATTTGCTTTTAGTTCCTTATCACCAAGTCAATGGAATATTGCTGTTCAAAATATATATAAGGAAAGGATTTTTATGTTTTTTTCTTTTTTTAATATTCTTTTAGATGTTGAAACCAGGTGGCATAATTTTATTTCGTGATTATGGACGCTGGGATATGACACAATTACGTTTTAAAAAGGAAAGATTTCTTGAAGATAATTTTTATATAAGAGGGGATGGTACTAGAGTATATTTTTTTAGTCATGGTGCTTTTCCAGTATTTTTCATATTAGTGTTAATATTAATTTTAGAACAAATACCAGAAATTTTTGGGAAATTATTTAAAATAGAACGTAATGAATTAGATAAACGACTTTTAGTAAATCGTGCTACTATGCAAAAAATGTATAGGATTTGGATCTATGGAGTTTTTAAGAAAATTTGAACCAGTCATATAAATAATGACAATATAATGCATAATATTGGATTCCTGTAAATTACCATAATAAATTTATTTATTTTTTTTTTTAGAAAATATTATAAATCGTTTATTTGATCAATTTGTAGGCAACGATCTTCTCCGCCGCTTATAATACCAAAAATATTACTCCAATCAATACTAAATACTTTTGTATTTTTTTTTCCACTTTGACGTTTAATTGAATATAAACTCCCGTTAGGTACTCGTATATCCCATATTTTAACCAAACTATCATAACTACCACTTATAAGAACATAATTATTTCTATCGCATGACGATAATGATACTACAAAATTTGTATGTCCTTTTAATGTTTGTACGGGTGTAGATTTTAAAGAAATTCTTGGATCATGAAGAAGTATATGTTGAGATGATGAACCACATGCTAACAACGACATAGAAGGTATACAACATATTGAAAATAGGGCATGCTGTGTTACCTAAATATATTTAATGCGAGTATTATTTTAAAAAATTTATTTACCCTGTTATCTACATTAGAAAATGTAATTAAATCCCACGTTTTAATAGAATGATCTGTGCCAACAGAATATCCCACTGTACAATCCTTACTATCAAAAATAATTTCTGAACAAGATGATGAATGACCTTGTATCATGTAAATAGGTTTCTTCATCATATATTAGACTTATGTATATACAAAAGATCTAATAAAACATACTTTCGTTATTATTTTGTCACTTAATTCATTTCTTTTTCTTTTTTTAATCGATTTTTCCTCATCTATTACCCAATCATTTTCCTCAATATCCCAAATCCCAATGTTTCCATCTGCTCCTGAACTTAAAAGTCGGTTCGTTTGCAAATTAACTGCAATTGATTCAACTGACATTGCATGCCCTTTCATTTCAAAAACACAGTGACATGTTATAATTGTATTCTTTTTTTTCTTTAATCTCCAAATTTTAATTGTTTGATCCATACTTGATGTAGCAAATCGTTCATTTTCGACCCAGCAAACAGATTTAACTGGTCCATCATGACTCAAAGTTTCTGTAATAATTTCTCCATCCTCATTCCATAGCCTTGATATTCCATCATAACATCCTGAAAGTATTTTTTTTGAATCCACTGATTTAACGCATGATACCCAGTCACTATGTAGAAATGACGAAACATATTTAGGTGCTAATATCGAACGAATATATTCTATTGATAAAGTTGTTTCCTAATATATTAATAGCTTTTCCTTTCAAGATTTTCCTTCATACACATGTTTGTTGTTTTCTTGCCAAATATTCTCCTAATGATTCTTGCAAAAATTCTCCATCAACTAAAAACGCAAAATTTATAGGTGGATCTATATATATACTTAAAAAAATCATTTCTTATTCCCCTTATTTTACCTTTTTCTAAAAGATGATTGATTACTTCGTTTAATCCATAAGGGTTCAATGAAAGTGGTACAAAAATAGGTGTATTTTCAACTTCAATTTCTTTTTCTTTTGTAATAAAAATTACGCGAATCTATTAAGCTTTAACCTTTATTTATAGATATTTTAAAAAACCTTAGTCTGATTTTCCATATATTAAGATTTTTTTCAAAAATAACTTTTAAAAAAAAATGATATATTTAAGGAATTTTTAAGTTAATATTCTAGGAAAAATGTTATTTTTAAATATAAGAATACAGGGCTTTAAGGAAATTATAGATTTTTTTGAATTGATATTAAAAAAATGTTTTATGTTAAGATTTTTTTATTTTTATATTTAAGATGTGTTTTTTCTGGAATTCTTTAATTTAGAAGAATCTGGTTATAGTTTATTATGTTGATCTTTTAATATGTTTCAATTTCGATTTTCAGGTAGAATTGAGTGTTGTTATATTTAAATGGGTCTATAAATAAAGTGAAATTAAGGAATAAGTTTTGCATATTTAGATTTTTCTGGGTTTTTACATTTATATTAGAGTTTTTTTAGGAAAGATTTGAGTTATTTTGATGAAGAATCTTTAAGTATTATTTGTAATGATTCTAATAAATGATTTAAGATTAATCTTAGCTGAAAATAATATATGAAAGTTTAGATTTTTACTATTACTTATTTTTAGAAAAAATTCAATTGATCAAATTGGGAAAAAAAAAGTTAAAAATATATCTTAAAGACAACTGTTTTGATTTTAACGTTATTTGTTAGTACTAGTGTATTTTTACTAAAAGTATATTTTTTATCTATTATTATTTCAGCTTATATTTTGGGTTTTCTGATGAGAGAATCCTAGTTTTCTAATTATTTTTTCTATTAATTGGTCTTTTTTTATTTATTGCTATTTACTTTTGATAAAAGGCAGGATTGTTGTTCTTGAAAGTTTTAGAGTATTGAAATTTATCTTTTTATGTATTATTAGATTTATAAAATACAGATATGGGGAAGACTGTTTTTAGCCCAATAATGAAGTGTATTATTTTAGTATCTATCATAGTATCACAAGTATTTAATATTTTATTTTATATTATATTATTAATGAAAATAAATTAGTTTTGTCAATGCATACTATTTTTGTAATAATAGCTCTATCTTTGATTATGGAGTTAACTATATTGATATAGGAAACACTTATAAAGTAATTTTGTAAATATATTTATAGTGGCTCTAAAAATTTATATAGATTTGTAATATATATATAATAGTTTCCAACTATTTATTTAGATATTTATAATGGCTCTTATTACAAGATACCATATTTCTTAGTATTATTGTTTGATTCACCTTTAATAGGCATTGTTATATATATAATTATTATTCTATTTTAAATTCTTTGTAAATAAAATATGGTAAAAAACTTGTGCTATTATGATTTGTTTTTAGACGTTCCTAGAACGACTTACAAAGTTTTGATATTTTTTAATATTGGTATTGAAATTAGATTCAGATCATTATTTTTAGAATTTTTTTATTGTGATATTAAAAATAATTCGAATTTTATAATTTTTGAAATATAGATAATAAATAAAAAACATTTAATAATCATTAAATGTTTTTTTTGTAATATTATATCCTGCATCAGAAAATCCTTGCATTATTTCATCACATTTTGAAGAAGTAGTAACTATAAATGAATCAGATGTTTTAGAATTAAAAAGATTCACTAGATATTTATTATGAAGAACATATAGCTCATCTATAGTGATGTTCTAAATAGTTATAGTTTCAATCCAAGAGAATAATGAATATTACCGATATTTCGTCAATCAATTGGCGTCTTTTATTTTCTGGTTGATTTTTTATAACTTGAGAAACAAAAGACTCTTGTGCCTATTTTTTTAAGAAGAATGTTTGTTTTATGTCAATTACTTACTGCAAAGAAAGGGGTAGAATCAATTGAAACGATATCATAAACAAGTGAACTTTTTGCGTTTATCATTATATTTTCATCAAAAGATATCTTTAATATTATAGGTTATTATAATAAAGATGTTTTTTAAGCCAACCTTTTTGTTCTTTATGTCGTTTATAATAACTAGAGGTATTACATAATGTATATTTTTTGATAATTTAAATTATACCTCGAGTTTTTTCCCATACATTAAAAACATTTGGAGATGAATAAATAGAATAATAAACAAAACCTAATTTAAGCGACGTTAATATATATAAATATATGTTATTAAAATTACCTGATTCTATATCTGTTTTAAAGCTCACACTATATGCTAGACCTGCACCTCTTATATGTTTCCAAAGTATTCCTTCCATAATATTAAGATACGATAAAAGAAGAATAAATGCTGGGAAGTCTTTATGGTTAAAATCTGAAAATAGCTTAGAAACATGAACAGAATATGAATTTTCGACAGTAGATAGAGATATTATATGAGCCTTGTCCTAGTAAGAGAGTATCAATAAATAAAATAAATTAATACTATTCCAGAAGGAGTTCTTCCTTTTTCTGTTAACATGATTTTTTTATATGGAATTCGTGACATATTAATATCATCTTTCTTAAAAGAGATTATATTAAAAAGTAAGAAAAGAAATATAATACTTCTTGATGATTAATGAAAGATTTCCACGATAATACGGGATGTTCTAAATTTAAAATGTCGGAAATTATTTGAAAATACATATTTTCTGGTTTAAAAACTTTTCAAGTTATAATATGAAAGCTTCATTAGAAAAAACATACGTTGATTTTGTATAGTTTTAAATTTTTCAACAACTTTATTTGGTTCTTTTTCTAATTCATCCTTCAGTCTCTTTAAGAAATTTATTTGAGAAAGTATATTTATTGCTTTAGATGTAGATAGATTTTTATCTAGTTGGTACCTTATGAAAATTTAGATTAAATAGATAAAAAATAAGAGTTATCTACATTCTCATTAAAGCCCAGCATATCTTAAAATGTTAGAAATAAAATTTTTAAAATAAAAAGTTGGTTACTTTATTTCCATTCCTTTTTTCTTGCGGAATGTCATTTAATGATTTAAATACAAAAATCATAAGTCTATAGACTTTAGAAAATATATATAGGAATACGTGTTACCTTTGAGGTTCGAAAATACTTCCATAAAACAAATCTTTTAATAAAAAAATTCCTTTTTTATAGTTTTGTATCTATGTAAAAGATTAAGATTGAAAATATAGCAAATGTATTAAATACTTCAACTTTAATTTGAATAGTTGCAATCTCTAGAAACGATGCAGATACCCCCCATGATGCACTGTAGTCTACTGTTTCATTTTCTAATAATCTTACAACTTCTTCATATGTTAATTTAGTTCCATCACTACGAACAACTCCATTTAAAAAGAAATTGTCGAGATAAATACCAAGATATGGCTTAAGATCAGAATTTACGTGTTCTGAAGAAATATACACCTGGATAGTTACAAATTTTGAATTAATATCTTAATATAATTAAAAGATATAAAAGAAATAATTGATATTACGATTGAAATATAAGTAAAGGGGTATTTTTTCTAATGAATCTTGATCAATATATTTTTGGAGATCAGAACACCTATAAATATGTAAGAAAAAAATGCTATAGAAACATGATGCTTACTGTTCTCCGTGTGTATTATTTATCTTTTGTTTTGCTACTCCCGCCCTAGCAGACATACTTGTAATAAAGTTGATGTTTTTAACGCTTGGAATTTTAAAATCAGAAACTACTGTTAAAGGAAATGGTGCGTCGTTTTTTTCTTGAGATATTCTTAATTGTTCCCTAAGTTTCTTAAGACCTTCTTCTCCGAGTTTCTTTCTTTGGTTTTCTATTCTTATTTTTTCATTTTTTTCTAATTCTAATGACAATTTAGCAGAAGCTTTGGAAATTATACATATGTGAAAATTTTGGATAAACCAACTAAAATTAAACAGGTTATTAGCATCAACAGACACAATACATACAAATCCAAAAGTTGTAGCCATTCTGTTACTGTCCATAATTTTAAATTTTCATAATCTTCATAATCTTGCAATGATCTCTTTAAAGTATCTTTGGTATTACTACCATACAAAAAGTCTGTAATTATTACGTTAGTAAAAATGCCATCTAGATCGGTTTCTAATTCATATTAGAGAGTTAATTTTAATAACAATAAATCTGACCATTTGTATCCATAATCTACTTGTCTTAGCTAATTATTTTAGATAGTTAATATTTACCGCCAGTTTTTCTCTATGTATAATCGTACTCATGCGGTTGATATCAAAATTTTCTGGATTATCTCTGACACTATTTAAAAGCTCGAAAACACGTTCTTCAATCTTTTCTAGTTTTTTTGTTGGTACGCTGTATAGATTTAGATATATAACACTTGGCAGACGTATTGTCATTGAAAAAGATATATCTATATTCTTTTTCTAGTCAAATAAAAATGCATGATCTAAAAATACCTGAACAAAATTGATCTTCGATTTCCACGAGTTCTTTTTGTAATGCAGAAATAGCTGAATCTGTTAGATATTTTCCCAAAAGATTTAATGCAGTTAATGTGAGAAATTCCTATAGTAATTTTATATAATCTTATGTAAAAAAGGAAAAAATACAGTAGAGAATGGGCCAAGCCATGCTAAAAGAACTTCGCCAACAGTTTCATCTTTATCAGGAAAAAGAACAATTTCTGTATGAGATTTCTTCAAAGGAGGAGTTTTTGGAGAATCAACCCATGGTCTAGATATAAGATTTTGTAAATATTCATGATAATTATACCTTTTCCAATTTTCTAAATTCGGCGTGAGATTATTAAGGATATTGGGTTCAATGATTTGATCAAGTACATAAAAAAGCTCATTTACATCAATTTTCCCTGTAATAATGATACATAAATTCTGAGGGAGATAATATTTCGAATGGTATTTTCGAACGGTTTCAACATTTAAAACTCTTAATGCCTTTAAATTCCCTCCTGTATAACTTCTATATCCAATTCCCTCAGGAAAAAGGGCGCGTTGAGAACTATTTCATTAACATCCATTAAATTTTTAATTTATAGTATTAATTACTGTATTAATTGCAAATCATTTAATGTGTTTTCATGTCCCTCCATAATATCAGACAGAAATTCAATATTTATTACTTTAATTACCTGCATCTCGCTATATACAACGCCTGCGTCATTCCCATCACCATCAATATGATGGATTTCTGTATAAAATCCATCATATGTAAGCGTAGGAAAAAGTATATGGTCAATAAATATGGGAAAAATATGTAAAAATCCTTCTGTTCCTGCCGTACTAATCGTATATGCTGTGTGGTCCGTCTCTATCCTCATTCATAAGGAAATTTCCTCAATATATATAAAAACTTTACCCGTCCATGCATTTGTACCTTGTGCAAATGAACGGTTTGCTAAAAAATCTAAAACACCCTTATAAGGATACTTTTTACTCCCAAGAAATATTAAATGCTCAAGTGTATGAGGGCATCCAGAGTCATTTAAAACTATAATAATTAATTTCGTCTATTTTATCTTTTTTAACTTTCTTTCTGTTGCGAGTACAAATTTTCCTTTGGTTAAAGGCACATCAATATCAACCAAAACTACCTGAATACCTGTTCTAACACTTCTCCATGATCTAACACGTCTTCCGTGTGCCTCAAAGTCCTGATTTTTTATAAAATATGACATTTTCTAAGTTATCTGCTTTGTCCGTTAGTAAGGTCTTAAGCTACTGGGAAAATACAAATCTATATAAAACGGTATGAAAGGCTAAAAATTGGAAAAATTTGACTCAACAGGCTATATTTAATGGAAAGGAGGTTACCTTAATGTGTTTATGCTGATTAATACTTTTTTTTGTCTGAATTTTAGAAGGTAAAATGTAATTTGAAACTATCTATGAAGAATTCTAAATAAGGGTGAAAAAGAAGGGATTCTAGTGTTAATGTAAATGAATCAGTCTTTTAAGATAGAGTGAATAATTAATTTTGTTGAAATAGTGGGTATTTTATGTTTTTAAAGTATTACTGTTTTGAAATAAAAAATCTATATAAGTAGTTCTGAAAGAGAAAAAGAGTTTAAAGACCAAGAAAATATCATACGGGTATTTTGAAATAGCTGTCAATATGGCGGAAATCAGTAGAAGGAAATTTATTGATACAATAGTTAATGATGAATCAGAAAAGATAAATAAGATTATTAATCAGTCAATTTTAAATGATATGGTATCTTTAGAAAAGTTAAAGAGATCGGAAGAGCCTTTAAATGTTGCGCTCGAAAAAATTGATGTGGAAATAAAGAAAACACGGGTTTATATGATTTATATTCTATATATTTGTTTATGTAAATATCTAGGAAACACTTTCAAGATTAATTTTGAAAAATGAAACATTGTTTCTAAAAAGATTTAACCAAAAAACTGAACTTTATGAAAAAATAACGGAATTGATTGCTAATTCATCAGTCTTGTCGGAAATTGAGATTAGTAATCAAGTATTTTTTAATTCTTTTATCTTTTTCTAAGTTGATTTTTATTTATAGGAAATATCGAAAACACTTAATGATAAAAGTGAAAATTTGAGGGAATTGAATGATTCTATACAAGTGAAGGAAGCATTGAAAGACACTGTTTTGAAAATCAAATTCATAGTTAGCTTAATAAATAAAGCGGAAAATTTCATTATTCAGGGGGATTTATTTAGAGTTTTTGATACAATAAATGAGGCGGAAATTGAATGTAATACTATTCGTGATGAGAAAAATGTTGTAATTTTATCTTTTTTCAGAGAAAAAATATCAAAGCTTAAATCAATTTTAATTGAAAGATTTAATGATATTTGGGACGATTTTGTACGTTTTGAAGACGAATTTATAGTTAAGAAACAATTGAAAGGTGCGCAAATTTACTTATTTTGTATATTAATAAAATATAAAGGTCCTTTTCAAAAAAAAGAGTCTTTAGTATCCTTTATAGAACTATCTAGGCAATTTGAAATGTTTGACATTCATATGATAGATATCTCTAATTATTTCGTATCAAAATATTTCCAGACTTTCTTGTTGAATAAAGAAAATTTTTATGCATTGGATTGGAGTGAAAATGATGATGAGTATCAATTGATTATCAAAATCGATACTTCAAAAAAAAAAGGTATATTTTAGAATATTTTAAATTATTACTTAGTATTTTAGAATCAGTTTTTCCGTCTTTGTTGATATTAATTAATTTTATAGAAAAAGCATTTCCATCTATCATGTTATCAAGTTTAACAAAACACCTTTTTCCTAAAATACAATCTTTTTTAACCAATGATTACATAAATAATATCATTCCGGATGGAATTGATGGATTAGATAAATTTAATGGGATACTTTTAGAGGGCTTTGAATTTAATAAAGAAATTAAACAAACCATATGGAATAATTACTTGGAAATTGAAAAATGGATAAAACAAGCATCAGAGAGTTGGATCATGAAAATAAAATCTAATGCTATTGATTCTGTTAGGAAAGTTTTGAAATTAGAGGATCCCTGCAATATTATTATTGAACGTGTACAAAATATAAAAAGTAGACAAGTTGTTGATGATGAAAAAGTTGATTTTGTCGATAATAATGATTGGGATTTGGATTGGGGAAATGAAGATAAAGAAATTTTTGATGACGAAAAAAATAAAGTTACTATAGAACATGATACTTGGGGATTGGATAATGATATAGTAGATAATGATTCTGAAAATGATCATTTGAAAGATGAATCATGGGGTTGGAATGATAATAATTATCAAGATATAGATACTAAAAAGCACCGTGACATGAAAGATCTAGAAAATAAAAAATCTTTGTCAGATTTTTTAGAATACAAGAGCTATGCTATATCTTTTTTTCCAAAAAAAATTATTCCTATTGTTCAAAAGCATCTTTCTTATATAACGGAGTTAATGAAGCCTCAGTAAATGATGAATATTGTTTCAGATTATATTGGTAATTTTTTATAGATATGCAAATTATATGATGGCATCTTTTTTTCCTCAATTATCTGATTCTATAACATTGATTCTAAGTACGTTTAGGGCATTAGTTCCTCTCCATTGTAATCAATTGTTAATATCACCTATGTTATTATATAATGATTTTATATATTTTTCTGAATATCTTCAAGAACTTTATGATGGTTCGACTGAGTTGCATTGTATTCTTGAAGAAAGTAATATTTTTCGTGAAGCAGGTAATTTTGCATATTTTTTTGAACTTGTAGGGAAATTATATGTATATTATATATATTAACTTAAATATAGCAAATGCAAAAAAAAAATATTATTTCAATTCTTGAACGAACTCGTGGATTTGTGAATTGTACAGATAAACAGCAAATTGAAATATGTTCTTTTGCACTTTCTGATTTACAAGAAATGTTTCGAGTTTTGTCGAAATCATGGGGAGTACATATTTCTGAGAGTTGTATTGTATATATTCATTAATATTTATATAGGAAATTTTCACTAGAGAAACATTATTTGAATCTATTGGAAGGCTTTTAGAAATTGTTGTCGTTTATATTATTACAGCAATTAAAGATATTCCTGATATATCTGAAGCAGAATCTAAACAACTCTCGACGTTATTTAATCAATTTGCTCAAGTAGAAGATATTTTTACTGTTGAAAAACAAATGGTTAGTTGTTGTTATTAATGATATATACTATTTTAATAGTTATAATTATTAGTTTCCTATAACACCAACATATGTTCCAAGCTGGCTTAAGTTTCGATATTTGTTGGAAATTCTTGAAGCTTCGATGCAAGATCTCATGTATTTATATAATTCTGGGGCCTTGGTTGACTTCGAAAAAGAAGAAATTATAGATTTGCTTAAAACATTATTTGCAGAAACGCCAAGTCGAGCAGAAAATATTTTAAAAATTAGAAATAGTTGATTTTATACATATAAAAACAATAGTTTCGGTTAGTTCTTTATAATCATAAATACAGAAAGAATTAATGTGTTAAATATTTTCTTTTTTTTGTTATTCTTCTAGCAAGAATTCTACGACCACTAGCCGATCGTTTTCGGCTAAGAAATCCATGTCTTCGTTTGCGTACTCTATTTGACGGCTGATATTCTATATATATCAGAAAGATTTTATATGGAAGGATTTATATATATGATTACCTCTTCCATAAGTCCGAAATCTTTTAATATTTAATATCCATAATTTAGTTGGTGAAGAAAATAGTGAAGGGCTGGATTTTTCGAACTGAAATCTACTATTTTTTTCATTTAAAACTGTCTCGTGTTTTTTAATAGTTTTTCTGTACAGATTCTTCATTAATATCATATTTGGAGTCATTTTTAAGATTCTTTGATATAATGAATTTTGAAATTGTCTATTTTGCATATAAATGCCGTTTTTTTTAAAAAAAAAAAAGATGGATCTATTAAATAACGTTTTTCTACTTATATTCATCTTCTTTTGCTGAAAAACTGCTCTTTTATGGCATAAAATCTTGATAGATTTCTAAAATCATAATTAGTGAGGTCGAGTCGTTACCAGAGCAACTTCTCTTGAAAATCTCGAGCACTGCAAGAAAAATTAAGTACGGCTTTGAGCATGCTTTGAATAGATTTTTTTTATTGTTATAGAGTTTTTTATAAGAATATTTAAAGGCTCTTTTATTTCATCTAAATATGTTATTTTTTTCTGAAGAAAAATCTAATTCTATGATTGAAACACAATTCAAGTTTTCTGATAAAATAATAATTGAAAATATTAATGACTATAGTCCATATCAAGATAATGGCGGTCTTTGTGTTGCTATATCGGGTGAAGATTATGTTATTCTTGCAGGAGATACTCGCCAAGTAAGAGGATATAGCATTCATTCAAGATATCAGCCTAGAGTCTTTAATATTGGTGATAATTTAGTAGTCAGTGCTTGCGGATTTTCGGGTGATTGTGATGAGGTAGTACGGCTTTTGAGGAGACAACTTATCGACTATCATTTTAAACATAATAAGAAGCTTTCTGTTAAATCTGCTGCTCGACTTATACAGACGATTTTATATAGTAGACGTTTTTTTCCTTATTATATTTATGTATTAATTGTTGGGATTGATGAGAATGGTGAATTGAATTTGGTTGTTTTTTAAAAAAGATAAATTATTTTTATAGGTAAAGGTGCTATTTTTACATTTGATCCAGTAGGATCTTATGAAAGGGTTCCTTATCAAGCAGTTGGCGATTCTGCTTCTCTAGCATTACCAATGATGGATAATCAGGTATGAATAAAATGATTGTTATGGAATATCCTAGTATGAGGAATTTATAATAGATTAACCTTTTTGTATGAATTAAATGGTCCTTCATATTATGGATAGCCTGTTATATGTACTTATTGAATTTTTTATAGGTGGGTTTCAAGAATCAATATGAAATAGTCGATGGAGAATTTCATTTGCGAACTCCTGTTTCTTTGTCTTGTGAGGATGCAATGAAAATGATCAAAGACACGTATAACAGTGTTGCAGAACGCCACATTCAAGTATGTATATTAATTTTTCTTTGAATGTTGCGTATTTCTAATATTTAAGGTTGGTGATGCATTTCAAGCATTTATTGTGACATCTTGTGGTATACGTATTGAAGAATATCAATTAAAACGTGATTAATTATATAATGTACATAATTTTGCTTCGTAGAGTTGATTTTTTTAAGATGTTTTCCATTTTTTGTTATATATATATATATGTATTAATTTAGATAAGATTTATTGATTAATAAATTTAGTAAAAGTATATAGAATATGATTATAATAATATAGATAGAAATGAAATGAAACGAAACGAAATTAAGTTTGCTTTGAAAAGATGTTTGTAATAAAGATTTTCAATAAAATATATATTTTAAAGCAAATGACTGCCTGAATCATTTATGTTGTAAGTGCTTCATAACCTCGAAAACTAACAAACATCCAAAATTGCCAGATTAAATCGAAAAATGCATAAGTAAAGGTCAATCCATTTGAAATAGCAGGATTATTAGAAAAATATATCCATAAAATTAAAGCAAATGCTTGAATTGTTCGTAAAGGTGCTATTTTGTGATAAGTTAATTATTTTTTAAAGAAAAAAAAGACTTAGATCTTTAAAAAAAGTCAAATTTGTTTTTAATAATGCAAAAAGATAAATCCAAGAAAGTTGAAATAAAAGCATGCCAGCAATAACAATACCACTTGAATCACGACTAGGTCGTGCCTATTTATATATGTTAAATATGTATAAGTTTATATATTATCTTATTTTTTACGAGATTCATTGCATCTCCCAAGACATAAATAATACCTTGTTCAAGAACTTTATCTGGATAGAAAATACAAAGAATACTTAATGTAAATAAAATTACAAGATAACTTTCGATTTGTGTTTGAACCTGAATCAACATGATCTTTCCTATGTATATTAAAAAATAGTAATAAAAGCCAAATCGTTAAAATAAAAAGGCGGATAATTCGTTTAAACTTTTTAAGATTAATATATTGATTTAAATCAATGATTTAATTTTAAAAAAATGAAATCAAAATCTTTGCCAAGATTATTAGCTGGATTTCTTAGACAATTCCCTTCTATAAAAAATAACAATTCCTTAAATCAAGATGTACTAAATCCTTTTAAGCCTATCAAAAACAAAATAACTGGCCGATGGAAAAACCCAATTTATTCTTTGCGACAACAAGCTGTATTGTTAAAACAAGCACATATCTTTGGATATGAGAAATTCCTGCCATTAAAATCTTCCGTTATTAAACGGATGCGCGGTATTTCACGCTGGAAAGGCACAAAAGGTGAGCGAATGAGAAAAGGAAAGTAAGTTTTAAAATAAAAAATATAAAACTGGATTAATAAGGGGAAAGAGCTGTACGAAGAATACGGGAGTTGGAGATGCAACCCCTGCGAATAGAAGCCTGGAAAGCTGTAAGAAAAAAATGTTATTAAATAAAAAATAAAGAAAAAAATAGGAAAAGAAGAAACGCTCTGAAAAGGATATTTTTCTTTGAAAAAAGCGTCGTTAAAGCCTAATTAAAAAAATGAAAATATAAATAAATAAGGATAATTACGGGTGTATATTGATTCAATAGAGAAGAAATAGGTATTAAAATGCAAAATATAGTGTATATTTTTTTAATTTTAGATTTATATTATGATGTTGCTATGGAAACAAAAAGTACTTAGATCTTGAAAAAAAATAAATTATTTCTAGATAAAAGATATATTTTTCAGTATATTATTGTTATTTGTTTGTTTGTAAAGAGGTAGATTCTTTTAAAAGAAGAGAAAGGTGCGAAAAAAAAGCGGGAAAATTGGATAATTTTAGACATATTTTTGTTCTGTATGGAATCTTTAAAAATATATTCATTAAAATTCATTAGAAAGAGGTTTTAATTGTGGAATAGGTATAAATCTTAATGAGAATATGGATTCTTCTTTAGAAAAGGAGTCGAATATGAGTTTTATGAAAAATATAGATAAAACACCTCCATTACCATTCATTTATCCTCCTCCTCTTCCAAAAGAAAATTTGGGGTTGCCAAAAGAGTCTCAAATATCTTTACGAGAGGATGAAGCGAAGGAAAGTTTTTATAAAAAAATGTTTTCTATGAAAACACAAACGTTAGGAATGTTTGAAGGACTTGGTAAATTACATGAGTTTGATGATACAGCGAACCATAATAAAAATACGTTGAAAGATGTTTGCAATGATTCTATATCTTCTGAACTTAAAAGAAATGAGCCCTTGTCTATAGAGGAACTTGTAAAAAAAGAAAAAGAGCTGGCTGCTATGAACAAGGTAGAAATAGATTTATTATATTATGGTTTTTTGATGGAATTAGCCTAGATTTTTAACACGAGAGCAACGGGAGGAAATTGCTCTTGAAAAACGTCGCATGGAAGTTAAGAAGAAAGGTCAATATATTGATAAAATGAATATGAATGTTTCAAAGAATTTTTTCCCAAAAGATGGAAGGAATGTTTTTTTCGGTAATAATGAAATGAGTCAGTTATTTGTATTTTTTCATAAGAAATATTTTAATCTAGTTGTTTAGATGGATATACGAATGGTACAAAAACGATACTTACTGGATCTAAAACTATGAGAGAAGAAATGACGGAAAGGCAAGCATCTGGGTCATCTAAGTTATCTTTAAAGAAAGATGATAAAAAGTCAGAATTACCAATTGAGGAAAAAGAGATTGAAGATATTCGTGTAATTGTATATAACGACTTTTTAAAAGTCATTAATATTTCTTAGAAAAGATATTTAGGAACAACTGATAATAAGAAAAAAAGGCGGAAAACGACTGAAAGAAAATTTGTATTTGATTGGGATAATACGGAAGATACATCTACGGACGTTAATCCGATTTATTCGAATCGTCATAGTGCACAGTTTTTAGGTAGAGGAAGATTAGGAGGCTTTGATGATAAAAATAATAAAGATTATACAAATTCTTATATTAATGTATTGTCACGTTCTTCTAATGAGGAAGATAGAGATAGAGCTAAGTATTTTTGTTTTTATTTTTATTTTTTTATATTGACTTTTTAAGACAATTGATGGAATTGGAATATAAAAAAAGTTCTAGAATTAGTTGGGATGATATGCATTGGTCAGAAAAACCGTTAGAACTTATGAAAGAAAGGGATTGGCGTATATTTAGAGAAGATTTTAGTATTTCTTCAAGAGGTATTTTAAAATGTTTTATTTATTATGTCTAATGTTTTAGGCGGATCTATTCCGAATCCTATACGTAATTGGAAGGAATCAGGATTACCTAAAGTTATTCTTGATATGATTAAAATAGTAGGATATAAAGAACCTTCACCTATCCAAAGAGCAGCTATTCCTATCGGTTTACAAAATCGTGATATTATTGGTATTGCAGAAACAGGATCAGGAAAAACGGCATCATTTGTACTTCCTATGCTTGTATATATTTCTACGCTTCCTCCACTTAATGAATATAACAAGAATGATGGTCCTTACGCAATTATTTTAGCTCCTACAAGAGAATTGGCTCAACAAATCGAGACTGAAACAAAGAAGTTTTCCTTATCAATGGGCTTTGTATGTGTATCAATTGTCGGTGGGCATAAAATTGAAGAGCAGGCCTTTAATTTGAGAGATGGTGTTCATATTGTTATTGCTACTCCTGGACGGTTATTAGATTGTCTTGAAAGACGTGTTTTAGTATTGAGTCAATGTGCATATATTGTTCTTGATGAAGCAGATCGTATGATTGATATGGGTTTTGAAGAAGCCGTGAATAAGCTTTTGGATGCATTGCCTGTGCGTAATCAAAAACCTGATACTGATGATGCTGAGAACCCTGTGTTAATGTCTAAAATGATAGGAGGTAAAGAGCGATTTAGACAGACAGTTATGTTTAGTGCAACAATGCCTCCAGCTGTAGAGAAACTTGCTAAAAAATATTTGCGTCGACCAGCAATTGTAACCATTGGAAATGCTGGGCAAGCGGTAGACACAGTTGTACAAATTGTTGAAATGATGAATACAGAAGATAAGAAAAGGTATTTTAAAAGAAGTTATTTATTATTTGTTTCTAAATTTTATAGACGAAGACTAGAAGAACTCCTTAGTAGCAACGATTATAGTCCCCCTGTAATTATTTTTATTAATCAGCGTCGTAGTTGTGATGCTTTGGCAAAATCTCTTGCTCGTATTGGGGTATTTTTTTTCTAATCATGAATGTATATTAATTTGATATAGTGGAATGCTGTTACATTGCATGGGGGAAAAAGTCAAGAACAACGTGAATCTGCCCTTTCACAGCTTCGTTCTGGTGAAGCAGATTGTTTAGTAGCAACAGATCTTGCAGGAAGAGGTATTGATGTTGCTGATGTATCTCTTGTGGTAAATTTTAATATGGCTAAAAATATTGAAGGTTTTTTGTTTTAAAGTCTTAGATTTTATTTAATTTGAATCTAGATTATACTCATAGAATTGGACGTACTGGAAGGGCAGGAAAATCCGGTACTGCGATTACTTTTTTAACACCAGAAGACACAGAAATAATGTATGATCTTAAACAAGCAATTAGTAAAAGTAGTATTTCAAAGGTTCCCGACTGGTTAAAAATGCATGAGGCTGCGCAAAGAAAGCCGGATAAGCAGCCTGTTAAAAAGCCAGCCGATGAATTATTATTTCAAATACCTCATGGAAGATGGTATTAAAACAGTCTTGTGTATGTATATTTTTTATATTTTATGCATTGGTCTTTCAAATATATCTGGAGTTTTATATATATTCATTTATTCTATCTCATTAGATCATTTTGCAAAAATATTAATTTTTGATGCGATTTTTAGAATCAATATTTGAACGATTGCTTTCCTTTTTATCTTATCAATTTAGATATTAAGGCATATTGTCGTCCTAGAATGAACTTATTATATTTTAGACTTGAACTTTTTAATTTTTAAAATTTAAGTCACCTGCATAATAGATATTAATTTTTAGAATTAGATATTCCAATTTTTCAAAAAAATCAAAATGTTTAACTAGAAATGATGCTTAAAAAGAGATTCAACCCGTTGTTTCTTGTTAAAATGTACCTTTCAAATTGATTATTTTATAAAAAATATTTCGCTTTTGTTATTAATGGTGTTCATTGTTTTGATTAAAAACCAATATATGTAAAATTTAAAGATTAAACAAAATTGTGAAATGAATCCGAAATAAATTAATGTATTTTTAAGTTTTTTTCTGTAGCTGTCTTTAATGAATTGTGTTTCATGATTTTATATGTAAAATCCCGAAATAAAAAATAATTAAAATTTTATTTATCTAAAGTTTCATCCTCTTCTACAATCTTTTGAAGGAATCTTGATTCTGCTTTTTCATTCTTTTTTAATCTCTTTGTATTTCCCAATTTGGTATCAGATTCATTATAATTATTACATTGCTCTTTTATAGCTGTTAGTTTTTTATATGAAGATAAAAATGAGGGATCCGAGTGTATTATTCTTTCATTAAATGGATTAGAAATGCTATTTTCATATGGATAAATGTATTTATCTGTATTGCAGTCTAAATGCTTAAATAGACCTTTTAATGGCATCTTTTTTTTAGAATTAGATATATATGAATTATTTTCATTTTTTAAGGCCTCCGATCCTTTTGAGCGATTAGAGATGCATAATGAAAGTGATAATATAGATGGTTTTTGTATTAAATTTGTATTTGCTTCATCAACTTCATGTAAAATATAAGATCTAGGTTTTTTTAAAGTATTTCCATTTTTACAAGTGTGTTTTTGCATATTCAACGATATTCCAGTATCTAAATTTTCTTCATTTTTCTGGATATAATTAGAATTATCTTTTTATGGGCAACTTACCGAATTTTTGTATTTTAATAATGATATCAGCCATTTTTTGAAAATAATTAATATAGATACCCTTAATCCTATATTGTCTTTGTGTTTATGTGACTTTTTTGAGATTCCTCTGCAATCATTTTCTATAATATTTTGAGTAGACTTGGGATAAAAATATGAACTAAATTTTGAATAAATGAACATATCTATAGTGTTAAAATATTGCATTAATTATATAATCTATGTTACCTTTTAAGTTAAATAATTTTTTAAATGATTTTTTTTTAATCATATCTTGTGAAAGTATATTTAGCCAAAAAAATTTATCTTTTTTTTGTTTTTTTGAGCTTTTCTTGTTTATAGAGCTTCCCGCTGATTTCTCTGCTTTTTCTTTAATTAATAACCATAAAGCTCTTAATGCATCACATTTGTTTTCAATTACACTTCTTTTAAGCATATCGACATTAATACCAATCATATTCATATTAAATAAAATATCTTGTTCTAAATTGGTTGAAAAATGTTGTAAATTTTGTACTTTTAAATATTTAAGATATTCTTTTCCTACGGGTTCTAGAAATGGATGTTTTAAAACGTCTATCATAGTTGGTCGGTTTTTATAATTTTTAGCCAACATTAATTGCAATAATTCAAGAGCTTCTGTATAAAATAAGAATAGAAATATATAATAATAATAAATAACCTGAAGACAAATCATTTTTCCATTTCGGATGGTCATTAAGAATTTTTGATCGCAATATACCCTCATCATCATCATCAAATGGCAACTCTCCACATAATAGTGCATACAAAAGAACACCTAAAGACCATACATCAATTTCTATAAATATTTTAATATAAATATTATTAAAATATTTTTCCATTTACTTTCTTCTGTGTTTATTGATTCATTAACAATTTCTGGTGCTGAATATGCTAATGTTCCGCTCCATGTTTGTAATAGTTTATTTGTAACTTGTTCACGAACAAAACCTAGATCCCCTACTTTAGCACTACCAGATGCTGTAAGAAAAATATTTTCCAATTTAATATCTCTAAAAATTTTTATTACATTGATATTTAAAAATAAACAGGCTTACCGGTGAACTGATCCATGCAAATGAATGTAGGCAACTGCGCTGGATATCTGCGAAAATAATGTTTTTGTTTCATATTCCGGCAATTTTGTATGTTTCACAAGATAATCATATAATTCCCCTCCTGATATTTATTTTAGTATAAAAACATAATAAAGATTTTAAATTTTCTGGGAAAAAACCTGAACAATATTCTTGAACCAACCAAACATGTTCTTCAGTATAAAGTACTTCATAAAGCCTAATAATATGTGGATGATCCATTTGACTATGATGGTATATTTCTCGAGATAAATTAATTGCTTGTGATTTTGGCGAACATTTTAAAACAATCTATATAACTTTCAAGTTATGTTTTTAAATATTTATAAACTTCCCTCCGATCCTGTTAACAAATGTATTCCTTTATAAACCTTTGAATACCCTCCTTTACCAATCATCTCGCCAATTCGATAATGACCTATTTGTTCAGGAACTGGCGCTCTTAATGAAGTAATTAAATCATGATATGATTGTGCAAGCTGTATAAAATAATCATTTTATGTCTAAAAAATATTAAAAATTACATGAGCTTGGAAATTCCGTTCTGATTTAATTAAGGTTGTTCCACAATCCATAAACCATATAAAAATATCTCTTATTCTTTTAAATATATATATTTCTATTTTGGACTTTTTATACTAAATTTCCGATCTATTCAAATTTGCCAGTTTTTTATATCTTTCCTCTATCTTTTTTCTTCTTTTCTTCATATCTATTAAAATCTTTTATGTATTTAGATTTATATATACCTAAAATATAGAGTTATTTATAATTTTATTAATAAATTCTTCTTTTTCTTATTTTTTATTTATATTATTCTTGAATATATTTGTGTATAGTTCCTTAAGGATATTTAATACTTGTAAACTATTTCTTTTTTTTCTCTATATTTTTCTTATGTTTTCTTGTTTTTCAGCCGAGATATCTTTTTCGAGAAAAAATTAATGGATTCAGCTACTGATGCTCCTTCTGCCTTTCTTCAAAAGATCATTGGCCACTTTGTTCTCGTCCGTCTTAGCTCTGGCATTGATTATCGAGGTTTATATGATTTTTTTCTTTATTTTTTTTTACTTTTTATAGGTTTTCTACTCTTAATGTTTTGACTTTATTGATTTTTTTTCTTGTTTTAGGTATTCTATCTTGTCTTGATGGATGTATGAATGTTGCACTTGAAGAATGTAGAGAATATGTTAAAGGCGTACTAAAAAACGAATATGGAGATGCTTTTATTCGAGGCAATAATGGTCACTTTTTGTTTTTTTTTTTAAATCGAAAAATGTTAATTTTTATATAGTCTTATATATTGAATGTGATGTTTGATCTTAAATCTTTTTAATTTTTTCCCTTTAATAAAATGGGATATTGTTATATTACTAAGTTCAGTTTTTGTTCGAGAAATAGATATTTTAGATTTTTATATTTATTTAATAACACATTGATTTCTAGATCCCCTGTCTATTTATCTAATTATTACAAATTACTATATATTAATTTAATAGCCAATGACTTCTAATTAAATTTACATTATCCATATCCCAATTATTATTGCAACAATCATTGATAATAATTGTAACCCCTCAAATCCTATTACTCTTACACCATTCCCTTTAGTTTCTGGAACTTCTTCCAATGTTGGTTTTTCTGATTCTGATGTTGTCTTTGTAGAGGCTGGTTTTACAGATGGTTTTGTAGATGGTTTTGTAGATGGTTTTGATGTTGTCTTTGTAGAGGTTGGTTTCACAGATGGTTTTGTAGATGGTTTTTCTGTTTCTGATATCTTTGTTATTGTTTTTGTTACTGTAAAAATGAAGCTTGAATCCGATTTTGATGGTCCTGTGTCTATCGATGATGGTTTTGGCACCGGCCTTGGGTGTGGTCTCGGTGACGGTTTTGTTTGTGTTGTTGGTTTTGGTTTGGATTGCGATGCTGATTCTGATGTTGACTGAGATGGTGGTTGAGGCTTCGGCTGAGGTTGAGGCTGAGGCTGAGGCTGAGGCTGAGGCTGAGGTTGAGGTTGAGGCTGAGGTTGAGGTTGAGGCTGAGGTTGAGGTTGAGGTTGAGGTTGAGGTCGAGGTCCTGGCACCGGCAGAGGTCCAGGTCCTGGCACCGGCAGAGGTCGAGGTTCTGGCGTCGGCTGAGGTCGAGGTTTTGACGTTGGCTGAGGTCGAGGTTTTGACGTCGGCTGAGGTCGAGGTTCTGGCGCCGGCTGAGGCTGAGGTTCTGGCGTCGGCTGAGGCTGAGGTTTTGGATGTGGATGAGGTTGAGGTTGAGGTCGAGGTCTTGGCCGAGGTTTTGGCTGAGGTGAAGATGTAGGTTGAGGATCCTTATCAGGCAGTGCTGGTTCGGATATATTGGTTTTACATTCTTGAGTGATAATAGGAGATAAGTCATAGAAAGGATCAACCAATAAACATATATTTTTAAATTTAAAGTAAAGATTTCTTATATAAGTGCATCTATCTTGAGCAGATCCTTTATTCGTATTGAGTGAGTTTGTATCATAAGTATGTAAATGAATTCTCAAATTCTCGCATGCTTTTTCTATGAAATTTCTTAAGTTTTTACATATTTCGGTATAACCATCTTTATTATAAGCACATAGTGTTGAATAAGAGTCTTTTTTGCTTGAATCTTGGCATAACTCTTTCAAAGTTACCTTGCATTTGGTTGCATTTGCTGCAGCCGCGGGATATTGGTCAATAAAAGAACCATATTCATCAGTTTTTTTTGATTCGCTAGTGCAGAAAGAAATAACAGAATCGCACTGTCGTTTTGATTCCGTGCAAAACTTCGAAAGAGAATTACAGTAATTAATCGCTGAGTCGCAATAGTCCAATGGAAGTGAAGCAGAAGACGATGAAATTCCAAGAGATGTTAAATGATTAATCAAATGAGCACAATGTTCTTTAGAATCATCTATCATATCAGGGCATATGCCATTAGCTCCTTTGTTGCATATTTGTTTGAATTCTTGTTTTACATTCGCACCACAAAAACTGTCGAAATAAGTTCTGCATTGTACTTCATTTGCGAGATAAAGAGCAGATGAATTAACAATATGATTAATTAATTTTAGTCTCTCTTGTTTATCTTGACATCTTTTTTTGAAATGATTACATTGAGCTTCTATATCTCCATCAAAATAAAATCCAGAGTTGCACTTTTGTCCTAGATCTTTGCATTCATAATATGTGGGTTTTAAAATACTCCTTAATTTATTTTCTAATTTCCTAGATTCTTCGGAAAAATGATTTTTTAATTCTCTACAGATCCTTTCTGGGTGAAGACAGGCTTCCATAAGAGCATAAGATTTGAACATTAAATCACTGGCGCTGCATTCGGCGACAATATAGCTTTTACACAATAACTCTACAAAATACCTCGTGTTTCCTTTTGGAACTACAATCTTATCTTTTATCCTATTTAGAAGATCTAATTTGGCTGAAAAATCCATATCTTCTTTATAACATGAAGAAAATACATTAGCACAAGTATCTAGAGAATTCCAATAAGCATATTGCTCCCTAAGAAAAAGACATCTTTCTACATATTTAGAGCATTGATCTCTTGAAAGACGATAAGTATAATTGTATAATAATCCAACATTCTTAAATTCATAATATAAAGAATAGCATTCAGTCCCAATAGAGTTATAAAAATCCCTACAGAGTTTCGAATTTCTATCATGTGCTAATGTGCATAGTTGTTTTGTAAGCGGTAGAGAAGCAATATGCAGACATAGTTCTTTTAATTTATTTCTGCAATCATTATCATAGACCCAAGTCTTATTAACTAAATATGCCGCAATCTCAAGATTGCTTGATTTTTTTTGTACATATTTAGAAAAACCAAGACCTAAGTCTTCTGAGATTTTTGAAGAAGTATCAATTAGTAACTTTTCTGCAGAAAGGGGCTTCTGAAATAAATCAAAAGTGGAATCGACTGGAGTATATACAACTCCTATTTCTGAACAGAATCGTCGAAAATTCCTACATGATTGATAAATATCTGGATAATCTAGAACATTAAAATAGCATTCTTCCAAAACCTGACGGCAATTTCCAGTCGAAACTGTCCTTATTCTTGACTTAACATCTTCAATATACTGTTTATTAGACCTTTTAAGTTTTTCTAATACAGTGGTCTTAAAACATAAATGAAGCAAGTCCGGACTCTCATGTCCAATTTTTTCACATACTTTTTTCATTGCTGCAGCAGCACCCTTAGTATTAATTTCCCCTCTTAATGCTTCGGTCATAATTGCTTCTACAAAGTTTTGTCGAACCCGCAAATAACATAATGCTACCAAAGGAACACAATCGGAAGTAATATAATTACGATGTTTAAAAAAGAGGCAATTTAGCAAAATCGTTCTGCATGCATCATGATGGGCGTGTGGGTTTTTTAATTGATCTTTCATAGGGAGTAAGTAATTTCGAGCGTCAAAATAATCTTGGCATGTATCATATGGTTTATTGCAATATTGTGTTATTGGATTTCCTAGGGCTTTTATGACTTTACATCTTTCGGCGAGTGTCCCGCGACACTCTGCGAGTCCAACAGTTAATCCCATAATTACATGCAATATAACTGGTTTATGATCTCTATAATGACCAAGATTCCCTATATGAAAAACACCCAATCCTTTTTTTACAGATTTGCCTGAAAATCCGCTTTTCAATGCTTCCAGTTTTAAAGCATGTGGATTTGCTTGATATAATTCTGGATATTTTTTTTCGAAATCTAAAAAGTTAAAAAAAGTAGAGATAAAAAATAAGAAAACCTGAGAGTTTATCTGTGTTTTCTGCATATGATATTTTTAAAAAAATAAATATAAAGATGATTCTTAAGAAAAACATACTTGTAGAAATGATCAATTATAACAAGTATATTTTCCTTAAATACGGATAAATGTTTTCGGTATCGGAAATTTATGAAAATAAATGTGAAAAAAAAATTAATATTATTTAGTAGGTTTGAATTGATAATAATATTTTATTTCATAAATAATCACTTATAAATAGCTAAACAATATTAAATAGAAATAAATATTTAAATATTTAATATTTAAATTGATTTTTAGGAATTTAAATATAAATAAATATTTATTTAAATAAAAATGATTTTGGAAGATTTTTTAAATAAATATAATAATAATGTGTTTTTGAGAAGATTTTTGAGCTTTATTAAGATTAATAATAACATTAAAGCAAACCTTAGTATTTTTGATAAAAAAATCAATATATAAATTCCGAAAAAAATTCACAAATTGCTATCGTTTTACAAAATAATTTTTGTTAAAAAAAAGTAATAGAGTTTTTTTATAGATTAGAATTAGGGTTGAACTTAAAATGAAGTTTATGTTAAAAAGTTAAGAGTTAATATAGTTATGGAGAAGATATGAAAGGAATAGTTTTGTTAAAGATGAGATTTGAAATAGAAATTTATAATATTTTATAATATTTTCGATACTAAAAAAAAAAGTTGAAAATTAAGTGTTTTAAATGTTAGATCTGTGTTATATTTGTTTTATATTTTTAAATCTGGTCTGTGAAAATGATAATATTTTTTAATTGACCTTAACTTTAAATGTAAAATGCATTAGCTGTTTTTTTCGATAAAGATTAATAAAGATAACTTTTAAGTATACAGCATTACTATTATTTAATATTATAAATAGTTTATAACTATATATATTTTAATTGAAATTTTTTTATATATTAAATTATAATAAATTATTTAAGATGAAAACATTGTGTGCATTTCTTAAAACATATATATATTTACAAAAAATCTAAAGATATCCTATCATTATATCTTGATTTCTATCAAGATAACAATCCACATATTAGTTTTAGTTTTAACTATAATCAAAAATAACATAAAGCGTAATACCATATGTAATAAAGCTATTTAAAATGCAGAACTTTAGTAAATTAAAAATATATACATTCCAAAGTATTTTCAGATAGATATAGTTAAAAAAGATTACTAGGAATGTTAAAAAAAGAATAATTATAAAAATGTATTACCAAAAAATATTCTACAATAGGTTTTTTGGTAGGAGGCATAACTGTTGGGTCATGCTTGGCTGCCTCAAAAATTTTATATGATTTTTCAAGATTTTCATCAAGTTCTAAAATAGCTGCAACATTTCCACATCTATAACAATAATTAGGTGCCGACCATATTGTAACTATAGATCCAGAATCAAGTTCATCATCTGGAGTTAATACGCATTCTGAAATAGATGATACTATGTTTAAGCCATTTTCGATATTTTCATTGTTTTCATTATTCCCATTATTTTCATCATTTTCATCATTTTTATCTATGTTTAATTTTTGTAATGGACCATCAAACATAATTTTATAGCCCTCCATAACAAGTTGATGGGCTCTTGCAATCATTTCAATCTGATTAATTCTACAAAAAGATTTTACGACATCTGCACCAAAAAGAAAACCTGCACCTCTTGGAGAAAATGCCCAACCAGAAATATCATCTGGATCTGACCAAAGAAGATCACACATAGGTCCTTCGTGAGGAACTTCTTGTTTTCGATCAATTAACCTTATCTATCAAATTAAAAATTAATGCAATTATCATCATAAGATCCTTTAATATATATATACCTGATCTATTGCTGTTATTGTAGGACTTAATCCTCCATGAACACAAAAAATTTTACCATCAACTATTGCTGCTAAAGATAAATAGTCAAAAACTTCTGTACAATAACGCCAGACATTAGCATTTCCATATTTACGTATGCACTCATCATAAAACCCGTAGACTTGTGTAATTTGTCGTGATTCATGATTCCCTCGAATTAAAGTAATCCTATCTGGATATCGAACTTTAAAAGATAATAACAATAAAAACGTCTCTATTGAATTAAATCCTCTATCCACAAAATCTCCTTTCAAACGTAGGTATAAACCTATATAATATATATATATATCATAATTTACCCATAAATATATAATTAGTATCTGGGCACATCCCTCCAACCTTAAATAACTCCATAAGATCATGAAATTGTCCGTGAATATCACCACATATCTAAAAAATATTACTTTTATATTCAAAAAAAACTTCAAATGAATCTCTTTACTGTTACTGGTGAGTCTATCCATTGAACATTTGCTTCTTCTACTAAAATTTCTCTTGCTTTATAGCATAAAACTTGAATTTGAGACTCAGAAATTAATTTACAATTCTTTAATAACTCAATCCCATGATCCAATTCACTCATATTTAATCTTAATATTTTTTAAAGGTTAAATTTTTTGTATTAAAAAACGTCAAAAAAAAAATTAGACAATATTAAAATAAGACTGAAATTAATATTTAAATCTTATGAAAAATCTTAAAGAAATATCTTTTAAATTTTTATATATTTGTATTATAAATATTATTATTAATAAAGTTTAATTTGCAAGATAATATTTATAAATGTAAATTTTATTTTTCAAGAGAAAAATATGTATTAAATATAGACAAGATTAGAAATTATGAAAAATGTTTTGAAATTTTATATTGATTAGGATGTAAAGATCTATAGTATATATTAATTATAAATTCATTTATTTAATTGTTAAAGAGCAAGATAGTCTAATATTTATATTTTAAAACTAATTAAAAATGTTAAAGAATTGGATAGATAATGTTTAAAAGATATTTATTATATTTGGAGAAAATTTTACAGTTGAAATTTAATTGTTTATAATAAATATGATGGCTAGTTGATAATAAATATAATGGTTATTGGATAATGTTTATAATTTCTAAGATTAAAAATTTATTGAAATGATTGATTATCTAATTTATTAAAATTTAAAATAATAATATTAAGTAGATATTAGAAGCTTTATAATTATTAGAGTTAAAAGTTTCTTTAAACTCCCTTTAAATGTATAAAATGATGAAATTTTATAAAACTTTAAAAATATTTTAATATTTTTCTTTAGATATTTCCAAAATATCAATATATAATTTATACTGTATTCATAGAAGAAATTACGCTAAATTCCATATTTTGAAAATTGCAATAATTTAAATGTATAATATTTGTATTTATCAGATACAAAATACAATAATCATTTTCTTTTCAATACATTTAATATGATTCTGGAATTATTAAGCATTTCTTTTCCTATAAAGCTAATTAATAATATGTGTATATAATATATATATATGTACCTTGAGAAAAAAGAATAACTTTTTCTGCATATTCAGGCAATCCTAGCCATGTTGGTGATTGTCTTTCAGGTAAATTTTGTATCCAATTAAGAAACTCCTCTCTTCTCAAACAATCAGGAATAATAAGATGCTTTTCGACAAGCTCATAATTAAGATTAAAAGATTCAGGTCTAAATATATTTTGAATCATCTTATTAAGTAATTCTAAATCGTTTTCATCATCAAGTCTAGATCCATAGATAGATTCATATAAAAGCAAACGAATAGCTTCCCAAGGTATTTTTTCTGGAGATATATTTGAGCGATGATGTGCAAAATCTTTAATTAACCTATTTATCATCCATATAGCAGATTCGAAATCAGAATCATTAAATTCATATAATTTAGACCATCCTAACGGGACATAACGTAATCTCTCCTGTACTAATGCATGAAACCATGAAAGTAAAAAGTATAAACGATTTTTTTCTATAGGCCTATTATTGAAATATGATACAGGAATCGACCCAAACGTATTTAACATGCTTGCTTTAATTCCAGGTGGAGGCTCAAACACCATTATTCGAGACATTCTAAGAAGATTTATAGGAACCTGTCTCAAACTCATTTCCATTGTAACGAATAAACGAAACTTTGGATGATGTTTAAGATTTTGTAATTTTTTTTCAAGATGATCTAGCCAAGAAGTTGTTAAATGAACATTTTTTAAAAGTATCCATGTGCCTTTTTGACTAGCTAAAATTATTTCTCTATCAGCCTGAGTAAGACCCTCAATTGAACCCATAGTTATAGATTGACAATCGACTGATACTTGATTAACAAAGTTCTCAATCTTATAACTAGCATCATATCCCGGAACCGAACATAAAACAATAGGTGTTTGAGGCGTTGATTCATTCTCGATAAGAGATTTAATATCATAGAAAATATGAGAAAAAATATTTTCTTCAAAAACATCTGTTATAAATTTTTCAATTGCAGGAATTAAGCGATCCATTCGAAACATTTTAATAATAAGCAATTTACGAATATTATTATTTAATGCTAAAAGGTTAGTTTGTTATTTAGTTAAAGATATTTTACTTACGTTCTTCATGGTATTCCCATAATATAGGTACATAATCTTCCGCATTTTCTGCAATTAAAAATAAATTAAATTCTTTTGAATTTTCATCAATATATTTGTCGATATCATAAAAATATGGAACTTTATATTTTTTAATATCAATACTAGATGGATTTTCTGAAAAGTCGTTTTCCGGTATTTCATTAGTAAACAATAATTCGAAGATATTGTTATCAAAACCTTTAATTTCTTTTGTTAAAATTGCAAGTCTTGCAATTAATAATCCGAAAAATATATGATGTTTATGTAATAAAGCCCGTGAAACTTTCTTAAATGTAGTTAACATTATATCTCGTAAAAGAATGTTAATTCTTTTAGAAAAATCTATTTCTTTTTTTAGTTCTGCGTTATTGTTTAAAATATCATAAAAAATATCCTGGAAAAATAATAAAGAAAAATTATAATAAGGTGATATCAAAACCAATTGTTCCATAATTTCAAATATTGAACTACAAAGAGATACTACTGGCTTATATGATAAAGTTATTTGCTCGATCTCTTTAATAATTTCTTCAGTTTCTGACGCTTTTTTAGAAATTTCTGAAGCTTCTTTTTTTAAAGTCTCTAATGTTTTTAAAATAGTATCATTGTTAAGAATATTTCCTTGAGATTCATTAAGGATATTAAGAAGATTCTTTTCAAGATGCATAAGATGTAGTTTAAATTCATTTTGAAGTTTAACTGAATTATTTCTTCGTTGATTAACATCCGGTCTTTCATAATAAAGTATTTTATTTAAACATTGAGATTGAAGACTACTAGTAGTTATTGTAAAATTAACAAAGGTGACTCTACTAGAAATTTCTGGTCCAAAATTAATAGATGAATTCTTTGTCAATAAAAATAATTTAAAAGAAGGAGAAAAATCAATATCCTGCTTCCCAAGTTGAACCAGTATTCTTCCGTTAGTCCTTTGATATTCTTTGTTAAGAATTGGATATAATACCGGATCTAAATATTCCGCATCTTGAATCAAAATAGGATTTCCAAATCTCAATGCGCTTTCTAAATGTTTAACAAATGTATCATCCAAGAAACTTGTTACAGCCAATTTTTTCTCCTTAAAACTCTCGATCAAATACTGGGTAACACAATTAGAAGGATCAATAATTAAAGGATATCGATCCGATCTCTTTAAAATTAGCGCATTTTCTATGCAAAGCTCATCTTGAGGCAATGAATTATTTAACCAGTCAGATTTCTCATCTAAAGTCACAAGATATTCAGAAACAGGATTGTTTTTCTTGATACTAATATTTAATGATTGCAATTGATTCTTCCATTCTGCTTGGATATCTAAACGTGCTTGTTGATCATATATGCCAGCATATGTCAAAAAAGCAGATGAAAGTAATACATCTCCTGCTAAAGTATCAAGTTGATCTTCAAACGTTTGGCTTTCTAACTCCCAGCGATTACGCTCGGAAGAAAGATTATTTAAAAGTTCCAAGCTTCTATCTACTTTTTGTTGTACATGGCTCATTTCCGATTTAATAGTTTGTATATCGCTAATAAGAGTTGCATATTCCTCTTTATATAATATAATGTTTTTTTCAAGCTCTTGAATTGTAGCAATTATATTTTCAACTTTTATTTTATTTTCAGAAACTTGTATTTCAAGATTATTAACTTCCTCGCGTAATGGAGCTACTTTTTCAAGAATAGTAGAATAGTTTACTTGAGCACATACCCAGAGAACTAAAGGACCACATGCTTTACTAGCATGATTTATTATATCAAAAGTAAAATTGGGATTAGAAATATAACATGTTTGCATTTTTGTTCTCAATTCTTTCGTCATTTGTTTATCATTATCGAAATTTAATATATTTGATATAAAATCATCTTTTCTTATTATCCCTTGAACTGTCTTCCAATTATCAAATTTTTGACCAAGAAGAGTACACACAGATTCCATAGTAAGTTTAACTGCTTCAGGCGGATTAGCCATAGATCTTACTTCAGTTAAATGTTGTTTTTTAATACTACTAACTGAACGCTGTGCTTCAATTACAGCTGGTTCTACTTTAGCTAAATCATCAATCACCATTTTTCGTCGAACATTAATTTTTTCTTCTTGAAGATATAAAGATTCTTGAATTTCTAAAGAAGCTATTTTTCTCTCTTCTGCTTCTTTTTGGTCTTCGACAATCCGTTTAAGCTTATCATTAGCTTCTCTATTTTTTAATTCTAACTGCTGCTGTTTTTCTGCTAGTTCTTGTTTCAATTCAAAAACCTTATTGACAGTATTATTCAATTTTTCAATACCAGAATTTAAATGTTGTTGTTGATCCTCCAATTTTTCTCTTTTTTCCATGTAAATTTGAACGAAATTTTGAACAAAACTAATAAAATGTCTAGGAGTGATGTAAATTTTATTATTAAATTCTGAAAATTTTTCATTGAATTCTTTCATTGAATAATGAATAAAAATAATGCAATCAAGAATAGCTTCACGATAAGTAAATGGAGCCTGAAGATAAATAGTACGCGCACTTAAAGGTGAAATATAACTGGGCTTTTCTAGATCCAAAGCACGAATAAGCTCATTAGCTACTTCATAAAAGGCCTGAATAGACCAATCTCCAAGCCAATTTATAATACAACGATTAAATAAAGCAGGAGAAGTTGATACTTTTGCTGATAATCCTTTATCTAAAGGATTCATTGTAAATACTATATGAAGGTTTCTAGAAATCTGTTGAGAAAACCAATTATAAAGCTCATCTTGAGAATCCAAAAGAAGGCCTTCCTTTTGTGTAGCTTCTTTACAGCTTGAAATAAGAGAAGTAAATTCATCCCCTTCAAAAAGACCAGCAATTTCAGAATTTGCAAGTAATGTATTCATTCGTTCTAAAAAAGATGTACTAAGTACATTTGATTCATCAAAGAGAAAACATATTTTCTCTCCTTTGCAACCTACTCGTCGTAAGACATCTCGTAAATCATTATCAAAATCATCAGAAGAATATTTAGAATGAACTTTAATCTGAAATATCTTTAATCCATTCATCCAAGCAACAAAACGAGATAATGTTGTCTATAGAAAATTATATAAAAAACGGATTCATAGATATTACTAACCTTTCCGGAGCCACTAATTCCAATAAAAATTAAATGACCTTGTGTTTGATGAAAAGCTTTATCAATACGAAGAACGTGATTCAAAATATCATCAAACAAAATTAGTGGTACATCAATTTCCTCTTCACAAAAAGTTTTTAAGCGAGCTTGAATGTAATCCCGAAGTAATTCCTTATTTACGGGCATGTAATTTTTAGAAAGCCAATTTGAATATAATATTGGTTTATTGAAAATAGAATCCGATATATTAAGAAAGTATTTTAAAAACATTTCTTTAGAAGTATTTTCAGTCCATTGTCTTTCATCATCAGAAACTAGACGATCTTGAAACAGTTTTAATGATTCATAAAACCAGAAACGAATTAATTCGTCCAGAGTCATAGTTTCCAAAGAAAATATTACTCCATATATATTACGAACCCATCGTGTAAGTTCACGTGGGCTATACACATAATGCATTTGGATATTTGGAGTAAATTTTTGCTGAAATAAAAGATAAAAGTCGACCATTACATATGTAAGCTCCTTATAATAATTTTTTAATTCTGGAATACATTTTAATATAGCTTTATTATACGTTCCATATATTTGTATTAGAGATATTTTTTCGGGATAATCAACCATTATAACAGGAAAATGCCATAAAAACCGATTACTAAAAGCAACTCTTCCAATATCTTCTGGAGGGTTACAAGATCCGATGAACTGTATTCTTTCTAATTTAATCCATGCTTTAATTTTAGAATTCCAAAATTTTTCATGTTCAATTAATTGGCGTATAAAGAAAATAACCCTTTGAGTACCATAAATATCAAGAGAGGGCAAATTAATTTCATCACAGAAAATTATAATCCATTTACCTACTGATCTAGGCCTCATAATGACTTCATGAACAGTTTTTGTATATTCACAGTATTGCTCTAGAGTTTTAATAATTAAATCTGGGCTTGTATTACTAGAAAAATTGAGTACGATTGGTTCTATATTAGAAATTTTTTGGAGCACATTTAACAATATTGTTGTCTTTCCTGAACCAGGAGGACCACACAATATAAACGGTTTATGTTCAAGTAAAAATGAATAAATTAATGATTCATGCCGAAGTGTATCAACTGTAGGAATAACATAATTAGATTTAAAAACTGAATGGATATCAACTTCAACTATAGGCACTTTTGTTTCCCATAAATCCCAGTTTCCGTATGGTAAAGATACATCGTAATCGAGTAAATGTCTATCATTGGACAAAACAGGAAGTTCAGTTGTAGTAAATTGTATTATATATTTTTCGAATTTTTGTCTTTCCGTAAGTTTACAGTCTCCAGAAAAACTCCATATAATATATAGCAGTAATTTTTTTGATATATAAGCTTCAATATTTTCATTAGTTAAAGGAAAATCTTCATGTTGTGAATTATATCTTGCCAATTCCTTACACGCTGCATGTATAAATGTAAATAACGTATTTAAAGACCTTATTGGAGTAAAACTCATTATGTGATCTAAATTTTGAGCATATTCAATTGCTTGAATAATAAGCCCGTTTTCTGAAAAAGGTATATTCAAAATATCTATAACAATTTTTTGAATAGTAAATAAATTCGAAGGGCCAACAGAAAATGTATTATCATCCTCAAACTGTTCGAAAGTTGAAGAGCGTAGTAAATTCAAACGATTATGTAAAATCATATTTGGTTTAACTGTTTGTTCATCAAACCAAATCATACCACATCTGCTTATAGTTGCAAGAGTTGCATATTTTAAAGACTCTACTTCAAAAATAATTCGTATATTATCAGAAATACTTAAACGTTCACCGTCTGGTAAAGTTAAAAGTTTGTTATCATCTAAAACACTATATGATATTATTGAATATACAAATTAATATATATATACTTTCCTGTTTAAATTTTCTGCCCATTCAGGATCAATATCCCCATCAAAAATAATCCAATGTTTCTTAAATTGCTCTCCGCGTAAATTATTGACTATTTTTCTAATAATACTAGTAAATAAGCCATCTGTCCATTCACGTGTTATAGAATCAAGATTTCCATAAAGAACTTCTTTAGAAAAAACTTTAGGGTCTATAATATGATATACGAATTCCGTTCCATTAAGATTTTCCAAACTTTTTAATAAAATACGCCAAGCTTTTGATTTCCCTGTTCCCGAAGAACCAACCATTATTATACCATAGTGAATACATTGAATCTGATACAATTGCAAAATCTTGGTTATCCATTCATCATCAAGAAATAAATTCTGAATCGAAGAAACTTTCCTAATTTCCTCCTCTAATTTAGAAAGATCCGCCGGAATATAATTCACATTTGGAAATAATGCCTTTTCTATACTAATCAAAAGTTAACAATAAACAAAAAACATGCAATATACTTCATTAAAGGATGTAAATCGTTTTTTATCAATTTTGGCAATATTGTTCTTCTTAAGCTTTGAACTATAATTTCCGTTTCTAATATATCTTTAACAGCATTGTTCTCTTTTCTATTTTGGATCATAGACCTTTTGATATTCCCAGAAATAATTAAGACACCTTTTAGTGCTCTGAGTCCAAAATCATAATGAGATTGAAAAGATAATTCGGTACTACATTTTTCAAAAAATGGTACAATATTGGATGCAAGCTCTTTAGCCATAGAAAATCCTTGAGAATATAATGTAACCTGAGCAATTGTTTCTTTATCAGGTCGTGTCATAGATATACTTCGAAAAAGTTTTTTTAAATTGTCAGGAAGATTTGATCTTCCTGCATATCCAGGATTCATTGTTATAAAAATTCCTGTTTCTGGATGTATCTTAATTTTTTTGTCAACTAATTCAACCTCAACGTGTTTGTTTTCTTCGTTATTTTTTAAACCTAGCTGAATAGTTTGAATTTGCTGGGAAATTGCACTAAGAATCTTTTCTTCTAAACGGTTAAATTCATCAAAACATCCCCATGCGCCAACTTGACAGATTCCAAGAAATATTCTTCCTATTGCTTGAAAATCAAATGTACTATCACAACAAAATACTAATACAAATTTTCCTAAATGTGCGCCTAAAGCTTTTACTGACTCTGTCTTTCCTAAAATAAAGTTAAAATATAATAAGTTATATTATTTAAGAACCTGTTCCTGCAGGACCAAAAGGAGATCCACCGAGCTTTTGCTTTAGTGCTTGCGTTAGGGTAAGAAAACATTTATCATTTAAAGGAGTTTGGACTAGTCTATCTGGTATACCAAGATATTCAAATCCATAATCAAAACTAACATTCCCTATTAAAACTTGAAGACTTTTCGGATCGGAATAATCTTTAAGAGTAAATCTCATTTGATACTGCCATCTAAAATCATTTACAGAAGTAACATTGTCTTTTAATAACATATTTATTACATTTTTTTGATGGACTAAATAAGTAATCATATTTTCTGATTTTTTACGTTGTATAGTATTGATATCATTAACCACCAACGTAGTTAGTATAGTTAAAAGAGTGTCGATATAAAACAAGTTATCCTGTAAATTTTTTTCACTCATATTTGAATTGGATAATGCAATTTCTACATTTTTAGTCCAAAGAATTTGTAATGAAAGAATGATTATTTGAGAAGGGTACTTATCAAAGAAATCAAGTAAATGAGAACTTTTTAATTCGAGACTCCCATATAGGTTCCCAAAATCATTTATGGCAATTATTAATAAGTCTGAAAGTGTATCTTTAACGGAAATATCTAATAAATCGAGCCATTCGTTAATTTTTTGTGTCTTAAGTAAATTTATAGGTGTTTTTAAAAAAACAATTTCACCTTCTTTTGATGAAAATCCGGTAATTACTGTAGAATCCTTATCTAAAATTAAATTATGTATTCCAGAAAACATTTTACAAAAATGTTTTTGGATTCTATTAATATCCTTACTATTCCCAATCATCTCTAATAAATCTTCATCTCCAATAAAATAAAATCGAGGGAATAAAATGCGCTCTTTTTCTAAATATTCGCCCAATGCTTTTTGAATTTTTTGAAGCAAGTCTAATAGTCTTTCCATAGATTTATGGATATTTGGAATTGCTAACACATCAAGAACAGAAGGTGATTTGCAAACCTTTTTCATTATTGCAAGAAATTCCGAGCTTATATTCTGAAATCTTTGTGATTCTATAGGTAATAAATGTTTGATATCGGTATTTCCTGAGAAAATTCCTTCTAAATAAACCCACTGCCGTTGAACATCTGACCATATATCAAATAAAATATGTATTTTATTAAGACGATAATCCCAAGAAGATGCCTCTTCTTGGAACATCTTATAATATGGAGAGTTTTTCATAGCCGAAAGAGAATTAAGATTATCGATACATTTTGTAAAAAGATCGTCCCAATTATTAATTAATTTAGAGACATTTCTATAGTTAAGCAGATTTAGATAATAATTTGACCATGTTTCACGAATCTAAAATATTAAATGGAGATAATTCTATTAATTAAACGTACATTTTTAAGAAATTCTTCTAATGCCATTTCCCCGCGAGCTTCGGATATAATATTTTTGATAATATGTTCATTATTTATGAGATTCAACTTCCAAACATTACCTATATTAAGAGAAGAAAATCTAATGGGTTCTTTAAGCTTAAGAAGCTTAAAAAGTTTTTCCCAATGTCTTTCTTTCATAGCTTCGATTTTAAGTTCTGATATAAGAGAATTAGCTTTGATATACTGGCGAAGCAAATTTTGCATGTGTTCAAAAGCTAAATATTGTCTCATAGAACTAGGCATCTCTTTTGTGGTGTTTAGCAATTTATCTAAAGATTGTCGAATTTTCCTTGGAATAACAATGTTCCAAGGAGTTTCCATTAGCTCATTTAAAGATTTCCAGAGTGTGTTAATGGCAGACCAGACTGATTTAAAATCCAAAACTTCTTCTAAAATGGCAGAAATTATATCTTCTCCGTTAGTATCAAGGTTAAGGGCTTCTTTGGCCTTTAGAATAGATTTTTTTTCGTTGCCTATTTGATTGATTTTTGATTCAAATATAGAAAGTGTATTAAATACTGATGATGGGTCAAGATCTCCTGAAACAGGCTTTTGCTCATTCCAGTCGTTAATAATTAGAGATATTTTTGAAGAAACAATCTGATCCTGTGCAATTATCTTTGTTTTTAAAACATCTAAAATTAATTAGAAATATAATTAAACTAAATTATATACCAATATGATCGGTTATAAGTTTATCTTTACGACTCAATATATCAGATAACATTCCCCATTCTCCTTCGATTTGGTCAATATAAACCCAGTCATTATCAAAATGATATCTTTGTCTAGACAAGATTATTTGACCCTGTTGATATAGGGAAACAAGTTTTTTATATTCTTCCATTTGTTTTTTACATTGCTGGACATTAGAAATAAAAGAAATAGTTTCTTCTGTTGATCCTTCAAGAGATTGAGATTCTAAAGTATGTCTCATTTTAGTTATTTGAACGTAAAACTCTTTCATGTTATCAGAAAGTTGCGTAGAAAACTTATTCAATATATCTTTTTGCCAAGAATCATATTTAGCATTTATTCTATTTTGAACTTGTTCATAGTCCACAATTAAAAATCCAAAAGAATGAGAGGTTTTTGTAGTATCAAAAGTGCAACGAGATTTTTGGATTTCTCGTAAAATTTGTAGCCATTTTGATAAATCATTTCCGAGAAAATTATAAACATGATCTAGATGTAAATCCCAAAGTGATTGAAATTGCAACCATTTTTCAACATAAGCATTTACTTCATTAAGAACTTTAAGAATAGAAGAATATGTATTAGATAAATGAGGGCTGTATATTTTTGAGAGCTACATATATACATAATTAATATTTGATAAATAGATAGAATATCTTACAAGGTATTTGTATGTAGAAGTTTCTGAGTTTTGATCAATAGATGCATCAAGATCAAAATTTATTTGATATTTAAAAGCGAAGATTTTTTTTTGATTACATGCGATGTCTATAAAAATTTAATCTATGAGGATAAAATATTGTTTTTTACTTATCCAGTTATGAAAATTCCTGAACCAAAATGATTTAGATAATTCGATAGAGGGCTCTAAAGATATTAATTGATTACGGATATGAATTTTATATATAAATTTCTCAAATTTCGGAAATGTATGATTATCATAGTCTGAAGAACAAGAATTTATATAATCTTTTTGCTCTTTTTCAAAATTTGAATCAGCCGTTTTAAATGATATAAACGTTTTAACCCATATTTGAGCAGATCGAATGATTCTTTGTATTAATATATTCTCTATTTTAGAATTAAGATCGTTAACCCAAAAACTTAAATTGGAAAAGTTTTCAAAATTTAGAAGATCAACCTGCAATGTTATTAAATTTTTTCATAAAAATAATAATAATACTTCTTTTTGAATATTTTCAAGGATAGAACTAAACGCTTCTTGATCATAAGCACATGTATTTAAATTTTCTAATTCTTTAAAAATAATATCGTGAGATTTCAATAAGATATTTATTTTTTCTTGAAATGTTGAAACTGATTTAGAAAAATCCTGTACAAAAAGAACATAACGACTTTTGCGAGGTAGACTGTTATGCTTTTCAATATTAGTATAATCTAGAGATCGTATATGACTATCGTATGAATGAATAAAAGATTCCCATTTCAAATTCATTCCTTTTGAGATAAAATTTTGTATATCATTTTGATATCCAGCAAGTAAAATAGAGGTATTGTTTATGTGATGTATTTTTTCATTAATTTGGAGATAATTTCGAAGAGTCTCCGTTAAGCTTACAACATATGGATAAAGTCTTTTGGCTTCTTTTGAAATACTATTTATAGAATGAGGTATTGAGAAATTCAACCACAAAAGATTCCGGACTTCTTTGAATAATATAATAATTTGATGATCAAAATTGACAACCAATTCTAATGTATTATCTAATGTACGCTTTTTAATTATCTTAAATAATCTTCCAGTTATTGAAATTTTTTTTTTTGATATATCATGAAGCCATGCTTCATAAATCTATCCAATAAAAATTAATTTTTAAAAATTAAGTAATCATACCTTATATGCATTAAGTTTATTTTTAAATATGGTAGTATCTGACTGTAATTTTTGGGCATCGGTATATAATTCCCAACCTTTACCAAGAACATTTTCAATATTTTTCATGTAGGTATCTAATTGTCGTTCAATTTGTCTTGCCCATATAATAGCACCTGAAATTGGAGGAATGTCATATAGTTGTGCCATTAAATACGATTCCGAATTACTATACCGCTTTTTAAATCGTTCATGCAAGTTAGTTATATCAGATTTAACATTATTAATAAGCTGAATCTGATATTCCTGAATAGCCCCGCGAATTTTTGGTCTAATGAATAAAGGATTAAATTTAGAAAAAACTATAAACATTTCCTTAGAGGTTTTTGCTGCACTCAGTTTATCTCTTAATCTATTTATAATAGTATTTTCAATTCTAGAAATTCGATCATTATAATTATTTTCTGTAATTATCCACTGTCTTGTACCCTCCGGAGAAATGTCTAGTACATCTATAGTTTTTAAAAGTGAATATGATTCAGAAATCTCATTCATAATATTTATATCTCTAATTCCATCAAATCTTGTGTAATTCTCATCAGAAGATAGTTTAGATGTTTCTAAAACATCGAAAATTGTACTTCGCAATTGCTCATGCCCTTGTCTAAATGTTTTTATATACGCTAGCCTTTCTTGGGTTTTAATATGTTGTGAAGTAATTTTTATAGGAATAAATTTTTCACTACGTTTTCGAGTAACATCTCTTGCCATATTTGTAAATTCTTTTAATTGATCATCCCATGTTTTGAAAACCTCGTCGGCTAATCTCATCAGCTTTATAAAATGCATATATTCAAGATGCATTAATTTTTGGCTACCAAGTAAACTTTGAATACGGGTATTTAGATCCGAAGAAATAGCTTCCACCAATGGCAAAACTCTGCAAATAGGATAAGGACAAATCCTAAGTTTCTTATTAAGATGATTAAATATTTGAAAGATAGATTTTTGAACTTTATCTAATGAAGTTGCCGATAAAAGTTCATTTAAAGGGAATTCTTTCATTAATTGGTTATATTTATTAACTTTTGTAATTAAAATAAACTTTTCAGAGAAAATTAAAATACCTTTTTCATTGGCTTCTTTTAGGCCCGTATCAGCTGTAAAACTTACTGTAGTATGGAATCGTTTAGCTTGCTTTAAAATTTCTAGAGTTAAGACAACTCCATCACTTTTAAGCTGCTCTTCAATATTTTGCAAAGATGCTTCCATATTCAACCAAAAATTTATTTCTTGTGATGCTGATCCTGATGTTGGATCATGTGAAATTCTTGTAATTGTTTGAATAGACTTAATCCAAGAGTTAACATTAGACTGAAGATTATTAAGAAATGTGCTATCTGTTAAAAGATTATTCGGAAAATTTTGTATTAAAGGTTGCATGTTTTGTTTATTAGCCTAAAAAGTTTAAAAATACATTAAAATATTATTTAAATACTTCAAGAACAAATCTCTCCACTTCTGGATGAATCGTTAAAGATATGTTCGGTATTTCAATATCTTGTTGTAGATCTAATAATGATAATTCTAATTCTGCAATTTTCTTTTTTGCTGCAGGGATCCCTGTTTTTTTAGATATAAAACACATGAAAGAAAATCTTAACCTGTTCTATATTCATTGTTTAATGATTTTGTGTTTTCTTGTCCTTTCTCTCTCTCCTTCGTAAATGCATCAAAATATGGTGAAATTGCTGAATGAATTAACGTATGTAAAGCTTTATAAGGCACCAAAGATGTAGACGATACTTCATCTCGGAACCATCCTGGCATATTAAGCAATTGTAACTGATTTTCAAGCGATATTGTCAGGTTAACTTGTTCATAGCGTTTAATTAATGCAAGTATAGCTGTTGTCTGTACACAAGGAGATAGTTCTAAATCAAAATGATAGCTGTATGAAACATCATTATTTCCTATCCTTTATAAACTTAAAAAATAGTAAGATCTTAATTGTCACCCAAACCATCTACTGAATTTTCTTTAACATTTTTTATAATATAAAGTACTGTTAATGTTGTGTCTGAGATAAATTTTTCACACTTATATAAACAATCATTAGAGGACAAAATGTATTCATCTATATCATGTTTGTCTCCATTTAAAATTACTTCTACAACCTTTGATAAAAAGATAATTAAAGGTTTTAAATCATAAGTTAAAACATAATTAGAATCTTCAAACTGAATAGATGATATTGTATATTCAGCTGACATGTCAAGACATCTGCTTTATTAACCAGATTAAAATATGGAGCGAGTATGTCTAAAGATTTAATTATTAAATATAATATACGAATTTTTAAAATTTACGTAAAATATACTAAAATTAAATTTTTAAAAAAATATATATTTTAAATAATATAATTATAATATGTTTAAATTAGATATTATCGAGTTGAATTGCATCTGGATTATTTATAGAAAATGATTCAGATTGTGTAGATAAGTCTAAATTTTGATTTCCAATAGGACCTGTAGATGAGCTGTGTTTTTATAAGAATATATATATAAATAATATATTTCAACTTCCCTAACAAATCCGGAGAGAATCCCTGATTTTTCTAATGAAGCCATTGGGTCATTGTTAGATTCAAGTGTTTCTGAAGTAAAATGTGTAGTAGTTTGGTTAGGGATATAGCTAATATTCATACTAAAGGATAAAATTAGTAATAAAGATATAGATAATGGAAGGGTACTTGTATTCTGCTTGAACACTTCTTTTAATTCGTAACATTTCTGCATATGTTTCTTCATTGCCATGTTTTACTTCAAATTCATGCCATATTTTCCAAAATGAAGGTTCTATTCTAGGATCACAGAATTGTGATGCTATAAAAATAAGTAAAATATTTTAGTATAAATGTTTTCTACCATGAGCGTAAATTGCACGAGCTCTATCTATTTCTCCTATTGATCTTTCCATTTCTGCAAACTTTAGACACATATCTTTTGCCTCCTTATCAGGAAGGTATGTTATTGCTCTAATATGTTAGATTAATATGCATAAAATAAAACATTACTTTTCATATATAGGTCTTGTTGACGTAAGTCCGTAATTTATAGCTAACTTAGTTATATAATATTTATACATCTTTTATAATTAATAATTGGAAAAAAGTATAGTTTAATCCTACATCTGCTCTATCTTCTGTAGAAACGGTTTCCGTGGCTAATAAAGATGCTTAAAAATATATATGAAAAATAATATATATACCTTGATCATATATACGCATTGCATGTCTCATTAGTCCATATTTTTCTTCAAAATCACCATACATTAAAAAAATTGGTTTAGATAAATTTGGAGGGCATCCTTTAAGAGATTGTTCAAAAAGATCTCTAGTTCTCTCAACCTTTGTACCATTCTAATATTTAATTAGATCTATTTCTGTTGTCAATAGAACTTACATAACGTTTCAGAAATTTGGTCTATTGTTATTAATAATATTATTAATATTGAAAAAGAAAACTTACTAAATATAAGTTCCAAAGTTCAAACGCGACAGGATAACTAAACAATTCAACGCCCCTTTCAAAAATCTATAATGTTTTAAATAATTTATTAAAACTATAAATTTAGCTACTTTGAAACTTTCTTCAAAATATTTGTTTTCTTCAAGAAAATTTGCATAATTAACTATAGTCTGAGGTGTAGCGATTTTTAAGGATAATATCTTATCATACACAGCTCTTGTAGAATCGATTGTCCCAACACTTTCTTCAAGATCAACATAAAACATCCAAAGTTTCGAAGACTTATGAATGCGTTGTTGAGGAGTTAATGTCTAGATTAATTACTACTTTTAAACAAAACAATGTTCAACACACCTCATCGAAATAATCAACATTGCTTCTTTCTGGGCAATTGGTTGCTTTCTTCATGATTTTTATGGCTTGATCAAAATTATTACTTCGAAGTTCAAGTTCTGCCCATTCACACCAAACTTCTGAAAGTTCATTTACACTTTTAAATGGTACCATAACGCCTTTTTCCATAATTAATCTTGCAGTATTTAGATCATTATTTTGTTCGTAAAACTTTGCAAAATTAATGAAAAGTGAACTAAGTTTTCCCACTGCCTTTTTTGGTTCTATAGTTTTAATAGCATTTGTGTATGTTTCTATAATTTTTTCGTTATTGTTACCCCAAAGTCCAACTCTTTTTTCCCATTCAATGACATTATACGGATTTTGTCTAAGTAATACGTCATTTACGAGAAATGGACGTCGGTCCATTAATTGTTCAAACCGGATCATTTTAATATCCAAATCTAAATCATCATTTGAGTTTGTGTCCTTGGATTTATGTCCCTCTTCCATTTCTTCTAAAGTTTGAGATATAATAGATTCTTCAAATTCTGCATATGCATCAAAAATTTGGGTAAAATCTCTAACAGTGACAACAGTAGTCATTCCTTCTTCAAAAATATCTCGAGCCTATTATTGTTAAAAATAATATATACAAATACATATGTATAATGCCTTTTCAAAATCGCCTATTGTAATAAAATATGTAGCTAAACTGGTAAAAAAGCTTCCCTGTTGATCAGTAAAGCGTCTTATTGCTGATCTCATGATCTTTTCTACTAATATTCCATCAATTTTATCGCCATGTGTTGTTATAAGTTTAGAAAATTCGACCCAATAGTGAAAATTACTTTTTCCTTCTAATGATTGAAATTTTGGATTATTAAGCAATGCCATATACTGGAATGCTGCTTCTGTGTAATACTCCATGTCTAATAAAAGCTGTATAAATTCTTCAATCATCTCTGGAAAAATCTGATTTTTTAGTTATAACAAATAAAAAAAAAAACCCTATACCATAATATAACGTTTCCAAACTTTAACTGCTGTTTCTCCCGATACTGACCGAGAAAATTCCTTATATAATTTCCATATTCTCTCATGCTGTGTAACTGGTAATGTTTGAAGTGCTCTATCAAATGTTCGTCTAGTTTTTGTAATTTTACATTGTTTCATTAAAAATTCTAAATAATCCATCCAAATCCGAGGCATCTATTAATCAATATCTTAATTCCTCTCAATAAAAATATATATAAATACTTTGTTAAGCAAAACTAAAGCTTTTTCATAACAAACATTCACTTTTTCGTATTCTTCCTCATATTTAGCCGGGTTAAGTCCTTCTACATGACATTTTCGCAGATTTAAATACAAACGCCATAATTTATAGCTCCTAGGAAGATCCATACATGCTCTTTCACAGACAAATACTTGTTGATGAATTGGATCGCCCTCTTTATGTTCAATATATCTTAACCATGATTTTATAGAAAATGGATTCCTAAGAAGTTCTTTTTCATACTCAAAATCTTCTTCAGAAATAAGGCAAGAATCAATATTAGATGATAATATCTTTTTTTTGTTATTATTTAATAAGGCCTGTGCCATTTTTATTACATCTAATTTAGATATATTCTGAGCGATGGAGTTGAAAAATAAATATATAAATACAAAAATATATAAGAAATTAGAAATATATTAGAATATGTGTATTTAATGTAATATTTAATAGGAATTTAATAGTTTCAATGCAAGATTTTCATGATCTTGAAGTGTATCAAGATGTTCGATTTCTATAATCGAAGAATCTTTTGAATTATTTTTGTCAAGGTATATTTTTTGCCTCTTTGCCTGTATAAGTGAATGATTATCATTGGATGATGATTCGAAGTCAGTATTGTTGTCAGTGGAATTTTGTGTGATATTTTTTCTTTCGATTGCTGAAGTCTTTTTTCTTTTTTGGTGCCTTTTTTCTTTTGTTTGTATTTTATCTACAATGTCGTTTTGTATCATTTTTTTTTCTTCCTCTTGAAGATATTTTTTCTTTTGATCATCAGCAGTACCTGCTTTATGAAATGATGTTTCGTCCTGAAATTTATAAATATTAGATACATTTCCCTGATCGTCATATATTAATTTTGTTCCTTTAGGGCGATACTTAAGCATTGCTTTTTTTGACAATGCAATTTTCTGTTTTCGCTTTGAAAGCGCTATAAAGCACTATATATGTTAATTGGTAATAATCAGGATGTTTACAAACATTTTCCAAAGGTTCTTCATTAAAATTATTATCTACCTTTTTAACTTTTATAAAGTCATCATTGTCAGTAGAATTATGGCTAACTAATAAATCATTGTCTTCTTCTATCATCTTTCTGTAATGTTCTGATATAACATTTTGATTTGTACGTTTAAACATTTTATCATATTTAGTTTTAATTGTTTCTTTCTTATCAATTTCATCGTTTTTCTGCATATTTTTATCATTTGAGTATTTTTGTAACTCTCTAGGTTTATTTTTTAAAATTTTACTATTTAAGCTTTGTAAAAATTTAATTTTTGGAACACCTAAAAGTCCCATTTTTGATGAAAATTCCTCAATAGATAAATCTTCAAATTTGAATACTTCTTTATCCTTTTGAAGATAAATGCTTTTTAAATAACTTATAAGAGCCTATATGTATTAATAAAAAAGTTGGTTAAATACTCAAAATTGTTACTCTTTGTCCTAAATATTTAATTTCAGGATCTTTAAAACAAATATGTTGAAGTTGTTTTGAAATATTAATTTTTTTGGAATTTCTTATTTTAATTTCTTGCATTTGCACTTTTTTTTGCTTTAGACGTTCTAATATTTTTATTTCACTTGGACAAAGAAATATAAGTGCTTTTCCACTTTTATCATATCTTGCAGTCCTTCCTACTCTATGAATATATGTATCGGCATCTTCAGGACAATCAAACTGTAAAACCCAGTCGACCATTGGAAAATCAAGTCCACGAGCTACAATATCTGTACAAAACATAACAGCATGTTTTGCTGTAAAAAATTGAGTTGTTATAAGATTTCTTGAATGTTGTTTTTTTCTTCCATAAAGATGTAGGAGTGGAACACCAGGTTGTAAATGTTTAAATGTTTCATAAATAAAACGTACCTAAATAAAAAATAATTTTAATGTTGAAAACTATAAAAGTTCATTGGAACCTGTTTAATAGTGCTCATAAAAACTAATGTTTTCGATTTTAAGTGTGTTTTTATGAAACTAAAAAGAATATTAATTTTCTCATCCAATGGAATAATAGAATAATATTGCAAAAGTGTTGGAGGAGTAGAACTATTTTCCTTTTCATGAACTGCTATATAATCTGGATTTTTAAGGGATATTCTAGATAGATCTTTAACACTTTTTGTTTGAGTTGCACTAAAAAGTAATGTTTGTCTATTCTTTGGCAAATTTTCAATAATAGAATCAATAGTTTTTTGAAATCCCATGTCTAAAATACGATCGGCTTCATCTAAAACAAGCATCTGAAGTTTATCAACATCAAATCCTGATGTTTGATCCATATGTTGAAGGATTCTTCCTGGTGTACAAACCATAATATTCATTCGTGATATTCTCTGTGCTTCTTCTTGCAAATCTTTCCCTCCAATTGCAAGGCCTGCTGAAAAACTATGCTTTCTGCCAATCTTACATAAAACTTTGAATATCTGTGTCGCCTAATATACTTTTATTAACAAATATATCTTCATTTAATACTCTACCAACTCTCTAGTTGGTGAAATAATTAATGCACCAAGTCCATCATAAACACCCCATTTCCTTCTAAATAGATTTTCTAGAACCTAAATATCAATTTCTTCTTTCATTTTTATAAATTTTTTACTGGAACTAAAAATGCTATAGTTTTGCCACTTCCTGTCCTTGAAGCTCCTAAAATATCTCTACCACTAAGAGCAATAGGAATTGCTCTTTTTTGAATTGTTGTAAGCTTAAAATAATGATTTTCCTTTAACCCTATAATTTTTAAACATTTTTTTTCTTATGAAAAATAAACCTAATAATTAACCTTCTGCTGTTTGCTTTGATAATGGAAGTTCTGAAAATAATCTTATATTTTTTGAACTATCAAATTCATTAATACGCTTTTCTAAATCTTCTAGTTCTTTAAGATATTTTTCTCTTAAGATTTCTCTTAATTTTTTAGACTTTTTTATAGGCATTCTTAAGATTTATTAACGTATTTAATAATTTCTTAACGATTAAGCTTAAATTTTTTAATTAAAACGTTAAAATTTATAGCATTTCTTAATAATGACAAATGTTAATGAAATAGATAAGATTTTAGAAAATGAAGATGCAGAATATGCGAAGGTTTAGTTAAATTATTAAGGTTTTTTAAGTTAATATTTTATAGGATCAAGAAATTGAAAGAATTTTGAATGCTTTTAGACTGGATGCATATTCTGTCTTGGATCTTCAGCCAGGAGTAAGCACTAGTAATATTCAAAATGCATTTCGTAAAAAGTCACTTTTAATTCATCCGGACAAGACAAAAAATCCTAAAGCTCCAGATGCATTTGATCGTCTTAAAAAGGCGGAATCAGAGTTAATGGATCCTAAAATTCGTGAGAGATTAGATACGGCATTTGCTACAGCAAGACGTATGCTAATACAAGAGCGTAAATGGACACTGGATCATCCAGAATTAAATACAGAGGCATTTCGAATAGAAGTACGAGAAAAAACAAAAAGTGTGTTGATTGAAGATGAACTTCGAAAAAGAAAAGCTCGTCAGATTAAAATGGCAGAAGAGGGAAGGGAAAAAAAACGTCTTGAAGATGAAGCAGAAGAACGGAAACGAAAAAAAGAATATGACAAGGCTTGGGAAGAAAATCGGGAAAATAGAATCAATAGTTGGCGCGATTTTCAAAAAGTAGGTCCTCAAAAGAAGAAAAGACAAAAGCAGAAGGTTCTTGGTTAATTATTTGCGATTTAATTAGATTCTTAATAATAAATCAATTTATTGTATAAAGTATATTAACAAAAATTCTCGTATTAATTCTTTTTTCGAAGACTGGAGTTATTTTATTTCAAATAAAAAACATATTGGCGCCGTTTTTCATAGGAAAAGAATGAAAGATTTGATTATTTAATCTATACGTTTCGTCATACAATATAAATATGATCTAAATACTTGGTTTTTCAAAAATATTGGTATTAATGTAAATTTTTCTCTATTAAGTATTACTTTTACTGTGTTTTTATTTGATATGATATTTTTAAACATGATAATTTGATGGTCATGATTAGGATATATCTATTCTATAATATAACTCGTTTATTGATGTATTAACTATGAATGTAGTTACTTGATTGTTTCAAAAACAATATTAATTGTTAATTTAAAATTATTAATACTTTATTATTATAAATCTCGTAAGGTTTTAAAAAATTATTTATACTATAAAAAATAATGATATATAAGAAATTATAACTTTTATTTTCTAATAATATGGAATTAGAGAAGGTTCCTGTTTCTACAGAAAATAATGAATTTTCATATGTACCTACAAATGGATCACTTTATCCACCTTCAGAAACTATTTATATCCGTAACTTGTCAGAAAAAGTAAAAATTGACGGTAATATTGAATGTTATGATACTTTTAAATGTTCTTATATGAGTTTAGTTTTGAAAAAATCTTTAGAGGCAGTTTTTTCATCATATGGTACTATTTTAGATATTGTTGCGCATAAAAATATACGAATGAAAGGACAAGCGTTTGTTGTATTTGATTCTATTAGTTCTGCTCAGAAGGCAATTGCTGATGTTCAAGCATTTAAACTTTTTGATAAGCCTATGGTTTTGCAGTTTAGTAAGACAAAAAGTGATGCAACAGTTAAAAAGTTTGGAACTCTGGAAGAATTTGAAGAACATAAAAGACGAAGAATAGAAAAAAAGGGTCTGATATTATATTCTTTTTATATGTTTGTGTTAATATTTTTTCAAAGTGAACCGTAAAGTAATTCAAGTAAAAGCGCCCCAGACTACTACTACAAAGAAAAATGTTAGTAAAAAGGTTACTCAAAAACAACCTACAATACCTGATGAATATTTGCCTCCACATAAAGTTCTTTTTCTTCAAAAGTTGCCCGAAAATGTTACAGCAGATGTTTTATCTGCTGTATTTGGACGTTTTTCTGGTTTTAAGGAAGTTCGTATGGTTCCTGGAAGGGCTGGCATTGCATTTGTTGAATATGAGAGAGATGAAGATGCAATTGTTGCTAAACAAGGAACTGTTGGTATGTCTTTGAGTGGATGTGTCATCTCTGTCAATTACGGACGTAAATAAATCTCAGATTCTCAGATTTTTAAATTCTCTTTATATTTTTTTATTACAAAATCTATTTAGAAGGATTCAATATACTATTATAGTATACAATATTTTCAAAATTTTGTTGCATTTTATAACTATTATTCTTTATATATACTTTATATATTTTCAAAAAAACAAACTTTTATATGTTGAATTTCTAATATAAAAATTAATATTTAAATAACTTGAAACTGACTGTTTGACTCTTATTTTTATACTTTTTTGTTTCTCGTCTAATTCATAAGAATTAATGACTAAGGCTACGATATCCGACTTATTTCTCTAGAATTTAATATTTAAACGTTTATAAGCTATGGGCGATCAAAGTCATAGGGAAAATGTCTTTCCAACAAGACAGTAAGTCGTTTTACTGAGTAATATCAGCTAAAAGATGGAAAGGTCATTGGGTATAATGAAAACTAAGTTGAAAGGAGCAATTACAGGACATTCTTTGCTTAAAAGAAAATCAGAAGCACTTTCAAAACGGTTTAGGACAGTTATTGGGTTAATTAATGATGTAAAGAGGGAAATGGTACAAGCTATGCAGTTGGCAGCGTTTTCGCTTGCAGAAATGAATTACGTGATGGGAGATGATGTTAAATATCAGATTTTTGAAAATACACAAACTTCTTGTTGTCGTTTAAAAACGAAATACGAAAATATTAGTGGTGTGTTCTTGCCTATTTATGAATGTTCAATGCGAAATATAAATGGTATTTGCATACTTTTCAAGACTTTATATAGTTATAATGAATATTAGACCATCGATTTATTGGTCTTGGAAAAGGTGGACAAAAAGTTCAGAAATGTCAGGAAATGTATACTAAAGCTATTGATGTTCTTGTTAGGCTTGCTTCATTGCAGGTTTTATATTGTTATGAAAGATATGAAAGGGAATTTATGAAATCTAGACAGCCTTTATTATCCTTGACGATGTGATTAAAATAACGAATCGTCGTGTTAATGCTATTGAATATGTTATTATTCCAAAAGTTGAGAATACAATCAAATATATTAACTCGGAACTTGAAGAACTTGAACGAGAAGATTTTACAAGACTTAAAAAAGTCCAAGTCAAAAAAAAGGTAGATATTGAAAAGGAAAATAAAGAAAAAGAGCAAATGAAAAAGGTCATAATGGTGAATGTTCTTGAAAGTAATGAGGATACCGATATTATTTTTTAAATATTTTCATAATTTTATGAATTTCTATAAAATCATGGTGTATTCATTTATACATGAATAAGACTCCAAAAGTATTTGTATTTCCTTGTATATAAATAATTGTTTGTCATATTCAATTTTTCATTAATTAAATGATTAATGTTTTCATGTTATATATAGCAGCGTTTGTATAGTTTTTTATTATTCGACATTTATTTAATCTTTATAAATGAGTTGTATTACATTCATAATTAGATAGTCAGAAATCATCTTTAACAATGGGAAGACCACATGGCAAAACCATTTTTTCAATCATATTTAACCGAACTCGTTCTCTACTATCATTACTTGCAACTGCAAAAAAATTTAACATATGAGGATGACCAAGGTATGAAGCATATGAGTCTCTATGCTGATTTGCAATCCATTCACTAAATATTGTTTTTTTTTTTCTATAAAAATCTAATAACCTACTATTTTGTTGTATCCGCATGTCCTGTTCCAACATACTTTTGTTGAAGTTGTTCAAGCTGAGATTGAATTCTAAGCTTATCTGCCTAGAATATTAAATGTTAGTATGCTAATTCATGTATTTTTTTAATATTTTCACCATTTTAAATTATATATATATAATTAGTTTTGATATAATTTTATCAAAAAATTAAGGGACACATTAACATTTTATCTTAATATTCTTCTATAAAAATTTATTTTTTTATTTATAAAGTTAAAAAACTATAGAAATGCCTAGTTAACTCAAGTATTTTATATAAAGCTTATTTGGAATGGCATTTTGGCGGACAACGGCATGGCGTACGAGATTAACTACATCCCTTTTTTATGCAACAGCCATGGCTTCTCTTTTAACAGTCAGTCTTTCATCTATAATTCCTTGTCCTGCCTATACACGTGGGTCTAAAGTACAAAATATGGATACAGAAATAGATTCAAAGGAAGAAAATTATAATTATGATTTAACTTAATATTAAGTAAGTTAAATAAATTGAAATTTATATTATTAAACATTTAGTTAATATTATTAATACATTAATAATATTAATTTTTTATTATAAATATATTTTGTGTTTTTTATACAGTAAAATATTATATATCTAAACGTATATGCTGAGGGTTATATGCGCATTATATCCATCATGTAATATATTATGTTTGTTTTTTGTACAGATGAATATTCTAATGCATATATATTGTTTTTTTGAAATGGATTTATATTTGTAACATTTTTTTCTATCAAGTTTTGTTTAATATATATTAATGTATTGTTTAAATCATTCTAGTTTTATTTTTTATCAATATTTTTACATTTTTCTATATGGTTATTATATACGTTTTATGATTTTTTTAATTAAAATATCATTTTTACTTTAATCGAAAGAATTATTATTTTTTTACTTAATATATGACATCAATTTTTGTTCTCGATGTTCCTCCAGGTTCAACATTTGGTATCGACGGTCATTCATGGATAACAGGTCATCGTTTTTGTGGGGTTCGTGGTCTCTCAAATGGTCTTCACTGGGCTTATTATAATATATCTGGCGCTAAAAAAGATGTTGGAAATAATATAGAAAATACACAGTTAAAAGGACTTGAAAGTTTTTCTCAGGGCTTTTTTTTCTATGTTGATTGTTCAGTATTAATTTTTCAATATAATCATTATAAAGAGATGATTTTAGAAACAGATGTAACAGCTTCGGAGTTAGATATAATTGAACCGTGGTTAATTCCTTTTCCTGATGAAAATGGGATATTAAAAGGTTTTGATGAAGATCATATAGATAAAACACGAGATGGAAGGTATATAGACGATGGGCATTGTTTTTATCATTTAATTGCATGGGTTACGCGTAATATGCTTAATTGTCTATTTCCATCTGGATGGCATGTTACATCGATTACATCATCTAATTTGGATGAGGTATTGTCAGGTTTGCCAGCAATTGAAACAGAACCTGAAATAGTGTTTTTGGCAATTAATTCGCGACGTACATGGCGGCCAGGTGCATTTGGTCGAGAAGTAACGGAGGGTTTTCTTGATAAGAGTTGGGAATTGGAACGAATTCTTCAACATGTGTGTTTAGGAGGTATGTCTATATAATTGTTTGCTTTTTGTTATCTAAAATCTTTAGATTCTGGGCGGTTTTTGGGTGAATTTCAATTATGTTTTATTATTTTTCTTTTTGTTTCTAATGGGTCATGCCTTGAGCAATGGATGAGAATGTTGACCCTTGTTTCTTCGTGTTGTCGGGCTATTTCTGTTTTTCCTGATTTTTATGTGAATTGGATAGGTAAATAGGTTGTGGATTGAAATTTTTTATTTAATTTTTTTTAGATATACTTATGATACAATTGCTTTATTGTCCGGAGGAAATTTATCAAGATATTTTTCAGGAACGTAATTTTCTTAAAATATCTCTTAAGGTAGTACGCTTTCTTTTCTAATTTTTTTGTTTAACATTTTTCTTTTTAGAATTTACGTCGTAATCTTTTTGATGCACAAGTTGGATCTGCGTCTATAAGTGCTGTTAAAGATGCATTTACACGACTTTCATCTGCTGTAAAGCAAAAATTTTGTTTAAATATTGAAACACAACCTGAAGTATCTATTCGTTCTTCCTTAGTTTACGGAATTGAAAATGATGAATTGATTGACACGAGTGAAAGTAATTCTATGGCTGATGATTCAGATGATGATCCAGTTATTGTGCTTTTATGAAGATTTGTTTTAGATATTTTTAAGTACGTCTTTTTCAAGAATACACTACTTGTGGATATAATTATATATATACTCTGAAGGCGATGTTTCGACTCTTTACTGGAATATGATGAATCACATGATTTTATATGGAACTGAAACATAGTAGTGTATTTCGTCTTGAAACGATTAACACAAAAATTCGGTTTATTGAAGATAAATGTATTTTAATATTTCAAGGGAGCTAAAATTAATATACATTAACGATTTATAGGTATTATATTTGTTTTTTCTTTGAATTTTATACATTTTAAGCATGTAATATTTAACTATATTTTGTCGGATTCCGGATTGATTAAGGTTACAAGGAAAACAAACGTATTTAGCAAAATGACTGAATAATTTAATGGATCTTTTGAATAGTGTTTCTAGACCTTTTTCGTTTTTTATATTAATTTTTATAAGATACATTTTTTTGAAAAAAAAATAGAAATCTTTATATTCAACGAATATTCAACGATTAAATTGTTTCATGAGCATCTTAGATGAGGTGAAATATTAGGACTAATAAGCATAGACTGTCGAGGCCGGAGTTCGTATTTTCGTTTTATATTTAAATGGTTTTTTTTTGATTTTTTTTTTAAAGATATTTGAGATAGCCATTGGGTATCGGCTTTTTTGATAGTATCATGGCTATTATGTTGTTTTGATTGTGGTGAATGAAATGTGATAGGACTCATGAGACTATGCTGAGTTATATTAGAAGAGCTTTGCTCCGTTTTTTGTTGATTAAATGTTTCCTTGTTTTTCTTTATATGGGTAACGTTATTTGAGGCGAGAGCTGATAGTCTTTTTATTGAGTTTTCTTTCGGTTCTAACAAAGACAATGTCTTTTGCAATCTTCGTTTAATGTTTTGGTAGTGTTGTTGATATGTTAAAAACGTATTTGAGGGGAGTGCAAGTTCATATAATAAGCGGTCGACTTCTCGACGAATTAGATTAATTTCAACGGAATATCTTTGAGATGCTTCATGCATTTCAAGTGTTAATAATTTATGCTGCAATGTGTGATGTGCAGCGCTGGCACGTTCTGAACGCAGCATTTGTGTAAGCATAGTGATATGTTTAACAGCTTGAAGCAGCTTTGATGATTAGTAAAAAACATTGAAAACCTTTAAACTTACTGTTTCTCGAGTTTCATCAAGGCTCATGGTAGAAATTTGTGCTGGTGTTGGTTCGTTCCAGGAATCAAGTATGCTGATATGAGTATCAGGTGGTGACAAAATGTTGTGTAGTATGTATTCATTAGGAGAATTAAATGAAGGTGTTTTGGGTGATTTTGATGATGATTCTGGCAATATTTCTGACATATTTTTACATTAATCTAAATATTATGTTATTGAATAGGATTTAGAAGTAGATATAACAACGTCTAAGAATACTTTTATATAAGTTTTTAAAGATCGTTTAAACACAATCTTTTGATGGTATTTTCTGCATGTTAAATTGTCTCTGACTTTGTATAATTGGGTCGTTGAGGCAACCGTTGACCGATGTCGGACTTAAACATCAATGTCATTTCCGCTAATACTCAAGGGCACATAATGTGCTCGGTGACATTGAAAATAATCATTTAGTATAATGAAATTTAAATATTTATGGATAATATTTTGCATTTCTTGTCTTTTAGGAGACTATAAATAGCTAAGATATATTTTTCAATGTTATGAGTTGATTATATACATATGCTTTATTCATTGTCACGTGACATGCTTTCATTAGATATGTAGGTATATAAAATTTGTTACGGATATGTTTAAATGTCTTAACATATGTTTGAGGATGTCGTGCTGAATGTTCTGGCAACTTGTGTTTAATTTTTGCTTAAAAAAATTATGAAAAACTGAAAATGCTTTGAAGATTAACAAAACGCCGTTTATTATGGTTTAAATAAAGTTTTGTGATATATCTTAATTTCTCAAATCGCTCACGATTATGTTCTGCACAAACAAGAATGGATTCTGGGTTGGGGAAATTGTTGGCAATAGCCCGTGCTTTGTCCACGTCAAAAAGACTATCATAATAAAGTAATTGATTGTAGAGGGTTTTATCTGAGTATTCGAAACGCATCTGGCCCTGGCAGTTTTTGATTGAACATCGTTTTCCGTATACACCAATTTGTCGAGTACGATTTGCACAAGATGGATCATCACATAATAGCCATGCATTATAGTAAATATCATTCTGATTTCGAATCTGTGACTCCAGCTGTGCGCTAATTGTATAGATAGGGAATTTTTTTCCACATATACAGAAAATTCCTTCCAGATTTACAAATTCCTGGTTTAATTAAATAAAATAGATATGGTTGTTTGAAAATACCTTAGATTTTGCAAGCCCTTTAAAGTCTATTTTTTCATTACATTCATTGCATGTTAGAATTAAACCTTTTACATCCTTAAAACGTTCTTCGTCGGTTAAACGTGATTCATATGTACAAAATTTATATTCGCAATTATTGATTTCATTGATTTGATATTTCCTCACATCAAGTCCTAAACATTCAGCAAGTCTTGTACGATCGGTTCCTTCAATAGGTCCACAAAGTCGTTCTATAGGCGGAAGAATTTGATTTGCTAAGTAATAGTTGTAGTCTATTTTATTTAATAAATTAATATACATTTTAGAAATAAATACCAATTTTAATATTTGAAGATTTTATTACTTCTTGAGGAGTGCATGCTCTTTCTGCGACATGCCTGTTATCGTTTTCATTGCCAGTAATGATATATGCAATAATATCATTAACTTTTACAATGTCTCCTTTCTCTTTCTTTTTAAGAGCGACCTGAACATGAGGCATTGATTTTCCATTTGGATATTCTTCTGGGTTTTTTCCAAGTTTCTAAAATATATTAATATAGATTAAATATATTGCTGGTTTTAAAACATTGTAAATAATGAATTTTGCGGGCTGAAACTTGCCATCACGCATTTTATTTGCAAAATCTCTCAGGAAATCGTGAATTTTTTCTACAACATATTCTGTTTGGTTACCTGATAATATTTGATCTAAAACATAACTATGCATATTAAAAAAAATATAATCTGTGACTTTTCTTACGAAGAAGCTTCTTTTGCTAAGATACAATATTCTCTTCTTTTCATATCTAGTCCTTTTACATCAATTCTAGGCACCATTTTCCCTTCAATTTCTATTAAATGTAAAGCAGCATATTTTTTTTTTGCATGCAATAACATGCGTTGATAAACATTATCAATATCTATTTCAAGAAACTTATATCTTTCATTTACATGTTTTTTAAATTCATTACCAATTTTTATTGCTTCTTCAAATGTTTCAATATTTGTGTTAATCATAATAGAGTCTGTATCTCCATATATTACCTAATAAAATTAAAATCATTTATTTTAATATTTATTATTGCATACTTGAAGATTTAAACTGTTTGCAAGCTCTTTGGTATTTCTTAAAATCTCTCTACCTTTGTATGTAATAAGGATAGCTAATGGTTTGGCATAGAATCTCGACTTTGTATATCCTAAACAACCATACATAGAGTTTGCAGTTAATTTTAAAGCTTGTTGTTTGATATCCCATTGTATTTTTTGAATAATTGAGGCGTTTTTATCTTTTAAAAGGTTTTTTATCTGTTTTCTTCGATTAACTAAGGTTGCAATTAGTCTCGGAAGAATTCCTTGTGGTGTTTGTTCGTCTGGAAATTCTGGTATTTTGTCGTCTTTTTCACAATCATGTCTATTAACCGTCGTAAAACATATATTATACTCTTGAATAATGCTGGGATATAAACTATTAAAATCCATAACAAGTATATATTTGTCATATAATCCCTTGATTGGTTCAAATACAAGACCTCCTTTATATTTATCCTTTTTTTTTAATGAAGTGCTAATACTTAGTTCTTCCTCTTCTTCAATATCTATAATTTTGGATTTTATGAGAGCTTTATCTGGACAAATGTACTTTTCGCGATTAAATTCATGCAATAAAATGTATTCATTTCTTTCTGCTCTAGATCCCGATAATGTTTTTGCCCAGTTATTACCTGATAAATTTGTTAATTGTTTTGTAAGAGGAAGTATTTGTATTTTAAAAGCAATAGCTGCAATAAAATAGGTATCTACTTCACAATGTATAAGATATTCCATCATTCCTTTTGCCGTACTGGTCCATGAAAGAACTGTTTCTTTATCATCAAATTCGTGCCGTTTAATACCCAAATGAAGATGACAGAGTTCAGATAATGTCCAAGATTGAGCTTTGATCAAACAACGACCCAATTCATTTGCAAGATCACATAATAAACGACCAGAGACTAATAGTTTTTCTGCAAATACACCCGAACTACCTGATATTTTAGGCCATTCTTTTCTTCTAAGACGGCCAATTCGGTGCCAGTTCATTGTTTTTTTTTCTTTCATTCTTGATAATAAAATACTAAAATCTACATTGTCCCATTCATGTCCCAAGTAAATGTCAGGATCCGCATTTTGAATCTTTGTTAAGAGACAATTTAAAAGTGAAGATTCTGTTTTTTCAATTTTAATAATCCCCTTATGACTTTTAATTAAAGATTCAAATCCTATAGGAAAAAACTGTTGAATAGGCCTAACAATAGTAAATGTTTGACAGGGTAGATTATTTGCTGGTGTCGGATCATCTAAGGATATATTTTCATATATTCTCATACTTGCAGCAACAATTTCTTGTTTATTCTCCTTATCGTTTATAATTTTCCTCAGAGCAATACTCATAAGAGTTAAGGGGGGAGGGTTAAGGTCTGATTCTGAAATAGGAAAAATGTATTCTGGATTGATGACTCCTAATTCAAGTTTGCACCAGGAAAAATTTTGGCAAATTTCAAAATATGGTTGTTTAATTTGTAACCAACAAGGGCCCATTATTCTCTTATATAATACAAATTGTTCAAATAATGATGTATTGACACCGAATACACGACTGAATGTATTTCCAGAAATATCTTGAGGAAGAGAGGGTTCCGTATATGGATATAAAACTTTTAAATAATCGCATTGATATGGTACATCAGGAAGTTCGAAAGCATATTTTCTAGTTGCTGGTTTTGATTTAAATTCATTAATTTTAAATTTCGCAAGTAAATTGGATACTTCTTCATAAACATCGCTCATAGAAACTTCTTGTTTTAATTCTTGATTTTCCAATTTAAAATCTCTAGGTAAGAAATATAGATTTCTCATTATACCATGTATTTGAACAAAGCAACTCACATAATTTTTAGATTTTTTATTATATGTTTTCCCAAAAAGACATAAAGAATTGTTGAATTCTGTATAATCTAACCAAAATATCTTTAAAGAATTATCTTCTTCTATGAAATCTTGAAAATTTTCTTTTTTTCCTATATAATATAAATTTTCTGGGTTATTCACGACATTTAAAGTATTGTTTAGATTCAGCCATGATGATGCATCTACTGTCTCAAGCATTTGAGAAGGTTTGTTTTCTGTAATGGGAGGGTTTGTTAGAGTAATTGGATTTATTTTCGATTTCTCGTATAAAGTATCGTTATTTTTTGGAAAGTTATGTTGTACAAGCTCTTTTACTTCAAAGTCAAAGTCATTTTCATCTTCTGATTCTGCCTTAAGTTTTTCAAATGCTGAATTAATAGGTGATGAAAGTGCATATGTCTTGGATGGTAAATTTGATGACATAATATCACTTGATGGATGACTAGATAGGTGATAATCATCACTTTCTGGATGCATTGGTGAACTTGAAATTTTCTGTTTTCTGTATATCGCACTAGCCTTTTCTAATCGATTATAAATACTAGAATTGTTTAATGGAGGTGATGCAAGACGTTTTCGAGGAATAGATGCGAGTTCTTGTTTTCTTTTTAATATTAATTCTGTTTCCTCGCTGTCCATTTTTCCAAGAATATCAGCCATAAAGTCCATATCTTCTTCTGTTGTAGGTTTAATTGTTGGAATTGTCGGCTTTTTTTTGAAAAAATGCTCCATCTTTTTATTTTTTACCTTTTTTTCCTCTTTCTTGTCTAAAAAATATATAAATTCTTTTCTTATGTATTTAAAACTTACAATATAGTTTTTCCTCTTCACTAGACATTTCTATTTCACTTCTTTCCCATTCTTCTGTTCCATTATCTGCATATCCCTCTCCATGATCATCCACTACAAAATCATCCTCATTAAGACGTTGACGAACAATTGCACGATATCCTTCTTCATCTACTAAATCATAGACTTGATCTTCTTCTATTACTTTATATGATTGAAGCCGTGTTTTTCCTGCTGCTTTAAGTGCCCGAAGCTCCGCAAGCTTTGCATGAATTGTTTTTTTGGAATTTGAACGTTGACCTGCTTGACTTGACATGTTTTTCCTTGTCTTTTGACTGATTAAAACAATAGATTAAGGATATTTCAAGAAAAAAATAGCTTGAATTTTAGAAATCGGTTATTAGGTTGTATAATTTGATAAAAATCTTCATTAAAATTATTAAAAAATGCCTTTAAAGTCTTAAGCAACTAAATGATATTCTTTATTATTATGAAGCTTATGAATTGAATTCTCTATCGGCTTAAATAAACTAGACTTAAAGTAAATATAACAAAGCCGTATAAGTAAATAAATGAATAATGATATTCATAAAGTTTTGTATTGAATTATATTAATATATAATTATTATTTCGTCTTTAAGACAAGTTAATTAGAAAAAAGTTAGGTTAGATTTGCCCGATACAGGGCTCGAACCTGTGACTTTTGCGTTATTAGCACAACACTCTAACCAACTGAGTTAATCGGGCTTTTTAGTAGAGCACATTTTTGTTAATTATAAAGATTTAAATGTTAAATTTTTTAATATTTGTAAATATATTTTAGATATTAGACATTAAGAATAAATATTAATTCATATTCCAATAAGTAATGTTCATAATCTACTTAATTTATTTAAACGGTAAAAATGGGCAGCTTTAATGAATGAAATTTGTTGACAATATAAGTTTTTTTATTTATTTGTTGTATAAATTTTTCTATTAATGTTTTTGGATTACTTTATTTAATGTCATTACGAGTTTAATTATTGAATTTTGTAATTTCATTTTTTTGGTTTATTGAAATTGGAGAATATTCGGTATTTTGGGGGATTTTTATTTAAAATTTTGATGAAAAATCATTTTTAGGTTTTATGATTGCATGTGATCTGTTTTTAGTCATGAAAGTGGATATTATAACGGAACTGCATGATAATAATGAGATTAATTTATTGTTAATTACATCTTCATATTAGAAATTGTTTTTTGTATATTTTTAGATGCAATTAATTGGAAAAAACTTTATTAATGTGGTTCAGGAATCATTGGTTTTGTTTTTAATTGTTTATCTTTAGTATTCTAGAACTAAATATAATTGGATAATTATACAAATAGTTGTTTTTCTTAAAGAAACTTTATCTGATGGTTATTTTGGAAAAAAATAATAATTTAATTATTAGAAGAAATTTAAATTAAACGATATTTTAAGTCATGGAAAATCTAGTAACAATGGAGATATTGGAATGTTCTAAATAAGTTGACTTTGCTTTAGCATCCAATATCTACAGTAATTATTATTATGTATCTGGTGCTTTTTTTGTGTTTTTTTGTGTATTAGGAAGGGTTAATTTTTATTTAAGCATAGGAAGGGTTGATTTTTATTTAAGCATAGGAAGGATTCTTTACTATTTTTTAGTTTACTTGGTTTTTTACTTTCTATTGGACTTATTTGATGTCAAATTTTTTCTCTAGCACATTAACATTTTATATCTATGCAAATGAATTTAGAAAATTTGGGTTTTATTTTCTCTAGTGTTTTGGCTATTATTATAAAAAAATCATGGGATTTATGAAGTTGAAATTCGTTTTTGAGATATAATTTTTTGGGCTTAGATTCTCTGCTTGATACATACATTTTTGCTATTGGCATTGTTAGATATTATTGTTGGTTTATTTGTGTTTTTGGATTATTTATTTGTGAATTGGGAACATCCTTCATACAAATCATCATACTAATTTTATTATTGATCCTCAATATTTGACAACTATCTGAAGATATTTGTCTGGTCTTAATTATAAATCATCTAATAGATAAATTTCTTTAATTATTTATAGAAAAATTTTCGGATTTTTGATCTTGGTTATTTTAAGATTTTTTATTAATTTATTTTTTTCTAATTTTTTTAGTTTAATTGCTTCTTATGCTGTTCTTGTCTTCGCTTTTATTCTTCAATTACTTATACTTGCTATTCTTTTATCTAACTATTCTATATTCATTAATTTATATATCGACTTTTTATAGGATTAATAAATTATTCATCATAAGTCTTGTCAATAATCTTCTTAAAACACTGATTCTTAAAATAACATCTTTTAATAAAGTATATATATTTCTATATTTTTGATTTTTTTAATTTACACTTTCAACTTTTTGCTATTAATTTATATTTTGTATTTATTACAGATATTTAAAATAGTACTTTTGATTGGATAGATATTTGCTTTTATGCCTTGTTTTTTTGTATTTTTTATTTATATCATCATTTTATATAAAATCTGGATTTTTTTGTTCATCTCGTTTTCAACTCATCTTTCGTACTTAAGGAAAAAAGGCCTTGTTTGAAGCAAATTGATGGCTAGTCAGGCGAAAATTTTGGATCCAATTGCTTTGAACGGGCAATCTCCTAGACGTATCTTTTTTTAAAAAGAAAAAACCTTTTATCTAATGATTGTTTAGGTGTAGCATACTTTTATGATTGTAAATTTGTTTATTTATTTGTGGATTTATTTCTAACGTATTTCACTTATTATAGCAGATGTAGGGTATTGTTTTGTGCTTTTTTCCTGGTTTTTTTTTCTTATTTTTAGGAATTATGCATATGGCGCTGGTCATCCTATGAAACCTCATCGTATTAGAATGACACACTCACTAATTATGAACTATGGACTGTACAAGAAGATGGAAATTTATGTATGTCCTTGTTATGTTTTTTTTGTTTCTTTATTCCAATTTTTAGAGAGCTAAGCCTGCAACAAAACATGAGATGTGTCAGTTTCATTCAGATGATTATATTGAATTTCTTTCTCGGGTAACACCTGAAAATATGGATAATTATATCAAAGAGCAGGGGAAATGTGTGTTGTTTGATGTGCGTTTTTTTATGTTAATTTTTTTATATTTTATAGTTAATGTTGGAGATGATTGTCCTGTCTTTGAAGGATTGTTTGAATTTTGTGCTATTAGTGGAGGTGGAAGCATGGGTATGTGGTATTTATTTTTTTTTTCTTTTTATTTTTGCATTTTCAGAGGGTGCTGCAAGACTTAACAGAGGTAAATGTGATATTGCATTAAATTGGGCAGGTGGATTGCATCATGCAAAAAAATCGGAAGCTAGTGGATTCTGTTATGTAAATGGTTTGTATATTTGAAAGAAGATTGGCAAATTATTGTTAATATTTGGTAAGATATTGTTTTAGGCATTATCGAGCTTTTGAGATATTATCCTAGGGTTCTTTATATTGATATAGATGTGCATCATGGGGATGGTGTGGAGGAAGCATTTTATACTACTGATAGGGTTATGACATGTTCATTTCATAAATATGGAGAATATTTTCCCGGTACAGGAGAGCTTAGAGATATTGGGGTTGGAAAAGGGAAATATTATTCTGTTAATTTTCCTTTGCGTGATGGTATTGATGATGAATCATATGCTTTTGTTTTTGAGCCAGTTGTTTCAGCATGTATGGAATGGTATCGTCCAGGTGCTGTTGTTTTGCAATGCGGGGCAGATAGCCTTGCAGGAGATCGTCTTGGTTGTTTTAATTTGAGTATGAAAGGGCATGCTGCGTGTGTTAAATTCGTTAAGAAATTTGGATTACCTACATTAGTTTTAGGAGGTGGTGGATATACAATGCGAAATGTTTCTCGGACATGGACTTATGAAACAGGTTTAATTAATGATGTTGAGATAGGACCTGGTTAGTATGTTTTTTATTATATTGTTATTCATATAATCATAGAAATGCCGTTTAATGATTATTACGAATATTATGGGCCTACATATGATCTTAATGTTCCTGCAAGTAATATGCAAAATATGAATTCAAAAGAATATTTGGAAAAAATAAAAACAGAAGTTTTAAAGAATCTTTCAAGAACAAAATTTGCTCCTAGTGTTCAGATGCAAAATGTTCCTCTGGATAGAAATAATGATTCTGAAGAAGAAGAAGAAGACCCTGATAAACGCAAAAACAGTTAGTTTAATTTTTTTGTTATACGCGTAAGGCTGATTTTTTAAGTTTTATGGAATAAAAATCCCCAACGATCTGATGAGTTTAGTGATTCTGATGATGAGGGTGATGGGAATCGTCGTGATTTTACTTTTTTTGATTTTGTAAAAAATAATTCTGATTTTCAAGACTCTTCTAAAGTTGGGCTTAATGCTGAAGAATTGGAAAATAATTCAAAACATAATGATTTTAATATTAAGTCTGAGTACAATGCGGGAGTTGTAGAAGTAAAAAATGAGGATATTGAATTAAAATTTGAGTTAAACGCAGAAGATAGTACTGTATTTAATTCAGTATCTTCTCCGATATCGACGATGGATAATGTAAATAATAATATGGCTATTTGAGATGCTTTAGTATCTATGTCACAACTATCAAAGATGTTTTTTCTAAAGGGCTTTAATGAGTTCGTGCTAAAGATTGTAGAAATTATAAGTTTTGTTATTTTAGAACTGTAGATAGTATTATAATAATATAGGAAGATTATGTGCTGAAAAAATAAAATATCTTTAATCTATTTAATATCAGATTATGTAATTATAAAACTATATTTTAGAAAGTGCCTGTTTTTCTTTTTATACGTAAATATTAGTTTTTTCTTTGAAAATTTTAATTTGTGAAATTATGTAAACTCTAAATGAATAATTGAAAACAGCATATTTTGTAATACATGGATGCATACAGAAAGTGCAGCTGGCAAAATATCAGGGAATTCCATCATATCCTTCAATGCCTCATTCGTAACTTCAAACTTAAAAAACAATTTCATTATTAATCTTGTAATAAATGAGCTAATAAGTTCAGATGCCCAAACTACCAGCGTAGCAAAAAAGGTTAGTTTAAACGAATATACGTCATCATTAGATGGTACATCGGTGCTAAATGTGAAATAAGGATATACAGATTTATTGGGTCCGAAGTGAAGAATGCAAACCCATCCTAGAAACGAAATCATAGTTATGTTTTGTGCCTTAATGATTAGCGAATTCATTAAATATAGAAATAAATAAATACCAATGTTTTAATATAAAATGATCTTCCAGAGTTTTTTTTATATTCTTGGTAATCGATTTGACTTTTAGTGAAGAATAAATATCCTTTGTATGCCCATTTTGTCATAAGAGCTGGGACGATAATGATTACTGTGAACGAACTTGCTCCTTGTATTACAGCAAATTGTTGAGGTGAATGAAGTCTAGCGTATAGATTTCGAACATAAATCTAAATATTTAAGTTTTAAAACATATATAAAATATGAGAAATAACTTGTAAAGTCATTGCATAATATAGCTTAAAAACCCATGCTAATGATTCACTTTTGATTTTATAACTTAAAATCCAGACAGTAATCATATCCAATATATACACTGTTGTAATCCAACTATATATTAAAGTTAATATAATCTAAAATAAAAAAGTACTTACGAATATACATAGAGAAGGGCGTCTGTACTACTATGAGGTAATGTTTTTAAATATAGTCTAGCATATGCCTATATTATTTAATATAGTTTTTAATAATTTTCAAAAGGAAAAATACTTCACCAGCAGCAAATGCTGCTAACCCGATAACTAATATCAAACAGAACCATAGAAAACGGATATAACTTGAGGGGAAATGTGTATCAAAAGTCCTGTTGAAAAAAGTTTCTTCTGTATAAGACGATGAATGGCAATTCATATGTCTATGTGAAGCACGCAAAACCGCAAATGCAACAACTATCGGACCTTTTTAAAAACATAAGCGTTGAAACAAACTTTTGAGATAGACAAATACCTGCCATAGTACAGAAAGTTAAAAGAATCCATGTTAGTGTATATTCCGCTTTTTCTGAAAAAAGATAAATCAAACTCCCGAGAAAAACAGAAAATGTCCAAAAGAATGTATATGATATAGCGCCTCCTAATGATGCAGGCCACCTATAGTTATTAACAAAAGGCGAACTCGTTAAAAATATTAAAAACCAGTTAAGAGAAAACAAATTAAATAACTTAGTGATCCATAATAGACCAATTGCATTATAGAATCCGTAATATATAAATAAAAAAAACCAAAAATTAAGGCATTTCTTCCTTAAAGGTGATAGAGCATTATTTGTAGATTCTGATAGAGGAAAAGGAATAGCGCACCAAATAAGAACCTAATAAATACCTTAGTTATCCTAAATTACCACAAAGGTGATCGAAAAACAATTACTGATGGCAAAATATTAAGTATAAATAATCGTCTCCAAAACCCATAAAGGATACGTTTAATAATCTTTTTTTGAGGTGCAATTACAAGACCTTCAAGTAACGTGCTGTTTTCATTGAACTCCCCTTCATACGTTCCCTCTTCAAACCATAATGTTGAAATACTATTACTATGTTCTCGACTTGGTGATGTCCAAAAAAGTAGAGATTTTCGTCGCGGAAGAACACGATAGCGACCAGATATCATCCGAGAATCTTCTTTAATGTATCCCCTCAGCCTTCTTTTTTTCTTATTTTATTATTCAACTTACCTGGTGGAGAATATGTTTCATCTCCTTGATTAAATGCAAAGATGTTTAAAAAAGACATAATCAATTATTTTGAGGGCCGAAAAGCCCCTTTGGGCTAAAATAAAGCCCTTTTTTTTATCTTTAGACACTGTATTGATATGTTTATGCGCTCAAATAATGCCTTTTTTTTAGATTTTTGTCCACTTAATTTTGGACGTTATCTTAACCTTAGAGCGCTTGTTTAGAAAATATCGCTTCTGCAACCCAAATCATCCTAATTTATTCTTAATTATTAAATTTATTCAAATATTTTAAATAAGTATAATTAATAAGGCTTTTCCTTTTTTTTACCTGTTAATATAATCTGTTTCTATTATTTTAATATTTTTAAATCATATTCCACTGTAATTTCTTATATTAAAAGATAGATTAGAATAGAGATATATAATATATAGAATATAGTATTTATGAAAATTTGGATCTCATAGAGTATATTAAGTTATATGAGGCAGTTTATTAATGTATATTTATCAAATTATATTTGCAGAGTATATTATTCGTTTTTATAAATGACTAATTTTGGGTTATATTTTTATAAAGTTGCATTAAATTTAACTTTGAGATGATTAGGATGTTTTCTAAGTAAAAAGCTTTTAAAGTTTATAATATTGTTAATATGATAGGTTTTGATGGGGTAGTTATATATATTTAATTTAAAAAATATACACCGTTTTGATAAAATTTATTGAAAAAAGACATAAATTATGTCATTGGATTCAGGTGTCAAGGAGGGGCTAAAATATGGAGTTTATGAAGAACAGCTTTCTAATGAAGATGAAAAGCAACTTGTGAGTTAAATTTGAAAATTTTTTTATGGCATTTTGGAGAGTTAACGTATGATCTATGAATTAAGGTAACGATGAGTATATAAAATGGCGTTACGGGTATCCAATTTTATAAATGTTGGATTGAGAAGGCTTTGCCCTACCGTTAGAACTTGAACTAGGTCATACTAGCGTAAGGAAATGCCATTAAAAGTTATTTGTTTTTTTTTCTTTTCTCTGAAAACTAATAATAATTTTAAAGTTATCATTAGGATATATACAGGTAAAAGGTAAAAATGTTTTCGATATAATTTAATATTTTCTTTAGTCTTTGCATAGAACATATCAATTTTTTGATAATTTTTCTATTGGCTTTGGTTAATTTAAATATTTTGTAAATTGGAATTAACAGTGATATAGTAGCGTTATATTTTGTTGGTGGTATAAGGATTGTTTATACAACAGGTATACTTGCTGGAGGACCACAAGCGTATTGGTATAAAATTTTTTGAATTACTTATTTTTTTAATAAAAACTAGGATAAGTTATCTTATCTCATGTTTTGGAATGTGTATTACAGCTGCTGTTATGGCAGAAACATGTTCAGCGCTTCCTGTGTCTGGTTCCATTTATTTGTAAACTTAAAGAAAATGGTATCCTATTTTAATGTTTTTTTTCTAGATGGGCTTCTAAGTATGCTTCACCGAAATATAGAAGATTGATAGGGTTCGTTGTGGCTTGGTGGTCAATCAGTGCATGGGTGAGTTTTGTTGCTGGCAATACACAAAGTGCTGTTAATTTTCTTTTATCTGTAAGGCAATAAGAGGAATTATTATTTATAACTAATTAAAATGGTAAAGGAACTTCCTATTTTTGGTGTGGATTTTCCGACATTTACAAATGTCTTTAAGTTTAGAGTTGTTCAATGGTTTTTTAGTGAAATTTTACTGGCTCTTTCTGTTTCATTAAATTATTTTAAACGTATGTTTATTTATTTTGCATTATTTATTTGTTTTTCTAACTTTAATTTAGCTCAGTTATTTAAGTATGTACTTCGCATGTCATCTATGATTATTATTTTAGATTTTCTTTTAAATGTGATATGGTTGCCTATTGGTGTCTCAAAAACGTTTGGTTTCCAAGATATAACTTTTCTTATGAAAACATACAATAGCACTAATGCTGTTCCAATATGGAATTGGTGTTTATCTTTTCTTTCGACTTCAGGTATACTTGTTGGGTTTGATGCACCTGGTCATATAGCCGAAGAAACAAAAAATGCCAGTCTTGCTGCAGCTCGATCCATTTTTATCAGTGCTTTTGTGACTGGATTGTTTGGTCTTCCTATTGTCTTTCTTTTTATTTTTTGTTCAGTATATGAGTTTTTTTTTCATTCAATTAATTTATATTTGATAGCCCAAGTTGGATGTTTTGTTTTCTTTGGATGTTCCTCAACCATTTGTATATTTGTATTCACTGGCTCTTGGTAAAAAGGCACATGTATTTTTAAATCTTATTGTTGTTCTTGGTCATCTTTTGAATACAACAGTTGCTGTTTTATCTTCTTCTCGATTGGTCTACGCTGTTGCTCGTGATAGTGCGTTTTCTATGTTTGATTGGCTTTCTAAAGTGGATTCTTGGCGTCAACCTAGGAATTCTGTAACATTAGTTTGGATAGTATCATCTATTATTCTCTGTACAATACTTGTTAGTCAAGTTGCATTTACAAGTCTCATTAGTGCAATGTCTCTTCCAACTGTGTGTGCATATGGATTAATAGCATGTGAATATATTTATCTTGATATAGAATTTATTGTTTATGTTTTAATTTTCTAGTTTTACGTTTGTTACATAAACCGGAGGATTGTTTACAAGCCAAATGGTCACTTGGGAGATTTTCTAGGCCCTTTCAGTTCATTACTTTTATCTGGTGTATCTTTATAGTTTCTGTTCTTGCTTCTCCTTATCAATTCCCTGTCTCTGCATTAACCTTTAATTATGCACCAGTTATGCTTGTCCTTGTAACATTAGGTAGTCTGATAGTTTATTGGATGGCCCCTCATAATAATTGGCTTATATAAAATATTTTCAAATGATCAATGAATATATATCTTATAGATATAATTTTTTAATGAAATAGTTAAATAAAAATACTTTATTTTTTTAATACTAGATATATCTGGCGTACATATATAGTGTATTTGTCTTTTAATTCTTTTGTATAATCCTTCGTATGCACAATTAAGAGGAAAAAGTGCATTATGTTGTACCTTATAGGGCTTGGTCTTGCTGATGAAAAAGATATCAGTGTAAAAGGTTTAGAAATCATTCGTCAATGTCAAACTGTATACTTAGAAGCTTACACAAGTATATTATATGTGAGTAAAGAAAAGTTGGTAAGTAAATGGTTTCTATTATAGAAGTATATGACATATATTAGGAAGCGTTTTATGGCTGTTCAATTACTCTAGTTAATCGTGAAAAGGTTGAATATGATGGTATCATGTTGTTACAAGAGGCTCGTGAAATGAACGTAGCGCTGTTGGTAGTGGGTGATCCTTTAAGGTGAGAAATAAATGTTTAATTGAATATTAATGTAAGTAGTGCAACAACACATGTTGATTTGTTATTAAGGGCACGTCAAGAGAATGTTCCTACGCAAATTGTACATAATGCATCAATTATGACAGCAATTGGTGCAGTAGGTTTGCAGTTATATAATTTTGGGCAAACGGTGTCATTAGTTTTTTTTACAGAAACATGGAAGCCTAATAGTATTTACTTTAGAATTAAAGAAAACAGAGATTTGGGACTACATACTTTGATTTTATTGGGTAAATAGGCATATAAAGGCATATTGTATATTAATTGAGGATGAGGGTAGATTTACATGTACAAGAACCATTACTTGAAAGTTTTATAAAAGGAAAAAAAATATATAAAGAGCCCCTCTTTATGAGTATTTCTCATGCAATTGATCAGCTTTTGGAGTTGGAGTTGTTATGTCATGAAAAAGGTTTTTTGATTATATTTTTTTAGTATATTTAATTTTTTAGTGTATGATGAGTCAACATTGGCTGTGGGTGTATCGAGAATGGGGTCTTCGACTGAGAAAATAGTTGCAGGATCATTGAAGCAATTAGCTTCTGTTGATTTTGGTCCACCCTTGCACTCTTTAATTTTGCTTGGGAATAAAATACATATTATGGAAATAGAGTATGTAAGGGAATTTGCATTGGATATAAAAATATTTGATTCACTTGCGCAACAACAATTCCCTTCACTTTACAAAACGTAGTAAAATGTATACATTGAATTATAAAATGATTATTTGGTAAAAAGTCTATAAAAAAATACAAAGCCTGTTTATCTTCAAAATTGCAATTGTTTTTGATTTATCAGTACAAGATTTTTTACAAATGTATACATTGATATTATATTTAGAAAAAAATAATGTATTTTTATTGAATATAATGATTTCATATTAAATAGCCCTGGCTTGTTTTTATATGTTAAAAAAAATTATATATATAATTTTTTATCTTTTTTCTTTATTATATGATATATAATATATATTAAGAGCAATGTTTTGAATAAAATCGGAGTGTTAGTAATTATATATGGAAAATATGATGTATTATACATAAAAATCCCCAGAATCACATAAAAAGTTTTTATTCAAAAATAGTTATCTTTGTTTTGAATGAAGTTCCTGCATGCGCTTACTTTCTTGGCGGCTCAAATAATGAAATACACTTTCATGAACCCAATCTTTGCTATAAAATTCACTTCGTTGTTTATCTTCGATACCAATACGTTCACGAGAATCATTATCTCCAAGTATAATTTCCAAATCACGAGATTGACTAGATAGCCATTTCTTGATGAATACCGCAGGATTTTGCGCAAATCTTTCAAAAAAACTGTGTTTTACTTTAGAACTGTTAATTTCTTGAATAACTGAAGCAATTTGATCATCTAATTCTTCTATTTTTTTATGTGAGGATATCGAAGAAAGAATATTTATCATTTTTTCGCGTATTGGATCATCTATATCTACTTGAATATCATATGCGAATTCTGATATATTGACGCATTTATCCGTACTATTATAGATAAGAAAATAATTGATGACTTAGAATTTAATGTTACCAAATCGTATATTTAATAACAATTGGATCCATTGGAAGTAAATGATTATTTATCATTTCTGGTATTTTTGGAAAGAATATTCTGTCCATAGAAAAAATCTATGATCGATAAGAATATTATTTTTGTTTTTTGTGAATGTTTTAAACCTCTTTTAAGTTTTCATCACAATTAATGATCCTTTTTTCCTCGTCATCTTGTAGCTTATGAAATTTAATATATTCCCAAAGTCCCATAATGATTTCTGGGTGAGTTTCTGATTTCATATCAAGAATTTGACTTAGTTTGGGACTTAGCTTATATTTTTCTGGATATTCATTGAGATAAATCAAAATTCTAATATCTATATTCATGTCCCCTCTTCTTTTAATTTCAAGACCGTCAAACTCTGCATTTGATGATGATTTATGCCACTTTATAATATTAATTTTGTTTACTGTTTAAAATTATAATGTATACTTTAGCAATGCTTCCGTTTGATAAAAACTTATTGTTTTTATCCAATTCCACTACAATACTTTTGATAAAACTTGAAAATTTTCTTCGTTCTTTTGCTATATCTGTGTTTCCTAATAACTTTCCTTCTATACGAAGGGTCCATGTAGGAATCATTCCCGTATCAAAATCAAATGCATGATGATCCAGACCTTTATCTGTTACTTGCCACGGTTGGTTGGATGAAATATTTGAAACAAACACTCGAAGTGTTCCTTTTATCTATTTTTAAACTTATAAATGGTTTTTTACTGAAAAAAAAATATGTACTTACTTTGGAGCCTTTATTAATCGCATCTTGAATATCAAACCTCTTTCGTGTTATTACTGCATCTAATCTCCTCTCAATATCCCGAAGTTCATGGTATAATTTAGAATCTGGAACAAGTGCTTCTATTTTTGCTGAAATAGAGCGATCTGTAGGACGTTGTCTTGGTTTAGGTGTTTTTGGAAGTTTCATAGATTCATTAGCAGACGTAATAGACCTTTTACTAAGGATAGTGTGTGGCTGTTGCTGAGCAGATGTATTATAAAGGCTTTGTACAAAATTCAATGGTACTGCACGATTCATCGGAAGTTGTAAAACGTTTGAAATGTAAATGTGTTTATATGTAGAAATATGATTGAAATATTTATGTACATGAAATGAAAAGACATATTTAAATCATTTTTATAGGAATTTGGCAACCTGTTTTTTGTTAGTATTTTTTTTGAAAAAAAAAAGAAATTTACTTTTTCTTGAAGCAAATCGACGACTGTATTCATGTGTTTAATGGTATCTAATGCTGCATTGTAAGTTGCATCCTGTTCAGGCTCATCAAATATAATTAAACAACCTGTGCCTTGATCAAGAACACCATGAAAAACTTTATCGAGAATCATTTGACTGAGTCTACAAAATATAAAGTAAAGTTATGTATTGAAGTAAAACTCACTTTTCTTCTATTTTGCTAACACAAATTCCAATTAGTTTAGAAATGTGATCTAATTCAACGCGACTAAAGGGTTCAATGATTTTAGAAAGATTTTGTTTTAAAAGTGTATCATATAAAACGGTTAAATGAGAATATACGATAGGATCATCCTTTAGTTCTTTTAAGTATTTTAGTTTTATCTAAAGAAAACGGATGAAAATTATACCATTTTTATAATCATGAAGTGCTTTTTCAAAATCAGCAAGTGATCGGTTTTGATGTGCTCGAGCTACTGCACTCATGGCATCTAGATCACGTCCTGCATGTTTCTGTGCAACTTTCCCGCTAATGAAACTTTGAACATCATTACTCTGTATTTATGTTAGAAAGAAAAGATATAATATGTTATATACCGCATTGAGCATTATTTTACACAATAATAAATATTTAATCGTTGGAACTGTGCGTGGATCTGAAGAAGCAGAAAAACCTTCAAATGCTTCATAGAAATAACTATATGCAGTGTTATAATCTTTTTCTTCTGCATGAAGTATGCCACTTTGAAGATCTAGTCCCGTTTGGATGTGTGGAAGGCAGTAAATTGCATTTGCACATGTTTTTGCTGATGTCAGAGATGCTCTTGCTTTAGGAATATTCTTGATAGCATGATATATCTGCGATTCAAGTAAATATACTTCGACAAGTTGAAATTTATCATCAAGACGTTTAAGTTCAATTAAAAGAACATCTGCAAGCTGCAAAGCTTTAGAATATTGCTTCGCTTTCATGTAAAGCCCAATAATTCGTGTCTCTAGTGATAATTTTAGAAATATTCGATTATTTTTGGTAGCCCAATCAATAGTTTCTTTTGTAACATTTATTTGAAATTCTAGGGAATTAGGGACAGAAGAAAATAAATCAATTAATGTCCGAACTATTGTTTGTTATAAAATTTATAAAAGGAAATAAATATAAACCAATTTTTGCTGTTTTTGCTTTTGCAAAGTTTTTTAAAAATACAAGACTTTTCTGAATTAATTCTGCTAATTCATTTAATTTCCTAGATATATTACTTATATTATTCACTTTAATATAATATATGTTTTCACCTTTGATCTCTATACAGTTCGCCAAGTTTAATTAATGCCTCTTCGTGCTGTTTCATTTCTTTTTCTTCTGTACTGAAATCTTTTTTTAATTGTTCAATCAAACGCATTTCTACTTCCTCAAAATTACACATTTCATCTTCAACCTTCTCTAAGGATGTGCTGTTCTTATTCATCTCCATGTTTTTTAAGATTTATTTAAACATTTAGGCTTTTATATAATTTGAAAAATCGGTTACCCTAATTTTGATACTTATACTGAAAATATATAAGTTATTGATTTCTATATTATAAGATGTATTTTTCTATAAAAAGGTATTGTAATATAGGTTTTATTATAAAAAAAAATTTTATAAAGATTTTTTTGATTTGATATGTTTAAGATTTTTTGAGACTGTTAAATATAATAGTTGAATAAAGCATATTTAACAATGGGTAAGACACTTAAAAAGATAAGAAATAAAGCATTGTAAGTGTTCATTATATATTAATTTAATTATTGATTTAAAATGTTATAAGAATATTTATTTATAAGAGAATGTAGAAAAATATATTGAAATTATGATTTAGATATAATAATTAGATAAAATTCTTTGGATGATGAATTTTGTTTATTTAGAATAAAAAGATATAATGTAAAATTTTCGCAATTATGGGTAATACCTGTCGTTTTGAAATGTGAAGATAAAATTAATTATGAATATGTGAATGGAAGTTTTTTGAAAAAAATATGAATTTATAAATAGTTATTGAGACGATTTTTTAAAGGCTTTTTCTTTTTTTTTCATACGATTCTTCTTTTTTCTATAGGGTCATTGGAGAAAGTAAAAAAGCTAATAAATGAGAAGCTTCGCTTTATATATCTAGATAAACCATTGAGGGACCGACATTATTTTGCTATATTATTTTTTTATTTTTAAATATCTTCTTTGATAGAGGTCCTAACGAAATTATAATAATAGTTGAAAAATTAATTGGTCTTTAAAAATTAAATTGTTTCCATCATTAGATGGTTTTTACTTTTATTTAATCATTTATTTGAAAGATATATTTTTATGATAATTGTTTTTCATGATTGTTTATATTTTTTATTTAAATCCGTTTTTTTAACCAATGATATTTAATGCAAGCACTTTTAAGATTTGTGATTATTGATATTATAAAAGGAATCTATTAATATATATTATTATTATTATTTATATTATCATATTAATGTTATTAGAACGATGTATTTATGTTTTTTTTGAGACATTTTTAAATATTCAACATTGATGATTTTTTTGTTTTTCAATATTTTTGTTTTTATTATATATGAATGAAATTTATAATGGGAAATAGTATTTTTGGAGTTTTTTATGAGTTAAATGTTATAAATTTGATTTCTGCATTTCTTTGTATAGAAATTATTAAATTATGGCTGCAAACTTTTTAACAACTAGTATTTGGAAATAGATTTATAGTTTTTTATTAGAATTTGTTTCTCTATATAATAAATAGAACGTTTTGATTGTCTCACAGATTTTTGGTATTATATATTTTTTGAAAATAGATTATTTACTAATGATGAATATATTATTAAGTGAAGTTATATTAACAAATTTATGTTTTTTGAATAGGCTAGGGTAAAATATATGGAAAATGGTACATTTTTTCTATAATTCTATTTTCTTTTCAAGTATGATTCAAGATATTTCTAGTGATTTGAGACATTAAATTATATTTTTGTTTTTGATTTTAAGAACATATTATACTTTATAATTTTTAATATAAGTATCAATTATGATATTTGAAGTTTTTTATTTGAAGCATATTTTATGGCTTTTGTTTTTGTTAATTTAGTCTAGTAATGAGCTAGAATATAAATTAAGGGTTATTATTGATTGGTTCTAGGATTTTAAGTATAATTTAAAGATTTTATCTTATTGTTATATAAGATTTCTGTTATATTTACGAAAAGGCTTATATAATAATAGAAATTACCATTAGAAAATTTTGGTTTTTAGTCTTGAATTCTTATTTTTCCAATTCAACTAAAAATGACATAAAAAGGAGCTTAGATCTTATACACTTAATTTTATTATTAATGGTTATTAAATTCTGTGGAATTGAGATAATAAACTGTTTTTAAACCATTTATTTATATACATGTATGGTTTTATATTTTGATATTTTATAATCCATAGTTTATGTTAAATATATAAAATTAGAAAATCCTATGAAATATTATTATATTATATTCATTAATATTTACATAAAATGGCCAATATTTTTGAAATAATATAATCCGTTTTATTAGGCTATTGGTAATTATGGTTATAAAAATATGTATATAAATAATCTGATAAAAACTAGCCTGGATAGCTTTTATAATTGTCTGATTTTGCTGAATATTCCTTAAGCCATAGAGATTTGTTCTGATCTATTTTATTGAAATTATTTGGATAAGGTAATGGAAATTGAGAGATGTTATTATGATATTTTTTATAATTACAAATGTTGAAATTATTATGATATTCATTTTTGTCACTTTGATTATAAAAAGATATAGTATTAGCACTGGAATTAATGTTAATTTTAGATGTTTTAGTATACTGTTTTAAAGGAATATTGTTTACATCTATATATCCAGAGTAATGTAAAGAGTTATAATTTTTTTGAGCTGATAACCCTAAACGAACTAATCGTATATCGTTAATATCTAAGAATTTCTTGTTAAGTTTTACTCCACGCAAAAGCATTGACTTATGAATATTTGAAGATTTGGATATTTTATAAATAAGACTAGTTCCTTGTTAAATTTTTGCTTCACATTTTGTTTGCTTTTCTACCTCATTGATTTATCATTTTCAATGTCTGGAAAAGATACATATGTTAAAGGGCTAAATAATGTGCTATTTGGGATCCAATTTTTATCTGGCAAAACAATACCCGATAAGCCATTACTAAGTTTTGTATTTAGTTTAATAAACTACAAATATAAGAAAATATAGTAATATAAATTCAGAAAACCTCTTCGGGTCCTTTTTTTTTAGTATATAAAGATAAAACCAAATCATTGTATAGGGAATTATCTTCCGATATAAAAAGTATATCATTTCCTACAGTATTTCGTGATTTTTCTTCATCAGACAATTGTGGATAAACTTTTTCAATAGCGTTAAGTAGTCTTTTTTCATCAATAAAAGGAAGTAATGCGACTCCTTTTTGCTATATTAGTAATATAGTGATTTTAAAAAGCAATAAACCTTGCCATGAAAACTTTTTTCCATTCATATCAATAGGAAATTCTTTTGGATAAAAATCAATAACTTCAGAGTCTTCGTCCGTCATAAGAGATTGTAAAGGCTTTGGAAGGCTAGCTTTGCTATTTTTAACATTAGTTTTTTTCTTAAAAAAATATAATTTTCAAAACGTACCTAGAAGCAGGAAGTACACCCAACAGTTGTTCATATGGTTGAAACGGTTTTCCAAGTTCGAATTTGATATTTAGAAGCGATATATCTTTGAAATCTGACGCGAAAGGTGCGTAATGATATGGATAATACCAATTCCATGATGGGCAGCCCTTTATTTGTTAATATTTAATTTTAATGAATGCCATTTTTACCTGATAATAATATAGTAATACCCAACAAGTCCCTTTTATGTAATGCTCAACAATTCTAGATATAATTATATTACTTTGAAAGAAAAAAAGAAAATTACCTTTTACGAGATTCTATATCGGATTCTGAAATATGGAATTTCTGATCATAATATCTTTCTTGAAAACCAGGTTCCCAAAGACTAACTTATCAGTATTGTAATATATTAAATGGAAAAAATACCGAATGGTATCTTCAATATCATCAGAATTGTCATCGTGAATCATAGAGTCTTGTTTTAGAGTGTCATCTAATACAATAGCTTTGCGTTTTCCAAGGATAGATGATTCTGAATCAATAGTACAATTTCGGTTATATGATTTATTTAGATCATCATATAAGTCTATATTTTGATTTTTTTCAAAATCATTATCATTCATTTTCTCCTTCAATAGTTTTGCTGCACACTTATTTATGTCGTTAGTCATCTTTAAGTTCTTCCTATTAAGAACTGCGTTTCTATTTGTTACTGTAATCATTTTCACATCTTCTTTATTTGAAGGTATTATTAGATCGTTTGGTAAATATGGAATATATCTAGAATTAGATGTTCTTTTACCAATATTTTTAAGATTATTATCATATAAAGGTGTCTTTTCTTGAGATACTGATTTTTTATAATCTTGAGGAGAATTCTTGTCTATTTTTCTTCGCTTATTAGATTCATTTAGTCGTTTTTCGGCTTTTGAAATTCAATCTATGAACAAAGTATATAAAAAAAATAATTACCTTCGTGTCTTTTATAAAATATATGACTTTCTTGCTGACCTAAAGCTTGTAGAATAATTTCTGCTCGTTTTAAGTCAATATGTCCATCCATCGTTAAGTATCCTTTCATTTCATGTAATTTATCTTTCCAAATATTTCCCAAGATTTCAATTGCACCCTCGTATATGTCTAAACTTGGTAAATGTGGCAAAAAATCATTACCCACAAAAAAACATAGACAGACCCAATCATCTATAGCACGTTCAAGATCAAACTGAAAGGAAATGTTTGGAATATTAAGTTCTGCTTCAAGATACTCTCTTAGAACATCAATACGAAGCCAAATAAAGGGTTTTGGAAGAGGGTTGTTTTGTTTTTCATTAACTATTTCATTATTTTCTCTAATCCCTGTGCATTCCCTTGCGAAATGACCATTTTGACCACAAATATGACAGCCTTTTGAATTAGAATCCTGAAAAAAAACATCTTCTCTTAAAACACGGAAATGGGGTTCATGAGTAGCAAGGCCAAGCATAATAAGATCTGCATCTAATCCATATATAACGTGCTGGGTATTGGGATCATATCCTGGATTACATCTTTGACTTCGTATAAACTCCATAATTTTGTGTTCACCTTCCCCGGGAACAGTAGCATCTGAAAGAATTACTTTTAACTATATTCCGTATTAATTTAGATTATTTAAATCAAGAAATATACATCCTTCCATGCAGGATCTACATTGATTTTGTAAATAATCCAATATCTTAGTGACCTTGCTAAAGTATCCATAAAAGGTGTCCCTGGAGTTATAACATTACTATCCCAGATTTCTTTTTTTTTTGAAATTTCGTCTATAGGCTTGCCTGACGCTTTTAAAAGTTTTATGAATTCTTCTATATCTGCCGCTTTTTTTTCTGCATCTTGAGCTGCTCTAAATCTTCTTGATCTTTGTTGGTTCATTTTAGCTCTTGGAGCTACTCCATCAATTGCCATCATCATGAGTTTTCTTGGCCTAACAATATTGATAATTCTTTCTGTATATTTAAATATTTCAATCATCATTTCATCTTCGTTTTTTGGAGCTGGCTTATCTTCCGGATGAGTACAAGGATGAACTATACCATTCATATCAAGATAAAGATTATCAAATTCTGTCCCATTAGGATTTGGATGAGAGAAAGATGGATAAATCAGAGTTCCATCAATGTCTATAGGTTTTTCTTCTATAACTTGTGTTATTATTTTTGGATCTAGACTTTATGAGATCAAAACATTAAAATTGAAAAAATTGCTTGCATTTTCTTGATAGATGACGGAAAAGTGCAGGAACTCCTAATAGGAAATTAAGTATTTGTTTTTTTTTAATATTTTGTTAATTACCCATTATAAATAATTCTAGATTTATTATTTTTAAAAATGTTCTAAAAAAAATAAATGTTTTGAAACTAAAGAATTGTTATTTTATGAATTTTCATAAATAAAAAATATATAATTACTATTTGGGTATTCCAGTTGTCTAAAAATGAAAATAGAAACAGAAATAAATGTAAGTTTAAATATAGTTCTATGAGATAATTTAGACAATCACGAAGACCATTAGTTTCACCAAATTTAATTCTGTTATTTATTAGAATAAAATCTTGCAAAGAAAAATATTATTTATAGAATATTAGATAAAAATCAGAAGTTTCAAAAGGTAGCAATTTTTTTCAGCATGGAATAAACTTATACTTTATTCTAGGTCAAATGTCTCTAAGACATCATATAATATACGTATATTCCTATAACTAAATATTAAGCATAATTACCTTAATACTTTTATAATTTATATATAGAAAAATTATTTTTAACGATTTTTTAAAAATCGACTGTGCTTAAAAATTAGGATTATGAATTATTGCTTATATTCTGAATAATATTTATCTAATGGATTTCTTATTTAAAGGATATAATTTCTTTCCACAACCGAAACAACAAATTGCTGAAGAAACAATTATAAAGCTATGCGACAAACTAGAACATGCAACATTGTTAGAAGATAGAAGAGCTGCAGTTCTTGGATTAAAAGGATTTAGTAGGGAATATCCTGAGGTTTTTTCCTTTGTAATAATGTTTTTGATTTGTTTAACTAGGATTTTTAGACTGTTATTGCGGGAAGTTTAAAAGGATTAATTCAAAGTTTGAGAAAGGATCAGCAAGATTCTGATATATTAAAAATTACTCTTGAGACAATTGTTATTTTATTTGATAGTCATCATTCTAATTGTAATAATGATACATCTCTTTGGCTTGCAGATGAATTTGTTCTTGTATGTTTGAATTTTTAAAAGAAGTAATATTTAACAATACACTAGAGAAATGAGAATTTTGAGATTCTTTTAGATATATTAGAAGATACAGAGTTTTATGTCCGTTTTTATTCTGTTAAGATTATATTATTTATTGTTAAATATCGTTTAATTGAAGTTCAAGAATGTATGTTTTTAAGTCCTGTTGGAATATCTCGAATTATTGCTCTTCTTGATGATAAAAGGGATGCTATTAGAAATGGTGTTATCTAAATATTTTTTATATGTTTTTTTCTTACATTAGTTTTTTGTTTTCAGAAGCTATTTTGCTCTTAACTTCTATTTCTAATGATAATATTGAATTGCAAAAAAGGGCTGTTTTTGAAAATGTGTTTGATCGTATTTTAACTATTATACATAATGAAGGAGGTCTTTTGTATGGGAATCTTATTGTTTTTGATTGTTTGGTTTTATTGCAGAATCTTGTGCGTTATAATTATAGTAATCAAAATTGGTTTCGAGAAATGGGTTTTTTTAGTAAAATAAAAGACTTATTAGATGAGGTTTTCAATGCAGATAAAATTAAGATGTTGCAAGAAAAGCAAAAACTTGCTAATATTTCTGCTGTTTTGGAGTTTATAAGATTATTTGTTCCTAAAGAAACTTTGGGGAATACTCTCAATCAAGTATTAAAACAAATAATTGCTTTTTTTTCCTTAAATGCTTTTAGAATGCTATTCTTAAAGAAGGCGTTTTCGTTAGAATAATAGAATTGTCTTTTTCATTTGATGTACCATTTACACTTCAAGCAGAGGTAAATAACGTTCATTTTTATCAATTTTGTTAAATAATAAGGCAGTAAAAACATGTGGTTATCTTATTAAAGGGAATATAGATAGTCAAAAATTTTTTTCAAAGAGTTTTTTATCTTTGAACAATATGCAGTTTTCTACTGAGTCCGAATATATTATTGTACAGCATTTATTTTCTATTGCTCTTTTTTCCTTTAAATCTAATTTTTCTTTGAGATTGGCCTGCTGTCACTTTCTTCAATCTTACATTTGTTGTAATTCTTCAAAACAAATTGATATTTTGATTTATATTATTGATATGTTTAAAAAGAATGATTGCTCTGAGTGTTTGTTGATATTTTTTTTATTTAGAAATTAATAGCATATAGCTCATTTATGTAATCCTTTAACTATTATCTTAGTATTTAACCAAGGACAAAAATCTGGCTTTCAAATTTGGTTTTCATGTGTTATGTTAATGCATATTATTGAGGAGAATCTTGAAGCAAAAAAACTTATTAGGGAAATTGTTATAGGTGATTCTAGTTTAGGAGAAGAGCCTGTGTCATGTATTCAGATAATATCTGCCAATTTAGTCAGTTCTTTGGGTTATTCATCTGAATATCGAGCAAGCATTGCATATTTTATGTTATTGATATTTTGGCTTTTTGATGATAATGAATCTGTTTCTGAATTTCTTAATGAAGGGAGCACTGTTCAATATTTAGTTTCAGTTCTTCAGAATTCAAAAATAGGAATAATATTGCAAGGTCTTGCTGCAATCCTTTTGGCTATTGCATATCATTTTACAGATGAATTATCTGCTATACCTAGGTAATAAATTGTTTTGTCTTTATTAAATATTTTCTAAATGTTAAAATTCTAGAGAATTATTAAGGCTTCTTATTGACCGCATTGGACGTGATTCTTTTGTTAATCGAATTATTCAGTTTAAAGAACATCCTCAGTTAAGAGATTGCATGTTACTGAACTATAAAGAAAATATGGATGACATATATTTTGAAGATACATTTATTACTTTTTTTAGAGATAATTATGGTTTTTATCACTATTTTAGCAAGAGTTACACTTCTAATTTTTTAGGAATAATTCGAAAATCTATAGATAAGGATCCACACTTGTCTCTACAAACTAAAAAAATTAGTATTGAAAATGAAGAATTATCTAAGAATAATGCTTTCTTGGTGAATGAGCTTGAAAGCAAAGAACTTAAATTACAGTTATTACAAAAAGAAAAGGAAAATTATATTCGGGAACAGAATACAAAAGTTGAAAATCTTGTAACGGAGTTAGAAGTAGGAAAACAGAATGTAGATAACATGGTATAGAAGAATATAATTGATATTGATTTAACTTATATGATTAAGGAAAAACGACTTATTCAAAAGAGTAGTGACTTTGATTCTAATTTAAAAAAGTTTCAAGAAGAAATTAATAACTTGTTACTTGAGAAAGAAGATCTTTCTTTATCTTTAGAAGATGCAAGGAAAGAATTAGCTAATATTGTTGAATTGAAGGAAAAGGATGCTGAAGATTTTGCTGTTATTATTAATGATCTTAAAAAGGATCTTATCTATTATCGTGAATTATCTTCTGAGGTCTCGGATTTGAAATCTCTTAGAGATTCGTTGCAGCTGCAATTATCTCAAGAAAAAATGTCTCTGGAATCTTTTAAAAATGATTTTCTTCAATTAAAAAAACAGGTTAGTTAGTTTAAGTTATAAAATAGTTTAATATTTTTTATAGGAATGTAAGTTAATGGATGAAATATTAGAGTTAAAGGATCAGAAAAATGAGTTTGAGAGGAAACTTAAAGAAATTGATGAATCATGGTTGTTGGTAGTAGAAGAACTTGAAGAAAAAAGAAAAAGAGATAAATGTCGTTTAAAAGAATTAGGTGACATAGTATCAGAAACCGATAATGAAAGTCAAGATGATCAGTGAGAATAGGCATAATGGAAAAATACTTTAAAATAATAGTGGATCATGAAATGGCATTGAATTTGGTAGGATGAATACTATATTAGATAGGAATTACATGTAAATAAATTAAGACAAATCATTTTGTTCTTTAATACATTTGGCTATATTCCAATATTGGTATGCTTTTCCTTTTTCTAAGACATCTTTTACTGTTTTATCATCAGAGCAGCTTCTAAATTTCCAGGTTCTGAAATTCCTATTACGCAGTTCTCCTTCCCAAATTAATTCGCACTTGTTTTTAGAATAATCTACTAATGCGTGTTCATCTTGTTTCATTAGTTGATTATCAAATGGGATTGTGGATGAAATTGGTATATCAGTCCAATTAATGCGACGAAGCATCAAATCTTTGAAACGTTTAATGCCTTTTGAACCGCCTTCAACTATAACTAAATTGAATTTTGGATGCAATATTGTTATTCCTGTGAGACCATGTTGTTCCGCATTTTTGTCGATTTTAAATCTATGCTGTCCATGAGATAAATATTCAACTCTTCATATATATTAAAAAGGTATAATGATTGAAAATTTAAATTACCTGAAAACATTACAGTATATTCCACGTGATGCATTTTCTGCTTTTTTCATTCTTAGTTTTTCACGTTTCTGATTAGGTGTTAATTTTCTCTTATTATTTTCTTGTTCGTGTTTTTCTTTTCTTTCTGCAACCTGACGTCGTACCATTGCTTCAACTCTTGTTGGATTTTTAATTGCTTCGCTTGTTAATACTCTCATAAGGTTCGATAGTTTTACTAAATAGATTATCAAAAATATTTAATAGTTGAGTAACACACCTTTAGGTGGCTCTGGTTCTTCTAATCCTAAGCGTTGTTTATCTTGTTTCATTTTTAAATCTTCTGCTCTTCTTTGACGTCTTGATTTCCGCCTTTCTTTTTCTGTTAACATGAGAGCTTTTGGAGGGGGTTGATTTTTTTCAAATGGAGGTGGTATTGGTATAGGATGTTGAATATAGAGAGAAATAATTGAATCTGGAGTATCAATTTTTGAAAGACCAATATCGAGATCGTTGTATGATTTATTTGTTACGAGACTTTCATCCCACCATTCAATATCTGGTGGTGCTTCTTTCTAATATAATTAATATGAATATTTAAATTAATATTATATTACATAAAGAGCTTTATCAACATCTAATTCTTCCTCTAGTCCAACCTTTTTTGCATTATCCGCAATTCTCTTTTTTAATTCCTCTAACCTAGCTTGAGCTTTAAGAGCATTTGCTTGTTCTATATATTTTCCAGGTTCATTAAAAATAAGAGCTTTTTGAGCTTTAGAACGATAAACATTATAATTACTTTTTGTCTTCATTCTGGGATCATAATAAATATTCATATATGTATTCATAAAGTCATCTGTTGGGCTTCGTAAAATTTCCATTTGCTTTTTAGGTCGTGGTTGAGAAGCTACAGTCCGAAGATTTGCCTATTAATATTAGAAACTATAAAAGCCTGGAAACTCAGTAACCATAGTTGTAGCAAATTTAGGGCGAATTTTGTTTCTTTTGTCATTTCCAGTTTTAGATGTATCTGCTAATAAAGATGGATGAACACCAACAGAAAGTCCTCCTTTTCCTCGAAATTCATCATCATCTATGCTGTTATCCTTTAAAGATATTATTAAATAATATATAATAATTGGATATTATTTGCCTGCATACGTGCTTTTATTACAGATTTATTAATTAAATTTTTGTGTTCCTGGATTCTTTTTTGAATATCTGACTTTACGGTATGAAATTTTATTTCAGTAGATTTATCAAGAGAATTTGTTTTTTCACTGTGTGCTTTCTTCATTTTATTAATTTTTTCTAAAATACTTGCTCTTCCTTTTTGAATAATTTCTTCTCGTGTAAGATTATTAGAAACAGTCTTAAACTAAATTGGTAAATACAATTTGTATACTTTTAGTTTTTTTTCTTACATCTTCATCTGATTTAAGTTTTTTCGCCTTTTTTTCATCTGTTTCATCAAAAAATCTTTTATAAGTTTTATCAATCATGATATAAATTTAGAAAATTTTACAGATGATGTTAAAAAAAAAAACTTATATAAAAATTTTATTAAAAACAAGCTCGGTATTTGGTGTTTCTATCTTTTTGAAGTTAATTAAATTTGTTGTTCTTTATGAAATAGTTATTAAAAGAAAAACTGCCTTGATCTTTAATTTTATAATCAACGAAATTATAATAAATGAAAAAATAAAAAATGAATAATTCTAAGAGAATTATAAAATTATTATTTTTCTGATTTCTTGATATAAAAATTATATTTGCTAGGAATGTAAAATTTTTTATTATAATATTTTATAGCTAGTTAAATAATTTCTATATTAGTATATTTTGAAAAGTTAGCTTGAAATTTGTTAATATTTGTAGATATATATATGAAAGTTTTGTATATTTGTCTTAATTTTATTTGATTAAAACCTTATATATATAAGATAAATTTTCTAATTTCGACCGATCAATATATTAAATGTTTTGCTATAGTATATTGATTCTTGTTTGTTAATTGTTATGAATATAGCACAACCCATTAGTACAGAAGTTTCTTCTGTAGATTTTGGTTTTTATAGTCCTGAGGAAATAGAAAAAATATCAGTAAAGCAAATTATTAATCCTGTTATTTTTGATTATTTGGGTCATCCTTCGAAAGGTGGTCTTTATGATCCTGCTCTTGGTCCATTAAATCGTTCAATATTGTAAGTATTAAATTGTTTTAAAATGCAGTTTTTATTTATTGAAGGTGTTCGACATGTCATTTAGATGAACGTTATTGTCCTGGTCATTTTGGTCATATTTTTCTCCCAACACCAATGTATCATCCTTTGTTCTTATCTCAGTTATATAGACTTTTAAAAGCAACATGTTTATATTGTCATCATTTTAAACTTTCTTGTTCTATAGTAAATCTTTATTATTGTAAATTAAGGCTTTTAAATGCTGGACTTGTTCATGAGAGTCAAGAAATTGATAAAATTCATTCAAAGGTTAATAAAGAGGTTACTGATAATAAGAATAATGAATATAATATAAGTCTTTCTGAAAGAAGGGAGATATATGTGCAGGAATGTCTTGCAAAAAATGAAGTTTTAGATGGATTTACACGAAATAAGTTGGTTGATTCTGAAAAAAGGAATTTGATAAAAGAATTTCTAGAAAAAATTACTTCTCTAAGGAAATGTAACAATTGTTCATCGTTAGGATTTTCTTATATTTTTCTTTATTTTTGTTATTTTAATTATTAATAGAATATCACCCAGTTTTCGTAAGGATGGTTATGTAAAGATTTTTGAGCTTCCACTTTCAAAAAAGCATCAAGAACAAATGGATGCTCTTGGGAAGGTTAGGGTAAATGTGCTGCTAGAAACAAAGGAAATCAAAGCTCAAAAGTTTTATGATAGTAGTAGTGATTTAGGACATTATTATAAAGGAAATTGTGACGATGCTAAAATAGATGTTGGAAGGCATAACGATTTTTTAAATGAAACAATGAATTGCAAAATTTTGAAAGCCAGTAGTCATCCTAGATATATGTTACCAATAGAAGTTTTAAATCACTTGCGGCGGTTATTTACTAATGAACAAAAAATAATATCATTATTGTATAGGGGTTCATCTAGGCCAGATAAGCATTTTATAACTCCGGATTTTTTTTTTATACATGTTATAGCAGTTCCTCCTACTAAATTTAGACCAGCATCTCTTGTCGGTACTGATATACATGAAAATTCTCAAAATGAGTTATTTTCTAGAATACTTCAATCATGTCTTCGTATAAAAGAGTTAAATGATCTTGTTTCGAATTTAATCGATAAAAATGATTTTGAAAATAAAGATCATAATTTTGAGATGTTAATAGCTGCATTTGTCCAATTACAACATGATGTAAATAGTTTTGTTGATAGTAATCGAAATCCTGTGAATTTACCTCAGGGAAGGTTTCCTCCACCTGGAATAAAACAAATTTTAGAAAAAAAAGAGGGTTTGTTTAGGAAACATATGATGGGGAAACGTGTAAATTATGCTGCAAGAAGTGTTATATCTCCAGATCCAAATATTGAAACTAATGAGATTGGTATTCCTCCTGTTTTTGCTATGAAATTAACATATCCGGAACCTGTAACTTCGTATAATATTGATTTATTGAGACATGCTGTCATTAATGGCCCTGAAAAATGGCCTGGGGCAATTCAAGTTCAATTGGAAGATGGGTATATGATTTCATTGTTAAAAAAAACTTTCGAAGAAAGAGTTGCTATTGCAAATACATTATTGACTCCACAGACATATCGAGGATCAAATTCGTCCTTTTTAAGAGTATCTTCTACAAATAAAAAAGTATTTAGGCATCTTAGAAATAATGATATTCTTTTATTAAATCGTCAACCAACTCTTCATAAACCATCTATAATGGCACATAAAGCACGTATTCTTTCTGGAGAAAAAACCATAAGAATGCATTATTCTAATTGCAATGCGTATAATGCAGATTTTGATGGTGATGAAATGAATATTCATTTGCCTCAAAACGAAAATGCTCGAATAGAAGCACTATTGATTGCAAATACAGATTCTCAGTATTTGGTTCCTACATCCGGTATTCCTCTTCGTGGATTAATACAAGATCATATTGTTACTGGTGTTTGGATAACTAAAAAGGATACTTTTTTTACGAAGGAACAATATCAACAATTATTGTATGGTCCATTAAGCTTTGATAATGTTAGTTCAAATAGTGGTAAAATATTGACATTATCTCCTACAATACTTAAACCGGCTATTCTTTGGACTGGAAAACAGGTTATTTCTACCATTTTGTTGAATTTAAAGCCTAAAGATTGTCCCGGATTAAATCTTATATCGAAAGCAAAAGTTGCTGGAGAATACTGGGGTGTTCATACTCAAGAACAAACAGTTTTATTTAAGGATGGATATTTGCTTTCTGGAATTCTTGATAAGTCTCAATTTGGAGCTTCAGCCTTCGGTTTAGTACATTCAGTTTATGAATTATATGGATCATCTATTGCTGGAAAATTGCTTGGCGCGTTGAGTAGATTGTTTACTAAATATATTCAAATGAGGGGTTTTACATGTAGCGTAGACGATTTGTGTTTAAATAGTGATGGGGATAGTCATAGGAAAAAAATGATTGATAATGAATCATTGTATGACATGGAAGATGTTAAAAAATATATTGGTTTATCTGGCTGTAATGAATTAGATGATACTTTTAAAATAAAATTAGAACAAATTTATAGAGATAAAGAAAAACTTCAAGGTTTAGACCTCATAATGAAGAAAAAGATGAGTGTTTTAACATCCTCCATTATTAATGAATGCATTCCTAAAGGGCTTTATATTAAGTTTCCGTGGAATAATATGCAAATGATGACAATTTCTAGTGCTAAAGGCAATAATGTAAATGTTTCGCAGATATCTTGCCTTTTAGGTCTGGTTTTTTCATAAATATTGCTTAAAAATACTAATATTTTTGGAGGGCAACAAGAATTAGAAGGTAGCAGAGTTCCCATAATGGTTAGTGGGAAAAGTTTGCCTTCGTTTAAGCCGTATGATATGAGTCCACGAGCTGGAGGATATATCTTTGGGCGTTTTTTAACAGGAATTAGACCTCAAGAATATTACTTTCATTGTATGGCCGGTAGGGAAGGACTTATTGATACTGCTATAAAAACTAGTCGTTCAGGTTACCTTCAAAGATGCTTAATTAAACATCTTGAAGGAATTAGAGTACATTATGATCACACTGTTCGTGATTCTGATGGAAGCATAGTTCAAGTAGGTTGAATTTAGGATTTTTTTTATTTTTTTAATTTTGTTAGTTTCACTATGGTGAAGATTCTCTTGATGTTACAAAACAAAAATATATGTTAGAGTTTGGTTTTTTTGCTATGAATTATAAATCATTGGCTCGGAAATATCATGTCAAAACTCTATATAAATTAATTGACCATGAAAAAGCTGTTTTATATGCTGAAAAATCTATTAAAAACCCATTGAAATATGATCCAGTTCTTTCTAAGTATAATCCAGGCAGATTTCTAGGAAGTATTTCTGAAAAATTTCATAAATGTATGGATGATGTATGTATTTATTTTATGTGTTTTTCTTTTAAAAAAAAATAGTATATTGATAAAGATCCACATAATTTTTTTCAGAAAACTAAAAATAATAAATTGATGAAAAATAATATTTCGAAAGATAGGTTTCGTATTCTTATGCAAGTCAAGTATCAGCAATCTCTAGTACATCCTGGTGAAGCAGTAGGAGTTCTTGCTGGTCAGTCTATTGGTGAGCCTTCTACTCAAATGACTCTTAATACGTTTCATTTTGCTGGACTTGGAGCTAAGAACGTTACTCTTGGTGTTCCAAGATTAAGGGAAATAGTCTTAATAGCAAATTCGAATATTAAAACACCTAGAATGACTTTTGAGGTTTTAGATAAAGTATCAGATTATGAAGCAGAATTGTTTGCAAAAAATATTAGTAAACTTATTTTATCTGATTTAGTTGATAAAGTTATTGTTACTGAGTATATTTCAATTAAAGATAAAATTAAAAAGTATAATATTAAGATTATATTCTTTTCAAAAATAGAATATGAAAAAGAGTATAATTTATCAGTTTTTGAATTGAGAAAAGTCATGCAAAGTCGTTTTTTGAAAGAATTAGATAAAATATTGAAAAACATTCTTAAAAAAAATAGTAAAATAACTAGAAAAAGTATTATTGGAAAGGACGATGCTACACCATATATTGGAAAGGCCGCTTCTTTTAATGATTTTGAAAGTTTTCAATTTCAAGATGAATCGCTATTTAATAATATTTTGAATGATAATATAGAATCTGTAAAAATGACTTCTCAATTAAAACGGCGAGGTACTTACAATGATGATAATGATGAAGAGCAAATTATTCAGGAAAAAGATGCAGGTTATAGTGACGATAATACTGATGAACGAAGCGAAATTCAAGATTTTGAAAATTATATGAACGGTAATGAAAATTATCATAACAATACTATATATGAACTTGAAATGAATGAAGAAAATAATAACAATATAACTATTCAGAATACAGAAATTTTAGAAAATGTCTGTTATGCATGTTCAAATTGTAGAAGGTTTGAATTTGATAATATTGATGGAAAATGGTGTGAAATTGAGCTAGTTGTGAGTAATTTATGCTTATTGTTCTTACTAAATAATATTTAGTATCCTTTTGATACTCCTAAGTTATTATTAGTTAGTCTTATAGAAATGGCATGTAAAAAGACTGTGGTACGAGAAATAAGTGGTATTTCAAAATGTTTTCGAATTTTACCTGAATCAAAATTGGATACTTCCGTGAGTAATACATTGACTCTTTAGTTATTGAAATAATTTTCTATAACAGCGTATTTTAGGCACTGATGGTGTTAATTTTAAAGGGATTTGGGAAGCGTATGATATTATATCTGTAAATACGATTTATTCTAATGATATTGCAAATGTTCTTTGCACATATGGTGTTGAAGCTGCAAGAAATACAATAATAAGTGAAATTCATAAGTTGTTTAAAGTGTATGTTTGATAATTATTCTTTTATAAATACTTAATTCCATTTAGTTATGGAATAGTTGTTGATGTTAGGCATCTTACTCTTATTTCTGATTACATGACAATGGATGGTTCATATAAAGCTTTTAATAGGTCTTCTATATCTTCAAATGTTTCTCCTTTTTTGAAGATGAGTTTTGAAACTACATGCAATTTTCTGCAAGAAGCAACTTTATATGGTGATTCTGATTTTCTTAAAAATCCTAGTGCAAAATTGGTTATGGGGAAAGTGTTGGATGTTGGCACTGGTTCATTTGATATTTTAATGCCTTTGTTATAAAATTTAGTTTAAATATTTATGACTTGGATTTTGAAATGATTTTTAAAATTAGTATTTTAATTTTTTTGAATTTTTTTTGATGATTTTAAAAAATTAATATTTATGTTGAGAGTTTAAAAGAAAACGAAGGACGAATTTAAGTTAATACATGTGTTTTTAGTAAAATAGTTATATTAAGTGTTATTTTATTTGCAAATAAATTAATTGCTTTGATTTATCATTGGATTTTGTACAGTTTTATTGTTATAGTACAGGGGTTATAGACATTAATTTTAAGTTTTTTAGTGAATCTTGAAATAAATTATTAAATATAAAATTATTGGATTTTGAAGATTACTAAAAGTAAATATTTTGAAAAAAAAAAATAATAAATTACAAACGTTGATTTGTATTTTAGATGATTATTATAAAAATTGATAATTTTAAAGTGTAAAATTATTTAATTTGATAATATATGACCTGTTATATATTTATAATTTTATATAAATTTTAGTTTATTTCTTTCAATAAGTTTATATAATATTTATATTTGTTTTTTTATTTTTATGTATAATAATTGTATTGTTTATAGAATTATATGTTATTGTATTTTTTTTTATAGTTTTATTAGATATTTTAGTATTTAAAAAATATTGATTTGGAATTCCATATTGAATTAACAAAATATTAATTATTATTTGATATAAATTTGGTGTATGTGTGATAGTTATTAATGAATAATAGTTTAAATTAATGAATAAAAGTTTAAAAATATAGTATTTTTTTATAAAAATTTATTTAAAAAAATTATTTTTATGCATCTAAAAGAAAAAATACTAAAAATTTGTTAACATAGATAGAAAAGATATACAATGTAAATCTCAGAGCAAAAATGAGATTAATGTATATTTCTTGCTTATTTTTAAAAGCACTAAAAAATTAGATTAATTAAATTGTTTTTATATTACAAACCTTACGATAGACAATAGACGGACCATTTTCATCATATTCTTGTTTGCTGATCCACATTTGCTGAAATGTTGATAAACTTGCAAGAATAGATCCTCCAATCCTGATTTTTATTTAGTATTAATGAAATAATGAAATTATATATAATACCAGACAGAATACTTGCGTTCAGGAGGCGCAACTATTTTAATTTTCATTGAAGAGGGTGCAAGTGCTGTTATTTCTTTTTGCATACGATCCGCAATACCTGAATTATGTTTAACGTAATCTTTTTGGATTTTTTCTCAATTTACCTGGATACATTGTCGTTCCACCTGACATAACAATATTGCTATAAAGGTCTTTGCGAATATCCACGTCACATTTCATAATAGAATTGAAAGTAGTTTCATGAATACCGCATGTTTCCATACCGACTATAGATGGTTGAAATAGAGCTTCTGGAGCACGGAAGCTGTTTAAATATTATATTATATTTAAAAAAAATAAAATTTAAGTATTACCGCTCATTACCAATAGTTATTACTTGGCCATCTGGTAATTCATATGATTTTTCTAAGCTAGAAGATGATGAAGCGGTATGAATTTCTTGTTCAAAATCTAGAGCAACATAACAAAGCCTTTCTTTAATGTCACGAACAATTTCGCGTTCTGCTGTAGTAGTATAATTGTAACCACGCTCTGTTAAGATTTTCATAAGATAGTCTGTTAAGTCCCGTCCGGCAAGATTAAGACGCAAAATAGCATGCGGAAGTGCATAACCCTCATAAATAGGAACAGTATGTGTAACACCATCTCCAGAATCAAGCACAATACCCGTAGTACGTCCAGAAGCATAAAGCGACAAAACAGCCTGAATTGCTACATAAAATGCAGGAGTATTAAATGTCTCGAACATTATTTGGGTCATCTTTTCCCTATTAGATTTTGGATTAAGAGGTGCCTCTGTAAGTAATGCAGGATGTTCTTCCGGAGCAACACGAAGTTCGTTATAAAATGTATGATGCCAAATTTTTTCCATATCATCCCAATTACTGACGATTCCGTGCTCAATAGGGTATTTTAATGTCAAAATTCCGCGTTTTGATTGAGCTTCATCTCCCACATATGAATCTTTCTGGCCCATTCCTACCTTTTAATTTGTAAGTTAATTAAACTATTATTTAAAAAGTATATATACCATAATACCCTGATGACGTGGGCGTCCAACGATAGAAGGAAAAACAGCCCTTGGAGCATCATCGCCCGCAAAACCTGCCTTACACATGCCTTCATTACATTAGTAAATATAAATTGTTTATTAAAATATTTTATACCAGATCCATTGTCAATAACAAGAGCAGCTATTTCGTCTGCAAAATCAGTATTTTCTTTTTAAATTAAAGCCACAGCATTACCCTCCATTTTTATAATGTCTTAATGCAATTCAAAATAATTTGTTAAAAATAGCTATTAAAGAAGTAATAATTAAAATAATTGATTGTTTTTTTTCAGGGGATTTTGAACAAAAAGTGTATAAGAGGGTAGGGTATGTCTTTATAGGACACATTTTTCGTGACTTGGTTTGAACTTTTTAAAATCGACTATTTTTAGTGCTATTTAACTATTTTTAAAAAATATTTTAGAAAAAAAACAACTATTTTAATATTATATATACTTTTGATATTAAATCTATTATTTTATTATGGAATGAATAATGAAATTATATATGTATATATTATATGTATTATTATAGATATTTTAAACGTTTAATTTTTAAAATCTTAATGTACTTTTATTAATTTTCCTTTAAAATATCTGGATACAATTAATATGTTGTATTAATTTTTATTATAATCATTTTAATATAAAATATAATATGTACAAATTTTTTAATCAAAAAACTATTATAAAATTTTAAGTTTTTTATGTTTATGTATTTTTTGAATGTATAATAAATGTTCTTTCAATAAAATGTTCATGTTATTTTTAATAAAAAAATATATTTTATAGATTATTCTTATAAATTTTAAAAAAATTATAGATAAAATTAGATTTTAGTTTAAAAAACTACATCAAAAAAATATTTTTGGGAAATACTATTAAATAAGTTTTGAATTGATAATGTTTTAAAATTTTTTAGAATATTTTTTATACCATTGGATAATATTTAAAAATTATTTACTTTTAAGAAAATATTATTTAAAAAATCTTATTTATGAATAAATTGATTTTAAGCGAAATATTTATATTTATGTATGTTTTTTTTTTGTATTTATTTAAAGTACTAAAAAAATGGATTATAAACTATTATTATGTTTTTATTTATATATTTTTTGATAGAATTGTATATAATGAAATATTTAGTATTTATCTTTGTTGTTTTTTTGTTAAATATTAACAATTATTAAATTTAATTAACGGTATTTATGAATAAATATTTTAAAGTAGTTTTTTTTATACTTTTTTATTAAATATTGTAATTTAATTTATCATATTTTATACATAATATATACATATACTAATAGCTATAAAATACAATATTATCAAAATATAATAAATTATTTAAAATCATGTTTAATGGTGATTTTTACTATATAATTTTAAGAATTAAAAATATTTAATAGTTTATATAGTTTGTGTATATATATATTATTATTTATATTCAAAAAGGTTATATTACCAAGATTATTATGAGTATAAATTACATAATAGATATTAGACCAGTTGCATACTATAAAAGTTAAAATTATTGGTAGTAAGAAAATAATTTAACCTTCATAGGTGGTATATTAGGATGAGGAACCGCATCAAAAGTTTTAAACTCCAATTCTAGATTAGGTCCTATTCGGATATAGGCACCCTTATTTCCCTGAGTATCGCAATAATTAGGAGCAGAAAATACAGTAATACAATATCCATTATGTTCTACTTCATAGCCATTAGGTTTAACTTCATGACTTCTGATAATGGCTTTTAGATTATTGGCTTCTACAAACTTTTTTGTAACATCTGGACCAAATTGCAACCCTACTCCTCTTTTACTAGGACCACGACCTAATGAAGGCTGAGGGTCTGTCCATAAAATTTCCTTATGTAATTAATGTAAATTAATATTTCATATACAAATCTTTACCATCATTAGACCTGTATTTCCAGGTTGTTTTTTAGAAATTCTATCAATATTTTTTATATCATTTAATGTAACATTATCGTTTGAAAAAAGCCCTCCATGTATTACTAAGTAAGTGCGACCTATTAATGTTGCAAGAGGCAAGCAATTAAAGGACTCTGAAAATAGTTTAAAAGTACGTTCTGTATATCTTTCAAAAAATTAGCCAGAAATAAAAAAAAAGAAATGTATATTAACTTTGCTTTGCATTCTCCCTCAAATCCATATATTTTATTCATATCATCGGTTTCATGATTCCCTCTATTAAGAAAAATTCCAGTAGGATATAGCCATTTATAAGCGTAAAGTAAAAGAACAACTTCTGTTGACCATGAACCTCGATCAACAAAATCTCCATTAAACAAATAACGATTGGTTTCCGAAGGTTTTCCGTTTAATCTAAATATTTCAAGTAAGTCGAAATATTGTCCTAATATAATATATTAGCAATATGATAAACCTATAAAACAAATACCATGTATATCTCCACAAATTGTAAGAATGTGGTCAGATTTTATATCAACTTCTATCATTGTTGGTTCTAAACTAAGGATTTTTTTGATTGAAAGAATTATCTAATTTATTTAAAATATTTTTGCATATGTATATTAATTTACTTGATAAACATATTTTAGATGAATCTTTTTTCCATTAGAAAATCTAGAAATCATATCATTTATGAATTCTAGCGTCATGCTTTCGCCTAATCGTTCTCCATCATAATCATCCTTTATGACTTAGATGTATTAATATGATTATTTATTTATAATATTAATGTTACCAATAGCATCAAAATCGATTCCTTCTGTAGCAGAAGACTCTTCTCCTACATCAATAGCTTTTTCAAATTTTATTCTACGAATTATCTTTTCACATTCAATAGCTTTTCTTCTAGTTTCAAAATCATTAGGAATATGTTTTATTATAGTATGATAGTCTTTCAATGCATCTGAGTGGCGCAAAGTAGCTGTATATGCTATTGCTCGCCTATAATATGCCTATTTTTTATTAAAACTTTTTTAACTATTGAAGAAAATACTTTTAAGTAAGATGGATCAATGGAAATAGCTTTAGAAGCATCTTCGATAGCCAATCTATATGACTCAAGATTTATATAAGCATATGCCCTATTAGTGAAATAAACTGCCTTAGTTGGATCTAGCTCTATAGCTTGAGAATAAAGCTTGATTGCTTCCGAAAATGATTTTTCTAATAAAAGTTTGTTGCCTTGGTTTTTTAGCTGCATTGCTCGTTTAGTATCTTCTAAAGGTATTTGTGAAAAAATTGATGATAAGTTTGACATCTTTTTTAATGAAATAATGACAATTTCAAAAATACATGATTTCAATATAAGTTAAAGAATATAAAAAATGAAGTTTTCGGACATATCGATTTATGATTTTAAATATATACATATATTCAATATATTTTATATTAAAAGAATCTTAAAATTAACAAATAGTCTATCTTTGTGTTTATGTAGAAAAATGATTAATATTTTCTTTCTCTAAATTATTTTGTTTAATTTTATCTACTTTGTCCTTATTTTTTCGACGCTCCTCTAATCGTTTTGCAGCAGCTGCTTTTCTAGATATTGGATCAAGAACATTAGAAAATGGTTTTGTTGGATATTGCAAGTTTTCTGGAATTTCATTAATTATTTCCTGAAGTTGTTGAGAATTTTTAAAATGATATGTGTTATTGGTGATAGATTTTGAAAAGTTAGAATTTTTATCTAAAATATCCTTTTTAAAAGTGTCTGAATTGTCATTCCTACTATCTCCTTTTTTAGTAGATAATTCTGTAAAATTTTGATTAATGGTTTTTTTATTTTTTATTTTTTTATCAGAAGTATCACAATTAAATATAATAGTATCAGGATCTTTACATTTTTTCTGATAATTTGAAAAATCGTTCTTTGTATTAAGTTCTTTCATTGATTTTTTATTTTTATTTATTTCACGATGATTCATATTTATATTAACTTTCGGATGTTTATTGTCATTATTTTTAAATAAATAGCATGCATTGTTTAAAGATGTTTTAAGATTGCAAAATTCTTTTTCTGAGTTTTCTATTTGAATGTTTTTATCTGAATTTTGAGTTACAAGATGAATATTTGGTTTTTCGATTGTTTGTATTTTGATATCCCCTATATCATCAATTAAATCGTTTTTGATATTTTCTAATATATTTTCAGGAAAGCTATTTCCTGACAAACTCTCTCTTCTAGACTCTTTTATAAATAGATCATTTCCAACATCATTTTTTTTAGAATGCATTAAATCTATTTTAGATAATTTTTGTAGTTGTTTTTCTAAATGAAAACATTTAGATTTCCAGAATTGATTTTCGTTTTCAAGATTTTTTTTAAGAATATTTAACGTTTCAAATTTAGTTTTCCAGTATTTACCAGATGATAGATGATCTTTTATATTATCTGTAATATTGAATTTAGATGTATTGTTTTCCAAATGATCATGAAAAATGCTTGTTTCTTCGGAGATTTCTGAAATTAAAAGTCTTAGTTTCTGATTATTTTGAGTAATAGAGTTAATTTGTTGATAAAGTATATTTGTTGGAGACTTTTTGGAATTTGATGCAATAGCTTTAAAATCACTGGAAAAAATAGTATTTGCACATGTTTTATCTGCTTCAAAGTTTTTTGATTTGGATAAATATGGACTAGGAAATTTTCCTGGAAATTTTCGAAAAAAATATGTTTTATTTTCTTCCGAGTCGTATGTGCCATTATCATGCTCATAAACATCATAAAAAGAAACAGTTTTACGTGTGCCATTTGTTCCTGGAGGTCTAAGTATACTATTTTGCCTTTTTGGGGTTTTGATGTCAGAAATTTGAATATTTTCCTTGCATTCTTTTTTATCGACACTAGTATGCTCTATTTTTTCTATATCGCTTTTTTTATTGTCAATTGTCTTTAATGTGTCAATAGGCCTTGTTTTAGTAATGAAATCAGTTTTTATAGAAGAATTAAATTGATCTTTGCAAAGAGTATTGTTATTTTCTTTAAGATATGTTTTTTTTCCTGAATAAATTACGTAAAAAAAATGGTCTCTAAATGCCTGAAGAACCCAATTTGTTGCTGATGGTGTTTTTGGAGTTTGACTTAATAATTTGGAATGTGAAAGGCTTTTATTTGATTCATAAGAATGATTTTCTTCAGTATTATCTTTATTATTATATTTTTTAGTATCCCAATAGAACATATTTTTCTGTAAAGTGAAATAATTCCAAAAAAAATGATAACTATTAATTTTTATTTTTTTTTTCTTGAATACTTTATCTAAACAAATGATAAAATTTCGAATGCTTAAAAATAAAGTATATTGTTTAAATAAAAATGCCTGATTATAATAATATTTAAACTTAATTTATCCAAAATAATAGAAACATTACTTATTTAAAAAATAGATGTTTTGAATGTTTATTATATATCTATTTAATTAAAAATATATGGATGTAGTAATGATGCATCTTAAAATGTATTGAATATAAATGTTTTAGTATTAGAGATGATAATATATATAGATTATTTTTTTTTAATTTTTATAAATATGATTCTAAAGATAATTTTAAAAAATTTATAAAAAATAGACGATCGATATGATTTAATACTTTGAAATATGATAATTAGGATTTAAAGAGTTTGAATGTTTTTAATCTATGGATTTAGGATTAGTGGAGTGTTTTGAAATTCAAAAAAATGAACTAGAGGCTTTGAAGGCTATTTATATGGATGATTTTGTATATATTGATAATAATACTTTTTCTCATACTTCTAATGTATGTTTTAAATCTTTAAAAGACTGTCTAATAGATTATTAGAATCCAGAGTCTTTTCTAAAAATTCATTTGCATAGTGATTTCAATGGTGTTAGTTTTTTTTCTTTAGATTTAATAATTTATATGACGGATACTTATCCAAAGACGAGGCCAAGAGTATCTATTGATAATTCTGTTAACCTTCTTAAATCTCAATTGGCTCAAATAGACGATCTTATTCTAAGAACTATGAATAAGTTAGAAGGCCATGAAATGATCTACGAAATTTCTTCTAATATTCAAGATATTTTATACGAATGGCAAAATGAATATCAGCCTTCTATTAATTTAGGACAGGAAAGACATTTAAGAATTTTAAAAGAAGAATTAAAACAACAGTTAACAGAAGAGAAGATGAAGAAAGAGCAGGAATATTTTAAAAAAGAAGAGGAAATAATTTTGGATGAAATGATTCGGAAAGAATTAATTAGAAGAAAAGGACAATTAACTCGAGTAAATAAACGACAACAAGATTCTTATGGATTTCAAGAGCTTAGTGATGATATAATAATTTTTGATAAAGAAATAGAAATACAAAATGAACAATGTAAATTTATTAGATTTCAAGCTGTAAAGGATTTGTTAGTTTTCCGGAAACAGTCTTTTATGACAGTAAAATTGGTAACTCCCGCTACAGATAAAAATAGAGAAAACATTTTCGTTTTAAAGGATCTTATTTTGAATTCTGAATTTTGGAACACATCTGATGGTACAAAAGAAATTTATAAAATGGAAGAAGAATTGCAAGCGGCTATATCTTTGAGACATCCATCAATTGTACAATTTCATGCATGTAAAATTTCTCTTTTAAATTCGGGCAGTTGGAGATTATCATGTTTGCAAGAGTATATGCCTAGAGGTTCACTTAGAGATATATTAGAAAATGTTGGTTCTGTAAGTTTGGATATTGCTAGAAGTTGGGCGATGGATTTGCTTGAAGGTATTAATGAAGCACATCGTCGAGGATTTTTGCATAAAAGTATGATATCTTGATGTTATTTAGTTAGATGTTAATTATTTTAGATTTACATTTAGGAAATATATTAATATTTAAGTCTGAGAAAGGGAGATCAGTAGCAAAAATATCTGATTATGGTATTTCGTATAGTCTTCAACATATGAATAAATTATGTAGTTTTTCATTAAATGAATCATCTTTTTCTAAAAAAAGTAATATTCCAAAAATATGGTATCCTCCTGAATGTAAATCTGAAACTGAAAATTCTGTATTTAATCGGAAAAGTGATATATGGATGTTTGGTGTTATATTTCTTCAAATGATTTTTGGTATTAATTCTACTTCTAAATATTCTAGTTTAAAAGAAATATCTGATTCTAGTATTTCTGGATACATTTATATAATATTATTAATGTATTTGTAGTGATATCTGGCTCGGTAATTGATTTTCTTAATTTTACTTTGGAAATAAATTGGCATAAAAGGCCATCTGCTTCTGATCTTTTGGCATCTCCTTTTTTTACTAGTGGTGAAATTGCTAGAACATTGGGATTAAATACTGAAATTTTGACTAATCCTTTTCATGGATTTGTTAGAGCATCTAAATATAATTCTCAGTCCTCTAGGTTACATTTAGCTTCTCGATATGAAAATGATTTTGAAGAAGTAAAATGGCTTGGAAAAGGCACTTATGGTAAAGTAATAAAAGTTAGAAATAGGCTTGATGGGCAATATTATGCTGTATGAAAATAAATGTTAATTTTTTTGATGTTTAATGATATTTTTAGATTAAACGGATTAGCTTAAATAAAAATAAAAATGAGTACAGTCGTATTCTTCGAGAAGTAATGACTCTTTCCAGGTATGATATTGATACGTTTTTCCTTAAATATTTAAGATTAAGGCTTCATCATCAACATATTGTAAGATATTTTTCTGCTTGGTTAGAAGATTTGTTCAGTGGAGAAACTATTCACGATCATATTCCTAGAAAATTTGGAAGATCTGTTGATTCTTATAGTAAAGGGTCTGATATAATACCCTCTAATGTTACTGAATTTGTTTCTTCTAGCAGACCAGAACGAAGTTTTTTAAACTGTTTTGAAGGTGAAATTTCTAAAAGTACGTCTAGCAATTGGAGTTCTGGTTCTATAGATAGTGAAATATCTGTTGATTTGAAATCTCATAGTTCTGGAATCTTGTATATTCAAATGGAATATTGTGAAAGACGCACTTTAAAAGATATACTGGAGCTGAAACAAGTAAATACTGATGAAATATGGAGACTATTTCGCCAGATTTTAGATGCTTTAGTACATATTCATGGTCAAGGAGTGATTCATAGAGACCTTAAGCCAAGCAACATTTTTTTGGATGAAAATGGTGATGTCAAAATAGGTGATTTTGGGTTGGCTACTGAATGTTGGACAATAATTGAGAATTTGGTTTCTAGAAAATATTCTGAAAATATTGAAAATGATAATGATTTAACGTCGGGTAATTTTTTTATATTATATAATAATTATGTTAATTTTAACTAAGGTATTGGCACTGCTCTTTATATTGCTCCTGAACTTTTGGAGCATAATACCAAACATTCTTATAATCAAAAAGGTTATAAATTTATTTTTGTATTTATAAAGGCTAATGAGTTAGTGGATATGTATTCTTTAGGGATAATTCTTTTTGAATTATGTTATCCTTTTAAAACTACTATGGAACGTATAAAAGTAAAAAATATAAGTAAATATTTATAGACTGATTAATTTGAAAAGACTATTTTGAATTTAAGGGACTCAAATATTATATTCCCGCTAAAGTTTCCTTCTAATAAATTTTCAAATCAAAAGCATATTATTACATGGCTTTTACAACATGATCCTAAAACACGTCCTACTAGTTTTCAACTTTTACGCAGTGAATTGTTGCCTCCAAAAGTGGAAGATGAGTATATACGTGAAAGTCTTCATACTCTTGGTAAATAATATAATAATTATTAAAATTATAATATATTAATGAAATAAGCAAATCCTAATACGCCATATTATCTTAAACTTATGGAAGCTTTATTTTCTCAAAATATAGATAAATGTAAGGATTATACATATGATATCATAGTTAGTATTTTTTATAATTCAATTATATATTGTTGATATTTAAAGACTAAAACTTTAAATGTTGAATCTCCACTTATGGAATGGCTTAAAAGTTGTTTAGTGTCTATTTTTAAAAGACATGGTGCAATTTCTAATAATGATCGTTCACAATTATTTCCAAAAAATGATATTTACAACGCTGGGCAGAATCTTGCTACTTTTTTAGATTGCCATGGTACTCTTTTACAGGTTATATCTCTTTTATTGATAAAACATATATTTAGATAAATTAGCTCCCATATGATCTTATTTTACCTTTTGCTCGACAACTCACAAAATGTTCTTTAAAATATGGGAAATATTATTGTTTTGGCAAAGTTTATAGGTTAATTTTGAATTTTTTTATCTCTAGTCATTTAATGTTGTTAGAAATAGTACTATTGATACAATACCTTGGTCATTAAATGAAGTTAATTTTGACATTGTTACTAAAAATGATGATAATTTGAGTCTTTATGAAAGCGAATGTATTAAGATACTTGATGAAATTATAAATGAAGTTCCTTCTCTTTTGAAAATGAAAATTTTGATTAATATTAATCATTGTGATATTCTGTAGTTCCTGTAGTTTTATTTTCTTGGCTTATTCTAATTAGTGATTGTATATTCGATTATTGCGGAATAGATATTTCTTATAGACCCAGGGCTAGTATATTGTTATCTCAATTAGGGAAGAGTGCTACATTAAAACAAATTCAAAATCAACTTCGTTCTGAATCATTACTCTCTGGATCTTCTTTAGAACAATTAGATAAATTTAATTTTCAGGGTATATTATCCAGTTAAAATATATGAATTTTTAATTGATGAAATAGATGAGTTCGAGGCTGGTATTTTGCGTCTATTAAATATATTTGATGTATCAATGCATAAAAGGCTTTTATGTTCAATAGAAAATATTCGATCTGTTTTTCTATATTTAAAATATTTTCATATAGAACATGAAATATTTTTGTCTCCCTTAACAGTACATAATTATCAATTCTATAAAGGTGGTTTAATTTTTGAAGCATTAATAATACAAAATAAAAAATGTGATATATTTGCTGTGGGTGGAAGATATGATAGCTTAATTAACCAATGTCTTCCACCTTTGTCTTCTGGAAAAGTATCTATTTCTGTAGTTGGAATAAGTATTTTCATTGAGAAAATATTTTCATATCTTTCAAAATTTTCTTTTAAGGAATTTCCTTCTCGAAAATATTCAAAAGCTATATCTGGTTCTATACGTTGGCCTTACAATGTTGTAAATTGTGATGTTCTGGTTTCAAGTATAGGTCATGGATTTTTAAAAGAATGTTTGGAAATTTTAAGCGAATTATGGAAATTTAATATTAAAACTGATCTTTCGAGATCAAATTTAGAAACATTGGATGATATTATGGATTTTGCAAAAAAAAATGGCATCAATTGGATTATTATAGTAAGACATAAAAGCTATGAAGTAAATGGTTTATTTAAAGACTATTCAGTAAAAGTTAAAAATATAGCATCTGAACATGATGAAGAAATAACATATTCTAGTCTTGTTCCTTGGTTATTAGGAGAGATAGCCGAAAGAAATAGGCAAGATATATCTGAAAATCTGATTAAGTTTAATAGGATAAATGATGAAAATATTAATGATATGATTATACGGAAACGTGCTCTTGATGTTAATTTTAGTAAAAAAAAGGAACTTTCTGTTCGATTTTTATCAGAAGAAAGTAGCGGAAAAATTAAATTAAAGAAAAAGAAATTTATAATTAATAAGGGTATGTTTAATGTTAATATATCTATTACTAAGAAAAAAAGCGTATGAGTATGTTTCTGAATTAATTAACGATATTTGTTCTAGAAATATAGTTGTACTTTGTGTTGATTTGTCTGATAATATTTATGAATTAATAAAAAATACAAATTTGCAAGAGAATCAATGGAGAAAAGGTATTAAGAATATAAAAAATCTTAATATAGCATTTTTTAGCTTATGAATTTTATAGTAATAGATGCAACACCTGCTCATCAAAGACAGTATGTTCATCAATTATGGACATCACTTAAAGATATCCAAAGTGAATTAGGTCATCAGCGTGCATGGTTGTATACTTTTAGAGCTAATAAAGCTTTTTTGTATGAATTTATATAATTACTTTTATGGTTATTGTTTTTATATAGTACATAAATTATATATTAATAGGTGTATTTAATATTATATTTATGATAAGATATATTTATCATCTGTAAATATACAAAAAAAAAAAATAACAGATATAAAAAAATGTTTAAAAAATATGTAATTTTTTTAAAATATAATTTAGAAAAGTAGAAATAGTGTTAATATTAATATACATCATAGATATTAGAGATATTTATTAATTAAATCTATTATATTATAATGGCATTCAATATACATATATTTTAACGTTTAATGTAATATTGAATTTTCATATATAAAAGTTAATATAATTTTATTTTTTTATAAAGAAATATTAACTTATACTATTTTTAAATATTATTATATGTTATTATTTTATATTTTGAAATATATTTATATATATATTAATATAACAAAATTTAATAACTAAATATGGCACAATTGAATATATATATATAAATTAAAAACTAATTTGGAATGAGTATTTCATTAAATTTATATTATTATATTATTATGTATAAAAGTTAATAGATATTTTTATATAAAAAAAATCAAATACATAATTTATATATACATATTATCTAATAAAAATTGAATCTATTGTAATTATTCAAATATATATTAAATATAATAAATTTTATATTAATTACTTTCAGTTATATTCCAAATAAAAAAAAAATATAATAATACTCATTTATACATGTATATATATACTATAATTTAAGTAACATTATCATATTTACAATTATAACATTAAGTTTTTTAACTTATACATTTTAAATATAATAAAAATTAAAATGTATTAAAATCAGATGTGGATAACTTTAGCATTTTTGTAAATATCATAAAATAATTGTTATATTAAAATATTAGCTAAATCTTATGATTTTACTATAAACAATTACAATTACCAAAAGATTACATCTTATGCTATTTTTAAGCAATTCAGAAACTTTTAATAAAGCAAGCTAATAATACAAAGTGATAAATTTTATTAAATTATGCTGAAAAACATTCTATGAAATATTACAACATGAATTATTTTTTTTTGCCTAATTTATACATAAATTACATGATCATACATATATATATATACCTGTTTATAAAACAGCCGGGATTGAGCAGATAAAATATCTGAACGCTGAACCAGATCATCTAACTTCTCTCCTCGTTGAAGAACAGAATCAATGGTTTGAAACTGCAAAAAAAGTTAAAAACATCTGTATTAATAAATAAATATCATACTAGCACATTTTTTATATCATCAAGTTCTTGCTGAACTTTCATGATACTATCAGCTTTCTTAGGATCTTGATATTTTACAATATATTCATCTAACATAGCGAATGATAAACGCTCATTTCCTTGTTCAGGCCAAGAAGTACATGGATATTTAATTAAAAATCCATCCAAAAGATCACTTAAAAGAGAATATGCAACTCTTAAAGGATATTCTTTATCACAAACAATAACACCAGCAACACCTTCAGACCGTGAATAAACATGAAGAACATAATCTAATGAAAATAAATATAATATAATATGTAAATATTTATAAAATCAACTGTCTTGTTCAAAACTTCTACGCTGTCTAACTTGTGTTTCTTCAGCAACCATTCGACTAAACAACATCATAAACTCATAAATACTTATTTTCTTAAATATTGGTTATTAAATCTAGAAACGATTACCTTGATCTAACAAAAAAACCAAATGAACTAAGATTTGTAGTAATCGCAAGCACTTGAGCAGGTTTTTTATCATTCCTTAAAATAGTTATACAATAAAGATGCATCGCCTGTATATCTTAAATGCAATTATTTTTTTAAAATATAATTATAATATTTTTATAATTATAAAAATAATAAATTTTAGAATTTTAATACACGATAATATATACTAGTATTAAGTTTTAAGAAAATATAATTCAACGATATAAAAAATAATCATTTAAAAAAAACTACTAAAGTTATAGTTTTATCATAGATTTCATATATCAATATTTAATGTTTAAATATATAATTATTTAATTAAACCATAAATATTTCAAATAAAATTTATTTAAAAAGCATAAAAAATGAATTCAACAAATGCATTTTCCAATTCATTAAAAGAAATGAAAAATTATCTAAACAAAATTGGAGGTCTGAGTATTTTTTTCAGAAAATATACTATTTACCTAATATATTTACCAGAATACAATGAAAATTATAGAAATAATTTATATTTTATTAAAATAAAAAATTTCTATGGAAATGATTTTAAAAAATATCTATCAAATTTATATCTAATTATTGATTCATTTAAAAAAGAATCAAAAAATGATATAAATTTCCAAGAGCACACTATTAATAGCATAAAAAAACCATTAGATCTAAATAAGGTTAAAGAGTAAGAAAAATAATGCTCATTTATACGGAAAATAAATATATAGTTACTGTGAATCTATAGAGAAAAAAAATATATGTTTATATATAGAACCTCTTTTTGTTACTATCAAAAACATAATTTTATCAACAAATAATGGTAAAAAAAAATCATAGATATCTTAAAACTAACACATAATAATTCAGAATTTGAGCTTCAAAATGAGCTGTTAAATATTTTAGGTTACAATAATTTAGATTTTATAATTTTAATAATTCAAAATATTCAAAATCTTAAAAACGAAGTATTACATATTAATAATCAAGCTAATTCATGGAATAATGTTATATTTTCTTCAAGAAAAGATTATAGAAATGCATCAGAATCAAACATAACAAGATATGATCAAGATAACTTATTTTTTAAAGATCAATCATATGAAAATCTAGAATCATATCCAAATATTTATGGAATTTCAAATTCAAGATCCTCTTTAAGTATTTTTGGAACTAAATTTTCATTACCTCTTTGTTCAACAAGGGACATTTATCCTGTAAGTAATTATTGAGCATTATAACAAACAATTAACAATTTTGAAAAGTTATACGAAGAAATCACCGTTCAACCTCCTAACAAAGCTCAGAAAATAGATAATAAAATAATTTTTATTAAGGAAATGAACAATCTTTGCTCCAAATCGTTTCAAGAATATCAAACTTTAAATTATATTCAGTCATTAATCTACCCTATTGCTTATGAGACAAACGAAAATATGCTAATATGTGCACCTACTGGAGCAGTAAGTGCACATATAATTTTCTATTACATTTATATATTTTCTAATTTCAATAAGGGGAAAACAGATATTGCTATACTTGCAATTATGCGGGTAATATCTCAGTTTTCAGACCCATCTCCATATAAAGAACCTAAATCAAAAAATTTTAAAATAAATAAAAGTGAATTCAAAGTTATTTATATTTCACCAATGAAGGCTCTTGCATCAGAAATAGTAAAAAAAATCAAAGGACGTTTATCATGGCTAAATATTCAAGTTCAAGAACTTACAGGTAAAAAATTTCACAAATCAATATTCTTAATACAAATTCAGGTGACATACAATTAACGAAATCAGAAATTATTTCGACACAAATTCTTGTAACAACACCAGAAAAATGGGACATTATGACAAGAAAAAATGTCGGAGATATAGGATTAACACAAAAAGTTAAACTTATGATATTTGATGAAATACATATGCTTCATGATGAAAGAGGTACTGTTATAGAAACTTTAATTGCAAGGACACAAAGATACATTGAATCTAGTCAAACAATGATTAGAATTATAGGACTTTCGGCAACACTACCAAATTATATCGATGTAGCAAGATTTCTTGGGTAAATTATAAAACTAGTTCATCATAATTCATGTTGTTAACTAAATTATAGAGTCAATTGTTACCATGGTTTATTTTATTTTTCAGACCAATTTCGTTCAGTTCCATTAGAACAACACTTTTTAGGTGTTAAAGGAAAACCTGGATCAAAAATATCATCTACAAATATGAATTTAGTAACATATGAAAAAGTTATACAACTAGTTAAAAATAATCACCAAGTTATGGTATTTGTCCATACACGTAAAGAAACAGCAAAAACAGCAAAAACTCTCCTCAATTTAGCATTAAATGACGGTTACCAGGGTTTTTTTTTTCCAAAATATACATTTTTTTTCTAATATGGAAAGATATTTTTAACCCTTCAAATCATACACATTATAATTTTTTCAAAAAAGACATTTCTAAATCGAAAAACAAAGAAATGAAAGAATTGCTTGAAAAAGGTTTTGGAATTCATAATGCAGGAATGTTGAGATCAGACAGAAATATCGTAGAAAAATACTTTAGCATTGGAATCATTAGAATTCTATGTTGCACTGCTACATTAGCATGGGGTGTCAATTTACCAGCATATGCTGTCATAATAAAAGGAGTAGGTATAATATATTTATTATTATATTCTTAAAAAAACAGACTCAGATTTACGAACCACAAAAAGGAATTTTTGTAGATTTAGGTATATTAGATGTAAAATTGGCGCATAATTTTAAAACTATATTCTAACTTTAATTATAAGGTCCTTCAAATATTTGGAAGAGCAGGAAGACCTCAATATGAAGATCGTGGTATTGGATATATTATCACATCAAATGATAAGCTAGCACATTATGTATCATCAGTAACTCAACAGCATCCTATAGAATCTAAGTATAATTTTTAAATAATTAAATAACATGTTTTATAATCGTAGATTTATGGAAAAGTTAACAGACAATCTTAACGCAGAAATATCTTTAGGATCAGTAACAAATGTAGAAGAAGCAATTTCATGGCTAAGTTATACATATTTTTATATAAGAATGAAAAAAAATCCTCTTATATATGGATTGACACAAGAAGATATCCGTGATGACCCACAAATATATAAAAGAAGAAAAGAACTTATAATTTCGGCAGCAAAAAAACTATACGAGACGCAAATGATAATTTTCAACAAAAAATCAGGATTTTTAAGTCCAAAAGACTTAGGGAGAATAGCATCAAATTATTATATTTCTCGAGAAAACATAGAAAACTTTAATCTAACCCTTAAATCGAATATTACTGAAGAGGAAGTCTTCCATATTTTAAGCAAAAGTTCAGAATTTTCACAAATGAAATATAGAGGTTAATAATATATATATTCAGTGTTTAATTTTAACGCATATAGAAAATGAAAATGAAGAATTAAAACAGCTCTTAGAAAAATATTGCCATTATAAAATCAAAGTACTATTCACTATTTCTTTTTCCAAACTAATATCTTAAAAGGAAACTATTGATTCAACACCTGGAAAAGTAAACATTTTACTTCAAAGTTATATTTCCAAAGCACTAATAGAAGATTCTGCTTTAATATCAGACTCTAATTATATAGCAACAAATGCTAGTAGAATTTGTAGAGCACTATTTGTAAGTTCAAAAATCAATAAATTTAAAACAAATTAATTAAATTTAGGAAATAGCATTATCTAGAAATTGGGAATCTGCTTTAACTATTTTAAGTGTCTGTAAATCTATTGAAAGGTTTTTATATCTCCTAGATTTTATTAGATATACTAAATTTCAGACAAATATGGTCATATGAGCATCCATTAAGTCAATTTAATCTACCTACTAAAATATTGCAAAAGTTGGAAATGCATAACAATATTGGAAATATGGAAGATTTGAAAAGATTGAGCAAAACAGAGCTTGGAATGCTTATCCATCATATTCGTTTAGGTGGAATTATATCTAATTATATCAATAAATTTCCTCTTATAAAAATTGACGCAAAAATTTTTCCGATTACAAAAAAGATCTTAAGAATTCAATTAAATATACAACCAAATTTTATTTGGGATAACACAATTCATAACCTTGTAGAGCTTTTTTGGATTTGGGTAGAAGATTCAGATTCTACAGAAATTTTACATTCTCTTCATTTGCTACTTTCTAAAAAAAAAAAAGAAGAAACCCTAGATTTTGTTATTCTTCTACCAGACATTATCCCATCTCAAATACTTATTTGGGGAATTTCTGATAAATGGCTAAAAGCAGAAACAATGACACCAATATCTCTCAATAACATTGTTTTTCCGGACGATTCAAGCTCAATAACTGAGTTACTTGATCTTCAACCCCTTCCAGTAATTATTTATGTCAAACTATAAAAAAATTGATAACGAATATTAGATTTCTGCACTGAATAATCATGTTTTAGAAGAAATATATTCTAAAAAGTTTATTTTTTTTAACGCAATACAAACACAAATATTCCATACTCTATATCATACCAATATAAATGTTTTAATAGGTGCACCTACTGGATCAGGAAAAACAATAGCAGCAGAGCTCTCTCTATGGTAAATAATTTAATTTAACATATAATATATTAAAAGAATCTTAGGTGGGCATTTAAAACAAAGCCATCATCTAAAATAATTTATATCGCACCAATGAAAGCATTAGTTCGAGAAAGGGTAAAAGACTGGACTACAAGATTTGCAAATCCATTGAAAAAAAAAATTATAGAATTAACAGGTGATACTTCACCAGACTCTAAAGAAATATATGAAGCAAATATAATCATAACTACACCTGAAAAGTGGGATGGTATTAGTAGAAACTGGAAAAAAAGAAAATATGTTCAAGAAATATGTTTAATTATTATAGATGAAATTCATCTACTTGGAGATGATCGCGGACCTATACTTGAAATTATTGTATCACGTATGAACTACATAGCTACTCAAAATAAGTCACATATACGAATAATAGGCTTATCAACTGCTATAACAAACGCTTTGGATTTGGCAGATTGGCTAAGCATAAAAGAAGAAGGATTATACAATTTTCGGCATTCTGTAAGACCAATTCCATTAAAAATATATATTGATGGATTTTCTGGTCATAAATAGTTAACTTTCAACATATTATTATCTAGTTTCTAATTTTCATTAGCTGCCAAAGAATGGCATCAATGAACAAGTCAGTATTTTCTGCTATTCTTGATCATTCTCCTGACAAACCTGTGCTTATATTTGTATCATCAAGGCGACAAACTAGATTAACATCACAGGATTTAATAACTTATTGTGGTTTAGAGGAAAATCCAAAAAGATTTCTTCATATGTCAGATCACAAATTAAATATGATATTAACTCAAGTTAAAGATGAATCTTTAAAAAATGCATTAAATTTTGGTATTGGTCTTCACCATGCAGGTATGAAAAAATTGGATTTTTAATTCGAAAATAACGTTTAGGATTAACCGAAAATGATCGTAAACTATCAGAAGAACTTTTTATAAATAATAAAATCCAAATTCTTATTGCAACTAGTACTTTAGCATGGGGCATAAATACTCCAACACATCTAGTAATCGTAAAGGGTACAGAATTTTTTGATGCAAAAACTCAAGGGTATAAAGATATGAATTTAACAGATGTACTTCAAATGCTTGGAAGAGCTGGAAGACCTCAATTCGATACGGCAGGTATAGCAAAAATATTTGTTCAAGATACAAAAAAATCTTTTTATAAACATTTTCTTCATGAAGGATTTCCCGTAGAATCATCTTTACATAAGGTTTTAACTGATCATATTTCTGCTGAAATCGTTAATGAAACAATTTCTTCAGAACAAGATGCAATAGATTATTTAACATGGACATATTTTTTTCGAAGAATTCATAAAAATCCAACATACTATGGTTTATCTGATAGTTCACAAAATAGTATAAACACATATTTATCGAAAATAATTAATACATCTATCAATGAGCTTATAGAATCTAATTGTATCTATAGAGATGAAAACGGAACGCTTAAAGCGACTGTATTTGGTTCAATAGCCAGTTATTACTATATATCTCATAAAACTATTAGAAATTTATTAAGTAAAATTAAAATTGAAATTAATTTCAAAAGTTGTTTAAAACTTTTATCAGAAGCATCAGAATTCGATGAATTATCAGTACGCCACAATGAGGTAAACTGTTTTAAAAGCTGATTAGCAACTAATTTATACAAGGATATTATTAATAAGGAAATTTCTCAAAAATTACCTTTTAAAAGTGAAGAAATGGCACTGCCTTTATGGGATCCTCATGTAAAAACATTTCTTCTAATTCAAGCACATTTAAAACATTTTGACTTGCCAATCATAGATTATATTACTGATACTATTTCCATTTTAGATCAAAGTGTTCGAATTTTACAAGTAAAAATTTTGTAAAAAAATATTTATACAATTTTTAATAATTTTCAGGCATATATAGATATTTCAACCGAATTAGGCTATTTGGAAACTTGTTTAGAATTTATATCGCTTTTACAGTGTATAAAACATGCTAGATGGCCTGAATTATCTGAACTATCCATACTTCCGGGTGTAAATCACGAAAATGCAATGAATTTACAACAAATATCACAAACAAAACTAGAGTTTCTTCCGAAAAAATCCAAAAATGATTTAGAAAAATTGGGATTGCTTCTTAAAGTTCCTAAAGAAAAAATGATAGAGGTAATTCGTTTATACCAATGCATAAAAAATACTAATAATATTAGTTTATAAATGTTGCAAAAACTATACCTATAGTAACTATAGAAATTTCTCAAAAAGAAAAATCTTTTTTAAATATAACTCTGATAAAGGATTCAAAACCTTATCATCCAAATTATATACTATATTCTCCAAAATTTCCAAAACCTCAGAAAGAAGGCTGGTATATATTATGCACATCCCATACATCTAATAGAATTCATGTTTTAAAACGATTAACTATGTCCAAACATACACACGGAATACTAAATACTAATATTATAATACCTCAAACTATTTATGGAGAAATTGTTAATATAATTGTAATATCTGATACTTTTTGTATCAAAAAAGTACACAGTATAACATTAATGTCATAAAAGAAAGCCTATTAATTGTTATACATAAATATAATGTTACAACATATTTTCAAATAAAATATTTATATTTCCATAAATTCGGTTGATATATCACCCCTATTGATACTGTTAATTAGCTCTCTTCTTATCTCTGGCCCTATTTTTTCATGCCCTTTAGCTTTTATTACATCTAATAAAATATCCTTTTGATCTTGTGTGAGATCATTTTTATATCTTTGAACAAAAGCCAATAGAGACTGGTGTTCAATAACAACTAAAGGCCGTTGCAAAGATTTCCATCGCATAAAATGAAAAACCAATGCATCTACAACCTTATAAGGAAGGGCATACTTTTTATCTAACAATATTTTAATAAACAATGACGTCGAACCTAGTAAGAATAAAATGAAATAATACCATCAAGAACGGCAAAACATACCACAAAAATCCATTTCTGATAATCGTAAAAGAGCAGCAGCAGAATGCAAAACAGGAATAGAAACTTTCGATAAAATAGAACCTATAATTGTAGCCTCCTTAAGTGTACAATTAGTCTAATTTTACATTATAAAACTATAAAAATAAATAAAAAATACTTCACAAATAGGAAACAAAAAACCCTTAAAAAATGCGGCAGGCTTATAAATACTTTTTTTTAAAGACATATAAAGATGATAATTAAGTTTTTTATGCTCTAAAATATCTTGACGAACTTTGTTAAAAAGTATAACAGATATAAATCTATTAAATACTCAGTTTTTTTTTTTTTTTTCTAAAAAATTACCTTTGAAACTGATAAGATTTCAAATTACTCACGAAAAGACGAGTTGCTTCATAACATGCATTAGGAGACCATGTATTAGGAGATGTCAAAAACAAAATATCTTCCCAGTTTCGTAAAGAAGGTATTATTTTAAATGCTTTTGGAAGTTTCCCAGATTTATACCTTGATAAAAGCAAACCCACTCTTACATTACTTATCAATAATATGTATAAAATAATACAAATATTTACTTAGTATAAACATCAACAACTTTCTGAGGCAAAGAAGAAAAAATAGAACAACTTGTTTTATTATTTAATCCTATAGATGAATCACATTCCTCTATTTTACCAAGTATTTGGTTTGCCATAGTTTTTTTAAAAGCAGGTTCAAGATCTAAAAATTTATCAAACAAATCTTGGTCAGATTTATCAATTTCCTATCAGTTAAAATTAAAAAAATTAAATAATAAAAAAATATACAATTTCTTCAAAGTCAGTATCTTCTAAATCCGAATATTTTTGGTTATAATCAGAATCAACAGAAGATTCAGATAAAAATTCAAGATCCTCCAGCTCTATTAGTGGAGAATCTTTGACGTTTTGAGAATATTTATCATCAAACTCTTCCTGTTGCTTCTGAGCAATTTTTAGAATTTTTTGAGAAAGTTTCACATCTAAAGTTTTTTTTCTTTTATAACCCTTTTCTTCTCTATATTTCCTTATCCTCATTTTACAATATAAAATTATTTCGAAAAAAAATCATACAAAAGCCTAATGTTTTATCTTTGAATATTATTCAAATTTTATCACATCAAATTTTATCTCGATAACATTTTAAAATCTAAAAAATAATAAAAACAATTTTATCTATAAATAATATAAAAATGGAGGAAAGCATTTCAGAAAATCCTAATTCAAAAATGACTATATATTCTAATGAGAAAAATATTAACATAAATTGTGAAAGACAATTAAATGATAAAATATTATCTGAAGAAAAAATAAACCAAACTACAATGAAAATTGAACATATTATAAAAGATATACCACTAAAACCTATATTAAACTATAATCCAGATGAATTAAGATGGAATTCTACACATACAATAAATCTAGAACATGTATACTGTTACTGTGCTCAAGATAGAACTTTAGATGAACCAGACTTTCAATGTAGAGGTAATTAAGCCTAACATATAATTACTTGAAAGACACTTATTAAACGTTAGTTTGCAAGAATTTCTTTCATGCTAGATGTTTCAGATCACCTTTAAAAGAAGTATTACCATTTTTAATAAACTATACGCTAGTTTGTAGTTTATGTAGTAGTACAAATACTGAAGAATTTCACCGCTCAATAGCATCATGGAAAGCTATTTGTGGATGCGTTATTGCAAATCTTACATCTCAAAAAATAATATCAGACCACCCAGAATGGACAAAAGATATGATTTCTAGCAAAAATCATCTAGAATTAACTAGGCTTGAATATTTTTTTACAAAAAAAGCAGATATTGTTCCTTTTCTAGAAAATCCCTTCAATTGGAAAATTTTGTGCATTGATAAAGAAAAAGCTAGTTCATGGTATCAATAATATTTTTCATTATTTTAGCTAATTATTAATTAGGCAATCAACGCTTGGAAATCTACTTTTGTCAAGTAAAGATACATTTAGAGCTCAAGATGAAGGGAATAGATCTCAAAATAGTCCATATTCATTAATAGATACAAATCTTTTTCAATTTAGATCAATGTACACCTCTGTAAGTCTTAATATCTATTATCTTCCAAAAATAGCATCTAAAAATATAATAAGGGCTCACACAAATTAACATTAAATACATCCCGTAAAAGACAAAATTCAATATATCATGATGAAAATATACATACAAAATTTTTAAAAAATTCTTCTACTATTTCTAATTCTATTGAAAATATTTCTAGTAATATAAAAAAAGAAAATCTCGAAAATAAAAAAGATATTAAAGAGTCAAGAGAAAGAAAAGAAACTTGGAAGAAGAAAGAATCACATACAAAAAAGAAAGACAAAGTATCAGATACCAATATTTCCAATATGTCCATTCTTCCTAGAATTCGACCACCTCCTTATCGACCTTCTGATTTCAATTCGACTCCTCGTTTACCTACATTTATAAGAGTCGAAAACAATAATATAAATCAAGACTTTTATTCATTAACAGATCAGCCATTCAATAGAAAAGCATTTCGATATCTTCCTTGTGAAGCAACGCCTCTTATGCCAAATATTATGTATAGGCAAATTGAATTACCTCCTTATAGAGCAAGAATTAGCTGGAATGATACTAGCCAACATGTATTTTTAGATAAAGATGGAATGACAGCAACAACAGACAAAGGCTTTAGAATGGCAAGAGCAAATGTTTGCATGAACGAAGGAGACTGGTATTTCGAATTCATTATTGAGAGAGGGAATGGAGATCAAGGTGGATTTGTACGTATTGGGATAGCTCGAAGAGAAGGTAATTTTTAGAAATAGTTAAATTATATTAATTTCAATTCATAAAGCTTCTTTGGATGCACCTGTTGGATTTGATGGTTATTCTTATGCTTTGAGAGATAAAGGAGGCCAAAAAGTTCATATGTCTAGACCACGTGATTTTATGGAGTCATTTGGTACAGGTGATGTGATTGGATTTCACGTATCTTTTCCAAAAACTACATCAAAAAATTCGTGCATATTAAAAAGTGATATTTTTCGAGATAGAATTCCTATTCGTTATAAAGGACAACTTTATTTTGAACAATTAGAATATATACCTTCAAAGGAAATGGAGGATTTAATGAACCCTGCATCAAATGCAGTTAAATCTGCCACTCTTCCATCTATTATTAAAAATTCTTTTATAAAAGTTTATAAAAATGGAAAATTCATGGGAACAGCATTTCAAGATCTTTATGCATTTTTGCCTCCTAACTCACAAACCATACAAGCTCAAGATATAAATGATGGGATGCTAGGTTATTATCCTGCTGTAAGTATGTATCGTGGAGGCATAGTAAGACTAAATTTTGGCCCTCTTTTTAAATATCCCCCTAAAGATATTCCACTTGGATCAGTTGTGATACCCCTTTTTGAAAGATATACTGAACAAATAGCGGAAGATATTGTATGGGATTTAGTAGATGAAATAGATTTAAGTTTTTCAAGTGAAATCATGGATTCACTTTCAGCAATAAGAACAAAAGAAACAACAAATTCGTCAGAAATTTCAGAAATTAAAGAAATAGAAGATATTTAATGTCCAAACTTCTGAATCATATATATACATTATTATTTACCACTATAATAAACTAATAGAAATATATGTATATAATTTTATTTAAAAACCCAAATATTATTTATATAGTCAAACTTATAGAAAAATCAGGATCATTTATATTATTTCAAACGCTATTGTTTCTTTCTGCTGCTTTGTCACCAACAAAATTTTCTTCCATCCATATGATTCCGCATTCAGGACATGATTTATCTTTTTGTTTAGCCATGTATGCTTTAGAGCAATATTCATGAAATCTTACAGGACAATTCATATTTGAACAACGAAAACCCTTAAATTATTTAGTAAAAAATAAAAATATTCAAAAATTACTTGAGTAACCACATTATGACATGCTTTACATCTTTTGAGCAAAGGTACTCTAAAATCTTGATCAAAGTCATTCTCAGGTTCATCAATATATGTTTTAATTATAGGATAAAGCTCTAAAAGGGATCTAGGGGACAATGTAAAATATACACGAGTTCCATGCCTTAAATAATTAATTTTATCTTTACATAATAATAAAAAATTTACATGGTTTTTGAAAGCCATCCTTCCTCAACAAATGCAGCTAAAGAAGCTTCAGCAGAAACCTTGGATAACCCTACACCCTTTAAACTAGATTCCCTTAACGCTTGAGTAGAAGTTATAGAAAAAACTTCTAATTGATGAGTATTACTTTTTACTAAAATATAATCAAGAAGCTGCTTAAAAAAAGCAATTTCAGAAGGAGTATAACTAGTTGATAATTGGCTAAAAACATCAGAGGAAGTATTAATCTTATGCTGTTTAAAAAAAAAATATGATTTAAAAAAGATATTACCAATATCCAAATCACTATGCCAGTAGATTGATCTATAGTTTTTCGAATTTCTAGATCCAAACAAGTAATTGCATTATTAATATCAAAAATATATAATTCAAGAGTGCTTATATTTATTACAACAGAATCTATAGATATATTTTCTAAAAATATTCAATTAAAATATCCAATTTTTTTAAATTACCATAGATAGAAATAGCAATTAACAATGAATTCAATGCCTGTTCTTGGAAAATACTTCTCTTCGCAATAAAATGTTGAAGGAGAACTCGATGAACGTCAGTAAATTGAGTCTCATTATTTATGTCCATAAATCAATTTTTTTAAAAACTTCATTATCGAACAATATCAATTAAAATTCGAAAACATCCTTTTATTAAGTGCATTTATAAAATTTCAAATTATATAATTTTCTATATTAAATATGTGGCTTACAGATAATCAAAGTAAATTTATATTCTTTAAAAAATATTGTTATTTAGTATATAAATAGAAATTGGAGTAACATTAACGGCTCTTGGAATAGGATTTATAATACTTGTATATTTTTTTACTCAGATAGCATCTATTTATAATATTACAGGGTATAGTTACATTATTTGATGCAAGTCTATTAATTATTGGAAATGTAATCTAATAAAATACATAAATTAATACTGTATTAATTTGAATTTTAGCTTTTATTTATCTCAGGACTTATACTAATCATTGGATTTATAAAAACATTGGTATTTTTTTCAAGAAGACAAAAACTTTGGGGATCTGTATTCTTTTTTTTGGGGATGCTTTTAGTTTTTTTCAAAAAACCATTTTTCGGATTTATTATTGAAACATTTGGATTTATAAATCTCTTGTTAGTTACATAAAACAAATAAGTATACTATAACTAAGAATTTTAGCGGTAATTTCTTTCCAATTATAATTTCTTTTTTAACACAATTTCCTATTATTGGACATATTTTAAGAATTTCTTTTATCAAAAAAGTATATAACATATAAAAAAAAACAAAATTGCTAACATAATAAGATTTTGGACAGAGTAATAGGTATATATCAAATACCTGTATAACATTTATTATTTTTAATATTTTATAAAATATAAACTTAAACATAACTCTTAATAAAAACGCATAAAATATTCAAAAATGAGAATCTTATTTAAAAAATATTATTACAAAATTTTTAATACAAAAAAAACAAAATGATTTTTTAAGCCCATTATCTTAACCAAAATGTTTATTCAAAAGCAATAACAAATAGAATAAATAATGCATAATTCTACTCTAATATCATTAAAATCCTGCACTAATAAGATAATCTGCAAGAGCTTCAATAATTTTAGCTGCTTCTCCAGCCTGCGTTGTTTTAGGAAAGTGGCCAATAATGATAACTTTGTGTGTTCGTACGCAGTAAACACCTTCACATCCCTTAATATCTGATGTTAATACATTTAAAATTAGAAAATCTAAAACTAACCTGTTTACCATATATACTTCGATCCTCTGCACGAATTGTTACATATTTTTGTTGCGATAGATAAAAGCCTGATGCTTGGACCTGTGAAGGATTATCGAATCCAGATGCAAGAGTACTTAATTCATTTAATTTCAACTAAATAATAAAAAAACACAAATAATAGAAACACGTAAACTTACATCAAATCCGGGACTAGATGCCCATATACTGTTACCTTCTCGAGAACATATAGCTGCTTTATCAAATTTCCCTGTTCCAACAAGGCTCGTATCAACATACTCTAATTTAAATATTATTTTTTCAAAAAAACATTAAATTTTCTCTTCATTACCTTTCCAACTCATGCTTTAAACAATATTATATATTAGCTACCTTTAATATCTTAATATTTCTTTTATTTTTATAAAATTTTCAAAATAATCCGCCTTAAATTTTCGATGACAAGAGATACATTTAAACATAATCTCATGTTTTAGAAAGAAATTATAATAATAAAAAATATTATATTATAAATATTATATAAATATATAATTATATTTGCATAATATTTATAGAATTATTTAAATAAACGTTTGTTTTAAAGTATATTACACTTAATATTTTTAAACATATATCATTTATTTTAATTTAACATATAATCAAAAATTTATAATTAGCATTAATATTAATTAATAATCATAATAAATAAATTAAAAGAAAGTATTTGAACAAATTACTTTTAATGTAATAGTTATTTAATTTTCTATTTTATAACTTATAATAAAATTCTATGAAAACAAACCAATTTCTATTACATATATGTACTGATAAAAAACATTTGTGATTTCATTTTAAATCACTATAATATATTAATTCAAATATACTTAAAAAAAAATAAAAATAAATTACAATTCAAAAAGTTATAAACATTGCATTATTTATATAAAATACACTGTTAGAATTCATTGTAACATATATTTAAAAAAACAAATCATATACTTTTAAAAACACTTAAATAAAATTAATATCAATTATCATTTATCAAATTATAACTTGTTAATACTCAAAAGTATCACTCTAAAAATTCATAAATATTAATTGTTCGATTATATATTAATACGTACAAAAAAATATTACATTCAATTATCAAAAACAGATATTATCTATTAAAAATATTAACATTTTTCTATTATTCATATAAAACTAAATCATGTTCCTTATTCAAATTTAATCCACTTTTTTTTAAAAAAATATTACTTCCATACTCCATATATTCAGCTCTTGTAACTTTTTTTTCATCAAATATTTTAGTATTACAAGCCAAAGAAGAACCACCCACCCATGCAAATGTATCAGGGCTGATACTAAGGTAAATAAAAATAAAAAAAATAATTTAACTACTTATGTGGCTGATAAATCACAATTTTACAATATGCAGGAGCTAAAGACTGAAGCTCTTTTTTACTATTTATTTTTAACATTATATCACTATTTTTTTATATTATCTTACAGTCTTTCAGAATATCCTTTAAAAAATGAATTACCTCCAACAAGAATAATATTTGCTAAAAAAAGTTCTTGAAAATCAGATTCTACTAACTTCAAAGATTGCATAATAGCTTCATGAATACCCGCTTGAGATAAATCTAATAATTAATAAATAAAATACAAACAGATATATGTATATATATTACTTATTATGCTTGGATTAAACATTACTTCAGGAACAATAAATCTCTCGTTTTTTAGGGTTAAAATTTGTCTCTCTTTGATCATATCCCTCTGCGAATTCGACGTTAGAACAAATCCTTGATTATTTGTGCTATAATCGGGAAGAACATAATCAATTGAAACATTTCCTGGCTTTTTCCCCTTACTAATTTCTATATCTTCATTAAAATTAGAAGATACAAAAAAACACGATTTTTTAATCTGATCTGCTAAACAAAATTCTTCCATAATATTATAATGTCTAAAAGAAATAATTTCCTTCAAATAATTTGTTAAAAGTTTTCCTCCAACATTAAGCCTAAAAATATAAATATGTATATTATAACTCAAAAAAAATATTAGCCTTTTCACAGCTTTCCACTGAATATCTCCTAAAATAATAGGAACTACATGAGTAAAACTAAAACCACTATCAATAACAAGAGCAAATTCTCGTGGTCCATTCATTTCTTTTGATGTCCCATAAATTTCACTATTGTTCCATGGCACTAAAGAACTAGCTTATAAAACTTAATTTCCTCTATAAAAAGATATCTTAGTATACCAATACATCTATAATATGATTGAAATTCATATTCTTCAAAAATAATTTGATCATAAGCTGATTGTAGTTGAGGAAAATTATAGGGAGGTTCTGTAACAAGAAGAGACGTTTCACTATAATCAACCTATCAAGTAAAAACCTAAAAACAGATCAAAACAAAAAATTTACCCTAAAGTCTTTCTGAGAAAATAAATAATCCCATATTGCTTTTTCAGATTCCCAATTTACCAAATAACCCTAAAATTAGTTATAAAAATGTATATAAAGTTATATTAAACTGCACTCTATCAATTGGACGCCGAAAACGGAGTGAAGAAAAGTCTTTACATCCTGAAATTTGGGATCCTATATATGTTCTTCTTTCAAAAACTGATTTTGCAATACAGTTTGGTGAAATTCTTGGAAAATTATCTGAAGAAAAGCCATATTTAACTGAATAACCACCGTTATCAACAACAAGAATTGTCATTTAGCATTTCATCTATTTCAAAATTCTAAAGAAAATTAAAACGGTTTCACGTGATAAATATTTTAATTTCGACCTTAATAGACATTATTATTCATATGGATAGAGATATAGATGACGAACTTTCACTTCCAAAAGGTATTTAATCTCATGGATTACCATAATTTAAAATATATTCATACTATTTATAGCAACAGTACAAAAACTTGTCTCAGAAATGATACCACCTGATCTTGTTTTTGCAAAAGAAACAAAAGATCTTTTAATTGAATGCTGTGTAGAATTTGTCCATCTCGTATCTTCAGAAGCAAATGAGATATGCGAAAGAGAAGCAAAAAAAACAATTGCAGCAGAACATGTAATCAAAGCTCTTGAAGAACTTGGATTTCAAAATTATATTGATGAAATCCAACAAATTGTTTCAGATCATAAAAAGCAACAAAAGGTAATTTAAAGGCATAAATTATATTTTTTATTAAAAAAGCTAGTAGACACGTGAAAAAAAACAATCTAAACTTGAAACATCTGGAATGTCCCAAGAAGAGCTTTTGAGACAGCAAGAAGAACTTCTAAATAGAGCAAGGGAAAAATATAGAAATTCTTTTGGATAATACAAAAAAATAATCAAAATTTGATATTTAAAATATTTTATTTATATTATCATATTTTAATAAGTTTGTTAGTCAATAAAAATATTACAAATAAAATAATCGATTTTAAGATCTCATAAAATATTTCTATATAAAATAAAAGAATATAAAATTAAGGCATTTTTCTAACCTGAAATAATTTTTTATTATCGGTAATATCATATATTCCTATTTCGATTCAATTGTATATACATAAGCTTGATTTATAACTGTTTGAATAATTAAATAATACTCTTGAGACAAATCTTTCGTAATTTCGTTATACATTATCTGATTATATTGTTGCATTTCTTAAAAAATTTATTTTCAAATAATAATTAAATTTCAATTTACCATTAATTAAGTCCTTAAACAATGCATAAACATCAATTTTATCTAATAAGGTGTGAAAAGGCTCTTCTTCAAGAGAATAATTATCATCATCAGTAGTTGACGTTAACCAATCCTTCATAATATAAGCTAAAGTTCAAAATAACATAAATATATATACTTCTTGAGAAAAAGAATTTAAGTAATCATGATTTTTTTCTATATCTTAAATAAAATAAACAAAAATATCATATATTAATTTTTCTAACCTTTATCAAAATCTTCAAAATCTGCTTGATTATTTATATCATCCCAACTTTCACTTTTTGGTGAAGCCTCAAGATCATCCAAAAAAGAATTCTCCATAGCTTCACTATCTAAAAAAGTCAATAAAAATAATATAATATTAGATAAACAACTCTTTATAGCCTGAGGTAAAGTCTGAAACAACTTTAATTGTTCTCGAAAAAGACGTAAAAACTCTTTTTGAACAAATTTGGGTATTTGGTCAATTGGTAGTGATAAAAGACTACATATCGCAACAATAGAAAGCTTTTTATCATGAACACGAGAAAAGTGATCAATATCAGAAAGCCAATAATTAAAAAATTGTTCTATCCAACCACAAGTTTCTAAATATTGTAATGTAGTTAAAGAATTATAGCAAATAGCACTAATAACGACTTCTATAAGATGTATTCTATAGCTAAACAGTTTACACATATCAGATGTGAGCTGATTCATAGCCATTTTAACAAAAGAATGTAAATAATGATCCACATGTCCTTTTAAATTCAAAAATACAGATTCTATAAGCTTGCAAGCATGAATTCTGTCTTGAATAGTAAATTCCTCTACCGTAAACATCTATAAAAATTCTTAGAATACAAAATAAATAAAATAAACACCAACCGTTTCTATTATATCATATATAATACTTAAATATGTTGAATTAGATATCATCTCTTCTCTACCATATAAAATATAATTATAAAGAACAGGAAACATCTCTAAAAAATTAATTCTAAAACTCAGCAAAAACTCAAATATACCGTCAGTATAATCAATCCCAGAACTTTTAAATGTTTTATACAACAATTCATATATATTCCACATTACAGGAAAAACTGCTTTAAGAGAAAAAATACAATTATTAATAATTTCAAAAACTTCAGCATACAAATCTAAATATAATAAATAAAATTTCTATTTGGAATAATTATTTTACTAACCAATTAATTCGATTTCAAGAGTAATAGTTATAACAGGTAAAATAATATTAATTATATGAGACAAAATTTCAGGAGCCTTTTCTAAATTCCATATCAAAGTAGCAAGTGTATTTAAAATTCCCATAAGAGTTGTAGTTTTATCATCAATATAATTAAATTCAATTAACTCGCAACCTTTATCCGCAAAATAATTCTCGGATTCATGAACAATTCTTAAAAAGGTATCTCTCTGTTCTAATTAATTTGATAATTTAAAAAATAAAAAATATTACCAATTGTTCTGTTAATTGAACGGAAAAAGGTATAAGTTCTTCAGAAAAAACTTCAACAAATTTTTCCATTACAGTAGTAAGAGTATCGATATCCAATTCATTTGTAAGATTAAGCAATTGTTGTATTACTTGAGGAATACGAGAAGCTATCATTTCTCTTACAAATTTATGTCGAATCATAAACCGTAAAGCACATGCAGCCTCAACACGAACAGGAAGTTCTGAATCATAAAAACATGTAATAATCCCTTCATATGCTCGTACAATATTCTAAAAAAATTAAAATATATAACTAAGATATCCTTTATACATTTTGATTTTTAATCTGAATATCTGCAAATCTAGCCATAATTTCACATGCACGTGCTCTTAAATAACCATAAGGACTCCAAAATTCCGGAAAAACATGAATAACAAGGAAATCCTCCATCATATTTATAATAGGACTATTCTTAGCTAAAACAATATGTGATATGTGTCCAATCATTCGCAATGCAGCTTCTTTTTCTTTACTATTCCTTTCTTCAAATTGTACTTGTTGATATCTAAAATATGTTAAAAATCTTCACATATTAAAAAAACATACGTATTCAAAACATTATTTATAAATTCCAAAATTCCCATAAAAGTAAATTTTTTACGATTATCAACTAATGCAATAAAAAAATTGGTAACAGAAATTGCAGGAGAATGAAACTTATCGAATATATCTAATAAAGTTAGAAGTTGTATATAATTAATCGGATATATATATATATATACAGCTATTTTTATGGACATATTCAACTGGGTTATCATTCCATAGTTCAATATCACTATCAGTTATACAAAATAAAGGAAATATAAAATTCGAAACCAAATAGAAATATTTGTCTTTAATTAATATCCAAGTAGACTTCGGAAAAATACACTCTTCAAAAAATGTACTTAAAAAACAAAGACAACGTTGACTGATACAAATTCTACCCTCATTCCAGAGTTCTACCTGCCGTATATATACTTTTAATATTTCAGGAGTAAAATTCTCTGAAAATATTTTTGCAAAAGACTTATATTTCTTCAATGTATCTTTAGATAACTTTGACGGTTCACCATACCTAAACAATTTTTAATATACAATAATATACGTATTCATTTAACTTCGTAAATAAACAATTTAAATTAGAATATGCCCATTTTTTAGCTTTCCACCAAGAACTAGATTGGCAATTCTCAAAATTATTTTCCATCGAATCTATTGGAAAATCTCTTGTAATTACAAATAAAAATAATGTAACCCATTGCGCAATTGAGTCTTGAATATAGGGAATAAGCTCAAGCTAAAACAATTAAACATTCGAAAATATAAAAATCGAAAAAGAAACCGTTATATGAAATTTATAACATTTCAAAATAATTTTTAACATTTCAAAAGCAATAGAATCGTTTTCTCCAGCAACTCTGTTCCCTATTTCTATTAAACGAGGATATGCAGTTTGAACAACAATATTTAAAGGCTTCCTTCGAACTCCAGATCTATATCTGTAAACTTTTGAAATTTCTAAAAAACTTATTAATCCAATATATATATAATGAATATCTTGAGAATTAAGCAGCTGAATAACCTGGTCCATAAAATCTGTCCATTTTTCAGGAAAATCAGATGATAATATAATGCCAATAATTGACGCAATTTGAGAACGTATTATAGGAGGAACTAACAATAATGTTGGCAATAATCGTTTTCTAAAAAGATCTTTATCATTCTCTGAAATCTTATAATCAAAGTTGCTTCCTTCCCAGGAATTCCCAATCCTGTTCTTCAAATAAATAGAAGCTTTTTTATATTAACTATTATATTTTTATAATAAAGAATACCAGCTTGTTTTATAGAAATATCATCATTTGTCATAATTACATCAAGTACCACACCAATAAAGCCTGAAACTGTAGAAAACTTCAAAAATAAACTAATTTGAGATAAAAGTAAAGATCACTTACATGTTTCAACTGAGATTCAGCATCTTTTCTAACATTGGGGTCTGAACTTAAAGTTGCTACAAAAACATTACATAATTCTTCCATAAATTCAAAAATTGAAAATAAAAAAGTTCCCAAAATAACTTGAAATATCAATTATAAAAACAAATATAATTTAATTTCCCAATTTTTTAATATAAACTTATCGAAGGTTTTATAAAAAATCCAATATTTTTTTAAAATAAATTACTGTTTAACATATAATAATTATTTAAAAATATATTTGCACTTTAGAATAGTATCCAAATAAAATGATCTAAATCCTAGAATATAAATATTTTAAATATTAATTACAAACATCAAATATTCTGTAAAAAAATCAATTTCATATATATCTAATAAACAAAATTCAAACAATCAATGATATTTATTTATTTACACAGAAATCTTTAACACTATCAATTTCATTAAATATAAAGACTTGGTGAAAATATAATATCTCTACGAATTTTCTCTTGGCAGTCTTCCATTTTAGAATACATAGAAATATCCCCTATAATACGCGCAGCACTCGCACATTCGCGAAGCACCTGATCTAATCGTGTCATAACACGAACTATTGAGCCTTCTAAAACGTCTGTAAGATCCATGATGCGTTCAAAAGACTAAAGTTATAAATAAAACAATTAATATAGAAAACGAAACATACCATTCCTCGCGCCCACTCATAAACAACTTCTACCAAACCGAAACATGATTTATTTTCAAAATCTAATGTATCACATAAAGATAAAACTTGATATTTGTCTTGAACTGAATTTATTTTTTTTACTACATTAATTATCATCTCCTTCCCCTTCTCTAATTAATATATATATATATATATATAATCTTTAAAAAAACCTTTTCAAGATGAGGAGAAATAGAAGGCAGAGATTCAGTTTTTTCTTCGAATACAAAAACACTAAGTAATGCAACAATCTCCTCTGATTCAAATTCTGCCAAAGTATTCTCAAAAATAAGCTCAGTCAATACCAATTCGTGAGCAGAATTTATCTTAAAAAAGTCAATCAAAACCATAATAATAAAAATAAAGAGACTTCGCAAGCTACTCTCCCCTTCAGTAAAACATTTAAATTATCATCTATATAGTCTAATTCTTTAAGAACACCAATACGTTGCTCATAATCAGGAAGAAGCTCCAAATTTTGATCTGAAATCAAATGTTCTAATACTTCGATTTTCTCAACTAGCATATTCCTTTCATGAGCTTTCAAAAACTAATAAAAATATTAATCTCTAATAAAAAAAAAAGTCATCTAACATGTAAAACAAAATCAGGACATTCCAAACATTTCTTGTTATACATATTGGATTTACATAATTTTCGTTTCATAAATAACTCTTTAAATTTTAAATCACGAACATTTACCCAACTACATTCTAGAAATTCAAGATCCTTAACTAATCTTGCTTTCTTTATCTGTTCACAAATATTATAAAAAGACTCCTTAATTCTAGAGCGGACTGCAGAAACATCAACCTATTAATACGTTAAATACTAAAATAAACTTTTTTTGAATACCTTAACAACTATTTGAGTAATCAATTCAATTGATGAGACAGATAATATTTTCTCTTTAAATTGTTCAGCTTTCAAACTATCTAATCCGAAATCATAGTTCCAAAAAACAGGAATAAAAGGAAGTTTATTCACTAAATTCACAAAATTATATGACATAAATATTTTAAAAAAAATTACCTTGATTTTTAGAATCTTTCTGTTTAACATACAAAACATGAAAGCATTTTTCGCCATTAAAAGATACAGATGCTTCACTGAGCAATATTGCCAATGATCGATATAAATTCTAACCTCATTACTAATAATAAAAAATAAATAATATCATACATTTTCTTTATATATCACAACTCTTCCTGGAGAAAAAATCTTTTTTCCATAAGAAGAAGAAAGGGCAAGTTGATAACAAATCTTTGTAAGCTGATTATATTCTGTATTTTCATTATAAAAAAGAATCAAGTCAATGTCGCAAAAAGAACATGGTTCATGCTTTAACAAACTTAGATTTTTTTCATAAAGCATTATCTCTTTCTGATGCTCAGGAAGCAATGCTTGACTTGTATTCTCACTAAAACTTCGCTTTATCATTTCTTCAACTTTCAAAGTTTTTACACGAAGAATATTTAAAATCATATTATAAGTCAAACGAAATTGACTTCTTAATTTAGTAGAATTTCCCAGCAAAATACGTGTAAGAGTATTAATCTATAAATTTCAGAAAAAAATAAGAATTAAATAGAAAATACATCCGGAATATCGTCATTACACATAATAATTACTGTTCCTATAGTATCTAAACCTCTTCTCCCAGCACGCCCAGCCATTTGAGTATATTCCCCAGAAAGAAGATAACGAAATTCTTGACCATCGTGTTTTCGTATTCCAGAAAATACAACAGATTTTGCTGGCATATTAATACCCTAATTTATTAGAAAAACTATCAGATCTTATATTTTACCATGGCAAATGTCTCAGTAGCAAAAAGAATTTTAACCAAACTTCTAGTAAATAAAATTTCAACAATCTAATATAATTTAATACCAAAAAAATCTATGGCAATATTAACCTCCTTTACAATTGGTAATAGACCTCCGTGATGAACACCAATGCCTCTTGATAATAAATCTCTCATTCGAATAATTTGAGGAAGTTTAGTATCTTCTGCACGAAGCCTAGCTATTGATTTCTCGATAATAACATGAACTTCACTTTTTGCTGTATGATTTAATAAATCCAAATTAGCCAATGAATTAGCATTGTCTTGACATTTTTTCTTAGAAAACACAAATACAACAACAGGCAATAAATTAATTTTACGTAAATGATTAACAAGATATATCCAAATGCTTCTGTCTTGTTTTTCATTATCTTTAAATATAGCCCTATCAGACCCACGAATACTTGTATTTTTTTCTCCCTTTTTAGAAATATTTTGACTATTAGCAGTACGATTTAAATTGCCTCGTCCTTGATTACGTAAAGAATTACTATCATGACTTCCACCTTTATTTAATTGTGTAGAAACAATATTTTTATCTTTTTTCAACACCATGGCAGCATCTTTATAACTATCTAATCTAAGAACGTAACAATTTTAGATACAAAACAAACCTTTGCATCAAAAACTTCTCTTTTTCATCTACTATTTTAAACATTTTCTTATTTACCCATAAAAAATGTTCTAAAGGTATTGGCCGTCTAGCAGTAGAAATAACATATATGTCTTTTTGCCTAGTTCTTCCTATCCATTCTGCAAATTCTTTTGTATTAGGGACTGTAGCAGAAAGAAGAATTAAAGTAACATATTCAGGCAACATTATAATTACTTCTTCCCAAACGACACCCCGCTTTTAAGAAAAATCAATTTCAAAGCATAAAAATACAAAAAAAAATATACCTCGAAATCATTAACATAATGAACTTCATCAAATATAACAAATTCAACATCTCGTATAAGATCTGAGCCTTTATACAACATAGATCGGAGAATTTCAGTTGTCATAATTAGACAACTAGCTTCCGGACGAATCTGTATATCTCCAGTCAAAATCCCAACATCTTCAAATGTATCATAAAAATCTCTAAATTTCTGATTGCTAAGAGCCTTTATAGGAGATGTATAAATAGCTCTATCTAATTTTAAAAATATTCATAAAAAAATAACAACAAACTTTGTCATATGCTTTAATGCTAATGCAATAGCATATTCAGCTACTACTGTTTTTCCTGCAGAAGTATGAGCAGATACAAATACCGATTCAGTCCTTTCAAGATGATAAATAGCAAATTTTTGAAAACTATCAAGCTCAAACGGAAACTTTATGATCTTTAGAAATATTGTTTATAAAAAATATACATACATTATATGCCATGTTAGGGACTAATTCATGAAAATTGGAAAAATCAGCCTTTATGTTAACCACATGAGCCCATTCTTTAATCTTTTGCTTTGTAGAATACTTAGAAACACCAATATTTGAGAAAGAAAGCGAAAACTAAACTGATTAAAAAATATAATGCAATCCGTCATTATTACTTCTGATGATAAAAAATTGTCAACTGGATCTGAAGAACGATCTATTTTACTATGATCACTGATCCTATCATTCAATTTTTCTTCATTATCTAAAGGAAAAGAATCAATAGAATCAAATCTCCAATGGTTAGGATCAACGTTTTCATCAAGTTCAAACCGAAATTTATTAGGTTGTTCATATTTCTTTAAAATACCTGTGCGTGAAAGTCCTGGTGCAACAAGAAACAAATCCATATCCTTTTCATTATTCTTATCTTCATCCAATTTAAGAACTTTAAGTCTTTCAGAAACAAATGGTAAAAATGTAGATCTTCCTCGTATAAAATCACCACGGGGCGCCGGATTACGTTCAAATGTCGTAGAATTTCTCGAATTAATCTCCATAGAAACTGCTTCCTAAACACAAACACATCATCAATTATAAATGACTATTCGTTGTCCTTTTAAACCTCTTTATATCCAACAATTCGACCTTCCAATCCTTCTCTAATAAATTCTACCGACATTTGACAAATAAACGGTACAACTTGAAACAACTCCTTGTATTCAACTTCTTTTCCAACATATCTATCAGTTATATAAATAAATATAGCATTTCAACGCTATCTTACCCATGAAGCTCATTCAACCATTCCATGGAAAACTCAAGCGGAGGAACCATAAACTGCTCCAACTGGGCAAAAACCTCATCTCTGGAAAAAACAGACTCAAAATTCTGTCTAGAAACCTCACCAAAATAGAATACATCATCCTTTTTTTTGCCTAAAGACGTTTTAATTGCCTCAAACGCCTCAAAAAGATCAGAGTGTTGCATCGTCCGAACCTTAGATAAAATAATATAAATAACATTTTTATAATAAAATAGAATAAAGCAAAATATTCAAATAAAACTGAAAAATTCAAAAGATCTAATATACAAAAGCCTTTTTAACGCTTTAAAAAATAAACTATACCTTTCCATTTTTACCTTTAAATAATCTATCCATCAAAAGTCATTATAAACATTTTAAATATCATTTATCAAAAACTCCTAGATATCTTCTATTTCTTTAACCTTTTTATCAAACATATGCTCATTTATTTCCAATTCATCTCTTCTAATCTCAGAAGCATCCTCAGAACGAACCAATTCCTCACGGTTCATACGAATCCATTGTAAACGAGCCACTCTAATTCGCTTTGAATGGCCATGTTTCTGAATCATTCGAAGTATCTCACGGAATCTAGCTTTTGGAAACAATTCATGTGCCCAAACCTGATAAAATAATAAAAGACGTCTTAAATCATAAAACTATTCGAAATAAACAAACAATTCTATTATATCTAATATTTACTTCATGACCCCTTCCCTTCCAACAGATTTTCTGCGGTGCATTATGAAAAATCCATACAAGACCTTTAGGAGACAATAATCTTCTATCATCAACACAAAATCTAAATACATTTTTAGCTACTTCTCATCGTCCAATTTCGCTACAGGTCGCCGTGTACGAACAAACACTGCTTCATCAACCCCAAGATCTGAAAAACTAGCATCTGAAAGTACTCCAGAATCATCTAAAATGTCATTCATTCTTTTCATAGGATTTAATTTGTCCTCTTTAGAAAAATCTCTTTCTTCAACAGGAGCACCTTCATCATAGTTCCTTTTCCTTGAAATAATATGTACATCTTTTTCATCTATTTTAAATAAATCAGTCTCCATTTTATTGTCGAACATTATCTCGACCACGGACAATATTTATGGTATCAGCAAAGAAGCTTCATACAGAATTCCCGGTATAAAAACCACTTAGAAACACTTATACCAATAGTCTATTAGGTTATTGATACAGATCCTCATTTTTTCCGTGTTATTCGCTATGCAAGACCATCAGATTACATAGTTTTCATAATGGGAGTAGCAGGATTTCCAATTAGCATGTTGGTTCTAGGTATAAATTAATTTGGTATAAAATAAAAAGTAATAAAACAAGAGAAATTATCTCCGTCATTGAACAAGGCGGGTTTAGCACCAGCGCTTCGATTGGGAGGGTTATTAGGTATATGCGGAGGATTTTTGTTAGCATATCAAAGATCAAGCTGTAAAATAAGTAATTAAAAAATTATATATCATTTATAAAAAATAGTAAGACTTTGGGGTTGGACAGAAAATGCACGGGAAGTGAAAATGGATAAAGAAGAAATGGAGCAAAAACGAGCAGAAAACAAACCGTTATACGGTAAATCTGAAATGCCAGAAGATATACAAAGGATCGCAGCACAAAACTCAAGATACTCAGCACTTAAGTTTTGTAATTATCCTTTTCCTTTAGGAAAAAATACTAATACAGATAGCGGCATTCCCATGGTTTAATTTTGTCAATCACAATGAACATAACACAGATTCTTCAAAATATCAAGACTAAACAGTATTGATCTATAGCTTATTTACTAGTAGAAATACTATCATTTCTATAAATAAAAAATATATAAAAACATACGAAGCTATAATATTTTATTTAAAACATCACTAATTTTATCTTGTATATTTACGAATGTTCCATTTTTATATAAAAATATTTTCCATATACCATCTTCATTTCTCTGTATAAAAACTTCTATTTTAATCTTCATAGTATTATTTATATTAACTAATTCACCATTTTTGATTTCCCAATTTGGAGTAACGGCTTCTTGTAAAACGTTAACAAAATCCTTGTTAATAGACCAAATGATACATTCCAATACTTCAAGAATACTACCACAAACAGTCTTACTTGTCATAAGCCCATTTATTCTAATATTATGAAAATCAACTTCAAAAGATGTTTTATAGTCAACTGTGCGTATATCAATCACTATTTGAGAAGATCCTGGAAGATACATTTCAATTACACTTCGAGGGCCATTAACAATAGATTGAATGATTGAATCTTCAGAAATACCAAAATCCATATCAACATATTTTTTAATTTTATAATCTACAGTCCAACCTTCTGCAAGAATTACATTAATACAGCTCTTCAATTCTTTAGAAACTTCATCCAATATAAAATAATGTGATAATTGAGATACGATAGGAAAAAGAATTCGTGTTTGTTTTTTGTTTTGTCTAAAAAAATTAATTATCTAAAAATAAATGACGAAAAAAAACATTTTTGACAAAAAAGGAAAGTTATCTGTCCATTTTAGTTTTTGACATTCATAATATGAGAAAAACAAATGCAATGCCAAAAGTACAATTTCACATAAAACATCATATTCTTTGTTAAATTCGTTAGCTTTTGTTGAAGCGTCAACCTAAAATATTTAAAAATAATTATATAAAAACACAAAAATTACAATATCAAGTAATAATAGTCGTTTTGACTCCATAATCTCAACAGATATTCCATTATCCAGTATCACAGCATTTAAATCATCAAAAAAGTTAATCTCTCTTATAATCTTACAATATTAATCAAATTATAACTTAAATATTGAAAAACCTCTTCTAATAATTCTTCTTCAAAAAAACTATCTCTTCTTTGAGACAGAATTTGGGTATTTTTATCAAAAAATTCTGAAAATGAAGAGTTATCCCAAACTGCTTCACCTTTTATAACATTATTTTCAAGAAATCGAAGTCGTGTAATTTTAAAAGTTTCAAACATATCTACACCATCAAATTTAATATCACCATCTATACTTCTTTTTAAAATAGCAAATCCCCTTCCGAAAATACGAGAAACTAACAACTATTAATAAAAAATATTTTACAAAAACCCAATACCATCCATAATTCCATAATTAATTACAAAATTTTTGTCCCGACCAATACGAGAATGCATAAGATTCCATCCATTTTGTCTTAATATATTCACCTGATCCCAAAACTTAGCTTCCAAAGTAATTTCTTTATCAATTTTAACCGATGCATCTAAAAGATCAGAAGTAACTTTAGATAAAGCTTGTAATTTCCATCCTTTAGAAACAACAAAATCTTCAGAAAAAATATCTCCTCTAACTCTTTCACATCCAAATGATCCTACTGGGATGCGCTCCTTTAAAAATGTAGACATACTAGAATTCCCTAAAACAGGTTTCACTGAAGAAACCAGCAAAGAAACAAAATCAAGAACTAAAGAACATTCATTTTGCGCATTACTAACAACTTTAAGCCAAAATTAAACTATTTCCTGGCATACGAAATCATATTAATAAGTTTTTCTTTTATTTGTTGAACATCACATTTTAAATCAAATATATCTGAAAAGTTAAAATCCTGTTTTTGTTTTAAATCATCATTGTCATCCAAATCATCTTTCATATCAAGAAAAGAAGATATTTTAAGCTTCCTAAATGCCCCATATCTTGCAACAATTCTTGAAACTATATTTTCTAAAAAATAATCATAACTAAATTATAAGTAAAAATATCACAAATAAATATCAAAAATTACTTATAACCATATGAGTATTCCCGTGGAAATGGTACCAAAAGAATATCTACTGAATCCATATCAGCTTTTTAAAATTTTAATCAAGATCATAGAAATTCGTAATAAAAAAGATTATCTTCAAATAATATACAGGCATAATTTTAGATAGAATCAAAAATAGTATAAAACAACAACAAATCATCAATAAACATAATTTTCGCTTTCTTAATACAATTTAAATAATACTACCCATTTAAATTCTCTAAAATGACTATATAATTTAAAAAATCACAATTGTAACTCCAATTAATCTTAAAAAGTAATAGACCAAAATAAGATCGCAATAATAATAGTACAAAACCATATGATAACAAATTGAAAATTTCCATATATTAAATATTTTATATATACATTATATATAACTTGCCCAACTAAAATTGTTAAAAAAATAATTGAAAAAAAGAAAATTACCCTATATACATCAAAGCAAGTAATTCAGGGTTAACCGCTTGCAAAATAAGTTCATCTACTTGACCTTCAATAGACAAAGGGGTAACTTCAGCTGTCATATATCCATCTAATTTCCGTTTAATTGAATCTAATACTTTTTTTGCTTCAACATTTTCCGTATTTATATTACTATCAGAAGAAATATTCCTCTAAAAAATATTTAATCAAATACGAGAATAAATATTAAATACTTTTTTTTTATCCCATTCCAGAAGTGGATCATGAATAAAAGTTTCCAAAACACTTGTCAATGATTCTTGATTTGATCTTAATATTCTCATTGTAACTTCACATGATTTTCTAAAAACTCCTATAAAAATTATTATAATAACATTTAATATAGACTTTATTTTTACCATTATAACCTATTACACCTAAAGCATCTACCATATTGTGAGTTAATCTAAAGGGAACCCTCTCAGGTTTTTCAAATGTAAGTCCCTAAAAAGAATTAAACAAAAACAAGTTATTTAAGGAAATAAAACCTTCTCAAAAAGGCAATTAAAATCTACATGAAAAGAATCACCATTATTTTCATCAAACAATATGTTTTCTCCATGACGATCTCCAAGTCTAATAATATTAAATTATAATAACTAAAACACAAAATATACCCTAAAACATAACCAACCATAGACATAACAGCTAAAGTTCTTGCATAATTCAAACGACTTGTTCTCCAAGTTATTGGTGAAGGGAATGTTTCTAAAAACCATTCATGAAATACTGAAGGAAATCTAACTCGAACATTAAAGTAAAGATAAAATGTTAAGTTCTTACTTAGATAATAATTTTTCAGTAAATATTACACCAGGATTTGAACTTGAAGAAGCCATATCTAATATTGAACGAACTTCCGAGTACTATTATCATTAAAAAATAATAATTTTAGAAATATGCAAACATTAATAAGTATATTTTTTTGTTTATATGCCTTCAATACAATATCTCTTAAAGGCCTCATATGACTAACCCACTCAATAAGCCCACATTCTTCATTGAAAGGTATAACACTATAAGTTCTAATACCTTAAATAAATTAGTCTATTTTTTTCTAAAATAATCATCCTACGCAATTGTCTTTTTCTAGATTCATTATCTATTCTCAAAAACCTATTAATCATAGTATTAAATTCCATTAACCGTGCATCTTTACGCAAATCATCTTTTGGTTTACAGAGAAATGAATAATATCGACCATCACTACCAATAACAGTGATTTTACGCGGCTTTTGTAGAGAATTCATTATATCAACTTCATCCAAAAAACCTAATAAAAATCAGGTATTATAACAAAATTAAAAAAAATACCATGCAAACATGGTTGATCATCAGGAAACGGTATATGATGCTTAACAGCAGCAGGAGAAGATGGCAAAGTGATTACTAAAAGTGATTGAATAGGAACAACGATATCTATTGGCACAACAGAAAATGAAAATCTAAAATCTTTTGAAAGACTTTGTATAGTTCTTTTGCTTGTGATTTCTGTATTACATAGCCGAATAAGTTGACTCACTAATAATTGTGTCTGATTTACCAATTTTTTCATATTCACAGAGGAATTCTTAACATCAGTCTACAAAATCTAAAAAATTACACAAGAATAGAGGCTAGTTACCATCAATTTCTGAAGAATAATATTTCCACGTTCAGAACGTATTTTTGAACGAGATTTAGATACAGAAAAAATATACCATAGAGACTGTTTAGGATACGTTGAAATAACAGAAACAATTATCATTTCTAATATAGAAAAAACAGATGGATTAGAATGTGTTATTCTAGAAATCAATTGAGAAAAGCATGTCAAAAACTTAATATATTAGTCTTAATTAAAAATGTGAATACATACCAAATATGCCGGCAATCGTTTTGCATACTTTTTAACACAATCATTTATTAATTTCAATCGAGTATGTCTTGCTTCAAGAAGATTCTGCTGAAATTCCCTATGACATTAAAAAATAAAAAAATTAAAATAAAGCCATTACTTAGTCCCAAAATCAAAAAATATTTTATCAACATTATTTCCAAAATCTAACCAAAGTGTAAGAAACCTTGGCATTGTTTGATAAATATATTTGCTTCCATAATGGAGGGCTCGTCCATAATTAACACAAATAAGTCGAGTCCATTCTCCTTCCAAACTAGATTATGTTAACAAAATTAAACATTATAGTCAATGAATTAACAAATTTGCACTTTGCATATTTGGAGGACGTTTTGCTTCCTCATCATATAATCTATTATAATAACGTCCAAGATAATAATGGCCTTTTTCCCATCTAATGTATATAAGACTATACAGAAATAACAAAAAATATCACTAGCCTATTATGCTTTTTAACTACTTCTTGGTATTTTTGTATTAATATACGCGCATTACTTTGTCCTCCTGTATCTTTCCATTTAGCAAGAAGTAGAGAAGCCTAATTAATAATATAAGAGATCAGTATATTTTTCAAACAAAAGTAACCTTTCCAGTAATATATGCTTTAGATTTCATGGAAGAGTACTTGTCAAAGTATTTATCGGATTCTTTCATATCAGAAACACAATTTTCAGGAAAATCGAAAATTCCTGCAGCAAAAGCATTCTCTAAACTTTCAACAGCTTTCCTATGCTCTCCTTGTTTCCACCACCATCTTGCATGCTCTACACTTGCCAAAGGAAATCCTTTACTTTCAGCTATTAATATCGAATTATAAGACTGTTGTGAATAATCAGATTTTCTCGCAAGCTTCGCTATTTTAAGCCATATTTTAGCAACCTCATCACTAACATCAATCCCTTTAGATGAACTATAATATTTAGATATCATAGACACTAGTCAAAACATACCTTAATATATCCAAAATTATCCGTCTCAAAGATAAAACGGAACATTTATACTCAAATGAAGCGGCCATAATTTGTAATCTTTGATCAATTCCATCCATAAAAAGGCTTATATCATTACTATCGCCTTTAAAAAAATTATAAAGATATTCCAATTCAAACAACATATGTAGTTTAAATAATATATCATAACATTGCCATGTAGAATCAATATTACTTGATCCTAAAGACATTGCCAACTGTGTACGCAATTCCACTATACAATTATGATAATCCAAATACTTTTTACTTTTTAACAACAACAGTGCTTTTCCAAGACCAATATCAAATAATTTAGTATCGGCAATGCTCAAATATTTCTCCAAAATATCCCATTTTTCAAACTGCCAAGCAACCTCAGCACCGACATTTATTAACTTATTAGTAAAATTCAAATCACAAGAAATAAGACCATCAATTTCCGTTAATAATGTTTCTATAAATACAATTAAACTTAAATGAATATATTTTTTTTTAAAATACCATAATGACCTTGTCTTTTTAGACAGTTCAATAAACCATTTAATAACTCAAACTTTGGATTTTTCCGATCTAAAGATAACTCATAACATGTTTGAGCAGCTGCCCAGCGACCTGCACTTTCGTGAATTAAAATTTGCTGATCTAAATCAAAAGTATGAAATTTAGACGAAATTCCTTCAATTGTGTCTGGATCATCCAAATTTATATACATTTGTTGCAATTTTTTATACAAAGGTCTGAGACCTTTATTATCTAAACCATTATTTCGTTCCTGACGAATATACTGTTCCCAATGAAATACGGCTCGTGCATATGATCCACAATTATATGACGCACGACCTATAAGGTCCGATGGTATAACCAAAAGCAAGGATTCCACTTTCTTAATAAGTGGGTCATTATCAACATCATCATCAACAATCATATATCTATTTGCCTTCCTAACCACAGCAGCCTTACAGTTGCTATTAAAACTCCTTTTCCGACGAAGCCATATATTAAAATAATCTATTATCGAAAACACTGTCTTTATAACATTCATTATATAATAAAATAAAATTTTGAATAATATACCTGACATGCCAATTGAGCTTTTTCAACCTGAACATGATCTGTCTTTTCAGATTCTCCATCTTTTAACACATCTAACAGCTCATTTGCCACCATGTTTTTTAAACATTCTGTTCCTGTTAATATAACATTCAAGAGGGCAAATGGTAATAAAAAATTAGTTATATTTAAATCCTGATTTTTAATTATGTAAGAACAAATAGAGAAAATCTTTTTAGCATTATCTCCTTCAACACTTTTAAATATTTCTAAAGAAAAGTTCTGCAACCAAATTTTATAAGTTTTTGCAGAAGAATATATCGGGTAAGCCAAGACAGTATTTAACTGAGTCTGATTGACAAAATATTTAGAATTTAACAAAGGTATAAGAGTTTGCTTCGAACCGATAGAAAAATATGACCATCTTTTAAATGTTTCAAATGAAGATTGATCAGTATTTGTAATATTAGAAGCAGTAAACCCACAAAATTTCAACAATTCTTGCATCACATATGCCAAAAATCCTTGAGCCCGAGTATCAGTTGCAAATCGAAATGCACCAACAAGTTGTTCCTGAATAAATGATGAAACGAATACAATATTCTCATCCATATTTTCAAAATTATAAAGAACAACTAGTTCTTTTTTCTTTTTCTTTGCATCTACTCTTAAAGGATCTACAGCACCAACAGCACCGAGACATTCTGCAGAAAGTATAACAATATCTTTATTTATTTCTCTGTATTTTTGACAAACATCTAACAAAGCTCTAATAATATATTCGATAACCTGCTCGGTTCTTTCTTTCACTATCAACGAATGAAGGCTCAATTGGTTTTCATATAAGCATTTACGAAGCTCCAATAATCCTTGATAACAAACAATTTCACTATCATCTACACATCTTTGAGTAATATTTTTCAAATAATCACTAAATGATAGAGATTTTCTAAATTCTGATAATTTCATTTCAATATCATCTAACTCCTTTATTGCTTTTAGGCTTGGTATACTTGTGATGGATTCTTCAATAACATTTTTACGATTATTAATTAAAGACCAAAAAAGATCACGAATCAATTGCTTTTCTGCAGTTAAGCACTCATTCCAATAACTTAAAAACAATGAAAACGTTTGTCCCAATAAACCAGAGAGATCAAAATCGTTCAAATTATTTACAAGTGTTGACCATGAGCATAAAGAAGCTTTCCTTAAAAAAGGATCTAACAAAGCTGATTGAAGACAAGCAGAAAGCTAAGACTATTAGTTACAACTAAAGATATAATAAAGACAACTTGTGGAATTGCACTGGTGATAAAACTGCCAGCTAATTTTACAAGTTCTTCAATGCCAACTAAATAACGCAATTTTTCACGAACAGAATTCTTTCCTTTTACATCATTTATAAGATCAGTAAATTGTGCTACTATTCCCAATGTATATCGAGAAAAAAATTGTGCAAGAACATCTTTAGAATCAAAAGTATTTGAATAAACATGATCAAGGGGAATTTTACAGACAATAGCAGAAACGATTTCAAGAGCTCTTAAAACCTAAAAAATTATGGAAAAATCACTATAAGTTGAATATATACCCTGGCACGTTTCTTATAAAATTCATCTGAAAACATTTGTAACAATTGAACAGCAATTAATATAGGCTCTGAGCGAACAAGACCTGATAAATCTACCTTTTTAAAATCGGAAGAAGCCAAAGAAAGCAAAAGCATAGTTGCGCTTTCAACACATGCAACATCCTGTGTCAAAAGTGTCGCTAAAATATAAGGCATATTATCTAGACAAAGAGTTGAAACATCTTTCTGCAAAGAAGAAGCAATTTGCTCAATAATATCTTTTCTTTTCGATATAATAAGGTAAGGGAGAGTATATGATTCAGTACGAGAAAGAAAATCTGATAACGATATTCCCAAGATAGTAGAAAATATTTGTACAATTTGAGGTCGACTTTGCATCTGTTTTACAATTGCAATACCAACAGTATTCCAATATGGAGAAAAGAGCTGCAAAGGTGTTAAGCTATGAGCATCGGAAATAGAATGAATCTATCATATTTTAATTTCATCATCATGAAAGTAAAAATTCACCTCTTGAAAAATAAGTGCTTGAATAAATAAATTACCTTGACCTAGATATTCTATAAGCAATATTAAAATTAAATTAAGTTCTTCATCTTCTGAAATCCTATATATAGTTAAAATAAATATTATATTTTAAAACACGTACTTGGCAAGTTCTGCCCAAAATAATATAACAGATTCCATGTATATTTTTTCATTATTTACAGTCATTCCTTTCAAAACATCGAAAATATATCGTCTATTTTCTAAAGTTATTTCATTATTAGGATCATCAGATTTTTTTTTATTATAATAACAACATAATGTATATCTTCAATAATATTAGAAAATTAAAACATAATAATATTTAACTACCCAGATTCTATTCTGAGTCTACGTAAAGAACTCTGAAGTGATTGTATACACCAATTTCCAAGAACTGAAGTTGATAATCGTATTTCTGAGTCAATAGTCGAGTGTCTAATAATTCTACCCAAAGTTTTCATAGCAATAATTCTAAGAACACCACAATTCGCAAACCATTCTAAATTCAAGCAAGATTCTATCAATTCAGAGAAAATAACAATTTCAGAAGAATCCAAAATTTTAGCAGATGATTTTGGACAATCACATATATTACAAAGAAGAGAAAAATCTTCATTACAGTCCAATCTGAACACAGTTAAACATCCAGAAGCTCCACAACTTAATAAACCAATACATTCAAAAATAACTCTATATTGTACTATATTCAAATTTGTGTCAAAGAGAAAACGTTGAATTTTTTCAAAAATATTATCAATCTTTCCAAAAAATTGAGGAAAAGCCTTAGACATGTACCGAGATATATAAAAAATCGGATCTAATGAAGGATATAACTGCTCTATTATTAAATTATCATTATTAGCTTCAATGTAGCCACTCCATATAGGTTTAATATAGTCAATAATCGAATTATATCTTTCCTTTAAATATCCACTTCTAAATCTAATTTCTAAATCCTTTAAACATTGAAACAGAAATTTCGCCAAGCAATTTACTCTATCAAATATTTCGGTGAATAAATATTCCATGTTAGATAACATGAGAATGCTATAGAGATAACAAATCTAATAGTTTATATTTAAAACAAATAATTGATATTCTTACCTTAAAATCAGATATTGTTGCCATAAATCTGATAGGACTTTTCTGAAAACGCTCTAAAGCTGGTATTAATCGTGTAACAATCATAGATAAATATTCAGGAAACCGCTTTGATATCCTTGAAATTCCAATAAGTCCAGCACCAAGGGCTTCTTGCAATGTTATATTCAAAGTATTATTGATTTCACTTGAATACAAGCTTTCAAATCCAGATAAAACAAGAGTGACCGTTACTCTAAAACATACATGCAAATCATCAACTAAAGGATTTTCATATCCATGAAACAATAATATTCCTAATATTTTCAAAAATAAAACCTGAACCCAAATCAAATATTTCATAGGCAAAGTTTTCGATAAAAAACATTCCGAAAACTCCCATAAAGTATCCATATGGCATCCAATCCAAATAGATGACCATATTCCCGGAATCATCCCTACCACCCTTTGATCTTGTATCCAATAAACCATCATTTCAAATACATGTGCTACTATATCTAACCTATCAAAAACGGATAACTGATTAAATCCAGGAACATCATCAAATTTCATCACAATTTCTGAATCATATGTCTCATTCGAACCTATTTTCATATCACAAACCAACACTTTATCTATCATTAGTCTTAACATTAATTTCAACCATAATCTCTACCATTCACAAAATTTTTAACTGTATCTAAAGCCTCTCTAGCAAAAAAACCACTAGTACATGTAATCAAAAGATATATTTCATAAATATTCCGACGTAATAAATCCATTTTATCATATCGTAATAACAACATCATTCTCCATATTAACCATTTTATCAATCTATCCTTAGAACTCTCAACAACCACTTCTAAAACTTTAGGAATCCTTGAAATAGTCTTTTCAATCAACCGTAAACTTTGTAATACACAAACCCTTACTGATTCATCTTCTATGCATACTTCTTCAAAATCACTAATAAAAAAACTTCTGCGAATACGCATTTCATTCATTCTTCCAATTAGACCCATACGAACAATAATTTCGATCAATTCAGCATTCATCATTATTTCTTTCTCTGTCACCTCATGTGACGAGCTTTCCTCATTAGAAAGTGCTAATGCTTGCTCCAAAACCCGTTCAAAGCCATCCTCATTCAAATAAGAAACTTCTTTATTTAAATGTATCCGAAACCCATCTGATTCACTTGTCATTCTCACTCATTATTCAAATCAATGGGTATTTTCTAAATTTCGAGATCCAGATATCTAACAAAATTTCACAAAAATATATAGAGAAAATATATAAAATAAAAAACAAATAAATCCAGGAAAAAAAAGATTAAAAGCCAATATAAGCAGAATCAATTTGCTTTTTATTATAATTAGAAGAAAAAATTGTAAGGATTCACGTGATCCAAGAATACAACCTCTAAAAAATCTAAGAGAAAAAGATGGGAACTTGTAGAGAAGTTATTGATGCAATAGAGGAGAAAAATGAAGAAGATTTATATGAACTTGGAATATTTAAAGCAATTGAAGGGATAAATAAATGGGAAATTCGTGAAATAGAGGGAGCTGGAAGTCATTTTTTAAAATACGCAGAGAAGAAATTAAATAAAGAATTATTAAATAAAAATTTTGTAGAAAAGAAAGAAGAGAAGATAAAGTTTATTAATGAAGAGGAAGAAGAGGAAGAAGATTTAGAATTACTTCGAAGTGATCCAAAAGAATGGAAAGTATTTATTGATTTTTGATTAGAAGAAAGATATTGATATTTTATTTAGCAACAAGATCATTATGCAATACTTGGGTTATCTAAAAGTCGTTATAAAGCAACATTAGAGGAAATAAAACAAGCATGTATGTCAGATTTTTTTAAAATGATAAGTATATGAATGATATGATGAATTTTAGATCGACAAAAAGTCTTGAAGCATCATCCAGATAAAAAAGCGGCTCAAGGTAATCTGAATGATGATTCTTTCTTTAAGTGTATTCAGAAAGGTATTTTAAAAAGGATAAATGATATATATTTATAAAAAACTTCAGCAATGGAAATCTTATCAGATCCTATAAAAAGACGACAATATGATTCAGTTGATGAAAAGGCAAACATTTGCCTACCTTCGAAGAAAGATACGACATGTTTTTATAAACAATGGAATGAAGTATTTGAAAGCGAAGCAAGATTTTCAAATCAACATCCAGTTCCTAGTCTTGGAAATGAGTATTCGACAAAGGAAGAAGTGGAAAAATTTTACAACTTTTGGTATAATTTTGATTCATGGAGATCTTTTGAATACTTGGATAAAGATATTCCTGATGATTCATATAAGTAGAAAAATTTTAACTCATTCATTTCTGATTGATAATAGCCGTAATAATAAACGATATCAAGAGCGTAAAAACAAAGCAGACAGAACAAAACGAAAAACAGAAGATACCGCACGCCTTCGAGCATTAATAGATACATGTTTAAGCCTGGATCCTCGCATTAAGAAATTCAAACAAGAAGAAAAAGCAGCGAAAGCGGCAAAAAAGCAAGAATCTAGAACGAATGCCCAAGAAACACATGAAAAATTAATAAAAGAGGAGGAAGAAAGAAAGAAAAAAGAAATGGAGGAACAATTACGAAAAGAGGAAAAAAAAGCCAAAGAAATACAAAAAAAAGCTATAAAAAAAAACAAAAAGATCATTAAACAATCTTTAAAAACAGCAAATTATTTCTATACGGGAGAAAATGTTCCGTTAGATGTAATTGACAACGTATTAGCTGATGCTGAATTAATTTTACAAAAAATCCCTTTGGAACAAATGACATTTACAAAGGCATTAGAAGAAACGACTCAGGCAGAAAACATTCATGCCATATTTAAAGCATGTATCAAAAAACTTATAGAAGAAAAAGTGATTGAGGTATCCGATCTCAAAGTACTATCTATTTAAATATATCATTAAACGTTTTTATAAAAAGAATCATAAAATCCATATTAAAAACAAAAAAATATGGACCAGCCATATATGCCAAAATACCCATATGGGAATCATATATTGCTAGCGTCCAGCACAAAAATCAACTGAATATTTTCGTCTTTTTTGCCTGCTTTCATTATGAGCAATTGTGCTATAAAGGTATAGTGAACCATCATTATCGCAATCACGCAAAAATAAACTATGCATCGCCATTTCGTCATAAAGCTCTTTACAACTCCTAAGTTCCGAACCTAAATTTGCAGTAGTTCCGACTTGTTCGCCATCAAGATTAAAAAGAACACCATCAACAATACGATAAGAAGATAACACGAAGGGGGGTGGATATTCAGAATCATTAAACAAATCCTGATTTGAAGTCACATGTTGAGTATCGGAAGGATCATTTGATTCAGACGGTACCCTATCATCCATCCAAATATCACCATTTGCATCTAGAAAAGCATCGGATGCAAGCAATTCCCCTCGCAATGCACGTCGGACGAGACCAGCAGGCCATGTTGCAGAAGACGACAAAACAACAGGCGATGAAGAAAGAGAAACTAATGATGAAGGCGACGAAAAAAACCTTACAGGCGATGACCTTCTAATCACTGATCGTGCTTCGCGCATCAGTGCTAGTCGCTCTGCCATTCCATCTACCCTTGCACGCATCTCACGCAGCCGCAATTCACGACGCCGTAAAAGATTCAGCGATGATGATAATGACGTATATGATCCAGCTGCCGCTTCTGTCTCAATAGGCGCCTCTATAGATAATCCATGCTCAACAGTTTCTGGTTCAATTACTTCTGACGGCATTTCCGTTTCATTTACCTCTCCTGAAGAATATCGTGAAAACAATGATACTAAACCCAAAGGATCCTGAAAGCTTGAAGAGGATAAAGGTCTATCTAAAGGTCTCCATCCAGTAGGACTACTTCTACGTCTATTTGATGCTACTATACTACTTGCTCCTGTTTCTATTGTCGATGTTAACATCCGTGATGATTCATTCAATCTTCCGGGCATTTTCAACGCAAAAAAAAAAGAAAATAAGAAATTAAGGCTGATCTTTCATTTTAAATAATAAAAAAGTCTTTATCTTGATATTTATCACCACTTTTAAACCTTCCAAACAATCTTAACTTGTCTGCTGTCGTGTCTCAACAGCCACTTTCACTATAGCAACTAATTACCATAGCAACCGTTTACTTCGAGATCTCAGGATAAGCCCTTATTAACGTTATCAAATGCTCAAAAACAATTGTCTGGAAACTTAAAAAAATATGGATAACAATGTATTTGATGAAAATTTGAAAGGAAAAGATCCAGAGCAGAGGCGTTTGATGGAAGAAATATGCATTTTAGTTAATGAGAATGATGAAATTATTGGATTTGAAACAAAAAAAAAATGTAAATAATTATTTTTTTTGGAAGAAAATTAATTATAAAGGCCATTTATTAAAAAATATCAAAAGAGGAATGCTTCATAGAGCGTTTTCAGTGTTTTTATTCAATGAAAATGGACTTTTACTGCTTCAAAAACGGGCAAATGAAAAAATTACATTTCCAGGATTATGGACAAATACATGTTGTTCACATCCACTTTATATTCATTTGGAGTATGGAAGGACATCAGAGGAATCTATTGAGGGAGTTAAACGTGCAGCACAACGAAAACTTTTTCACGAATTAGGAATTACAGCAAACCAAGTTCCATTGGAAAAATTTTCATATTTAACAAAAATTCAATATTCAGCGCAAAGTGATGAAGTCTGGGGAGAAAATGAAAGTATTATATTGAATACTAAAAAAATATCCCTGATTTTTTTTGAATATAGTTGATTATATTTTATTTATTCAAGCAAATGTTGACCTGAAACTTAATGCAAACGAAGTAGAAACAGCACGATATGTTAGACAAATTGATCTTCGTGAAATGTTAACTTCTAAAGGTAGCATTTTATTTATTAAAACCATTATTTTACATTTTTTAGATTTTAAATTTACACCATGGTTTCAACTAATTTGTCGTTCATTCATGTTTTTTTGGTGGGATAATCTTAACAATCTTAGTGCTATAAAAAATCAACATGCTATTATTCGAATGTGATTGATTCATCCAAGTATAAAAAAATTAATCATTCATTTTTTGCCTAATATTTCAATAGTATTTTACTATTATCAAAAACAAGTAATATTCAAATTATTTGCATATTAAAACTATTATTTAAATCATTCATTTACCTTTTTTTAGTATAAAAAATAATAAATATTAAAATAAAGAAATATTCTTAAAAAAATTATAAATTAAAAAAAACATTATGACCCAAAGTATACAATATATTTAAAAAAAATCTCTATATTTCAAAGTTACGAGAAAATATATTTTTCTTCAAGGACACCCTTAAAGTTCAACTTGCGTAAAAAATAGAAAAAAATTAAACTTTAAAATAAAATTATTTTTAAAATTATTTATTAAGCAAAAATACAATATTTCATTAAGGTTTATAAATGAATAGGCATATTGTTTTTTTTTCGAACTAATATATATTAGATGTCAATAGAATTAGCAGTATCTTATGCAACATTAATTTTAGCTGATGATGGAGTTGAAATAACATCGGACAAACTACAAACACTTGTAAAGTCAGCAGGAATTCAGGTTGAAAATATTTGGACATCTTTATTCGCAAAAGCACTTGAAGGAAAGAACATCAAAGTTTGTCTTTAATATTTTTAAAAAAAAATCTAATTAAATTAGGAACTTCTTCTTAATATTAACTTCGGGGAGCCAGCCTTGGCAACTGAAGGTGTATCTTCTCTTCAGACAAATGAAACAGTAATTGAAGAAGCTCCCAAAGAAGAAGAAAAAGAAGAATCAGATGAAGATGTATTTTTTTTAATAATTAAAACATTGCTAATATTTAAGCAGATGGGTTTTGGTCTTTTTGATTAATTTGAAGAACCTTCGCTTTTTCTTCTTCTCCGATATGAAATAAACTGTGCAAATATCTAATATAATTATATAAAACATTCTGTACTATAAAAATAACCTTACCAAAAAATCCATAAATAAAGTACCAAAGCTTGATAATAGCCACGGAAGATTAATTAAAATATATTTTCGTGAGATGTCTATCAGCAAAATACTAACTATATACGTTAAATTTCCCAATACTGTAAAAGCAAAAAATAAAGGAGATAGCCCTATATATCTCAGAATTTAAGAATATTAGAAATATATACCATACCATCTGTAGATTTGCTTTTATAATTTTTTATAATTTGTGGTATTCTTGCAAATACTATAAATTCGATTAATTGTATTATTCAAAATATAAAAAAACTTACAATAAAAAAAAGACCCAATATAACCCACCACTAAAAATCCAGAAGAACCATTATATTCTAATTCCGGTTTTTTAATCCCTCCCATCAATACTGTAATAATCCATCCCAATATGCCAAAAATTATCACAACCGCTAACGAAACAAAGAACTGAGAAAGTGTAGCTCCTTTTAATGTTGATAAACGAACCTCGAAATCATATTAGACATTATTTAATATCCATTATTTTATTCACTTTAGATCGAAGACTAGGCTTTCGTTTATAATATAAAATTTGAAGGATTAAAAGCAAATCTGCTAAAAAAAAATAAACTTGAACCGCAATAATTACTGATATTAATTTTCCCCATATTGATCTATCTAATATCAGCATTTTCCCCCTTTGTTTATAACTCTAACCCAATCAGAGAAAAAATATCTCCAATTAACCATAAACATAAAAAATGAAGCGATAATGAATCTCCACTATCAATTTAATTAATCCCTTAACTTACAAATCCTTCTTACATACGATTTTCGTTTATAATTTTCAATTAATTGAGGATATACTGTAATCAACCTATTGAAAAAAAATCTTTGAATTTCTATAAAAATCTATTAAAAACAAACATACCAAAATGCAATAGATATAGCCCTATATACTTATTAATCTTTTTCTTAAAATACATTTTTTTACCCAAAAATCCCCGACAAACTCTCTCTTATACTAATTTTTGTAAATTCTGATAATTTCATCTCTATATATTTCTCTAGTTTCAAATATTATTAAAATCTAGTCTTAATTTTAATATTATCTCGATATTAGGATTTTCTATATTTAAATATTAAAGGGTTAATAAAGAAATGGAGAATCTTAATAATAAAGAAAATAAAGAAAACATAAACTCTAAATGTATAGAACTAGAAAAAACTAAAAAAAATAGTTGTATACAGAGTATAAAAACAAAGTTAAAGGATATTATTTTAGGACCAGCTCCATCATCTACAAAAGTAATTCCAGAGGCTCATGCTAATATAATATCTAAACTTTTATGGAGTTGGTTAGATCATTTAATGGTATTAGGGTTTAAAAGGCCTCTTGAAATAAGTGATTTATGGTTTATTGATGAAAAACGTACATCTAAAAAGTTGGGGGATGAATTACTGAAACATTATGAAAAACATAAACAAAAAAAACAAGGATTATTATTGGCATTAAATGATACATTTCGTAATCATTATTGGTCAGCTACTATTATTAAAGTATTTAAATAAGAAGAAAGGGTAGATGAACTAATAAAGAACAGTTTTTTTGCGATTTATTAGTTATTTTGTCATCTCTTATGGTTAAGGTTTATTATTTTAAGGAGATTTTATATATAAGTTGATATTTTTATTAGTATATTATTATATTTTCTCAGAAAAGAGCATTACATGATCAAAATACGCATATTAATCCAAAACAACATGTAGTATATGGTATTATGCTTTGTCTTGTGTTATATTTATTTCAAACAATATCTTCGTTTTGTCTTCATCATTCATTTTATCGGACTATGACTGTGGGAGCATTATCAAGAACGGCTTTAGTATCATGTATTTATCGCAAAAGTCTTCTTCTTAAAAATAAACAGAGATTATTTTATAATAATGGAAAAGTATATATCATTATTTTATTCTGGAACAGATATTAATAGATAGATCATGAATTTAATCAATACCGATGTTACTAATGTTGACATTTCTCTTGGATATACACATATTATATGGTATTTTTCATTTTTTATAGAAAATTTATAATTATTATTAGGACAGCAACAGTTCAAATTCTTTTAATTTTTTTAATTTTATACATAAATCTTGGCGTCCCTGCACTTTTAGGGCTTTCATTATTACTTATTTCTGCTCCTATATGTAAAAAATAATCAGCTAATCTACTCAATCTAATTGTACTAGTGGCAAAAGTATCAAAAACTTTTATCAATAAAAATCTCAGAATTTCTTCTATCGCAGACATTCGTGCTCGTATAACAAATGAAACGCTTCAATCTATTAAAATAATCAAATTTTATGCATGGGAAAACTTTTTTTTGGATAAAATATTAAATCTAAGAAAAAATGAAGAAAAAGTAATTAAATTACTTATAGCTATTCGGTCACTTGTTGATTCTTTATTTATGGTAACAAAATTGATACATTTCTCTAATTATTTTATCAATTTATAGACTTTACCATTTTTTTGCATTATATTAGCCTTTATTACATACTATTTAATAAAAAAGAATCTGGATCCTGCAATTATTTTCTCATCATTAACTCTTCTTAACCATTTAAGGATTTCTTTTATGCTTTTACCTTTTGGTATTATTTTTTTTAAACTTTCAAATACATTTTTTAACATAATAGCAATGGGTGTTACTAGTAATATGCTTGCTTCATTAAAGAGGATTCAAACAATGCTTTCTAATGAGGACGATTTTGAAAATTCTGATTCAGTAAAAGAATTTAGAAATACTTTAGCATATCAAAAACCCGAAAATTCCCAGGAGGAAGAATGTAATGATGCAATTATTATTAAAAACGGATATTTCACATGGGCATCAGGTTCTCTGGGCCAAGATCTAGAAAAAAAGGAACTAAAATATTCAGAAAACACTTTTTTCAAGAAAAAATCATCATTAAATCAGTCTAATTTAGAAAAAAAAGATAAAAAAAAAACTAAGAATGAAAAATTAAATGAAAAAGAAAAAAAATACATCTCTGATATTGTGTTGCAGGAAAAAGATAAAATTCAAAATAATTCTGAAAAAAGCTTTGAAAAAAATAACATCGAAATAGATCTTAAAAATATTAACTTAAGAATAAAGAAAGGGGAGCTTGTATGCATCGTAGGTCCTATTGGTTCAGGGAAAAGTACACTTCTTCTTTCTATTATTAACGAAGTATACATAATCAACGGAACAATAAAATTAAATGGCACAATTAGTTACTGTTCTCAAATTTCATGGATTCAAAATACAACTATTATTGATAACATCTTATTCGGAAAACCATATGATGAACAAAGATATCAAGAAGTAATCGAAGCATGTTGTTTAGAACTCGATTTTCAGATATTACCTAATGGCGATTTAACAGAAATAGGAGAAAAAGGTGTTACAATTAGTGGTGGCCAGAAACAACGAATTAATATTGCACGTGCTGTTTACTTTGGTGCAGATATTGTATTATTAGATGATCCATTATCATCTGTTGATTCACATGTCAGTAAAGACATTTTTGAAAAATGCATTCTTGGTCTTCTTAAAGATAAAACAGTGATTCTTGTGACACACAAACTCGATATACTTGACAAAGCGGACAAAATAATTTATCTTGAAGATGGAGAAATTCGAGAAATAGGAAAATATTCAGACATGATTTCTAAACAAGAACATTTTTATGAATTTGTTAAAAAATTTCTCAACACACAAGTAGAAAGTGACGAATATTCCAAAAAGGCACCAGAAACAGTCATTTCGGGAGAAAAAGAAAGGAAAATTAAAACATTAATGCAGGATGAAGAACGTGAAATAGGCTCGATAAAATTTAAAGTATATATTGAATATATTAAAGCAGCAGCAGGTCTTTGGATTATTCCAGCAGTTATTCTTTTGCTATCTATTTATCAATTTTTTAATATTGGGTATTATTTTTTATAAAAACTAAAAAAAGTGCCTGAACACATATAGAAATAATCTATGGTTAAGCTTTTGGATAAAAAACCAATTCAAAAGATCTGCTAAATTTTATGTAAGCCTCAAGATGTACAGTATTTATGTCTAACATTTCCTAATAGATGTTAATATATGTGTTATTGGGCATTATTGAAATAATTCTATATTTTATTATTGAAATTTCACTGTTTAATATCGGCAGACGTGCTAGTACAAAGATGCATTATAAAGTAATCAATATTTATCCATTTTTATGTTAATATCAATTAGGCTATTCATCGTGTTCTTCGATTACCTATGTCATTCTTTGATACTACTCCTTTAGGTTATACTTATATTTAAATTAGATTTATTTGACATTTGTAGGACGAATTATTAATAGGTTCACTAAAGACATTAGAATTCTAGTATATATTATTTATTAAAAAGTCTTTATTAACTTTATAAGGATATTGCGCTTTCTGATAGTTATCTGATGTTTCTTGTAACGCTTTCATTCATTATCTCTATTTTCATCCTTATTATTATATTATTACATTATGTTAGATTTCTTACTTTTAATAATTCAATAACTAATATTTAGTAGTTTTTTATTGCACTTATATGTTTAATGTCACTTTTTTTCATTTTAATGTCATTCTATAGAGCATCTTCTCGAGAAATAAAGCGACTGGATTCTTTACAAAAATCAAACCTTTATAGTCAAATTAGTGAAACATTAACAGGCCTTCCTATAATACGCGCATACGAAAAACAATCAAAATTTAAATTAGAAAATGAAAAAAGACTAGATTTATCAAATAGTGCCTATTTATTAGTATTTGCCGCCCAACGATGGCTTGCTTTAAGATTAGATGCAATCGGAAACATGATTACATTATCTATTACTATTTTAAGTATAATATCAAATATTGATCCAACAACTGCAGGTCTTATCCTTTCTTATTCCCTTCAAATTGTTGGTATAATGTCTTGGATGTTAAGGCAGTTTTCTGAATTTGAAATTAATATGAATTCAGTAGAGAGGCTTCATCATTATGGAGAGAATTTAAAGACAGAAGCACCTTTAATAATTCCAGAAAAAAGACCTCCACCTGATTGGCCTCAAAACGGTGAAATTATATTTAATAATGTCTGGCTTAAATATAGAGAAGAGCTTCCATATTCATTAAAAAACTTAAATATTCATATTAGTAAAGGAGAAAAAGTAGGCATAGTTGGTATGTTAAGAAATCATCATATACATAACAATAATATTATTAGGTCGCACTGGAGCAGGAAAAAGTTCTATTATAGTAGCTCTTTATAGACTTGTAGAAATATCTAAAGGCTCAATAACGATTGATGGAATTTCTATTTCAGATATAGGTCTTCATGATTTAAGAAGCAAACTTTCTATTATTCCACAAGAACCAACACTTTTTGAAGGAACAATTCGGTCAAATCTTGACCCATTTCAACAATATTCAGATCAAGAAATTTGGGATAGTTTAAAAAAATCATGGTTCCTAGATTCTATTAAGAAATATCGTAACACAGGCAGTGAAGAATTATCAGAATTCAATTTAGAATGGCCCATAGAAACTGATGGACAAAATTTTAGTCATGGACAACGTCAATTATTAACTATGGCAAGAGCATTATTACGGAAATCCAAAATCGTCGTTTTTGATGAAGCAACTTCGAGTATTGACGCTAAAACAGATATGGAGGTAAAAATTACATATATCTAAATATTTTTATTCATATTTTTATTCAAGATTCAACATACTATTCTAACCCACTTTAAGGATGCAACACTTTTATGTATAGCAAACAGAATTAAGTATATTTATATCTTTTTTTACGCAATATTAATATTTATATATAGCACTGTTATTCATTACGACACAATTATTGTTATAAGCTCAGGTACACTTATTGAATTTGGGTCTCCACGGGAACTTTTTAATAAAAAAGATGGAGTCTTTCGGTCTATGTGTATACACGCAGGAATAACGGATATATGAAATAACTATATTAAAACATTTCTTTATTCAATATTCACCTATATATTATATATAAATTTTATCGACAAAAAATTATACCGACAATTTTCAGCTAGATTCTTAAATAGAAAAATTAATTGAAAATAGCAAAAATATTGCTTAATTATCAATAAGTATTATAAGAAAACATTATCTCTAATATCATTTATTAATATTTTAGAAAAAAACAATGTCAAATATTCCAAATTATGACGATTTTGCGAAATCACAAAATGATATATTTTATAAAGATTTCCCCATTAAGTATGGATTTGTTAAACGTTTAAGAATATATTTAATTAATTTTATAGCGGAACATCGTTGGATGTTAAAACTAAAGGTAGAGTTTTTATTCGAAATACATAATATTTAGTTTTTATTGATCTTTTTAATAGTTCCAAATGGAGTTGTAAGTTTATCTAAACATGTCGATGTGTTCTAGAAAATGGAAATATTTATTATTTATAGGAGTTTTCAGTTAGGGGGCATCAACCATCTACAGTTGGGACTATTATAGGTCAGCTTGAGGGAAAATATTCAGATAAACTCTCTGGTTTTGTTTTTTGTCAAAATTGGACAACGGAGAATGCTTTGACTACGAAAATAACACTAGAAAATCATCTTGCAAAAGGATTGAAAGCAGATATTCATACAACTTTATTTCCATTATCCAATACAAAAACTGCAAAACTTGGATTAGGATATAAACAGCCATCTGTTAATATTCGTACAATGGTTGATTTATTCAAAGGACCCACATTTTCTGGAGATATCGTTGTAGGAAAGGACGGGTTTATTGTCGGAGGAAATGTTGACTATGATATTCTTAATGGGACGATTACCAATTATGCAACATCAATAGGATATTCTCAACCTCAATATTCTGTTGCTGTTCAGGCTACACAGAATCTTTCAGTATTTTCGGCATCCTATTATCATCGCGTAAATGCAGTTACTGAAGTACATTTATCATATAATCATTGTCCATTTTAACATGTTAGGTTGCAGGGAAAATGACATGGGACACAAGAAGACCTACTAGTATGATCTCTCTCGAAGTAGGTGCGAAACATCTTCTTGACAAACATGCTTTTATCAAAGTAGGTGTTTTATTAAGCCAATAACGATAATAATAGATAGGCAAAAATAAACAATGACGGTATAGCAGGGATTTCTTTTACTCAAACGCTTTATTCTGGAATAAGGGTTGGTCTTGGGTTATCTTTAGACACTCAGGTAAACCATACATACTTTTAATAATGTAGCAGAATATTCATCTACTTTTAGCGATTATCAGAAGTAGCTCATAAAATTGGCATGTCCATTGCTATTGAGGGTTAATATTATGATAATAGCTATCTTAATTTTTTTTTTTCTAATATATATCTCAAAATATTATATTTCTCATAAAAATATTTTCATTATATTAAAAAATATGCTAAAAAAACAAAATATAATTATTTTCTCTATCAAAAACTTTGCATCTTTAAAGTAAAATCTAGCACGACGATAATTAAAGCCATAAGCTTTATTATAATATATGTAATAAAAAAATTTAGGATCGAAGAAAAAGTACACAAGATGGAACTAATTCTATCAAAATAAGCCTACATCTATAATATAAGGGATTAACATACGAAGTTCTCTAAGATTCTTATCTAGATCATTTCCAAAATATTCTCTTTTTGGATAAGTTGAAACAAAAATAGCCATATCAGGGCTAATTCCTGATTCCGGAAATATGCTTTCAGCTACAAATCTTAATGTATCTTCTGAAGAAAATACACGAATAATCAAAGAGCACTCTTTTCCTGCTTCAACACGTATCTGTAACCGAGATGTATTATATGAATTAATCATTGATTTTGGAACAGCTGGTGAGAAATTTTGTGATGCAGTATTTTTCATAGCCAAAGTTTGTTCCGCCTAAACTAATAAGAAAAAAAAAAAAACAAATATTATATACCCGTTCTTTACGCTCACGCTTATCTGCTTCAATTAGCTCTTTAATTCGCTTTTTTTCAAGAAGATCTTGTCTTTTTTCTTCTTTTCTTAACTGAATTTCTCTCAAATGTGCTAGTCTTTTCTGTTCTTCGATTAATTGCACATATTCCCGATCTCTTTTACGACGAATTAGCTTTTAATAATATTAATACATAAAATATATCATCTTTCAAATACTTCATTTTCACGAGCCTCCTGTTCTTCCCGAATCTTTTGAAGCATACGTTTTTCATTCAATTTTTCTTTAAGCTCTTTAATCTTACATGCCTTCTCTTCATCCGTCAAAGGAACCGTCTATATAACATATCAACAACATTTATTTATCTATAAATCCTTCAACTTCTTTTATTTGTTCTTCTAAATTAACATGTGACATTTTTAAACCAGATTTTTCTATATCTTCATTCCGGACTATTTCTTCATTATAATCTTCCAAATTTTCACAAAAATCAGGATCTTCAGCACCATTTAAAGACATTTTCTATCTTTCTACTTGTGTTTACACTCGAAAAATACCATAAAAAGACAATCTATTTGAACTTATATTCTTTAAATATTTAGCTTTTATTCAGCCAATTTTTATAGAATCAATTTAAAAATTTCTATGAAGGTATTAGTCAATTAGTTAAACATGTTTATACCAAAAATATTGCAAATTTATGACATCATTACTTACATTATTTTTAAGATCATTTTGACATTTTTTTTGACGGTCGTCTTAGAGTCCGACAGCACAGTAAAAAACATCATCAAAAAGTCAGAAATAAAGATTTATCAAAAAAGACATATAAATAGCCTTTCTTCTCTAAAAAAGATATTTTATAAAGAAATTAGGAAGAAAATTACTAGAAGAAGTTTTTTTCAGCTCTTAAAAATACTTAAATTTGGAGATAATAACTGAAATTTAAGATATTCAAAGTTGTCCTTTAAAATCCTTAAATTAAAGCAAGAAAAAGATATAAAAACAGATATTATTAAAGATAAAAAGTAGTAAAAGATGTCAGTGGAGTGTACAAGTCAGCTGGGATTTCATCGTCCACTTACCATGATGGTAAAGGAATCGCTTTTTATTTGTAATCCACACGAATTTCCAATTATATTTAAGATTAAAACAACAGCGCCTAAACAATATGTACGTTATTTCTTGAGAGAATATGAGATAGAAGAGAATTTTTTGACATATTTAACGGGTTTTTAGTGCGTTCGACCAAATTCGGGTCGTATTGAAGCAGGAAAAGAAATAGAAGTTTTGGGTATATTTTGAATGCTTTATATGTCGAAAAAATAACATACTTACGTGTATAGTTCTTTTTCAGGCGTTAAAAGAAGAACCGCCTCTTGATTATAAATGCAAAGACAAATTTCTTATCCAGTCTATTATTCTTAATGATAAAAATGCTACGGATTCACAAAACATGGTATGTTACTATTAATATTTATTTATATAACGTATTTAATTATTTTTATACAGCTTTCACTATTTGATTCTGTTGCAAAAGAAGATATTTATGAAAAGAAGATTAAATGTGTTTTTCTTAGTCCTGTACAAGATTCTGTTCACAATATTTCAGAAAAGTTTTCAAACGGCTATGATGTATAATTTCCATATGTTTATTATTTATTAACATATTTTTTTTACCTAGAAATTCGGTTCTACACGATCTTCTCAAACTCACGATTATAATACAGATTCAACAACCAAGCCCATACTTGATCCTAATTATTCGTTACAAGAAGATAGCACATTAATTAACAAGGCACTTGAAAATCCGGAATCAAGCAGCAATCTTGCAATTCAACTAGTTGAAGCTAAAACAACAATCAAAAAACTTAAAGATCATTTAAAAGAATCGGAACTTCGTCATCGTGGTTCTGAAGCATTTGAAAAAAAGGAAAAAACCGCCGCAGAAAAAATCGCAATTACAACAACAATGTAAGATTTTTTTTTAATATTTAATTCTAATAAATATATAGTAAAAGTGTTCCAATTCATGTTTGTATAGCACTTTGTTTAGCTGCTTTCTTTTTGGCATATTTTGCCTTTTAATTAGCAACACCTGAAAATTTGTTATTATCCAGATGTTATTTTTAATTATATTTTTATAATTACAATTCATTCTCTATTTAAATCTTATCAATTACATATAATCATAGTAGATCGTATTTACAAACTAACAATGATTTTAGAATGTTTTTTTTATTATTTCATTGAATATATTTCTATATTTTTCAAATGCTTACCATTAATAATCATCACCCCTACTGAGAACTTCTTTTCGTGTTGGTCTTAAAAGAATAGTATGCTAATATTATGTAAACATCTATCGCACACTCACATACTCTTTCTACCTCATATTGAGCCGTTTGGCAACCTTTAATATCACTAAGAAAAATTAACTACTTCCTATAGAGAAATGTATAAGAAAATACACTAAAGGGGGATATGCTTCAACAATTCCAGAGTTTACCAAGTTATTCAGCTAAAAATATATCAGTTTAGCAATAAAACCGTCTAATAATTACAGCAAGTAAATATTTCGTCTCTCCAATTCTATCCAAATATCTTCTACAAAATGGAAGTGTCCCAAAAACTCTCTCAATAGTGGATAAAAGGTGTTTTGCACGAGCCAAACGAAGAGGGACATGACCTACATTTGCTTTTTTTGCATAATGTGAACAATCGCCCTTAAATATTTAATATATATTTCGCTATCTCTAAAAACATACATATGCTTTAACATAACCCTTTCCTGTGCTTCCAAATGTTTCAATGGCAAATACTTCATTTTCTTCCATCTTTGTCTGATCACCTCCTCTAACAATAGGAACCGATTTTCCACCATGTATAATATATGGAGTAATATTATGCCCATTTAAATTTCTAATAGGCTTAACTATAATAGTAAAAAAACACTAAGCAAAATAAACGCAATACTTTGATAAGTATTTCCATCTAATTCGATCTCATAACTCTCCATAACTTCCTGGATTGCTGCACCAATATCACAAAGTCTTACATCAATACCAGCTTCCTTTAGAAAGCTCAAAAAAAATGAAGAACAAGATATACAACATACCCTAACTCCCGTATTTGTAGATTCCTTAACAGCCTCAAGTAATTTATCATATTTATGATCAAAAGTCATTGTAAACGCACTATCAATAATTCTTCCTATAATTTATAAATCAAAAACAATACAAATTCAAATATACAAACCATTAACATGAACACCGAAATCAACTTTCATAACATCATCTTTTTGAAGACCTAAAGAACATTAATTCTTAAGGTTAAATAAATATAACACCCTACATGTATTATCTCCTGCATTTGGTGTATAGTGGGCAGCGCAATTATTCAAACTAAGACCTGTAGGAAATCCAATACCTGCCTTTAACCCATCTTCTTCCACTAACATTCTGGTAGAATTTTCGATCATTTCTGCTATTTCTATCATCGTCATACCAGGATGAATCGTTTTTTGAGCATATTTGCGAACTTGACGATGAACTTCTGCTGCCCTACGAAAATCTTGATATTCCCCACATGATAAAAGTTCTAAATATCGCTTCTCTTCCGATGTCACTCGCCAAAGATTACTTATACTTAATAAATATATAAATATCTTATTTTTCTTAAAATATACTCATTATTATAATCCATTTGCTCTCCTTCAGGATATTTTCCAGAAGAATATAGTTTTGTAAGGCCAATAGAAGGAGGATCTTCCTGTTTTATTGAATTACATTTTATTTTTTTCTTTTTTTTTTTTTTTGTAACTTCTCATTCTATTAATCCCTTTTTTTCCAAAAAAAAAGAAATATACCAAAAACTTTAGAAATATCAGTCACAATTCCATCAATATCTTCCAATAAGGAGCCCTTTTTATCAATTTCTTTAGTATTTTCACTCAATATTTTTAAATCTTGTCAAAATTAACATTTTTTTCCCAAAAAAAAGAGAAATAAAAATAGATATCAAAAAATACACGTACCACCACTTGAATTATCATATAATTTGGAAAAATCCGTCTCAAAATGATCTTTATTAGCCATTTTTACGTCTAATTTTTTAAAAAATCGACATCAATGCTCGAACATCATAAAAATGAAATCACAGATTTTACGTTCTAAAACTGCTCATTCAAAGTGTTTTATACAATTAAGAGTAGCAGGGCAAATTTCTAAGGACAAGTTTCATATATATCCTTTTTTCAAGCGTTTTTTTTCGTCATATTATGACATTTTAGAGGTGCCGAAAGATGCATCTTATATAACAATTAAACATAAATACTATGAATTAAGGTATATGAAGAATTATTTATTCCTTTTCTTGGATCTTATATGTTTTTTAGCAAGAAATTCCATCCAGATTTGCATAAAAATGACAAAGAAACATATAAAAAATTTTTAAAGATAAAAGAAGCATACGAAGTATTAAGTAACAAAATAAAACGAAAGGAACATGACGAAAAGATAGGGATAAGTGAAAAAAATTACTCTGATTTGTCAGAAGCTCTAAGAAAAACAAATTACAATAGTAAATATAAAAAAAGCATGATAATTTTTTTAATCATTATTTTTAGGATTGGATGAGAAAATACAAAAAAATAAAGAAAATTCAGGATATTCTAGCGAAGAAATATATGAAAACAATTCTAAATACTATCAGAAATCACAAGAAAATCTTTATGTCAATACACAATTTGACTATGAAGCACATTACGAACCTTATTATACGTATGAAAGACATAGAATAAAACGTATAAAAAAGAGAAATGAATTTTTTGATCCTCGAGGAAATCCATGTTTTACAAATTTTTTTTGCGTTTCAACAATTATTTTAATTGTTATTTTATTGTCATCATTTTTACGCTTCAACATGAATAAAAAATCAAGAAAACATTATTCATTTACAAAACCTTTACCGTAACATCTTATTTATCTATTTTATTTTGGATTGTTTAAAAACATTTTAAAACTATGAAAAAATAATTTTATTTATTTTTTGACATATATTTAAACTATTAAATATATTTCAAAAAAATCAGGATAATAAATACAGTTTTTTCATGATTTTAACCAAATAAGACGAATTTCTCTAAAAAAAAATTTCAAATTATACATAAAAAATTAAAAAACAAGAAAGATTTTTCAAAATATCACAACAATTGCTTCAAGAAAAACTCAAAAAAAACAAAGGATGTAATAAGAATTATAAATAAATTCTTCAAAAAATAAAAATTTAACTCAAAAAAAAACTCAATTTAGAATCAACAAAAAAATCTCAGAAAAATTACATTCCAGAGAAATCTATACAAGAAAATCAACAAAGGAATCTTCGAAAATCAAAACAAACTTTTTCCTTATTTTTTTTTCATTTACAGATTTTCAACATTTTCAAATGAATATATAAAAATCACTGAAAATAAAGTCAATTGAAAAATGGGAATCAAACAAATACTCCTTCAAACAGGATTCCTTTTTTCAAAAAAATATTTTTTCACCTTATAAATTCATTTTTTTTATAAAAACGATCCGGCTCTTCGATATTCCACTTTACACTTAGAATATTAAGGATTTTTAGGGTTATTAGGCGGGTTTAAGACACGCCGAAATGTCAAGCAGCAGGCACGGTAATAGACAAGATCCAAATAGCCCGGATAGTCGTTTTTCCCGGGACTCCACTCGAGAAAAGGAGAGCTCTAGACGACATAGACATGACAGAGAAGAAAAGTCTTCAAACCGAAGAAGAAGTGCAAGTCCATGTACAGCGCCAACAACATCTGTTAGAGAAGACAATTTATCATCAGGAACTCATTTGTCTGATGAAAAACGGCCTAAAAATCCAGCAGCTATAGCAGGTTTAATAGGATTTTTTTTTTTAAATTTAAATGCCAATAAATATATTAGCAGCAGCAGCAGCACGTATTAATGCAATGTATAGTAATAGAACATCGGTACCAGTATCTTCTGAGCCTCAGGTTTGCTTTATAAGTTTGTATTAATATTATTTAATTAACATTATAGAAACAACCAACTACAGCACCTCCAGCACCACCGGCCCCTATAATTCGTGATCCATATAATCAGGAGGGGGATTATGTGAAAGACATTGAGGTTAATGATCTAAGGAATCGGTATATCCTTACAAAAGGAGCGACTCAAAAAATGGTATGGAATAGTTATATTTTTTTATAGAAAAACACTACCAAGGCAATTTACAAGCCAATTTGCCGCCCAGTTATTCTAATTGATTTATTAAAACATATTTGCTAACATTTTTTTTATTTCTAGATCAAAGAAGAAACAGGAGCAGGTACTATATATATAAAATAAAATATTATTTATTTATGATTCATATTTAGATGTAACAACTCGTGGGAAGTATTATCCTGATAAAACATTAGCTACGGAACGAGATCCTCCGCTTTATCTACATGTTACAGCTACTACCAAAGCTGGATTAGAAGCAGCGGTTAAAAAAATTGAAGAACTTATGTCTCAAGAACTTCCTTCTCTTGTTGATGAAAGACGTTTTAAAAGGAAAGATGATGTTGAACGGGATGAACTTGGAAGAGTGATAATATCAATATTCTTATGTTATATTTATTTTAAATAGAGAAAATGGCCAGAAGAAAGACTTTATATTGGACTAGAACCAATTCGTGGGTTTCATCTACGTGCTAGTATTGTTGGTCCTAATGTATATTAAATTTAACAACTAGAAAAATAGAAACTGATTTTACAGGGACAATACGTCAAGCATGTTCAGCAAGAAACAAAATGTCGTGTTCAAATTAAAGGTATTGGATCTGGGTTCATGGAACCGACTACTGGGCGTGAAAGTGATGAGCCCCTTTACCTACATATTACGTAAAGCGCACGTATTTTTTTATCTTCTAATTCATTAGTGGCCCTGATCCTACTGAAGTTCAACGAGCCAAAAGTTTATGCGAAGATCTGTTAAAAAGTGTTAAACAGCAATATGAACAATTTAAGGCATCACCACATGGCCAAAATTTTCCTGGATATACAGGATCAAATAATGCATATGGATCTGCATCTGGAGTTATTTTTAATATACCCCTTTTCAATTATTAATATTTTTTTTAGTATCAGGCCCCAACAGCACCAATTGGACCTCCTGGTGTTTCCGGATCATATTCTGCAGACCCTTATGCAGCTTATGGAGGTTATGAAGCATATGTCCAATATTATCAGTCTTATTGTAAGTATATAGTAAACATATATATATATAATATTTATCTTTTATTTAGATCAACATTATTATCAACAAGGAAACTCAGCAAATCCTGCACAACAAACACAAAATTCCCAACAGACAGGAAATTATCATACAATTGCGCCTCCTGGAACGTAATATTTATAATATCTTATTCACACTTTTGTTCGTACACTAAAATCTTAATTTTCTACAATCTAGACATTTTTTTTATATAAAATTATTAATAATTTATATATAATCTGTAAAAAATAATCTTCTAAAAGTTCTATAAAATATTCCATATTATAAATATTCCATTAATATTGCTAATTTTGAAAGAAAATTCCTTAGAGTTTTGGAAATATAGATTTCAATATCAAAAATTCATGTTAATTCCATAGTTTTTTAAAAAGCATATGATTTTCAAATAAACATATTTATTTAATTTCATTATAAATATCTGCATTCAATAAGATATAAAAACTTGAACATTAAACATGTATTTCCATATAATTTAATACTTTTAGTAACTAGGCATAATTACTATGTCTAAAATTTAAAACGTCGTATAAAATATTTAACAAAAAAATAAAAAGCTAGTTAATTGTTAAAGAAAGACTAATACTCTATAAAAAACTATGCAGCCATTTCTCGAGCTTGTTGCCTAATACGTTTTTCATAAGCAGCCCGATCTTTTCTATATATTATTAATTTTTAAAAAATATAAAAAATAAAACACACTTAAATAACGTATATGCTTCGCTTTGAGCAGGACTATTAGGATTTGGATCATTTAAAAGATCCTGTATTCCTAAAAGTATCTAAAAAATGAAAATAAAAAAATATCTATCATAAATAAAAATCTAACCTGTTTTATTGTTATCGCAGGCTTCCATGATTCCTCCTCATTGAGAATACTTAGACAAACTGTCCCTGATGGGTAAACATTTGGATGAAAAAGCGGTGGAGTAAATTTGCCTAAATAATAAATAAAAATCAAAAAATACCTAATTTAATACATTTTGGAGGCTTTGTAGGATATTCTTAAAACATATTCAATACAAAAAAGAACAAAATCCTAGATTACCTTCAGGAAAAAACATAGTTAACTTAAACATTCCTCCTTCCCAACTTGTTTTCGGACGTCCTGGAATTCCAACACTCCAATTCATCAAATCCATAGTTCCATCAGGTAATTTATTAGGTTTTGCATAAAAACCCTGGATATATATAAGCTTTAAGCCCTTTTTTCCCAACTTCATACAAATGGGTGGTCTTTTCTCCATTGCTTACGTTCCTAAAAAATACACATTTTTTAACCCAGAAAAAAAAGAAAAAAACACTATAATCACCTCCTGGAGCCGTCTCCTACATAAAGCCGACATTTTAAAGGCCTTTTATACTAAATATAGAACTTTTTTATCTTTTTCTCTCACAAAAATATTGGTCGTTACTCGTAGGTTGCACAAGCAACTATTGCCATGGCAGCCAAAATAAACAAATATATGTTAAGAGCTAGGCTGGCCTTTTATTGAGCAAGAAAATGACCGAATAGGCTCTAAAGACGTTCTTCAAATGTATCTTTCACATATCTGTCAATAAGATAATTATTTTGTTCATCTTCCAAAGCTTCTATCTGATCAATAAATATATGTTCTTTATAAAATATTAAAAAAGATCATTAAAAAGATTAAATCTACCATCGTCATCAATTTCATCAAAAGTAATTTGGTGAAATATCGCTTCTTGTTCTAAAAATTTACGCCGTTCATTTTCCTCAGCAAGAAAAAAAGATTGCATTATCTATTTAAAATATATAAGGCTAATACTAGTTTATATCAAAATTCAATCCTACTTGATCTTTTTTACGATTCTTTAACCAATATTCTTCTCGACAATGACGTACTCTATCCAGATACATTTGAAGTCTTTGATTATGCAAAGAACGAAAACTGTCCTTGCTACCACATGAAAAACAATAAAACATCTGTCCATTATAAATTTTGCATTGTTCATACCCTTTCATAAATAATATAGATGTGAATTTTTTAGAACATTCTTAAAACAATCATTAAGATATAAATAAAAAGAAACAAGTAAAATCAACCACAATTCATATATTCTGTATACTCATGCTTAACCATTATTAAATAATTATTTTTAATTAAAATATAGAAATAAAACCCAAAATTATCTAAAAAAATCAGTTGTTTTTTTCTTTAAAAAAACATCTCAATATAAAGACATTAAATTAAACAATTCCTACAAAATCATGTAAAAAATTAGTATTTTATCATCTTATCAGCCGATAAAAAATAGTTTATTTATATATAGTGCACCTCTTTTTCACATCACGTCAACTTATAGACGCGGACTATAAATTGAAATTTCTAAATATATGATTATGAAGAATATCATCTAAAAGCTTAATTTTTTTAATTATAAGATAGAAATTTTGCAATAAATTGCAAGAATAACGAGATATTTCATGTACTTATAGATATGTAAATAAATATATTGAAGACCAAATGATTAATTTTATTAAAAAAAATAAGATTATATTGTTAATCATAATAGTACTAAGAGTAGCCTTTACTAATAAAAATAAGATTACTTTTCTAGCCCAAATAATTGCAAGTAAAATTAAAAATTTGAAAAATATAAATTCTAAAATATAATTTGATATTTAAATAGGAATCTATCTATAATTAATATAAAGATATTAGAATAGAAACCGTATATATTATGCTTCTTTAAAAAATCTAGTTTTGAATTTATAGATAAATCAAATAAGTTTTTCTTTAAAATAATAATTAATAACAAGAAGCAAAATCAAATCCAAGTCTATTATTATTTGAAAAGGAAACATTTAAATCTTTTTCAATAAAAAAACATGCCAATTCATTTCTAGCCGTATCAATAACACGTTTAAATCGTCCTCCAGAAGTTTCATTATGTTTTATTAATTTTGCAATCCATTCATTACCATTTATACCATCAAAACCTTCTTTACTCATACTAGAAATAACAGAAATCCATGCATTGGAAACCGAATCATAAAGTTCTTCCTTATAATAATTATGTACAGGATTATTCCATTCAGGAAGCCGATGAAGCATAGACGAAATATGATCAAGAAATGTTAATGTGAGATTCCTACTTTTTTGATATGGAGGCGAAAAAATAATCATATATTCTACCAAGGCATCCTATACAAAATATTAACATATTTTCACATACCATAATATATATACCATAAACTTCTGTAATACCGGTCTTATTCTATTATAGGCATATTCCCCTCTAATATCACCACCATATGGAAAAGAGCAACGAACCTGTTCCTCCATCCCATTTAAAAGACTAATAACAGAGAATAAATCTGGCAAAGAAGATAAACCAACCACTTCTGAAAATAAAGTAGGATGACGATCAACTAAAGTCTCTATAATACTTCGAAGTGTACAACAGTCAAGATGTTCTAAAAGCATTTAAAACTCTAATCTATATAATTAGCTTCAAATCAACCCAATAATCGAGTAATAGGAAATGAACGTCCATGATAAATCATCCGAGGTTTTTTACTATTCAAAACTGCAGGGCTAGATAAAGGCACATAACTCATCTCTTCATCTTCTATTGTTTTTCTCTTAAGGCCTAATATTCCTTTAGTCTCATCAAAAATAAATATAAACACCTACTTTTTCGAAACGAATTTCCATTACAAATTCTGTTGATAATATTATTTTCTACTTTTAAGCTATTACATGAACCCTTAGAAAAGCATATATCTGAATTATTATATGTCAGAACAAGCGTCACTGGAGATCTTTCTTCCATCTTTTTAAAAAATCAATAAAGTAATCGACAGGTATAATTTTTTAGAAAATCGTCTAAGAAATATTAAAACTATTAAATAAGACATATACAGATAAATAAAGAATTAGAAATAACTAACCTCTTCTCTTGTATATTAATTAATGCTTTTTGTTAATAAAATAATTGACAAAATTGATATATAAAATGATATTTAACTAAAATATTTTTATTGATGATGTGTAATAAAGTGCAAAAGATAATAAAGAATAATTAAAACCATAAGTGAATTATAAAATTCAATATTCAACTAAAACGTCACCAGATATTGGAACTTTTTGAAAATAAAAAGAACCTAAACGAGAATCAAGTTTTAAAGATACATTACCTTTAATGTAAAAAACAATATTATTAGTTCTATGTAGAATATTTTCCCTGAGTATTTTTTTAAAGACAGTTATGTTTAAAATTTTAAAATATTTATCATATATTTTTGTTTTTAATAACAATATAGAAGGCATTGGTCTTAAAGAAGTAGAAGAAATCCAATCATTTTGTGATATTTTTAAAAAAGGTATACCATCACTTGATAATTCGATATTGAGACGAATATGTGTAATATTTATATAAAAGTCAAAGGCACCCGGAAATCCTATTTTAACAATAACTATCCCATAAAAACTAGGAGGAAACCAAAAGGAGTTGTAGATAAAATCTTCTTTATTGTTTTTCATCACAAATTTATCTATTTTAATTGACTTTATAAATTTTGTGTTAGGAAATCCATGCAGAGGAACAGGAATTTCAGTAGTAGTTAATGTTCGAAGCAACCATGAAGGAACATATGATTCCATAGAAGTTTCAGAAATATCACCTATCATATAGATATATAAATGTTTTTTAGAAAAATATCCAGAAACTATTCTGTTTAGTGGTGAAATTCCAGTATCATTGCAAATGTCTATAAGTTCATTATTAGGTGATGTTATACGTGATAACAGTGTTATATTAAGTCTTTTTGATGATTTTATATAAAAAAAATAGCTTTTAATTTTTGCAATTTTTACGTGCTTTGTCTCATCACAAGAGGAAACCAATACATTCCATGTTAAATAAGGAAGATATGTGCTAATTGAAAAATCTATTTTGGTACTCAATTGAATTTCTGCATTAAGAAAATCAGATGAAGAATCTTTAATTACCAGAGAATTCATATCAAACACCTTATCAAGACTTGTTTCAGGAAAATCTTCTATACGTTATATAATTTCATAGAATAAAAGCAAAAACTCACTATAAATAGTCGTCATTCTACCAATTGATACAGGAAATATCAAAAAATAAAGAAAATGTAAACGAAAACTTGCTTCTCTAGATATTTTAATATCATAAAATATTTTTTCACAAAAACGTTTAAATAATTCTATCAAAACCATTGAATCATCAAACTTTAAAAAAGTCGTTTCATTAAAATTAGTATAATGTTGATCTCGTATATCTATTTGAATTTTGGAAAGAATTACTGTAGCTATTTTTTTTTCCAAATAATCCGGAAGATAAATATTAAGATTAAAGCCATATACTCTCAAATTCCCAACAATTCCTGTAAAACCTTTCCATAAATTTTTTATAATCATAGGTTTAATGTTTGAATAATCAACATCAACACAACCTGATACTTGGATATTAAGACCTTCTTTAGTCACATTCTTAACATCAATTTCATTAAATGAAACTTTGTATGCTTCTGAAATATTTTTCTTACCAATATACAAGATTAATGATATCAAAAATACTATAACGAAAAAAATCAAATAAAAAATAACCATTTTTTTTAATATAGAAAGAATTATTTTAAGAGAAGCCCGTTCAAACACCGATTTTAAACGACCAAACTTTCTTTTATTGCATAAAAGTGGAGTTTCTTCTCCAACTCTATTTTCACCATCATTATTTATATTTTTTAAAAAAGACATAGTTTTTTCCGTTTAAAAAAGATAAGATAATCAAATTTTGAAACAATGTTAAGATATCTTAGTGATATTTAAATGCAATTTTAACAATTTATTAGATTTATTCTTAGTTTTATTTTCTTAATTTCTGACGTTAAATCGATATCAGATTTCTAATTAACCTCTAAAAATAAGAATTATAAATAAACCCTTTGAGACAAATGAAATCAATCAATTAAATTATTTCTAGTAAAATAAGCCATAAATAAGCTTAAGAGTTATTTTTTTTTAAAAAAATCTTATATTTATTTAAATATAACTTTGTATTTTTTTAAATGATTTTATTAAATACTCTAATTTATATACAAAATATAACTCACTCTCAAGCTTATCTACAGCTTATTCAAAACATTTAAAAAAATACAAAGTTATATTTAAATTTCAAATAGATCGATCTAATTGAATTTAATCTAATCACACAATCTTATCAATAATACCCTATAAAAATCTATCAAAAAATAATTTTTAAAAAATACGTAAAAAATGTCATTAAAAAGAATAAATGAAAAGAGACCAGAAATCTTACCAGAATCCAACCCTACATCATTGGACGAAGTTGCAGACATTGAACTTGAATTTGAAAAAGCAGATGTAGAACTTTGTAGTTTTTCTCAGAATTAAAAAGCAATAAAACTGATATAAATAATAGTAAAACATCAGGTTCAGCTATTTAATCCACTTTATGAAAAAAGGGCGAATGTTTTAAGAAAAATACCAAAGTTCTGGCCGATTGCGGTTGGTTTTTGAATTATTTTTAAATAAAATTAAGACAATTTATAGCTAGAAGCAGCACCAAGTGATGAATTTTGTAAATTTTTTTATACAAGATAAAAAAACTAATATTGTTAGCTGTTTATATTAATCCAGAGGATGCAAATGCATGAAAAATAACAAATAATAAAGATATTATCTATTAACTTTATAAGGTCCTTGAACATTTAATTGATTTAAGAGTATATCGACCTAATGAAGATCCTCGTGATATTAAGATTGTTTTTGAATTTGAACCAAACGAATACTTGGAATCAAATAGTCTTTATCTTGAAAAGCTCTTTAGATATTCAAGTCAAAAAGCAGAAGCATCGTCATCCAATACTGATAAAGAACCATCACAATTGATTTCAGAAAAAGTAAATATTAAATGGAAAAAGAATAAGGATTTGACAAAGCCAACCAAAGGAGTAGCGCCGAGTTTTTTTACATGGTTTTTATGGACAGGAGAAAATAATGATATTTTTGAAGATGGAGAAGAACTCGCTATTTTTATTGCCGAAGACCTCTATCCAAATGCAGTAAAATATTTTACAGATGCACTTCAGGAAAATGAAGAAAATGATGATGAAGAAATAGATTTAGAAAATGGCATATTTCATTTATTATATTACTTTGATATAAAATTAACCACATTTTAGAGAATGGAGACAATATATCCGAAGAAGAACCACCTAAAAAGAAAACAAGATTGTAAATAATTTATTATGTATTCTAAAATTCAAAATAAAAATATAAGTATTAATAAAACAATCAATATTATAATCAAAAAAACTATGCAATAGGAAGATATTGTGTCTTAAAAGTATTATTTGTTAATACTTTTGATGAAAGTAGCCTACCTTCATTTCGTTTAATTACCCATTTCATATTTTTAAATCCCTGTTTCAGTTTTTCACCTGTTCTTTCTATTCGCATGTCAACTTCTTCAATCAATCTAACATCTATCAGGTAAAGTGATAATATACGTCGAAAACATACTCAAATTGTTCCTCTAATTCTTTACCCATAATTGATGCCTGTTCTCTTAAATTCTGTACTGTTCCAAATACATGATCTAATTGAATATCTTGTTCATCTTCAAGTAATTTTCGATATTTTAGTGCAAGTTTAGGGCTCATGACTAAAGAGTTATTTAATGATTCCTCATCACGTACAGTTTGTTTTAAAAGCTATAAAAAATAAGCAAAAAAAAATACATAAAATAACATACCTCATCTTTTCTATAAGAAAGATCTTCTATCGGGTCATTTAGGTCTTTTTGCATTTGTTCCAAATCATTTCTAACTCGATTAACAAATAAACGTCGTTCAGAAGCTTCTTCATCCGAAATTTTATATTTTTTCGGCTGACTTTCAACAGCACAAACTACTTCTTCCAAATCTATCAAACAATCATCAATCTCATTAATTATTTTCCATAATTCATTCGAAATATCTAATAATGTAGTCGATGATCCAATATTCTTTTCTTTCACTGTTTTAAAGTATAAATCATACAAATAACGCGCTTTAGACAATTGAAAAGAAATCTGCCTTAACAGAAATATTTAGATTACGTCCTTTTCTCCCATTTAATATACTCTTTTGCTTCAAAAAAAGGATCTTCTATTTTTTCCATATCTCTTTAATTAGACCATCATTTTTCGCCATTTAAATTAGTAAAACAATCTAATTCTTAGTAAGCTTTTTTAAAATCACTCATAAACATAGTTTTTCCGCACAAAATATCCAATTTTATAGACTTCTTTTCTATACATTTTTTTTTGACGTTAAATCACTGGCCGATCACTTCTTGACTACCACGTACTGCCCTCCTCATAACTTACATATTCAATACCAGAAAAAAAAAGCAAAAAAAAACAAGTAAAATAAGGTTTTTACAAAGAATTATTAAGAAAAAGGGATTCTGCTTATATATTTTTATAGGATTTGTTTTTTTTCCGGATTAAAAATGCAAAAATTAGAGGATCAATCCTTTCAAGCACAAGTATCTAAATCATTGACATCATTTAAGGGAAAAGAGCATCAAATTGCACAAGAATATACGGAACAAGAGGCATCAGTGCTTCAATCATTATTAGATCGTCAGCTGGGACCGGAATATATTTCTTATCGTCCAGGAGTAAATGGTTCAAAAGTTCATTATCTTGAAGCGTGGAAAGTGATTAATTTGGCAAATGAAGTATTTGGATTTAATGGATGGTCATCTAGTATCCAAAATATACAAGTTGACTATGTATTAATGGGATCCTTTTAAATAAATTATTTATGTTATTACAGATAGATGAATTCAAGGAGTCAGGACGATTAAATCTAGGAGTATCTGTAATTGTTCGTGTAACTCTAAAAAATGGTATTTATCATGAAGATATTGGTTATGGTTGTGTAGAAAATTTTAGAGGAAAAGGAGCAGCATTTGAAAAAGTAAATTATTTTTAAAAGATTAATTATACAAGAAATATTTAATATATTATAATAGGCCAAAAAAGAAGGAACTACAGATGCATTAAAAAGAGCATTGAGGACGTTTGGCAATGTTCTGGGGAATTGTCTTTACGATAAAACTTATTTGAGAGAAATCGGAAAAATACATGTAACAAAAGTATAATACCATTTTAATTGAAAATTGTATTTTAATGATTCAGAACAAATTCGATATTTCTGAACTTCATCGCCATCCAAGTGCTTTTAATAAATTTCCAAATAATCTTACAAAACCATTTGAGTTGAAAGAAACACCAATTGTAGCACAGCCCGAGAAAAATATTCGTAGGTTTTTACTTTATAGAAAGGAAACTATTTATTTCTCATTAGCATCGAAAGATACCCCTACATTAGCGAAGGAATCAGAACTTTATGAAGATGGTTTGTTATAAGATATCTAATCCTTTTTTAAATAAATTAGGCGATGAATTTGACGATATAGATTTCCAAGAAATAGATAAACCTATAGATCTTGAATTTTGTCATCAATCCGAATACGATATTGAAGAGTAATCTCTTAATTTTCTATTAAAATAATATTAATAGGAAATAGTACTTTTTCAAATTTTTCCCATTCAGACCTAGTTGATGATAATATTCATACAGCAGAAGAGCATCATACTACATCTGTAAATTTATCTAAGAATGGACGCTTTGAACAAAAATCTGCAACAAACCTTTCACATAATTTTACAAATACTCTACGAAAAAAGGAGACAGAAAAAGAATCTAAACCATATTATTCCTTAAATGAACCACATAAAATTCCTCAAAACTCTACCTCTACTGAGCAAAACACTGGTAAGTAAATATTCTTCACAAATTATCCATTAAATTATTTTATTCATTTATTAAACAGAACATCCACCAAATTATATTCCAATGTTTGTTAATACACGATCTGTACTTACCAATTCCAAAGGTGTTGTTGATGTTTCTTCTGGCGTAGCATTTAATCCACATATCGATAGTCCTTCTTTAAGAAAAACGCCAGGATTAGATCATACAAAATCAACACCCATAAGACGTCAAAATGCATCAGTAAATACAACCCCTTCAATAACCAATCGAATTAAACAACCACCTACTTCTCGACTTGTTGGCGCACCCCCAACAAATACTCGACATTATCATCAAGACCCTTTTCAATCAACGAGTACAAAACGTCTTGCAAACAATGATACTTCTAGGTAATTATCTTCAATTCTTTATTTATTATTTAATTTATCATTAGGTGTGATTCTTCATTTGTTTTAAATGAAATGTCTGATCCTGTATTAAATCAACAAGAACCTTTTTCTAAAGAAAACGATAAAAACAACATATATAACTCAGATACAACAAATTCGACTGCTTCAAAGAGATACAAAACTTAATTTTTTTCATTTAACATCAAATTTATTCGATTTCTAAACTTATTCATAAATACTTCAAATTCCCCTTTCATGTCAACTATCTCATATACCAGTACCTTATTCTATCATTTTTATGTATCTTTTTTATTATGGTATTTTATCTTATCTCCTAATTTGACCCGTGGCAGCCGATCAACCTCAACTATTGACATAACAGATATCGAAAAATAAAAAAAAAGATAATTTAAAGCTTAAAAATGTCAGGAGTTATCGCCCCACGGAATTCAAGCATGGCACCATATGTTAAGGTGGGAATATACATTTTTGCCGTCTTTTAAGCTTAATTGAAGCCAAAACAGGGACCAATTCAGTCAAGTGGTTATGTCGGTAAGCTTACTTTTAAATGAAATATTTTCAAGCATTTTTTTGGGCTAAAACAAGAGGGTTATAGGCTTTGATTCTATTACAAAACAAATTGAGCGAAAACTTATAAGGCGAGGGTTTCAATTTAACATTATGTGTGTCGGTAATATTTTCTTCGGAAATAAATAAAAAAGAGGGCTGAATTGAGTATTTTTTAGGTCAAACGGGTCTTGGAAAGTCTACATTGGTTAATACATTGTTTGCAGCGCATTTGATGGACAGTAAAGGACGTTTAAACTCTGAAGAGCCAATTCGCCAAACAACAGAAATTCATAGCGTGTCTCATAGTATAAATTCATATTTTTATATAATAAGCTAATGAGGAAACTCAATAGTCTTGGAAGAAAATGGTGTTAACTTGAGATTGAACATCGTAGATACACCGGGATATGGTGATCTTGTTAATAATGAACGATGGTAAATATTAATGATTCTGTTTACAAGGCATAATAAAGTGATAGTTGGGATCCTATTATTAAATATATTAAAGACCAGCACTCATCTTACTTAAAAAAAGAACTTACAGCTCAAAGAGATCGGTATATCCAAGATACACGTATTCATTGCTGTTTATTTTTTATTCAACCATCTGGTCACTCGTAAGTGCCTATAAAACGTTTTTAAATTATGTTACTAATAAGGAGTTTTTAAGTCTTAAGCCAATTGATATAATAGTTCTTAAAAAGCTTGTAAACGTGGTGAACGTAGTACCTGTTATCGCTAAATCCGATTCCTTGACTCTAGACGAGCGTATAGCATTCAAAAAAAGAGTAAATATTGGTTATCCTTTAGATAATACTTATTTCTATTAGATTCGAGAGGAATTAAATTTTCATGGTATTAGAACATATCCTTATGATAGTGAAGAATCCAGTGATGAAGAAAGAGCTTTAAATTCACAAATTAAAAATATTATTCCATTTTGTATTGTTGGTTCTGAAAAAACAATTGCAGTTGATGGAAAAATTATTCGTGGTCGTCAAAATCGTTGGGGCGTTATTAACAGTAATTACCTTTTGTTTATTTTTTTGACTCATTCTTTGTTAGTTGAAAATGAAAATCACTGTGAATTTGTATATTTAAGGAATTTCTTAGCACGTACACATTTGCAAGACTTAATCGAAACGACAGCACAGATTCATTATGAAAACTTTCGCAGTCGCCAATTGCTTGCCTTAAAAGAATCATCTGCTATGGGATCTGGGCCCCGTCCTATTACTCGGGGCTCTATGGGCGATAATTTGGCATAAATATATTTTCTAAAACATATAAAAGAAAAAACACATTAATTACAATAATTCACAAATATATGCTTTATTCATTATAATTTTCAATTATTAAAGGTTACATCTCATTTTCTAAACAAAATTTTTCTAGTTTTTCATATGTCTCATCCAAATCATCATTCACCAAAACTAAATCATGTGAACCTGGACGGTTTGCATACTCTATTTCAAAGGCTGCTCTTTTCAGTCGTTCTCTTATGCTGTCTTCTGCATCAGTTCCTCTTTTCCTCAATCTTTCTTCAAGTACATCTAAATCCGGTGGTGCTATAAATACATATTTTGCACGTATTGGCGCCTTTTTAATCGATAAAACTCCCTTATAAAAATCTCATTAGAAGCTTCCTTAATAACTTTTCTGACATACTTGCATATCAATATCCATAATACATGTATAACCTTTTGCCATAACTTCCTCCACCGCTTTTGCCGTCGTACCATACATATTTCCCGAAAAATTTGCATATTCTATAAATGCTCCCTCTGAAATAAGTTTAAGGAAATTCTCATTCGTTGTAAAATGATAATGTACACCATCTTTTTCTGTTGTACGTGGCGGTCGTGTTGTATCTATCAATAAATATCAAAATCTTTATTTTAACAAATAAAAGATACGAGAAACAGAAAAACCAAAACGACCCGGATGATTTGCAAATAATCTACGAATTAACGTCGATTTACCTGATCCTTTAAACTATTAGCTTCTACAGAAAATATAAACTCATCTTACCCGATGGTCCAGATATTACAATAGGTAATTTAAACACCGGAAATAATATCAATAATTAAATACAATACTAATAGTAGCGTACTTTACTCATGAAATCATGCAATTCTAGGCCTAATTCAAGGAATTATCTTCCTTAATTTGCACAGACAAAATCTCAATATTTTGCAGATGTTGGAACTATAGTTGCCTAGACAACCATACGGACAAGTTGCTATAGAAACAACTATAATATCTGGTAACAGGTAATTTTCAAGCTGAGAAATATTTAGTAAATTAAAACAATTCCATTGGAAATAAGAAGGGAGTAAAAGACACATAATAAGAAAAATACTAGATTAAAATAGGGTATATTAGCCCTATATTTTTTTCTGCTTTTTTTTTCGACAAAATTTAACCAAGTTATTGTTTTATATAAACATATTTATCTTGACCATAAAATAAAAGAATATCGGCAGAATTAAGCATAGAAATACACAAAAATACGGATAAATATTTATATTTTTGAAAATTGTGTTATGTTTGGTGTTTTTTTGGGGTTAATTATTGAAAAATATGTTCAGCCAACTATAATATCATGGATTCCTACTTTTATTAGTACAGGCAAATACTCCGCCTTAATTCCTATGAAATATGGTTACGGTATGTCTTTTGAATCAATATTATGGGCAGCACCAAAAAAAAAAACATCATATTCGAAAAAAAGAATGAGACAGGCTACTAAAGGTTTACGAGATATACAACATTTAAATTATTGTTCAGCTTGTGGGAAAAAGAAATTGGCACATACATTATGCTTATTCTGCTATAAAGAGATTAAAGAATTTATAAAAAGCAAATACAAATAAAATGCTAATTTATTCGAATAATATTACTACAAAAGCATAAATTTTATGATTATTTCATTTACAAGAAAATAATATACTAAACCAGTTTTTTACTAATACCTTTAAATCGTTAACAATAAAGATATACATGATTCATAATTCGTTTATCTAACACAAAATCATCAGTCCATACACCAGCAGTTGTTCGAGTTCTATATTGTTTAGGCCAACCACGACACTCTTCTTCACCAAGATGTTGATCGTCATCAGTCCATAGACGAGTATGATTTGATAAAATGATATTTACGGTCTTTGATGCAATAGATTGAGCAAGAAAACGTCTATTTAAGAACCGATATATTCGAACAGGCATATTAAGAAACCCAAGAACATAAGGATAAGGGATAAATTGAAGTGTAGGAATTGTTACATCTACCGGAAAATGTGATTGAGAATCTTTTTTTGACAAAACAGATGAAACGTTTTTTTTTAAAATATTAACTGATATTTTCGAAGAATTTAGCGATGAAGATGAGTTTTCTAGAGGTTCAAGCCAACCATCATGAACTCCCGCCAAATATTCTTTCAAAGAATGTCTTCCTATAATAATAGCGCTACTTTCTTCAGTGCTGGGGCGAACATTTGTCATAACTTTAGACATTTCTGGACTTAAACCAGATTCTCCACGTCGATATTGAAGAATTTCTTCAGACACTTGACGCTGTAGATCTCCTTCTTTATTTCCTTGAATAATTTCGTAATCTACGGCTCCTGCTTGAAGAATAGGCCTAATATATTCTTGAAAATGATTTTGAATCATCCAAATATCATTTCCTGGCGGCAAACTCATATAGATCTTTACTTTTCTTGGAAGCTCCAATGGATCCATAGGTTTTTCGGAAAGGAATCTCACTTTATTACAATATTTTTCTATAATTTTTTTTTTTTCTTTTTTATCATAAATTATAAGTCCAGAAAATGGAAAAAAAGACAGGAAAAAAACAATCCATGGCTTAGATGGACATTTAAGAGCCTTAACCCGAGATATCCAAGGAAAATCAGATATAACTCTTGATAAATTATTCATCAAATATATGATTTTATTAAAAAATAGTGAATACGATAATTCAGAAAAAAAATTAATATTTTTATTAATAAAAATATATATAAAAAAAAACAAACTAACCCCCGTATAATACACCTGTATACATAGATGAGTCTATAATACAATTTTTGCTTTTTTTTTTTTGAATAATTTATATAAACTTACTGCCTGGAAATTGAAGCATAAAGTTTCGTCAAAACAGATGTACTATTAGTATCAATTTTTTTACAATAGTAATCTAAATTAGACCATTAGTTTATATTCTTTCAATATTATAAAAAAGTAAATATTTTGTTTCATTTTTTCTTACCAATTTGCGAAGCCAATAAAAGACTTTCTAGTCGAGATGGTTCATTAGGTAATTTAAAAAGACGTTGCCATTCATCTTCAGGAAGCAATGGTTGATCACTAATGCTTCTTGCAGTATTTTCAGCCCGTCTTTTCTGAAGCCATTGTTGAATTTTTAATTGTTCTCTTGCCAAAGTTCTTTGATAATATTGAAAATTACTTTGTTCATATTGATAATCATCAATGGTTTCCAAAAGATTCTCTAAAATCTTTTCATAATAAGAATCAACAATAGGTTCAAGATTATCAAAATTTGGAGTAAGTAAATTAAGAGACAATGCAGGTGCTGTCGGAACTAATCTATACTTATTATCTAAATAATGAAGAAGTGAAATTGCAAGATGAGAATTATGAATTTGCAATGGAAGCTCTTCAAGAATATTGGCATAGGATAATCCATATTTAACAACACTTAATAAATTAAATAAATCTATGTTATTAAAATACATCTTTACCTTTCAATATTAAATTTTCCTTCCTTTCTCGCTGCAACAAAAGACGGTGTTAAACGAAATGCTTTTAATGATAATGTTTCATATGTGGATTGAGACGCATCTATAATATTAAACTCCATTTTTAAAAATGAATATCTAATTTACCATGAATCAATACAACCGTTCTATCATTAAGTGCTTGATGATACGAAAATTGATTCTCAATAAGCGTTGTATTAATAAATGCTCCTGAATGGACACTTTGATACCACCCGACGACATTATTATCAACTCCAATTTCTTTTAAACATCGCATCATCTGCTGCATATAAACAACTCTGTTCTGCGCTAACGACGACACATTTTCTCCTTCATTTCCATGCGATAAAGGGAATGAATTAGTAATTTGAAGAATACCATTCATATCAAGCCCCAAAAGTTGCCCTTTTAAGCCATGAAAAAGACATTAATTTCAACAAATTCAATTCACCTGTCGCTGGATGAAATGTAAGAGATTCTCTACTATGTTTTATGATCTTTAAGATCACTAAAGAGTCTATTTGTACTGCCTTTAATGGACAAACTCCTTCAACATCAAATCTACCCCAAAAATTAGTCTTTTTTCACCGGAAAAAAACATAATTCATTTAATACGCTACAGAAATAGGTGTAGGAACAGTTCCATCGACTGTCGGAGTCATTTTTCCCGTTATTTTATGCTTTTTGTTTTTATCTAATTTTTATCGATCAAGATGATCTCAGAGAAAATCAAGCTCTCAGAAAAAAATTATAAAAAAATAACTAAACCAAGTGTCTAGATTTCAAATGTTTCTTTTGTTTCTAAAGAACTATTTTTTGTTTTAAAAATATTTCTTTTTGAAATAAGTTTTATAAAAAAAACAAAGATTTATACAGAAAAAAATAAAAAAAATGAATAAAAAAGAAACAAAAAGGACGAAATCTTAAATATAAATGTCAAAATTAATATTTTATTTTTTATAGTTAAAAACCAGTGCTTTTTTTATTGATTGTTAACGACAACAGGAGGGTTTGGAGAATCCTTTGAAAAGAGTTTAAGAGGGTAAAGATCGGGAAAAAAGATAAAAATTAGTGAATAATTGAAGAAAAAATATTAAGTAATCCCCAAATTCATTTTTGAACGAGGAAAATATGCGAATTTAAAAAAAAGTTAGAGGATAATTTATAATGCAGAAGATATCAGGTTCAGGGAAAAAGGCAGCAGCTTTTCAACAGAAGAAATCAGTAATAATAGAGGAGAATAAATGGAAAATATAATTAAAATACAATAGGAGTCAGTATATAACAATAACGAGATGAATAGAGGATCGTCATCAGTCTCATGTGATCCTGTTTATTTTGTCAGAGATGCATCTAGTTTTACGAAAACAACACACGAACGAGCAGCATCTGTTAAATTAAAACTAGAACATTTATATAAAGTAACAGTTGAACAAACTGTTGAAAGAAATCAGCGGTTTTTTTCTCGAAACAATAATATTGAATACATTGTTCTAATTGTAAATCAGAAGAATAGACTTTGAGGCAAAATTAGCGCAAGATCGTGGTTCAGAGGAAAGAAAAAAGCGTCAACTTAATTCTTTAGGACAAAAAGAATCTCAATTTCTTCGATTAAGACGTACTAAATTATCATTAAATGATTTTCATACAGTTAAGGTGATTGGAAAAGGTGCATTTGGAGAGGTTAGGAAATGATTGAATATATATATTGGTATAGAATTATTCTTTGACCATATTTTAGGTGCGTTTAGTACAAAAAATTGATACAGGAAAAATTTATGCAATGAAAACGTTACTTAAGTCAGAAATGTTTAAGAAAGATCAATTGGCACATGTTAAGGCAGAAAGAGATGTGTTAGCTGAGTCAGATTCTCCATGGGTTGTATCACTTTATTATTCATTTCAAGATTCGCAATATCTATATTTAATTATGGAATTTTTGCCAGGGGGTGATTTAATGACTATGTTGATCAAATATGATACATTTTCAGAAGATGTAACTCGATTTTATATCGCAGAATGTATATTAGCTATTGAAGCGGTTCATAAGCTTGGTTTTATTCATCGGTTAGTTTTTTTATTTCAAAACAAAAGCTTTTTATTTTTAGTGATATAAAACCTGATAATATTTTGATTGATAAAACCGGACATATTAAGCTATCTGATTTTGGTCTTTCTATGGGATTTCATAAAACTCACGATAATGCTTATTATCAACGACTTTTTGAAAGCAAAATAAATTCATCTACTTCTTCAACACAAAATTCATTGATGGTTGATACAATTTCTTTAACAATGTCTTCTAAAGATAAAATTGCTACATGGAAGAAAAATCGAAGAATTATGGCCTATAGTACTGTTGGTACTCCTGATTATATTGCTCCAGAGATTTTTACACAGCATGGATATGGACAAGAATGTGATTGGTGGAGTCTTGGTGCAATCATGTTTGAATGTCTTATTGGATGGCCTCCATTTTGCAGCGAAAATGCACATGAAACATATCGTAAAATTATCAATTGGAAAGAAAATCTTTATTTTCCTGAAGATTTACATCTTAGTGCGGAAGCAGAGGATTTAATTAGAAAGTAATATTTATCCTATAATGATTATTTCTAAATAACTTAATCAAATAGATTATTAACATCGGCGGATCAACGTCTGGGTCGATATGGAGCTAACGATATAAAGTTGCATCCTTTCTTCCGTGGAGTAGATTGGAATACTATACGAGAAATAAATGCACCTTTCATTCCTCAACTTAAAAGTATTACAGATACAAGTTATTTTGAAGAAATCGATAACATTCCTGATATTCCTATGAATTCCCCACCTATGTTACAAAATAAAATACCAAGTGATGTTGATCAAAATTTAGCTTTTGTAGGCTATACTTATAAACGATTTGATATGATGACACAGAAAGGGATTTTATAAGTATATAATTTACAATAATAATTCTTCGATACTCATACATTTAGACCCCAAAACAATAACTATATAAAAACTTTCTTACACTTTCAAGTCTCCTATTTTAAACCTATATATAGATCTAAAATATTCCTACATACATGTTTTATAGATAAACATGAATTTTGTTTTGTTTCTAGAGTTTTTGTATAAAAATTAAAAATCAATACTTAAAATATTTTTTTGTATAATATTTCTATAAAATTAACTCTAGAAATTGCATCTTTATGTAGATTTTACATACTACTTCTATTTATCCTTATATATAATATCTTTTTTTCGATTTCATCTCTTGCAACGTTTGTACCTGTCAATATTGAATGAATTGCTATATAACCCTATATTTCGAGGAAAATTATAAGAAACATATAATAAAGAAGCGAATACGCTTTTTTATCTTTTAAAATACTTGAATACCATTTTTTAACGAAAAAATCGGGTCAAAATAGCCCATTTACACAGATTTTCTTGATTAAGAATTGATGTTATTTATTAAACCTTCTTGGTAAGAAAAAATAGATAAAGACTACCTTTTTATAAAATATTTATAGGCTTGGTCATTTTGGTATGTTTTGATTTGTCAAAATAACGTTTTTTTCTTTAAAAATGTAATATTAAATATTAGATGAACGAAATGAAGCAAAGGCTATTTTTTCTGTTCATATTTCTCCTGATGGCTCTAGACTTGCATCAGGTGGATTTGGTAGGGGTTTATAGGATAATTGTTTGAAAGTTCTAATTTTTTAGACTCGAAAGTGAAAATATGGTCCACTAAAGCAATTCTTGAAGAAGATAGTAATGAACCGAAACAATTGGTAATATTATTACATTATGTAGTTTATGAGTAGTATTGAAAATATTGTAGTGTTCAATGAGTATTCATACTGGTTTTTATTTAACTTTTAAAAGTATAAAAATAACAAAAAAAAGGTGTTGTTACAACAGTAAGATTTTCACCAAATGGGAAGTATCTAGCATCTGGAAGTGATGATAGAATTATTATTATATGGCAGATTGATCTACTTGGACATAATTTTGGTAAAATGTTTGGAAGTAATGAGACTAATGTAGAGAATTGGAGAAGTTTTAGGCGTTTAATAGGGCATGATAATGATATTCAAGATTTAGCATGGATTCATGACAATTCTATTTTGGTAAGTGTTGGTTTGGATAGTGCTATTATTGTTTGGCATGGATCTACGTTTGAGAAATTGAAAAAAATAGATGCTCATCAAAGTCATGTTAAAGGAATTACATTTGATCCAGTTGGAAAGTATTTTGCAACTGAAAGTGATGATAGAACTATAAAAATATGGCGTACTTCAGATTATTGTCTTGAAAAAACTGTATCTAAACCTTTTAAAAATTCGCCGTCTACAACTTATTTTAGAAGACCTTCGTGGTCACCAGATGGATTACATATTGCTGGAGCAAATGCAATGAATGGTCCAGTGAGTAGTGTTGCTGTTATTGAACGTGGAACTTGGACAAGCCTTATTAATCTTATCGGTCATGAAGGTGCAGTAGAAGTAACTTCCTTCAATCCTATTATTTTCCGACTTCCCAATACAAATAAGGAAGATAATAAAATCATGACAATTATTGCATGTGCTGGACAGGATAGGACATTAAGTATTTGGAATACGATGAATCCTCGTCCTATTCTTGTTACCCAAGAAATCGCAGAAAAAAGTATCGGAGATCTTTGTTGGTATTTCACTTTTATAATATTTTATTGCATAATATATACTTATCTCTACCAGGTCTCCTGATGGATTATGTTTATTTCTTTGTTCATATGATGGAAGCATTGTAGCTTGCTTATTTGATAAAGATGAATTTGGAGAGCCATTGACAGCAGCAGAAACAGTAATTCTACTTTACTTTATTTGTTTTCTTTTGACATGATACTTTTAGGAAAAATTGTTATCTAAATATGGTCACGGACGTCATGGAACAGTTCTTCCAGAATCAACTGCTCAATTAGAACTTGAAGCAAAAACAAACGAAGCAGAAGCAAATGCACATGTTAAAAGAATGGAAGACTTAATGGGTGGCATTGAACCTGTAAAAATAGATTGTACTTCTAATGAAACAAAATCTGAGATTTTAAATAAAGAAATGGAATCTACGGCATATACAGAAAAATGTCAAACAACTCTGATTTCTAAAGAACCTCAAATTAATACTACATTATCATCTATACCTTCAAATAATATACATAAATCTGTACAACAAAAAGTTTCAATTACAAAAGATGGAAAAAAGCGTGTAACACCACAACTTCTTTCTAAGTAAAAAAAATAGTTTTACTATAATAATTAACCTTGACTATAGTTTGTCTGATGCGCCTATTGAGAACCCTTTATCCGGATCGCTTTTACAAACATCTTCTGAAGAACAAAAGCCTGCTCAAACATTAGATTTATCTGAACCTTCCTATGCTCTTCCAAAAGGAGGTATTCGTTCATTAATAATAGGAAACAAAAGAAAAAATCGCCCAGAAGAAAATGAAGAACAACACACATTTCAAAAGAAAGGAAAAATGAAACAAACAAATGATCAAACAAAAGTATTTTTATTATTTTTATAACCATGTTTATTTAAGTCGATAGATAGATGTACCTGAATTTATCAGACCTGCTGTTATTTGTCCATCTACTAGTGTTTCACAAATTCGTCTTGGAGTACCTAAAGTCATTACATTTCTTTCAATGTATGTTAATATTACCAATAACACTTTAGATGTTCGAAATGGTACTGGAGAACACAAACCCACAAGAATAACTGTTACGAAAAAAGGGAATATTTTGTGGACAGAATTTTTACCCAAGGCAGTTCTTTTATTAGCGGGGAATACACTTTTTTGGGCAGTAGGATGTGAAGATGGTACTATTATTATATGGTCACCTCATGGTAGAAGGTAAATTTATCTTTTTTTTTTGCATATTTATATAATTAACAAAATAGATTATTTCCATCTATCGTATTGGAATCATCTCCCTGCTTTCTTGAATGTCAAGGTCCGTTCCTCATGTGTATTACATCTATAGGATTGCTACATGTCTGGTATATTAATTTCATATTTTATTTTGCTTAACTTAGGAAATAAAAGGAACATTGTACTTGAATCATCACCTCATCCTCCAGTTTCTTTAGCTCCTATCCTTGACGCATCTGTTTTTCAGTCTTCTGAACTAAAGAGTGCACCGTCCATTGTTTCTGCTTCAATAAATTCGTTAGGACAAGTGATTATCACACTTTCAGATGGAGACGGATTTACATACAATGCTGCCATGTATTCGTGGTTAAAAATAAGCGAATCATGGTGGGCGGTAGGCAGTCAATACTGGGACTCAAGTGGGTTTAAAGGAACAGCTGGAAAGTCAGGAATCATTGCCATGCTTGAGAGAAGAACAGATGATGAAATAATGAAATTAGGACGTGGGCGATTTTTGCAGAAAATTGTTAAAAGCGCAATGCTTTTAGAAGGCTATGAAAGCTTTGAGACAAGTGTGAGCATTAGTCATTTAGAGGTGAGTTACAAAAAAAATAATCAAAATAACCAATATTTTAGAATCGTCTTTCATCAGCAGCAATACTTCATTCACCAGATGAATATAAAACTATTTTAAATGTATATACTCGAAAAATCGCAGAGGAAAATATGAAAGACAAGTTAGAGGAACTTTGTATGTATTTATTAGGACCTATATTAGATGACCCTTATATTACTTGGAAACCTAAAGTTGCAGGACTAGACAAAAGAGAATTGTTAAAAGAGATTTTGATAACGATAGGTTTTGAAACATTAATTTATTTAACATTTAATATCTAAAAAAACACAGGCAAACAGCGTGAAGTTCAAAGAATAACCACTAAATACATTGAAGCCCTCCAAGAACTTAATAAATCTACAGATATATCTACTTCGTAATTTATATAAAACATCTTATTTCGATCTCTTGACTAGAATAATATAACAATAAGATTATATTTATTTACAAATATATTTCTAATAATATTATTAATCTAATACTAAATTCCACTATTATGTATAAATAAAATAAAATTTCTTAATAAGCAATTACCAGACTATCCCCTATATAATGTATATTTTCAATGCCTATTCCCTTATTGATTGTTTTTCTTAACATTAATTAATATTTTTTAAAAAAAAATAAAAATATTTACATATCACTAGAAGACAACTTCGTTAAACCTACAGCAACTGCATGCTCTTTTCCATATACCATGATTGAAACTGTCTTCTCAGCATCAATATTATTAGGACAATAGGCACCTTTTGATGTTAACCCAGGACACATAAGATTAGCTATTATTTTTTAGAAAAAAAAAGCAATAAACACAAATATATACCGCCAGAAAGGATCGATTTAATTACACCTTGATCAGCTTGAACTTTTAAAAATCCATCTGGATCTAAAATTTCATTGTAAGTTTAAAAAAATTAAATAAATAAATACATTTATGCAATAATTTTAAATGAGGATATATATTGTCAAAGTATTGGAAAAAAAGAATTTCATTATTAAGACTATATAATGAAATCCTTTCCTCACTATATCTATAAATATAAATCAAATTTAAAAAATATATTTATATACCATTTAATAAGTGTTAACTGCGACTTTTTAGGAAAAATTTCACTCATAAACGGTTCAAGATCTGGATATATTTCAATAATTTTAGCTTTTAAAGCCTTCTGTGTAGATGATTTTAGTTGTGTTATTCCTTTAATATGTTCTTTTCCTTTAAATCTAATTATACTCAAAATTAACAAATTTTTAACACTGAAAAAAAAAAACAAAAATACCTTTTAAACATAATGAAATAAAAAAATCATAGCATTCTAAAAACTTCTTTTGTTTTTCAAAGGATTCCACTAAAAAAGTATTTTATATAAAAAAGTAAATTACCAAATTATACTAACAAATTTAACCGAAAAAAAACTCTTCACCTCTAGACCTTCTAAATAAATTATTGACTGTATTTATTAGAAATATATATTTTTTATATAAGTCATACTATATTTATTTTAGCCCACTTCGCTAATTTTTAGTCACAAAGGTTACTGAGAGCCGACTTAAAAAATCAAAAATTATACTGATTTTATATCAAAGTTATAGAAAAAATTTTTAAAAAGAATCCAAAAATATTTTTCTTAGAAAAATATTTTTTACAAGATCAACCAGTAGTTATTTTTTTTAATTCTTAAAAACCATTAAAATAAAGAGAATGGAAGATTTATTGTCGAAGAGGTCCCTTAAAAATTTTTGAAAAAAATGTATGAAATACTCATATAACATTAGCTATTCAGATTGTTCAAAATATTGGATCGATTGGTTCCTTGGAATTAAAGGAAATGAATTTTTTTGTGAAATTGATGAAGAATATATTCAAGATAAATTTAATTTAACCGGAATTAATACAGAAGTCCAACATTATAATTATGCAATAGAAATGGTAACAGATGTATTTGGTGCGTCGATGAATAGGATATTCAGTAATTTGTTGTATTAATTTTTACAAAGATCATGATGTAAATGATGATCTGCGAAATCAAATTGAAAAATCAGCACAACATCTTTATGGTTTAATCCACGCAAGATTTATTTTAACAACACGAGGACTTCAAAAAATGGTTTTTTTTTTTTTTTGATTTTTTTTGCCAAACTAAATCACTCAGCTTGAAAAATATAAAAAATATGATTTCGGTCGATGCCCCCGAGTCCTTTGTAATTCGCAAGCAGTTCTTCCCGTAGGACTATCAGATATTCCTTATTCCAGCTCTGTAAAGCTTTATTGTCCCAAATGTGAAGATATTTATACACCTAAATCATCGCGACATGTAACAATTGATGGTGCATATTTTGGAACCACATTTCCACACATTATGCTTCAAGTTTATCCTTATCTAATTCCACATAAAAGCCAAGAACGATATGTACCTCGGATTTTTGGTTTTAAAGTTCGAGAATATTCAATTATTCATCAACATCAAGATATTTACAAAAAAGAACAGGATATAAAACTAGATACCATTAGAGAAAACGAAAATTCAAAAAACAATGACAAATAGATACTTTTGGAAGTATCATTTTTTGAAATTTACTTAATTATGCTATATTACATAAATCCTTAAATATAGCAATATGAAAAATCCAATAAAAAGACAGCCTTCATAATAAAATAAATACCAAAGACACGAAATAATAACCTATATTGTTTTATTCTAATTATGAATACCTAATATATCAGGAAAGGATAATATAAATTTTTTCAAGATTATTTCATTGTCTATTATTAATTAGCAAAATTTTCAATAATTATTATTTATTACTATATGAAACAGAAAACCTAGCCAATTCACTACAAAGTTTCCATTTTTTTAATAGCACAGCCTTTTCCAAAACCCTTATAATATTCTTAACATATTAGAAATAAATTTACATATATATTATATACTACTTTATCCATATCTTCAGTTGATTCCATAGTATGTAATATAATTAGATATTCTGTTGCTGTTTCGAGTTTATCTAGTTCCATACATTTCTAACGTGTAAGAAATTATTTAAGTAAAAAGGAAAAATACTTCAAACAATTCTCTTGGAGTGCCTATAACGCTAAATAGATTCTTCCAAAAAGAAATCTCTATTTTACGCGCACATGAAGCAACTATATCCAGCATTTTTGGGAAATGATTTAGAAAAGATGCTACTTTAGGAAGTAAAGGATCTAAACCTTGTAAATTTATGAATCTTAAATATAAAAAATATCACCGAAATCCTTTAAACAATTTATCTCTTTTTCTAATACATTGTACAAAAGAAGCTCAAGTATATGATTAAAATAGACCAATTTCTGATATTTAGAAGCTAAAATAATAGATTCCTTAATTGTAGTTCTATCTAAATATTTTTCTAAGATATATGGTAGAAAAAGTGTAGTCTTCTCAAAGTTAAAAAAGATGATACAAAACAGAAAACTTGCCATTATATCAAACTTAAAATTAAAAAAATCCAAATTTCTCTGTTGAATTACAGTATTTTTTATTCCTAAGATGACACCTTTATTCAATAGAAAAAAAACAGGATAAAAATCCAAAGGAATAGTAATTAAATTGCAATCATTTTTTAAATTTAAAAAACTTTCATCATCACTTTGATTATCAGTATCATCTATAATATTAGAAAAGTCCATCCATATCTAATAATATTAAAATATAAATCGTAAATAATCAAGAATTTACTTTAATTTCTGTTCCACAAAATGCACATATTGAAGGTCTTAAATATTGTGATAAATGATCAATAAATAAAAAATATTCGACTTTTTCTGATAATAAATATATATTATACTTTAACGCAGGATCATTTTTTTTAGGTTTTAAAAACATAAGTTTGTCATCTACAAGAAGAATAATGCTAGCCATATGTATATTATTTATAAAACGGCCATTTTCTTTAAATATTAGCTATTGATACTCTTTTGTGAAATTAATATTAACTTACGCATTTGATCACTTAAAAAACACCATGTAAATGCTCTTAAAGATTTAGGGTAGTAAACTATATCCTTTAAATTAATACTTCCTACCAGAACAAGTTTAACTTTGAAGTCGTTCATAATAATAAGATACTGAAAAATTAAATTATTTCCTGTATACAACAAAAGATTTTCAGATATTAGAGTAAGTAAATATATAGGCACACCGATATCTATAAATGATAAAACTTCAATATTATCTACTGTTTTTTTTCTAGAAAATAATTTCAGTCCATATGTATTATTAATTGATGTAGATGCAATCAATACGTCTTGATACCAACACATTCCACCTGAAATTCGAAAACTAAAATTTGTATCTTTGACAATTATTTTCCATCGTTCAGTCTTAAAATTATAATATGCCATTCCATAGTATCCAGCTATTGCTAAGTGCTCAGAACATGCACTTATAGCAATATACTTTATAGACCAATTATCATAAAAATAATTCAATGGTATCTGGACATGTTTCCAATGAATTTGTTTTGGATTTATTATATCAATATCAGATTCTTCATGACCTTTATAAATAAGAAATACATCTGAAATTTGCAAAATAAAATTAAGAGAATTTTCCTACACAATATTATGAAATTTATATTAATATTCATATGAATTTACAGAATTAAGAGAAAAACGTCGAATACTTCTTGCCATATTTATCTTCCAGAGTTTCCCATCCGATTTTTCTTTATTACTTACTATAATTAATTCGGCCCCTTCATTAAACCATAATGCATGACTAACTCCTCCCATAAATATTTCCTCATTAGAATTTTCAGAAACATTTTCTACATTTGGTTTGGAACATAATAAATTTCCATAAGCACTCCATAAAGACCAAGTGTTTTGAAATCCCACAAAGATTACACAGCCGTCCTCTGACCATGACATACATTCAATATTTCCAGTCACACTAAAATCATCTAATATAATTGTATATAGATAACTTATTAAATTTTTGGATTTTTCAATATAAAATATCTTAATTTCACCACTAATGTTAACAATTAAAATCAAAAATAAAGATATTTATTTGCATTACTTTTTACATCCAAATGCAATCAAGGATAAGCGTATATTTATATCTGTTTTAACAATATAGTTTTCTTCTGTTTCGGGAACATAGAAACAAATTCCTGTCCAATTTCTAATGTTTTCTTGATTTCTTGATTTTACCTTTATGATATTTCAGCTATTAATAATAAAATTTAAAAGAAATACTGAAGGATTTTTTCGAACAAGATATGCTTTACTATTTGATGTAATCCATATATATATATTCATTGTTTTTTCATAAATCATATTATTAATCGCAACTAATTTATGTAAGCAACATATTTTACTGAAAAAAAAACAAAAAATAGCGTTAATTATACCATTTTTATCTTCAATCCATTCCATATGTGCCACATCATCTGACATTGTAATCGTATGGTTAAATTCTTTCTGCGAAACAGATTGAACAGAAGGTGGGTTAAAAGTAGAAAACAACAAACATTCATCCAATGCCAATACACTATTGCATTAATATTATTGTAACATATTTACCAAGCATACCACAATAAACCCGAATCTACTTTAATCATTGATCTAAATTTTAAATACAACAATTCGTATTCTGTCAATCCATGTGAATCTAAAAAGTCAAAAACTGTTGTTTTATTATGAGAATAATGGAATTTATAAAGTTTTTGGTCCAGATTATTATGTATCGAATATATAACTAAAAATCCAAGTGATGTTTTTATAATAGCAAATTCAGAATCTTTCATTATAAAAAAATCTCTGTTCTCTCCATACAATGTTAATGAAATAGCTGAACGTGTAATACATGAAATAAGTACTGTTGGCTATTATTTCTTGTAAGCAACCTTGTCCATTAAAATAGATTTATTCAAACCCGGATCTGCCAAACATAAATACGTTTAGATGTTAAGACAATAAAATGTGTTCCATTATGAAATTTCTTCAATGCTAAAATGGTTTCTCCTCGTGAAATAGATGTATATTCCAATCCCATTAAAAAATCATTTTTTAATTGAAATACTGATGGAATACCAACTGGCCAGTACATATCACTACTAATACTTTAAATATATGTAATTCCACTGTAAAAAAGAATCTATTTTATAATAGGTATATCTGATTAGATAAAGATTTTAGTTTTTTTTTTAATCTTAGTTATTAATCCTTTTAAAAAAAGAAAAGGGCTTCAACATATCTAATATAACTCATTACTAAAGCAATTTTTAAGGTAAAAAAGGATGAACCCTTCGATATTTTTATCTTCGCAGCTTATAATTCCAGATTAACAAAAACCCTAACCTTAACCTTAACCCTTATTAGGATAGGCTATATTACAGTTTAACTTGGTTTTAACCCTTAATCTAGTAATATAACTGAAGAATATTATATTATCTTTATATATTTTTTTTTTCTCAAAACAATAATCGGGGGGCTAGCTCAAATGGTAGAGCGTGCGCTTAGCATAGCGATTTGCGCAAGGTACTGGGTTCGATCCCCAGGTCCTCCAAAAAAATCTTAAACTTTTCAAATGTTATTTTAGGGTATATAATTATTAAATATTTAAAGGATATTTGTAAGTATTTGGAATACATTTTAATATGAAGTATGCATTTTTAAAAAGTATATAAAAACTATCCCAAGTAATATTTTGACCCAAATAAAAAATATTTACACAAAAACTTTAATATATATATAAACGCATTAAAAAACATGTTCCCATATCCTTGAAGCATAACTCTAAGTCGAGTTTCAAAATGAGTTTTTCGAAATCTAAGAAAAAATGCACCTAAAACTAAGGTGATAAAAAATCATGGATAAACGATAAGAATCTTGTATATTGCACTTAAAACGTAGTTTTTGACAAACTTATTGAAATAATTTCCAAAAACTTAGACCATTAAATGTTTGAATAAAAATAAAAAACATAGCAATTTATAAGCGCTTTGAAATGTTTTTTATAGGTAATATTGTAGAATCAAAAAGTTCAGCTTCAGAATCGTTTTCTACAGTTGGAGGCTCAATCCATCCACTAGGAACCATATAGGGAAATGCAACGCCAATTGCAGCAGCACGATTTAACCATTTCGGTGTAGATAATGATGTAAGACGGTATAAAAGATGTGATGTAAAATGGTTACAATTTCTGCTATTTTTATCGGTAAACATTCATTATAATTAGAAGAAGAAAGACCTAGTAAGAAGATTATAAGAAAGTCCCTGAAACTCCTTTCCTATATCACAAATAATTTCCTCCACTTCATCAGGCATAATTATAATAGATCCATATTTAATCGATGTTCGAAATCGACCTCCTGGTGGTATTGTTCTAGGCACCGTTGTATAAATACCTGATACATTCTCCAATGAATGTCCCCCATACGCATACTCTATACGCGTCAAAAATTATTCTTCCCAAACACATTATCTACCTTTATCCCCAATAACTAATCCACTATGATAAATCCCAATACCCAGCATCCATGCAATATTAGAAATAGTCCCTTCAGGCAATAAATCATAGATATTAATAGAAATACTCATTCTTTCCATCTCAATTGCTTTTATCAAGTTTTCGATAAGTCGCGTAGAATATTGTTACCTTTTATAAAGTCACGTGATTCTTTATAGCCAATTATCAAAGATAAATCAATAAGTATTTTTTAATATGTTAAAAGGCGTTGTATATTTCACTGTTAACTTGTTTTGAATGATTTTTTCTATATTTCATATATTTTTATCATTGTTTTTTTCAGAAAAAAAATACAAGACTCCAGAAGTTCTACCAAAATAATATCCTCTTAATTATCCTTTTATTATTATATATTGTTTGTCTTAATATTTCAATTATATTTAAAAATATTAATTTTTCAGTATAAAATATTTTATTTTTTATTATAATCGAATTCCAGTCCAGACACCTTTAAATGTATAGATTGATTCCATATCAAATATTACTAAGATTTAATTTATTTTTTCATCTTAAGAAATTCGAGTCATATATGCTTTCCATCCGGCATTCTGACTTGTTTAATCAATCTGCTTTAAATAAATCCCATATATACCTTATATTTCAATGTTTCTGTTACAATATCTTTTCCAGATGCGTAAATATTTCTTCCTACAATAATAATATCTGAACCTAAATCCAAAATTACATTTTCTGGTGTACGATATTGTTGTCCATAAACGTCTCTCTCTGCAAATTTATACATATTGCCCACTGAATCATTGTTTGTAACATATCCTACACCAGGAGTCATTAAAATAAATTCTTCTGTCAATATTGGCCATCGACGTATCGAAATAAATCCTATAACAAATTCCTTATTTTTCTTTGCCATTTTAATTGATGCATTTACATATTCCTCTGTTGATAAACATCCTTTTGAACTCATTTCTGCTAATAAAAATAATCCCCGACCTTGAGGCTCTCCAATTTTCTTCAAACCATCAATTATTCCTTCTCCAGGCATAGGATGTGCATTAATAATATCTGCCCATTCAGAAATCTTATAAATTCCAGATGAATACTGCAATTGAACCGTTTTTCCAATATCTGCAAATTTTCTATCTTCAAAAATCAAAAAATCATGCTTTTCTGCTAGTTTTTTCAATTCAAAAATAAACGAAATATCAAAATCCTCTATAATATCAACATGCGTTTTTAATATGCATATATATGGTCCTGTTTTATCTGCAAAATCTAACACTTCTTGTTTCTTTGTAAAATCTGCTGCCACTGACAAATTTGTTTGTTTACGATCCATTAATTCTAACAGCCGTTGCGCTGTTTTATTAGAATAAAGCTTTGAACGCTCTTTATAGGTCATTTTTATAGTATTTATACTCATTTTTAGTAATTATAGATTTTATAATATTGGGAGACGTTCTCGAATACACCGGATGACTAGATTCATGGTGCATATAATACGCATATATGATGCATACATAACGTATATATATAGCATACATAAGGGATTTATAAGGTATTTTCCTTTGTTTATTTGTTTTTTTGTATTCATTACTAGATAAATTAGCTAAATCATTATAAAACAACATAGACAAGGTATACATACGCACATATTTCAAGTTTTTGACGTATTTCATGTAGAAAATAGTTATATGAGAAGAATATTCTATTTTTTGCTTTCTTTTTACCTTTATTTTTTCCTATCTTAAGGTCTACTATTGTATAAATGATTGAAGAAATCGGCTTTTTTTTTACAAAAACTATGCTTGACATTATTATTGTTGCTCAAGATCTATCTCTTGATAATGGAGTAGAAGCTATTTTGTCAGCGCCTAGGAGACGTTTGTTATTTCATGGTATGGATTAAATTAATAGAATAAGTGGCTCTAAAAATCCTTAAAAACTCATAAAATCATTGTTAAAATCAAGCTCTTACGAATCTCTAGATGAGATAACTAAGGTTTTTATTGTTTTGACGTGTCAAAATGATTTCTTAAAGCTGCAACATATGAAATTGGCATCATATTTATCTTGCACGGTAAATGGATGGATTGGAGACGTTCAAAAGTATGGGTCTCACGTTTCAAGTAAAGAAGAGGAGAATAGTGGAAAAGAACACCCAAACGAGGGTGTTAATTTCTTTTTTAGCGTTCTTAATAGTCAAAAAATGATATTTGAATGGAATGATGGACATGCTGTTATTATTTGGGGAACAGAAATACAAATTCGTGAATATTTGAGATATATATGTATATTTTCTTACTAAATTTAGCATTTCCTCGTATACGTACATCAATACCTAAGGTACAGTTAATTGTATCGATTACAGTAAAACCAGAAGCACTTGTGATGTTTAATGAGGAAGAAGGAATTAAAAGAGATTATATGTCAATAAATGTTTTAGAAAGTCTTTCAAGTGGTATGAAAAATAATCTTTTTTAATAGTTTTTTAAATAAAAATACAAGAAACAATGGTATATGGTGTTACACCTTTCTTATCTATGTCAAGAGTTTCAAATATTTCAATTGCATCAAATACAGATTTATCATCTTCTACACAAATTCTTCGAAAGGTCATTAGAAGAGTTTTTTCTTGTAGATCTGCCATTAGTTTAAGAACAAGATCATCTATGACAATGATACCAAATTTTCAAAGAATATTATTGGGTATAGATATCGAGTCTTGCTTTCTAAAACAACTTTCTGTTTTAATTGAGGATATAGAAATCAAAGTAAAAGGACAAATTGCACAGAAAATCGAAAATGAAACCAAGTTTCCAATTACGCTTTCATTTCAGGAGCAATTTTTTATGCTTTACTACATACCGTTTGATCCTTCCATTGATCAAGGAATTACTGATCTTTTAACACTTCCAGTAACAATTTTTGTAAAAATGAGACCTCGGTTATTAGATACTAATTATACTCTTTTACTGATGTCACAGTGGCATACAACAATTCATATATCAAAAGATCAAACGCAAGTTTCTCTTTATAGATCTGTTATTCATACAGAAGCCAAAACTTTGAATTCTAGTTTATTTTTACAAAAATCTTTGATTAATACAAATAATAATTTATCGAAATCAAGAAGTCCTTCGCTTTCTAATACAAAATCACCATTTTTGAATATCTCATTTACTTTTACTGCACCCAAATATGTTAGAATTTGGAAAATTTTCGAAGTAAAAATTGCTTTAGTTAATCAATCTACTGTTTCAAAGGATATATTTTTATCAGTGCTTTCAAAAGCTCATGATATCGATTACAATAATCTTCCATTTATTTCAGAAAAGGATTCATGTTTTTTATTAGAAGAAAATGGTTATTTTTTTTTTTCAAATATTTTTTTCTAATATTTAAAAATAGCTATCTATACTTTACACAAACACATTTCGGTCAATCCTGTGCATGTTCTTCCCCTTGTAAACAACATACATATTGGGTAATATTTTCATTTTATCATATTTTTATTTAATTTTAAAGACCTCTTGATTCTTATGGATGTTATTTTTGCTCAATTTCTTTTATTGCAATTCGTGAAGGTCTTTTTTCATTCGATGGAATACGGATTCATGATATAAAGACAGGTTCTTATATTGATTGTTATTCACTTCCAAATATTTTTGTTTATTAAATTTTTAATTTTTTTATATACAAAACTTATAAATATAATATATTTAAATATATTATATTTATTTTTATATAAAATATCTTATTCTAATGAACTTTCTATTCATGATATATATATATATATTGAATTTTTGAATTTTACCCTTAACCGACTTTTAAATGTCTGAAATATTATATAGAAAGAATATTCTAAAATTTCCATTGTTAAAGTAAGAAATTAAGTAAAACTCATATAAACTGATAGAAACAAACAGTATATTCATTATTATATTAATTTCATTTATATTAATAACAATATTTTTAAGATATAATGAATTTTATCAAAAATATCCAATATTAACACTTTCTGTTACGAATTCATTACTTGGAGGTATTTCTAATATGTCTGCACAAACAATTTCTGCTATACATTCCCGTCTGAGAAGAATTAATTCATTTAATTTAAAAACAAAAAAGGTTGAAATGGAAAATATTAGCTTAGATAATCCCGACAAATCAGTTAATATTTTAAAATATTTCATACTATTATTTAATCTTATAGTACACAACTTTTTATATACCGTCTGCATTTCGTTTTTCACAGTTAATTCGGTTTATGAGTTATAGTAGTATTATTATTTAAAATATATTTATTTTACTTATTCTAGATTTTCTTACAACACCTATTCAAGTAAATCTTAATATATATATGTATTTGTTTTTTAATATTATTAGCTTTGGTGGTATTCTTTTCTTGATCATTTATCTACAATTTCTAGAATTTCTAATACTGCAGAATTAATTAAAAGGATTTTAATGGATCAATTTCTTTTTACTCCTATAAGTTTAACTTTTTATCTTGTTTTTATGTCTTTAACAGAGGAACTAAGTAAAAAAAAATTAAAAAATAAGTTTAATCAAGTATTTTTTTGTTATTTAATTCATATTTATTTTATATTAGGGCTTTTTTTCCATATTGAAAGTATATTAACTCTATATAGTTTTTTTTTTTAATAATTATAGGCTAATTATTGTATTTGGCCTGCTGTTCAATTAATTAATTTCAAATACATACCTTTAAAATATCAGATACCATTTCTCAATAGTATATCTATATTTTGGTTTATAAATTTCTTTCTTTAAGTAATTATTAATTCTTTAAAGGACCATTTATTTAACCATCTGTGATTTAAAAACATCTTATTAATTTTACACTTATTTAAATAGTAAATTTCTTATTTTTAAAAAAATTCTATAGATATAAATATAATTTTATCTTAAACCTATTTTTTTAAAAATATTCAATTCTTTAAATACACTCTTTAAATTTCAAATCTATAAATAAACTAAAAATTTCACTCTAATTCTTAAAATTCTTAACGCTTATACATCAATATCAACATATATTTCTTTACATATAAAATATTTAATAAATAATATAAAAATAATTTATTCAAAAATTATAAATCCATTCATCTTATCATTCTAATATATCTATCTAATCTATTCTATTCATTCAAACCATTCAGATTATTCAATTTCCCAACAAAATTTCTACTTCATAAACCCCAAAATTCTTGTTCCAACTTAAATATACTTATCTCATATATATATATATCAAGTACTTTTTCAAGAAAAAAACATAAAATACATATAATAAATAAAATCTTATTCTTTATCTTATACCTTAATATTTCATATAAATCATTCATTATTTTTTTTACAAAAGGTCACGTGACCGTTGTAAAAAAACCAACACATTGGATTTTCGAGCAACTAAGAATTTTTAGAAAAAATCAAGGATTTTGCAGGTTTTAAAGGTGATACATGGATTATTTTAACACTATTTAAGCAAGATCCATGCATGATTTCAGTTGAACGAGTATCAAGAAATATGAAAGAACCTGAGAAGATAGTTACATCTATGGTATCTTCGCCATCTAACGCTTCCACATCAAATCAAAAAACACAAGAACCTGAAGCAGGAATAACGCAAAAAAGATCACCAAAGGTAGGGGGAAGTCGTTCAGGTTCTAAAGAAGACCATATATTAAGTAAAGAACGCGCATATATACGGAAAACTATTGGAGATTGGCAGTTGGGAAAAACATTAGGATCAGGAAGTATGGGGAAGGTTAAAGTTGTAACTCATATGACTACAAATGAAATTGTATGTTTTTTTTTCTATGTAAAAAATGATATGCATATATAAAGGTTAATATGATATTTTTATAGGCAGCGGTAAAAATTATTCCGCGGCCATTTTCACAGGGAATATCAATTACATCTCAGAATGTGGATTATGGAAAGGAGATTCGTACGATTCGTGAGATTGCAATATCAAGTTTACTTCAACATCCATATATATGTACGCTACGAGATGTAAAAATACAGCCGAATCATTATTATGTATTTTTTGAATATATTAATGGAGGACAAATGTTAGATTATATTATTTCTCATGGAAAATTAAAAGAAAAACAAGCACGAAAATTTGCACGACAAATTGGTTCAGCTTTGGATTATTGTCATCGGAATTCTATTGTTCATCGAGGTTTTGATTTATTTTTTTATTAATTTTTTTATTAGATTTAACATATGTTATTTAGATCTTAAGATCGAAAATATTCTTATATCAAAAGAAGGGGATATTAAGATGATCGATTTTGGATTATCGAATTTATATTCACCACATTCTCAACTCTCTACATTTTGTGGATCGCTTTATTTTGCAGCACCAGAACTTTTAAATGCTAAAGCGTATACTGGTCCAGAAATTGATATATGGAGCTTTGGAGTGGTTCTTTATGTTCTTGTTTGTGGAAAAGTTCCATTTGATGATCAAAATATGCCGGCTCTTCATGCGAAAATCAAGCGTGGGCATGTTGAATACCCATCTTGGCTTACTATTGGTATTTTATTCTCTATAACATCCTTCAAATCAAAGGCTAATTTTACGTTTGTATTAGAATGCAAACAGCTTCTATCAAGAATGCTTGTAACAAGTCCGAGTCAACGTGCTACTCTTTCAGAGATTTTAAATCATCCATGGATGACACGAGGCTATGATTGTCCACCAAATAATTACCTTCCTCCACGATTTCCAATCACGTTTCCTTTGGATATGGAAATTATTCGTCGAATGACAGGATTCGAGTTTGGTAATGAACAAACCATTCTTGCAAAATTAACAAATATTCTTGAATCGGAAGGATATCGAAAACTTGTCAAAGCATATTATAGCCAACCGCAGGATACACATGTTTTATCCTTATTAATGGATAAAAAGAAAAACTTTTTTGATTTTTACAAACGCAAAATCTCGAGTTCACCATCCAGTTCATCTTTCACGCCCGATGTAAATCAGCATCCACCTAAGACTAAACCTATTTATATTGACGCCTATCATCCATTAATTTCTATTTATTATCTTGTCAAGGAGAAAATAGAACGGGAAAAGAAATGCAATTATCAAGATTCTTATATTCATGGAAATGATCATTATGAAACTTCGAATTCTTGCACTCCAATTAATACGAATTTAAGCCTATTAGATTATAAAAATTATCATAGCACGATACCACCAATAAGAAAACAATCATTTGCTCCACGAGCACGAGCAAGAACATATGACGAAAAAGAAGTAGCTAAAGCAATTAAAAACATTTCACCCATATCACCAAATACTGTTGATAATCATAGATTGATTAAAGAATCAAAAGAAAAAAATTTCAAGATTTTTCGACGATTTAGTTCTAAGAGAATTAAAAAGCATTTTTCAAGTCCTACATCAATTCTTCCTTCTTTGATACCAGTAGAATTATTAACATCACCTCCTAAATCTTTATCAAATAAATATTCACATGATCTGGAATTTTTACAAGAAACAGATGCAAAAATACAGTTAAACAATCATTTTTCAAATGGGACTAATTTAAAACGATCCATCTCAGTTAATGATAATGCGTATTTATCCAAACATATATCTCCTCCTCCACCTATACATAATCCTTCTATCTCAAAAATCTATTTAAAGGATTTAAAAAAAAATACCGCTATGGAAAATGGGATACAACCTTCACCAAGATCATCAAATATTGCATCCACTTTTAGTTTCAAAGGGAGTCGCACAAAATCCCTAGGGCATACAAACAGCGAAGTTTTACGAAAAGAAAAAAAATGCCAAAGACAATCTTCTGTTTTGGTTAAACGTAATTCACCCACCACTCCAGTGAACTCAAATAAATATATTTCTAACCATGCTTGTCAACCTTTAAATTCTACTCAACCTTCACATGAAGTAACAGTAAAATCTGGATTTTTAAAGGGAATATTTAGTGTTTCTACTACAACTTCAAAACCTCCACATATTATTAAAAGTGATTTGATTCGTATTCTAAATTGTTTAAATATTTCATTTCGCGATATCAAGGGCGGTGTTTTTTGTATTTATCAGCCAAGTATTAATCTAAAAGATCTTATAAATAACACAGTAGAACCAAATCATCATGTCTTTACTCCTATAACACATTTAAAAAGGTCTATATCTTTACATAAAATGAATTTTGAAAAAAAAAAAACTGGAATAGATATTCATTCATATACTGTTGCAAGCGAATCTGATGATTCTTTTGATAATGGAAAAAATAAACATACAAATTTTACAATACAATTCGAAATATATATTGTTAAAGTACCTTTATTTGCATTACACGGTTTACAATTTAAACGTGTAGGGGGAAATGCCTGGCAATATCGTTCACTAGCAAGTCGAATTATAGCTGAAATGAAATTATAATTAAAATACTATCAATTCAATGTACATAAATCTTTATGATCGAGTATTTTTACTTTTTTTTTTTCTTCAAAAATATTTATTTTACTTTTTTTATATTAATTTATAGATATATATCTCTCTTTATTACAAAGGCATGATGTCCGAGTGGTTAAGGAGTATGACTTGAACCTTTTATATAAAGGTATCATATGCGATTTTCGCGCGCAGGTTCGAATCCTGCTCATGTCGATACTTATAGTCTGACTATATTTTTCTTCTAGAATGTTTTATAATTTAACTTTAATCATAAAAAAATATTTACCCTAAAAAATATAAATAATAATAAAACTAAAATCATTTTTTATAAAATTTATATATTTTTTTAATTTTAAATAAAAATTAGTTAAATTTATAGTTTAAAAAAGGTTAGAAACATAATATATATATTAATTTTTGGTTAGATATAACTAAACTTAAAATGAAAAAGTTAACTTTCTATTTTAAAGCTTGCGGTTTTTTTACTAAAAAAAAATAAAACACGTGGATTAAAAGTGGCTGCTTTTTTATACAAGAAATTATTGAAGTATCTATCTAGATAAGTCTAAAAAAGCAAACGGCAATATTTTTTTAGCGGATTTTGATTCCTATTTGGCTTACTTGTATATAGTTTATATATAAAAGAATAAAGCATTTTTTTCTTTCAAGAAAAAACACAATTAAGAACGTTTGGTTTCTTAGGGAAGAGAAAAAAAGAGTTGGCAATAGCAGTGCTAGCGTCAGCAGAATTGATATAGAGGAATTTCTTAAGAGAGTTTTGATATTTTTTATAGTCTCTGGTAGACATATTAGTTAATTAAACTTTTTGAAGCATTATATTTTTTATATTATTTATATATTTTTATGCTGGGAAAAAATATTGAAAGTGATTGGCTTGGTTATTGGGGAAAAGATCATTCTATGGCATTAAATACATTTTCGAAGATGTCTATTGAAAAAGAAGGGGTTTTAAATCAAAAAGATTTTTTTATGCCGTTTGATGGTCTTGCAGAGGAGTTAATGGAACATAATACGGAGATACCGGAAGTTCTAGGGCAAGATATGCTAAATGATCGAATAAATAGTGTTAAAGAGTCTCAAGAAATTACATATGAGGAGCCTCAATCGTCATTTTATAGATTGATGCCGGGGTTGAATATAGATTTATCAGTACCGACGTTTCCAGTCTCTAGTGAGCTACCTGTACGATTATCGTCACCTATTCAATTAAATTTATCAACATCGATGCCAAATCCAACAATTGAACAGCTTCATTCGAAAAAAAAGAATTACGTTTCGCAAAATACGGTGAACATGGTAGGTTCTCTATCAGGATCACCGCCGACTGATTGTTATTCTCATGGAGAAAATTCGAATGCGCGCAGATCACTTACGACAAGAGCGTTGTCATTAAGTCCAGTTTCTTCAGATACAGCAGCAAAGAAAAAGTCGCCATCAAGATCGGGAAGTTCTAGCTCTGGTATTAAGCGTCCTTTGAATTCATTTATGCTTTATCGACGAGATAAGCAAAGTAGTATTCCTACAAATAACCACCAATCCATATCTAGGATTATTGGCGAAATGTGGAAGCGAGAGACAATTGAAGAAAAGGAAAGATATGCAGAAATGGCTCAAAGAGAGCGAGAAAGACATGCAAAAGAATATCCTGATTATAAGTTCCTGCCAAGGAAGAAAAAAGACAAGAATACGAGTGGGAAATCCCCACGTAGGCGAAAGACGTTTGATCCGGCTCTTGAGCAAGACGAATCTAATATTTTACGAATGATGCTAAATCAAATTTCGCATAAAAAGTCCCAATCCGAGGCAGAGAAATTTAAATTAGATCAATATTCGTGGTTATTAAGTGACGAAGATAATCATGAGTTACAAAAAAGAACATTTGACATAGCATGTCAAACAAATACAAATACGAATCATTCTCAAACAGGTTTAGTACATGCAAGTCAGCATTCGGAGATATCGTTTATGCCTAATATCTATACAACCCCGAATTCTGTACCTTTACCTATTTTTCCTATTAAAAATAAAATCGAAAAAATTGATACAAATAATTCACTGGATGGGTATCTTCATACATTTGATAATCTTGGTGATTATGAATTTCGTTCACTTATGAATAATTATAGTACTCCTTCCGTTAATGATTCTCGATTAAGCACATCATTTAACAAAAGTTGTACTGAATCTCCTCAAAGTATCACTATATACGATGATATAAAAAATCTGGACATTTTTTCAGAAAAAAAAGAAACTCCCAATGTTTCCTTGATTCCCACTTATGATTCGGCTATATTTCAAGATGATACTGGACATGGATATGATAATTTTGTTGGTATATGGGATGATGCAGTAGAATTTTCCTCTTTTTCTTTTCTTCCTTTTGATAATCATAGAGTTTTAGGTCATTCGTCCTTTGAACTCCTTAATTCCGGTTTAGTCAGTCCTTTAAATACCTCTAAATTGGGTGATAAGTGTAGGAAATATTAGGGCTTGAGATTTTTATCCATCTATATATTTTTTTCATGATGGATATATTTTTATTAATTACATTACAAAGTAGGACATTTATTTTCACAGGATTACGGAAATAGTTTAAATATTTAAGTATTTAAAGATATGAAATAATTATTTTTTTTTTCTTATTAAAATTTCCTTTACCTTTGTACTATAGCCTGCACGTGATAAAATCCGATACTAGACTTAGGCCTTAAATTTCTACCCTACATAAACTTGATAAATTGACGCATATATTCCAATATATCTTATATAAACGGCATCTTTTGAATACAAATAACATATAGATTGTTAGTATTAAAGGAAATATAAAGACATATTTTGTTTCTAATTTTAACGCATACAATTCGGCACAAAAGTGCATACAACCCATCAATCAGGATATAAATACATAATACTTGAGCATATATACTATAAAAAACTTAGAGTTAATTGTTTAAATATATATTTATGGCCAGTTTGTTTTTTAAAACTCCAGTTGATGTAGATATCCGTTTAGAAGGGGAAGATAGTAGGAAAATGGTTGATATTAAGGTGGGAAAAGACCGTAAACAAAAGGCACCTCTTTATTATGATGGAGAGTCTGTTAAAGGATCGGTATATATATGTTATATATACGTATATAATGGTTATTTACTATATACAAGGTTACGTTAAGACCCAAGGATGGAAAACGTATGGAACATTCAGGTATTAAGGTTCAATTCATTGGAAGCATTGAAATGTTCTTTGACAGAGGAACACATTATGAATTTCTTTCTTTAGTTCAAGAATTAGCAGCGCCTGGTGAAATGAGACATTCTCAGACGTTTGACTTTGAATTTAAAAATGTAGAAAAACAATATGAAAGTTACCATGGAATTAATGTAAAATTAAGGTATCCAGGGAGATTTTTCTTTTTTATTTATTATATATTTTTATAGATATTTTATTCGTGTGATTATATCAAGAAGAATGCCAGATATTGTAGGTGAAAAAGATATATGGGTTTATTCATATAAAATGCCACCTGAAAACAATAGTTCTATTAAGATGGACGTGGGAATTGAAGATTGCTTACATATTGAATTTGAATATTCAAAATCCAGGTATTTTTAGTTTAGAATATTCCTTTTCTAAAAAAAAAGATATCATTTAAAAGATGTAATTGTTGGCAAGATTTATTTTCTTTTAGTGCGATTAAAGATTAAACATATGGAATTATCTATTATTCGAAGGGAAACAACAGGATCATCACCAAATCAATATAACGAAAGTGAAACGGTAATTCATTTTATTAAAAAATCTATAAAATCAATGTTTAATGAATTAAAAAAGATATCTAGATTTGAAATTATGGATGGTCAGCCAGTTCGTGGGGAAACTATTCCAATACGACTTTTTCTTGGAGGATTCGATTTGACACCAACTTTTCGTGATGTTAATAAAAAGTTTTCTACACGCTATTACCTTTCATTGGTTTTAATTGATGAAGGTTTTATTTTTAAATATTTTTTATAATGTATTTTAATATTTTAATTTTAATAGATGGACGTCGGTATTTTAAACAATCTGAAATTACGCTATACAGAATTGATTAGATAATAAATACACCAATCCTAGTTGACATTTTTCAAGTTTTCCATTACTCTTGTATAATTTTTATTTTTTTGATAAAGTCTTATAAAACAAACTTATTTTTAAACAAAGTATATACAAAAACGATCATTAATTCACAACTCTCCACATAAAACGCAATAAATATTACTTATATTCTCAGTAATATTTTTCTGAAAAAGGTTTTTTTTTTTTTTTCATTTCGGTGTATGATTTTATAATGTTAAAACCTTGGTATTTATAAAAGGTTTTAAAATAAGAACACCAACATACAACTGATTCATTACTTTCAGAATGTTTTTGTCGATAAGATTTATAGAATATGATTTTTTCAAGACTTAAATTAACGTTGTAAGATGGGTATAATTTGTTGTAAGATAAAAAAATACACAGAAACATTTTCAGAATCCTGTGAACAACAAAAAACAGATGAAAAAATGAAAATTCCTATTTCTTCTAAAAAAAATAAATCAAAATCATCAAAAAAAGGGTATATGCTTTCAAAAGAGAAAAATATAGAAAAAACGGAACATGATATTGCTTTTTTAAGAGAAGCAACTGCAAATGCAGCACAAGCAAGATTTGAAAAGAATAAAAGCAAGGGAATATGTACGCCGGGTAAACTTTCTTCTCAGTTAGCTGCAGAAAAAAAAAAAACACGTTTAGAACTATTAGAAGATATTTCGCGGGAGAAGCAGATAGAAAGAGATCAAAAGCAAAAAAATGACCTAAGAGTATTATTTTTCATTTATTGTATTTGATCATTAACTGTTTTTAGTGGGATTAATTTATCAATCATAAAGATAAATATTACATTTCATACAAAAAAATTTAGAATCTTGATATCATTTATAAAACAGAATATCTTCCGCTTACTCCAGAACGTATTTCACTTTCTAGTGCCTAAGAAAGTTAAATTTGTCGATTAAACTTTATATTATATATTACCGAAACTGTTCCTTCTGTTAATAAACGTTTAAGCTCATATAATGCCCGATCGACAGATATTTGCGTTTCACCTTCAATAAGAATATACAGCTTCGTCTCTCCTGGAGGTACAGGTTTTCCAGGTGGATACCAGTTACCTTTATTTGTAATTGATGTTCCTGTCAAGTCAATAATTCGAGCAATATTTGTACGATTTGTGACAGCCCATCTTGCTTTTTGCGGAAAGTCATTAATTTCAATTGTAGCAGTAAATTCTCTTGAGTCAGGACCACCAGATTCAATTGTAATTCCGGAACGTGATTGACCTTGTAACCGAGATGTCACTGAACCAGCTGCCTTACGTACACGTTCCAATATATCGTCTGTTATATTTCCTTTTTTATTTGTTTGTGAAGCAACCATCGAAGAATTTGAATTGGCATTTGAATCAGATTTAAAAGATGTATCTGGCTCTTCCATATCATAAAGATCCATTTTCGAATATTCATAATCATCATCGAAAACATCTACTTCTTCATCACTTTCTTCTCCGTAAGCCCTTCTTTGCAATTTTCTAACTAAATCTCTATCTTTATCAAGTCTGTCAAGACCTTTACCGCCAAATCCTGATCCACTTGCTTTTTCTTGACCTGATTTAACTTTTTTTATAAATTCTAATATGTGTCAAAAATAATTTAATTAAAATTTAAAAACTACCATTTGCCAAATTTTGAACATCTTCTGGAATATTAGCTTTACTAATTCGTAAAGCTCTAACAATATCAGCAGCATAGCGATCCTGTTCAGGTGTTATAAATGTGACAGCTGTCCCAGTTTCTCCTGCTCGTCCTGTTCTTCCAACACGATGAACATAATCTTCTAAATGATTTGGACAGTCATAATTAACAACTAATTTTAATTGTTTAATATCTAAACCCCGGGCAGCAACTGATGTAGCAATAAGAATAGGGAAAACACCAGCTCTAAAATCTGCAATAGTTGAATCACGATCAAATTGATCTTTTCCACCATGAATTGACATACATGGATATCCTCGACGCATTAGATCCCTCAGTAAACTATCTGCTGCCTCTTGACGATCTACAAAAACTAGAGTACGCACATCATCGTCATTAACATATAAATTACCAAGAAGTTCAAGGAGTCGAACAAATTTATTATCCTCAGTGCACACTTCTACAAGTTGCTGTATTTCAGAAGCAACAACACTGCGAGCACCCACTGTAATTTCAATAGGTTTCTGTAAAATTTTCCGGGAAAGAATATCCATCTATATAAATATTAAATAAGATAATCAAAAAAAAAAATACTTGTTTTGGAAATGTTGCAGAAAATAAAACTGTTTGACGATCCGGTCTTACATTATTAACAACCTTCATAACTTGAGGTTCAAAACCTAAATCAAACATACGATCTGCTTCATCAAGAACAATATATGACGTTCTTTTTAAATTAGTAACTCGACCTTGATTTGCTCCAAGCAAATCTATAATACGACCAGGTGTACATACTACAATCTCTGCACCTCTCTTAAGTTCTGCAATTTGATCTTTAATTGGGGAACCTCCATATGCACACACTGCCTAAAAAATATAAATAACTTATTTCAAGAATAATAAAAACACACTCTAAGCCCCAAAACCTTCAAGAAATGCTTGCATTCCTTATGAATCTGTACAGCTAATTCCCTGGTTGGTGTCATAATAAGTGCAATAGGCCCCTCTAAAGAATCAATAGGACGCTGATCTTTGATGTGTCGAAACATTGGAAGAAGAAATGAAATAGTTTTTCCACTCCCCGTTTTTGCAACACCAATTATATCTCTCCCACTCATAATAGCAGGAATTGCTTGAGCTTGAATAGCCGTCGGTTTTTCATATTTAAGTTGATAAATAACATCTAGTCTTTAAAACAATAAGTATTTTATTTTTTTCTAGAAAAAAAACATACACATGAGCAGGAAGCCCACATTGACTCCAATTCTGAATCGGTTTAGGACAATTAAGACCCTAAAATATTAAAAAATTTAAACAATATAAAAATAAATACTCTTATTTTAATTCCGTCCAATTCTAAACGATAATCATTCACTTCTTGCTCGCTCATTTCAGAAAGCTCATGTGGTTCAACATAAAAATTTTTTCGAATCGGTTCATAATGAATTTTTGAATGATCAATATTAGGTAGTTCCTTTTTTTTCATTTTTTTCTGCGCAAGAGCTAATATATCCCTTGGATCATTAATACTATTTTCTTCTTTTTCTTCTTCACTATCTTCTTTATTCTCCAAAAGCTCATCTAGACTTAAATGATTTTCTACTTTTCCTTCTGCATCACGTTTAATTACTTCATCCATTCCTTGCATAAATAAATCTAATGGATCCACTTCTTCTTCATTTTCTGTATTCTTTGATCCTTTTTGCGAGGATTCTTCCATATTATCTTCATCACCAAGTGATTCCATAGGTATCTTCCGTTTCTTTTCATAATCATCAAGCGTTATAGCCTGAGTAGACATTTTTGTAACTGTTCGACCAAATTCAAATCCAGAAACCGAACCACGAGCACCAATAGATGGAACTAAAGGTTCTTGTTCATTCTTTTTTGTTTCTTTCTCCGTTGACATTGTATTTTCCTTTTCCTTTTCCTTCTCTGCCATACGTACTGCACGCTGGCGTAAAAATTGCTGAATTTTCTCTTGTTTAATACGCATACGCTCTTTTTCATCATCCTTAGCTTGTGATCCCCCTTCTGATGATACTTTATTTGTATAAGATTTCTGTTCTCTATCTTGCTCTTTATTTCTATTACTTTCTTTATCTTTTAAATATCTAGAGTCTCTATCATGATCATGAGTACTATGATGAGACCTGTGACGCTTAGAAAAACTTTCTGACGAATGATATCTCTGATGACTCATTATTTAACCCAAATAATCAAGTAATCTTTAATAAAAATTTCAAGAATATTATTTAACGTTTTTAATCACTTTTCAGCAAGTAAAAAAGCAAAAAAAAACAGAAAAAAGTCCCCTTCAATTAAAATAAGATCTCTAAATATATAAAAGAAGAATTTTCAGCGGAAAAAAATGGTATATTCCTTTATTTTTTTAAATAAAATTGGCAAACCACAAAAATATGCTTAATCAACGTAAAAAAAAGCAAAAAAAAAGAGGAAAAAAGGGAATCTCAAAACAAAATATGATTGCGATCAATAAAAGCAATTTAAATGAAGATTTACCTCTTTTTGTGTTATCCTTAGCCAATTCTTAAAAATTCTGACGTTGGCTTGATAGATCGAAATCTCTAAGATCAACGTCCAAAAAAATAGATTTTAATAAAAATCCTAAAAACAGGGAAAATAATATGATTAGCACCAATTTTATCATTTCCATTGGATTTTCAACAAAGACTTTGGGGTATAGAGGAATTAGAGCGGTTTTTAAGCGATGTCTAGGAGGAATGATTCCAATCAACAAAGAATATATTATTCAATGGACAAATACGCGAAGAAATAAGAAAGTTTTTGACAATATATTTCATGAAAATGCACAATTAACCTATTTTAAGAATCTTTTTTATGACTTCCACCGTTTTAACTCGTCAAAATCTACATCAAGGTCTACAAAAGCAAATCAGGAATTAAAAGCACTTCCTACACCCTCACGCATGGGATATTCTCCATGGATTGCGTTTATTAAGGAGAAGTTTAAACAAATGACGGGAAATGGGAAGGAAATTATGAAACAATGCTCTTCTATATGGAAAAATATGTCTCAAGAAGAACGACAGGTTCGTTTGATTTTTCGTCTTCTATTAGTAGATATTATGAAAAAACGGACACTGATAGGAAATATATAGACTTATAAGGATATTTCATCAGAAAGTAGATTACAAGCATCACGTACATACATGAATTGGATCAATTCGTTATCTCCAAAAGAAATTATGAAAGAAAATCATATCAGAAATCAATTACGTAAACAGGGGAAGAAAGGTATAACGTTTATTAAAGATCCTCGAAAGCCTAAACGTCCTCTGTCTGCTTTTCTTTTTTTCTGTGCTTATGCAAGATCAAGCCCTGATTTTATAGAGAAATATACAGAAGGAACAACAAAAATTACTGAACAAACTAAGATATTAGCGAAGAAATGGGCACTTATGGACGATTTTGAAAAACAAGTGTGTTATTTTAAATATATTTTTATATTAATATTCTTAGGAATTTATTAACTCTTCAATAAATGATAAAGAGCGTTATCAAAAGGAATTAGAAATTTATTATAAGCTATAAATCTGTAAAATACAAATGTTTATCCATTAATAAATGAATAGTAGACAATATTATCAATGTTTGATATTTTAATTTATATTTTAACTACCTAACATTTTTTATTTAAAGATATAAAATTATAGTTTTATATAGAAATATTGATTTATACTCTGAACCCGTATCTTATTAAGCCATTTGATATAACGTTAGAAGATTTATTAATAATACTTTATAAAAGTCTTTAAATATCATTTATGAATTTAAAATAATTTATCAGCATCAAATGAAACTAATAAATATAAATAAATACATAAAAAACATACATACAATTAATTCTTATTTCTTAATCTTATTTTAATAATATTTTTGCTAATAACTTAAAAATCAAAGTTTACAAATATAAAAGTCTTTATTTTTAAAGAATTGATTCCATAAAATATTATAATAAACATGTCCAAACCAATAAAAATAGATAAAGTATTATGTATTTAAAGATATTTCCAAAAAATATTTATAAAAAACCAATCCAATTACAATCAATCAATATAATGACTTATAATGTTAATTTTAAAAACATTTAAATCCTTATTTTTAAATTTAATTATCATAAATCATTTTATTTTTCTTTGGAGAAGCAGAAAGGTGAAATTAAATATTTTAGACTATTTATCATTATGCGCCTGCTTCGTCAATATAGAAAAAGATATTATAAAATTGAGAATGAAGTTATTAGTCTTGCACTAGAATTTCACAAATTCAAATCACCTTACATTACAATAATAACATCTTTAAATATAAAAAAAATATAGAGATTAAATGTCATATCTACAGTTAAATTATAAAACCCTTATATTCTACAACCATAAAAAATATTCTAGTAGCTTAGAATCTCCCTATATAATGATACTAGAAGACGAAAAATATATATAGATAAGAAAAAGGTCACCAATAAGCCAAAAAATATATATTAAGTTATAATACATAAGAGTTTCATTCAAAACAATCCATAAAACAATCCCTATATGAACATTCCCATATTTAAATCAAAATACTAACTTTTTAGGTTTTTCCCAGGAAAAAGACTGGTCAGTAAAATGTCCATAACATCTATTTCATAATTTAAAAATGAACAGATCTTAAAAAATACATACGCAGTTTTAGAATAAATTGGAAGCTGCAATCCAAGTTCTTTTACAATAACACCTGGCCTTAAATCAAAATTTTTCTTCACAATTTCAACAAGTTCAGATGAAGTTTTTTTACTTGTTCCATAATGTTCAACATAAATGCTTAAAGGATAAGAAATACCAATTGCATATGAAAGTTGAACAAGACATCTTTTGCATAAACCAGATGCAACAAGAGATTTTGCTACCCATCTCGCTGCATAAGTTGCACTACGATCAACTTTAGAAAAATCTTTGCCTGAAAATGCACCACCACCATGTGCACCCCATCCTCCATAGGTATCAACAATAATTTTTCTTCCAGTCAAACCTGCATCACCTTTCTTTTTAAATAACAACAATAATAATAATATTAATTATACCCTGAGGACCTCCAATAACAAATCTACCAGATGGCTGGATATGATAAACAGTTTTTTCATCCAAATATTCTGAAGGAATAACTTTTTTAACAATTTTTTCTAAAATTTCTTCACGAATCTTTTCCGTAGAAATTATGTCAGCATGCTGTGTTGAAATAACAACAGTATCCACACGAACAGGGACCACCATTCCATTTTCTTGTTCATATTCAACAGTAACCTGTGTTTTTGAATCCGGACGTAACCACTTTATCTCACCACTATGCCGAGCTTCTGCAAGTGCCATATTTAATCGATGCGCAAGCAGAATAGTCAATGGAAGTAACTCCTTCGTCTCATTAGTGGCATATCCAAACATAATACCCTTATATAATCCTCAACGAAAACATAAAAAAAAAAAATCAAGATACCTGATCTCCAGCACCAATGTGTTCCAATGATTTTTCTAAATGAAGTCCTTGCGCGATATCAGGGCTAATAAAACCATCAGAAAAAAAAATCAATATATCCATTTTACGATTGCTCTTCAATAGCGACAAAAATATTACATGTTCTATAATCAAAACCCTTATCTAAACCATCATAACCAATTCTTTTAATTGTTTCACGAACGATTTTTTTATAATCAAGAACCGCTTTAGTAGTTATTTCTCCAAAAATAATAACCCTGTTTTAAAAAATTATAATCAAATAAATCTATATAAATCATAATTTTACTTGCATTTCAGTTTTTATAGCCGTCTCACAAGCAACTCTAGAATTAGGATCTTCTTTTAGACATGCATCCAAAATTGCATCAGATACTTGATCACAAATCTTTTAAAAAATTCTTAATTTTCATTAATAAAAAAAAAAATATAAACCTTATCAGGATGTCCTTCACCAACCGATTCTAAAGACTTATTAAAAATACTATTTTAAAGATCTAGAATACCTGAAGTAAATAAAAACCTGGACATCAATTTATAAATATCCTTAGCAGATTTTTTTTCAGAAATTTTGCGTTTTTTCCGGCTAAAATCAAAACCTGCGGATAAAAATGATTAAAAAATAATATGAAAAAAAAAGATGACCAACATAATCTCAGACTTATCCATAAATCCAGATAAATCTTCTCATATATTCGAATCAATACTTTTTTTTGCAAAAAAAAGATACATCCTGGATAAGTTTTAGAAAAAAACGTATATGAAAAATACTTACTATAACTATTATAAAAAGCATTTATAATTCGATATGCCTAAAAAAAGAAGAGGCTAAATATTTTTTAGAATTAAGGGTTAGAATCTTTCCTTCCAGCTATAAGTTTATTGTACATATTTAATAAATGAATATAAGGAATTTTTTTTGGCCAAAAGTAGCTTGTAAATACCCTGAAGAAAATAAATTACTTAAAAACAAATAATTTCAAAAACTACCATAAATGTTTTTTTAAACGATCTTTATCAGATTCAGATCGAGATGCTACAGTCATTTCGATAAAATCACCGACTGTTGTTAAACATTCTTTTAAAATCATCGCAAGTTTTGTTCTATCAGTATCCTTATCCTTTTTTAAGGTTTTCAATTGTTTTCTAACCGGATGTAATATTTTCTAGTTTTAGATTTTAACTATTTATCTTCCCTAATTAAGAAATTATTATACCTTACAATCGTCTTCATCCATGCTAGAATGTTCGCTTTCTTCATCAAAATCGCACTTTTTTTCTGTATCCACATTATCTTTAATCTTTGTCTTTTTATCATTCTTTATTTTTAAAGATTGTTTAGATGAATGAAGATCGTGATTCACATTCCTAGATTTCGACTGTTGTAATGATCCAGATGATTGGATATTATAATTGTTTTTCACCTTTTTAATATAAGAATGATTCAAAACATATTACTGTGTACTTTTCTATCTACTACTAATGTATTGTTTGAAGAACTTGCAACTTTTGCTTCAAGAATCTCTCGTGCAAGATTCAATAAATATTCTCCACGCCTTACAAGATGAGTAGGACCGGGAATCAATTTAAAATCTTTTAATTCTTTCCCTTCTTTATGCTCATCTTTTTCTGTTCTATCATCATCTAAAAATATTTTATCTTGCATGTTCAAATCGGGATCATCTTTTATAGAAGACCAGGAACCAAATCCATACCTATCAATTCCAATTAACAACATAGCATCTTCTCGCTCTCCCCATTGACATGACCATCCATGAACTGCTTTTACCTGCCCAGGAATACGAAAGACTTTTGAATCAACACCCTTAACTAACTGATGAACAAAACGCAAATCTCTTGCTCTTTGTATCACTGTTTCCGCATTAATATTTTTTACTCCTTTATACTCTATAAGAAGAGCTTTCTTTGGTTTTGAATTTTGATTCAACGTAGAATTCTCAACATCTTTATTTTCTGCTTCTTGATTAATTATCGCTTGCTTACAAGCTTTAAAAAGTTCCCGAACAATTAAACGTATTTTTTCAGGAGGCATTTGATTTGGCAAATCTGCTTCTCTAATAACTTCTTCCCATCGATCCAATGGCGAGCCAAATTTCAAAATAGCCCTATAAAGATTGCGAATTTCTTTTTCATTCAATTGCCTTAATTTTGGGTCAACTTTCTTTAACTTCTTATTCGAAATATTATCTTTAATTAATAGATTTTCAGGATGTTTGACAGTTCTTTTAGTATTCATAGATATCTGTTCCTGCAAAAACTCTTCATCTTGCCTCAACTTTTCTTCAGCTTCAATTCTATTACGCTCCTCTTCAGGAATTATATCCTCCCATGTAATATCAGTCTTATAATCGGTAACTTCAAACTATTTTACAGGTTATAACAATATAAAAATTTAAATAATATAAACTTGTTTTAAAAATTCTTCTCCTCCCATGCTTGCCCCTCCAACATCTTGTCCAATATCATGATTTTCAGCATGTTCTAACACATCATCTAAGTTCATATCTTCTAAACGTTTCTGATTATCATTATCTTTAAACATATTTAATGCACCGAACTAATTAAATATTCAAAACTATAGCACTTTAAACAATAGAGATTATTTACCTTGAGAATAGCAGTTAATTCCTGTGCCGTAAATTTATCTGCTTTCCCTGAGTTTGATTTATCTGTAACGCCTAAAGAAATAATTGCATACTATAATTTTATAAACTAAAAAAAAAAAAAAAAACAAAATAAATACTTCCAAAATCATTTTTCTTCTAGCTCGTTCCAATATATCTTCTTCTACTGTATCTTTAGAGACAAATCTATAAACCATGACATGCGACTAGTTTAAATTAATATACAATAAGTAAATATATATATGCGGGTAAATCTTAAAAACCTTTTGTCCAATTCTATGTGCCCTAGCCATTGCCTATATTTCTTAGCAAAAAGAATACAAGATAAAATAAAAATACTTGTAAATCTGCTTGAGGATTCCTAAAATAGTTAAAAACAAACTAAATATTTATTTATATACCAATCTGAATCAAAAATAATCACTGTATCTGCAGTCATAAGATTTATTCCAAGACCTCCTGCTCTAGTACTCAATAAAAATACAAAATCAGGACTACCGCTAGCATTAAAATGATCAATAGACGCTTTTCTAATAGATGCAGACACAGTCCCATCTAAACGCTGAAAAGAAAGACCACGCAAAACCAGATAATCGCCTATAATATCTAACATACGAACCTACAAATTAGTTTAAAATATTTCTAAAAAAAAAAACAAACCATTTGACTAAATATCAAAACCCGATGGCCATCCCTTTTTAGTCTAGTAAGAAGCTTATCAAGTAAAATCATTTTTCCACTGTTTATTATTATTCCTCTTAAAATATCTTCACGATTTCTTTTTGATCCAATACTATTTAACCAATTTTCTTCAGCATTAGGAAAAAGATATGGATGATTGCTAGCTTTTTTTAACTCAATAACAATATTTAATAAATTCAATTGACTATTTCCCGTAGACATACTTAATGCCCTATAATTACGCGTTAAAATATTTTTATACCAATATGTTTGTAGTTCAGATAGTTCAACCCTTAAAATTCTTTCAGATTTAGATGGAAGAGATTTCTCTACATCCTTTTTCAATCTACGTAGAATATAAGGTTGTAATCTTTTATGAAGATCTCTAATATAAGCTTCTTGTTCAGCATTAGGTGCCTCAAAATTTAATTCTCGATCAATTTCAAATCTTTTGGGCATTAAAAAATCTATCAAAGCTGCCAATTCCTTAATATTATTTTGCAGAGGTGTTCCAGTGATTAAAAGACGATTTGCAGTCCTAAAGTCCCTTAGAGATTCATAAAGTTGCGATTCACTATTTTTAAGTCTATGTGCTTCATCTACTGCCATGTATTGCCATTTAATTTGATTTAATTCAGATTTATCTTTGAGAATATATTCGTAAGTTGTAATTAGAATATTAAATTTTATTTTTTTAGGATTCCCATCAATATAAAACTCATATTCTTGAATAGTTTTTCTAGCTTTTGAATTTCCTATATATATAATACTATTTAAATCCGTTGCCCATGTTTCCAAATTTTCTTGCCAAGCAGGAATAGTTGATAATGGTACTACTATTAAAAATGGACCATGAATATGCAAAGAATGCACGAGATATGACAAAAAAGAGACAGTCTGTGCCGTTTTACCCAATCCCATCTACTAAAATTAGAAAAATATATATAAGAATAGATAATACCTCATCTGCCAAAATCCCGTTTTCATTTTTCGACCATAAATACGCCATCCAATTCACACCTGTTAGTTGGAAATCCCTTAATTCACCATTTTTAATATACTCAGGCTGAACATCAAGCTTTTTAAACTTCGGTCGAGAAGAACCATATGAAATGCTTTCATGAGGAAGAATATGACTTACAGATCGATTCAAATATCTATCAATTTGGTCTTGCGCATTAAAAATAGCGGAAGCACATTCCCATGTACATGAGTCATAATAAAGCTGTTTCCATTTACAAAAATATTCAGTATGAGGATGTTCATCAAATTCACAACTTTTAACAATTCTCGAAGAAACAATTCTATCGACAGTTTGATATTCAACCAAAAGATTCCTACGCCTTTCAGTCTCGATATCCATAGCTTCAAAATATTCAGCAGTCGTTGTAGGATTTTCTCTTATTTGTTTATCTAAATCAATATACTGTTTAATATAATTATCTACTTTTTTCCATCCTCGAATTTTTTTCAAGTTATCATATGTTTCCCATGAATCATGAAGATGGGAGTGATTCTTCCATTTAACCTAATTATATTAACAAATATATCAAATACAATTAACAAAAAATTACAAGATATTCTAAAGCATGGCCATCATTAAATTCGTCAGAATCTAATATATTAATTCAATAATAAATAGAAATAAAACATACCATCTTTAGTGATTTGACGATGATCTAATACTGCATCAATACTATCTTGGGCTATAATATTATCAGAAAATATTGAAAGAAATAAAAAATACTTTCTAAAGACTTTGATGACAATTTTTTCTCATAAAAATAATCATTTTCATCATCATTTGTAAAATCAAGATCATCATCCATAGAATTTTCATTATAATTACAAGTTTTTAAATTTCTATTAGAAAATCTCAATTCATCTTTTAAAAATGCACGCTGTTTTTTTCTCAACTTGTCACTAAAATCGCTTTCATACGAATCAACAGGTGATTGTATTGATTGTGTTCCTTTAATTAATATAAGAAAGATTTCATACATTATACATAATATAATACTTATATAATTTTTCTTACGTTTTTTCTTAGAAATCATTCCATACTCATCGGAAATACGATCATCCGAAGAATCTATATTCGTAGAACGAACTTGTTCATTACGAGTTCTTTCTGATCTTCTCAATCCATATAAAGAAAAATCTAACGTTTCCAACTGTTTTTTCGTTTTTTCCTGATATCGCCTCCTTAAACGCGGTGCTTCTTCCATCTCATCACTTTCACTTTCATTATTTGATAAATTATAATCTTTATCATTCATATTATCTTCTGTTTCTGAAATAAATTCTTCTCCACTTGAATTATTTAATGTTCCATTAGCTACATATAATTCAATATATGTCGTTAAATCCTTTTTATATAAAAATACCTTCTAAACAATCCGTAGAAATCTCAGAAACCTTATTTAATGTTTGAGATAGATTTTCATCTACCATTATCTCCAAAGCGTATAACTAAAAAATAATTAATATCTATTTTTCTTCTCAAAACATAGTGCAATTAAATAGCTATAAAACTTCAAAAATACTCTTCAATTATATATTATTTCCAAATTTTTATTTTATCATTTTTTACCGTAAAATTTACCATTTTTTTACTTTTTTTCACATTAAACATATTAATTCATACTCCCATTCTCATTTATCTCTAAAATAACCTCAAATTCCTCATTTTCTCCTTTTTTTACAACTTCCCTATACTTTATAATATTCTATATTTATCCATTTTCATCTTCTTTAAAGCCCTTTTCAAACGTACTTACATATATTTGAAGTGTACTATAACCATATAACAGAATTTCACTAAGCCTTATTCCTAATTCCTTAATATTTTCTTAATACTTTTTCTAAAGTTTAGTCGGATGTCCGAATATCCTTAGATTTGAAAATGAGACGTCTCGATCCTCTTAATTCTTATATTTATTTAGCGATGAGCAGGTGGATTTGAACGACAAAAAATTGAGTCAGAAGGTTTTTTGAAAAAAAGAAGGATAAAAAGAAAAAAAAACAAGAAAATTTATATTTAAAACGAACTGGGAGATTTATAATGATATAGGTACTTTTTTTTTTTGAAAAAAAAGGATAAAAAATGACAGAGATCTTGAGGGTTATAAGAATAAGTAAAAAGAAAGAAAAATGTCAAAGAAAACACAAACTGGAAGCTCAGAGAAGCTTACTAGGGTAGCAATTGTATGTTAAATGGTTTTTTTTTCTAAAAAAACCAAGTAAAAATATTAAAATATGATGAAATATAGGTAAATAGTGATAAATGTAAACCTCGAGTGAGTTTTAATAAATATGAAAGAAGTATACTGAAATAATCAAGAAATGTCATCAAGAATGCAAAAAATCGTGTATTTTTATGTATTTTTTTAAAATTATTAGATTTGATAGTTTATATAGGTCCAGTTGTTCGTGGCGGAAAATTATGTATTGAGGTTACTCCAGAGTCCAAGATTTCATGGATTTCAGAATCTTTATGGTATTTTTATATAGATTCTTTTTTTTAGCTAAAAAAATAAGTATTGGATGTGGAATATGTGTTAAACGATGTCCTTTTGGAGCTATTCATATTATTAATTTGCCAACTAATTTAGAATCAAAAGTTACACATAGATTCTCGGAAAATTCATTTAAATTACACAGATTACCTACTCCTAGACCAGGCCAAATTCTTGGTTTAGTAGGAGCAAACGGTATTGGAAAATCTACAGCACTTAAAATTTTAGCAGGAAAATTAAAACCTAATCTTGGCCAACATAATAATCCACCTGATTGGGAAGAAATTCTTAGATATTTTAGAGGGAGCGAACTTCAAAATTATTTTACTAAAGTTTTGGAGGATAGTTTAAAAGTATTAATAAATATACTCATTTTAATTATTTAACATTTAAAAAAGGCTATTGTTAAACCTCAATATGTTGATCATATCCCGCGCACTATTCAAGGCCCAGCTAAAACTGTCAATGAACTTCTTGACTTTAAATTAGAAAAAAATAATAAAGATGAAATCATTGATATTTTAAGTAATGTTATTATTATTATATATAGTTATTTTTAAACATTTTTAAGGCTTAAGGGATTTACTTAGAAGGGAAGTAGATCAACTTTCTGGCGGAGAGTTACAACGTTTTGCTATTGCAATTATCTGTATTCAGAAAGCAGACATGTAGGTTGTTTTGTAAATTTTCACATAGTTTTATATTTTTTAGATATATGTTTGATGAGCCATCATCTTATTTAGATGTAAAACAACGTTTAAATGCAGCAAAAACAATTAGATGGTCACTTAATCCTGACAATTATATTATTGTTGTTGAACATGATTTGTCTATTCTCGATTACCTGTCAGATTATATATGTGTTTTGTACGGGATGCCTTCTGTTTATGGTGTAGTTACTTTGCCATTTTCAGTTAGAGAAGGGATAAACATATTTTTGGATGGAAATATTCCTACAGAAAATTTACGCTTTAGAAGTGAATCATTGCAGTTCAAAATATCAGATTCATCTGATATATTTTCTTTGGAAAGAAATAAAGCTTATGTATATCCTTCAATGACGAAAAAACTTGGGGATTTCACACTTGAAATTAGTGCAGGCGAATTTACTAATTCTGAAATCATTGTCATGCTAGGAGAAAATGGCACAGGAAAAACTACATTCATTAAGGTTAACAATCTTTTCTGCATTAATTATTTATTAAATATAAGATATAGTTACTAGCAGGAATTTTAAAACCCGATGGAAAAGAAGAAGTTCTTGGTTTAAGCGTATCTTTAAAACCCCAGAAAATTACCCCAAAATTTCAAGGAACAGTTCGTATGTTGGTAATATTTAGTATTTCTTAAGTCGCATTAATTTTGACTAATTAAGTTTCTAAAAAAAATAAAAACGTCATGGTTAAATTCTAGTTTCCAATCAGATGTATGCAAGCCTTTGAACATTGAAAATATTGTGGATCACGAAGTCCAAGATTTATCTGGTGGAGAACTACAACGTGTTGCCATTGTTTTATGTCTTGGTCTTTCTGCTGATGTTTATTTAATCGATGAACCATCTGCATATTTAGATTCCGAGCAACGTATTATTGTTTCTAAAGTTATTAAAAGGTAAATATCACTATCATGTTGTTCTAGATTAATAGCTTAGATTTATTTTACATTCTAAAAAAACAGCATTTGTTGTTGAACATGATTTGTATACTCATTGATCATATATTATAATTTTATTAATAAAAAAATAGTATCATGGCTACATATTTGGCTGATAGAGTGATTGTATATGAGGGTCAACCTTCAGTAAAAGTATATACTAATCCTCCTCAATCTTTAATAGATGGTATGAACTCTTTTCTATCAAACTTAGATGTTACGTATAATATTTTTTATGTTTCTATTCTTTTTTTTTTAATAAGTGATAGATTACGTCGGGACCCTAACACTTTTCGCCCAAGGATTAATAAACAGGATAGTCAAATGGTATATTTTTGATTTTATTCAAACTAATTTAATATTTTTTCTATAGCATCAAGAACAAAAAAACTCAAAAAATTTTTTTAATATATAAAATAGATTTCTTAGATTTATATTATTAAACGTTATAATATTTATTAAATATAAGAGATATATTATAAAATTAAAAGATTATAATGTATTAAAAATCTATAGCATATAATTGATTATCCAATATTTTTCCAGAAAATATATATTATTATTAAATAATAAACAGTACTATATAAAAACACTATGTTAAGCTTCAAAAACTTTAATTTTTTAACTATAATATTTATATAAAATTCCTAATAAAAATTCAAAAATCCAGACATTATAATTACTTCAATTACAAACTATTATTTTTATATTATATTATAGTTTTTTTATGAATTGTATATTAATTTTTTTTCTTCCAGTAGATTCTTTAATCACACATATTTTCACCCTACATTTATCAAAAACACCAATATTTAATATACCCTGAGAAAATTCATTATCTATATTAAAAATATCTGATTTCAATTGACTTATTACAAGACTGTATGATTCCGGATCAAATAAAACAGCTGATTCTGATTTACATATATCTCGTGTATATACTAACCCTTCTATTCCAAGACTAATTCCTTAATATTTTAAATATTAAAAGAACTTAATATTATTACCTTGAAACGAAAACAAGAAACCCATTTTTAAATACTTTCATAACAAAAGCATCTTCATAAATTTCTTTTTCTAATGTTCGAGAAACATAATATTCTAGACTAGATCTTCCTACAATTTGTCCCATACGATGTTTATAATTAATATTTTTACAGATTTTTTCCAATTTAGATTTATCTTGCAAAACCGGTTGAAAAGACTCATAACCAATAGCAACAGCTAGCTGGCGATGTGTTATTATATCTGCATAACGACGAATAGGGCTAGTCCAATGTGTATATATATCAACAGCAAGACCGTAATGTTTTAATTCAGAATAATTATAATTTCCAGCAAAAAAATATTCAGCAGATGACATACATCTTGTAACCATGATTCTTAATAACGTATTAAAATATGGCTCATTAGGATCTACACATTTATCAAGAGAGAGAGCCAAACTTTTAGATGAATCAGTATTTAATATCATATTCCGTCTTACTTTAAGAATGTCTCGAAGGGTTTCAAAATTTTCTTTAGGTGGAGCAACATGGCGCCTAAGAAATGTTAATATTATTTTAATTTATTATTCTGTTATTACCGTAATATTGCAGATTCTGGATATACTTCATATATTTTATGTGCTACTGAAATATTAGCTAATAACATAAATTCTTCAACCAAAAAGTTTGTTTCATAAAGTTTTTTGGATTCCAAAGTAATTTTATCGGAAGTCTCTGTCCCAATTTCAAGTTTCAGTTCAGGACTAGTAAGATTCAAAGCACCATTATCATATCTTTTTTGACGAAGTTTTCTAGAAAGCATAAGAAGCGTCTTGATAGAAAAAGATAATTCATTATTTTGTATCCTGAAATCATAAGAAAATATAAATATTAATAATTTTAAAACTTATTATCTATTTCAAGTTGAGCCCTTTCATAAGTAAAAGCCGAGCGTGATTTTATTACAGATTTTACAAATTCAGTTTTAACAATTTCCGCTTCAAATGTCATTTCCTAAAAAATATTAACGAATTATTATTTAAATATCATAGATACCCATATGACAGAAAATGCAAATCTTTCAACACCAGGTTTTAAAGAACATAAATTTGTCCCTAATAGTAATGGCAACATATCTATTCGCTTGTCCACAAGATATACAGTTGTTCCTCTTTCAGATGCTTCTATGTCTATAGCAGTACCTGGCTTTACGAAGTATGAAACATCAGCAATATGAACTCCCACTTCGAAATTCCCATTTGCTAAAGGACTTGCATGAAGAGCATCATCAATATCCACGCAACCTATAAATTAATATTACAAAAAAAAATAGACGTTTACAAACCAGGAGGGTCAATACTACAAACAGGAAGATGGCGAAAATCCCTTCTTTTTTCCCAATCACTAGGTGTCATAACAGATGATACTTCCCATTTATCACCTTCAGATGGCAGACAATCCAAAACACTTTTCGGAAATGGAGAATGTTGTATGTCATATTCAATCAATAAAGCTTCCATTTCTGTCTCATTAGCCTGTAATTTTCCTAATGAACGAACAAAATGCCCTCTGGGATACCTAGAATCCCTGTCCCATGCATCGATATTAACCAGAATCTTCTGATCTAATAAAACTGGCCCTTGTCTCGTTTTAATACGTATTTTTGGAATACGTTTATCCGTAGGAATAAAAAATACAGTTTGTTGAATTCTGGTATTATTTGATACAACAACCGATTTAGGATCTATTTGACCAACATAACTAGTAATTATAAGTATAAACTAACAAAATAACAGGAAATTGCGTTTTCCAATTTCTTTTAATAATACCAACAACTTTTCCTGTAGGAAAAATGTTATTTTCTTTTTCTCGTCTATCTTTTAAAGTACATTGTTCATTTATAATCTCCTGTTGATCCTTTTGTGTTATAACTTCTTCTGATTTTTCTACCTCAGCATTTTCATTTATTGATAAAGTTTCTTGCTCAATTATTTTAGATGTTAAAGTTCTCCAATGTTCTTTCTGAAAAAGTTCTATAGCTACTATATCTCCTTGAATAGCTCTATTAATGTTTTCCTTTCCAAGAATAATAACAGGTTTTTCAAAATTAGATATAGAAACATTTGCCTACTTTAATTAAAAAATTTAACAAGTATAAAGCAAATACCTCTAAAAAATTATATGGGTTAACATTAAATTCTCCTTGATATAATTTACCAGTTTTTATACCATTTGATATAAAGGAACAAGAATAATACTATATTTATAAGATATTAAAAAATCGAAAATATAAAAATACTTCAGGATACAGAGAAATTCCTTTCTTTGAAAGGGAATCTGCCTCCGAAACAGATGATATCATATCAAGAAGTTCATCTGAATTAGGAAACTCAGAAAGATATTCCTCTACTGAATATGCATGTATTCCTTCATCTTTTGCCTTAGATCTATTCTCTTTATCGTCCGTCAAAAGCAAAATCTCCGGAACTACCGTTTTTGTACCACGTGTTACTTCTTTCAAATGTGATATATACCACTTGCATGCTGTTCGAATGGCTAATACCCTATAAAAAAAAAATAATAAAAAATATATAACTTTCCTCGATCATTTCTGTCATTTATAGTCTCATCATCCATACGCTCCACATATGTTTCTAAATGAAATTCATTATAAAAAACATAAAAACGTTTATCCAAAGATGCAACATATTGGCGAAGAAAAGTATATGCAGAAAGACTCAATTTCTTCAATTCTTCTAAAACCGTCTGAAGGACTATTATATCATTAAAAACACTTTCTTTTTCAATAAGATTCATCTAATATCGTCATTTTGTTATCTTCAACAAATTTTCTTAAAAACTAACGCAATGATAAAAAACATTTGTATCAGGGACAACATAACACCCATTCTCCAACCCATTAATAGCCTTTGGAGTTGAAGAAAGTGCTGATATTTTTGCTAAATTATATATTAACTTTTAATAAACTATTTCCTCTAAAAAATGACCTGAACACTCAGAAAAAGGCGGAAAAAACGCACACGGAATACATATCTGCGATCCACATGATATATTCCTTCTCAAATACTGCTCTCTCCCTATTTTTAGGATCTTTTTACCATGACATTGAATAAATATATTTTGATGAAACATTCTCAAAAAATACTCGCAAAAACTCCATTCAAAAGCACATCCAGCTCTTTCATACTATAAAAAACAGGGATTCCATTTATATATGCGTCAAAATCTATCAGTTTTCTTACTTTTTTTCTCAAAAAACCTGTTCTCGTTTTTTTGGAGATCGACTATGTATATGAAATTTGACCCGTATAACGTCAAAAAAAAATTGTGTTTAATAATCAGCATATCAGGGGGCATAAAAAGCTAGGTAGAAAGGCCTTTATGGCACAGAAGATATACTATGAAGATAGATCTAACGTTTTTAAGGCTTATTTGGTTATTTTATTGAATATTTTAAGGAAAAAACATTGATAAACATAATTATTAATTTGAGATATAAAAGAGAGAAGAAAAAGCTATTAAGATAGGACTAAAGATAGTATTTATAGAGACCTAAAGGCGTTTTTTTGGAGTGCTTGATGCAATGTAATGTCAATTGAATCCATTGGAAAGGCTAATTATGGGCCACCACGGCGTCTTTTAAGTGATAATGAAATATTTCTATTAGAAAAGCTTGATATACTAGAAAACAGGCATAAAGAGAAGGAGAATATTGATACGGAGAAGAAAGAAGACTTTGAAGGTGCAGAAAGTTCGTATATTGAATCTAAAGACGAAACATTAGAAGAAAATGATGCACAACTTCGTAATACATTTTCTCGTGCAGAATTATTAGCAGGACAATTAACATGTGGAGGAGATGAATATGTAGATATAGAAGTTGATGTATTGGGAGAACAAAAGGTAGATCGTAACGGATATTTGAAAGGTGGACGTAAATATAATGGTAAAACTTTTCAAGTAATTGGCCATGGAAAACGATTATTTATGTTGGGAACAGAAGTAGCGAAGATTACCGGCCACAGAGATTCATATCTTCTCTTTTTAAAGAATAAAACACTTCGAAAAATTATGGCATCACAGGAAGAAAAAGATGATCTAATTATAAAGGAAATCATTCCATATTCTTATCGATCAAGACAAATTGCAATTGTGACTGCTCGAAGCGTATTTAGGCGTTTTGGTAGTCGTATAATTGTTTCAGGAAAGCGAGGAGAAGATGATTATTTCGAGCAATTGGCAAAAGATGCTGGTATACCTGTCGAAAAATATTTGGAAGATAGTGATCGACATAAATACACAACTTTACTGCCTCCATCAATCCCTGTGGCAAAAAACGATGATAAACATACTGAAACATTACCATATAAATCATCTTTTCTATTCAATTCTTTTTATAATATAAATAATACACCTCCTTCGATCTTCAATATTGTTCAACATGCAAAATCTGCTGTGGAATTTAATAAACAAATAACTATTCAAAGAAAAGAGAGAGAGTATTGTCTTCATAAGCATTTTTACAAGCGTTAATTTTTTAAAAACATTTCACTCATTAACTATTTCCATTCAGCATATTGTACATAATATTTACATAATATTTATATTAATTTTCAAGAAAACTTATATATAATTATAACTTTTTTAAAAATATATTTAAAGATCAATTTAACAGGTCTGTACAACTAATCATAAGTATTAAGATAATCAAGAAAATTGATGGTTTCTATCAGTAAGTGAAGATAAAAACTTCTTTATAGAAAAATAAGCCCTAACAGAACATAAACTAACATATTTTATAGAAAAAAAGAGCCGGCGGCAGCTAACACGGCTAAGACATGGTATTGAAAAGAAAGTTTCAGCATTTCGTAAAAAACAGAAAAAAGAGGCGAAAAAAAACCCAAAAAAACAGAGAAAAAGAGAAAAATATCTAGGAATCCCAAATAGTTTTCCATATAAGAACAAGATTCTTGCGGAAATTGAAGAAAAAAGCAAGTTTAATGGAGAAAAATCACAAAAAAAAGAGTGTATAGAAGAAATAACATTTTCTCAGATAAAAGCCCTTTCTGAACGCTCAGAAATTCTTAAAAACGACTTTTATGGAGTAGAAGATAATGATATTTGTGAAATTGATGAAGAAATTGCATCATGGTATGGATTTTCAGAAGATGAAAATGATAATCAAAGAATGGGGTGTATTAAGAAAGAAAATTCTCTCAGGGCTTTTAATAAAACATTTAGAGAAGTAATAGAAGCTTCTGATATTGTTTTATACATTTTGGATGCACGCGATCCTGAAGGAACCCGGTCACAACAAGCTGAAGAACTAGTTTTGCAAAATCATGAAAAAAAGCTTATTCTTATTCTTAATAAAATAGGCAATTATTTATTTATGATGAGAAATGTATATTTTTGTATTAATTTTATATTAGATCTTATACCATATGACAATCTTATGGAATGGTTAACTTATTTGCGTTCATCCTTTACATGTCTACCTTTTCGAGCAGCTTCATCATTTTTTCCTCATTCTTTAAACAATGCATCATTGAAATCGCAATCAATGGCTTTTGATCTTATTAAATTTTTAAAATCATATGCGCATAAGCAGGATTTAAAAAGACCTATTTTTGTAGGAGTTATTGGTTATCCCAATGTTGGGAAATCGTCTGTTGTTAATTCTCTTGTGTCTTGTTTAAATAGCGGAAAAGCGAAAAAACCATGCATTACTGGATCTGAAGCGGGTATCACTACATCTATTAAACAAGTTAAATTAGATGATAAAATTAAGCTTATTGATTCTCCTGGTATTGTATATCCTTTAAAAAACGCTGAACAAAAGAAAACATACAATACAAAGGCAAAAGATCAGGCAAGACTTATTCTTATCAACGCTATTCCTCCATCAAATATTACTGATCCCATCTATTGCGTTTCACAAATTCTTGGCAAACTTCATTCTAACTCTATATTATATGAAAAACTCGAAAAATTATATCAACTACCACCTATTGTTTCTATAAATAATGATATTACGACTGATTTTCTTATTCATGTTGCTAAAAAAAGAGGTCGTTTGAGAAAAGGTGGAATTCCTAATCTTGAGTCAGCAGCCAAAGCTGTTATTAATGACTGGTGCAATGGAAAAATACAATGGTGGACTGATGCTCCTATCAAGAAAAAAAGTAACATAATAACAAAGAATGGTTCTTCATCTATAATAGATGATCCAATTTTTGTTACGGAATGGGCAAAAGAGTTTGATTTAGACGCAATAGATACGCCAATGGAAATCAATAATGAGTAAACTGTAATAACATTTCTACATAAAAAGATATATTGACACATTATTTATACATAAAAAAATACATGATAAATACATAATTAACTGATCAATTTTAACGTCTACCTGAATGCTTCTTGTTAATTAACAAAAATACCAGCTCTCTGATACGTTTTTTTGCATTCTCAACTTTGGCTTGTGCTGCATCAATTCCATTTTTCCAAGTATAAATGATACATGATATAATTGTTACAAGGAAAAAAATACGAAGAAACGCTTTAAAACCTCGGAATGTTCGTCCTAAGACATATAAAGAAACATAAAGTGTCAAAAGCAACAATGATATTGACGTCAAGTTAGGATATACCTCAAATAACGACCGGAGCGGATACGAACTGGCTTCATGAATATATCCTAAAGAATGTTTTATATGAAAGAAAACTTTTTGGAATGAATTAAAGACAAGGTAAAAAATATCAGAAAAAGCCATTAAAAAAGATCTAACTAATATCTAGTATATTAAAACGATCTCGATTTTAACAATCATTTTTATATAAATGAAAAAATACAATACAAGAGATCGAATACAGTAGGATTCCTTTCAAGATCCTATCTTATTATTTTATAGTGTAAAGGGTTATATTTCAAGAAAAAGTGAATGTAAGATAGTTAGATAAAGGTCTTAAAATATAAAAAAAATAAAGCAAACATGTTTAACGCAAGATCATACACATTACATATTATATAAAACGGTCAAAAAAAATAAATATACGAAGGAAATAAAATAGCGAGATGAGTTAATAATAATCAAGGATGATCAAGAACGATCAGCAATATCTTTTAATAAATGACCATTTATGCTTCAATCTCATCTTCAAGTTCGACTTCATCATCGACACCAACCATTTCGTATTGTTGATATTCACTAACCTATATTTTTTAAAAAAAAATTAGAAAACCAATTAAATTGAATAATAAAATATTTTTCAAGACATACCAGATCATTCATGTTTGATTCCGCTTCAGTGAACTCCATTTCATCCATTCCTTCGCCCGTATACCAATGCAGAAATGCTTTACGTCGAAACATTGCTGAAAATTGATCACCCACTCGTTTGAAAAGCTCCTGAATCGATGTAGAATTACCAATAAAAGTAGATGACATCTTAAGTCCCCTCGGTGGAATCGAACATAATGCGGTTTGCACATTATTGGGAATCCATTCGACAAAATATGAAGAATTCTTCTGTTGAACACTATGCATTTGATCTTCCACTTCTTTCATCGATACTCGACCACGGAAAATTGCAGCAACCGTCAAATATCGTCCATGTCTTGGGTCTGAAGCAGCCATCATATTTTTTGCATCAAACATTTGCTGCGTTAATTCTGGCACTGTCAAAGAGCGGAAAGAATGTGACCCCTCTTTATTACATATCTATATTAACCGATTGTTAAAACAAATAAAACAAAACATACTGCTTGTTAATGGCGCAAATCCAACCATAAAAAAGTGCAATCGAGGAAATGGCACCATATTTACGGCCAATTTACGTAAATCTGAATTAAGTTGTCCGGGAAATCGAAGACATGTCGTAATACCACTCATCACAGCAGATACTAAATGATTTAAATCCCCATATCCCGGGTCCGGAAGCTTTAATGTTCGCATACAAATATCATACAAAGCTTCATTATCAATACAAAACGTTTCATCCGAATTTTCCACTAATTGCTATTCAACATCAATATCCTTCCCTTAATATCAAAAACAAAGACACACATGTACAGAAAGCGTCGCATTGTATGGTTCTACCACTGTATCCGAAACTTTTGGCGATGGAACAACTGAAAACGTTGCCATCATTCGGTCCGGATATTCTTCACGAATTTTAGAAATTAATAAAGTCCCCATACCTGCACCCGTTCCTCCACCAAGAGAATGCGTAATTTGAAACCCTTGTAAACAATCACAGGCTTCCGCTTCACGACGAACCACATCTAATACCGAATCCACCAATTCCGCTCCTTCCGTATAATGCCCTTTTGCCCAATTATTCCCAGCACCTGACTGACCAAAAACGAAATTATCTGGGCGAAAAAGATTCCCAAAAGGCCCTGATCGTACTGCATCCATTGTACCCGGCTCAAGATCAATTAATACTGATCGAGGAACATATTTCCCCCCAGATGCCTATACCATATAAGACACACAAACCATACATGTCTGAAAACCTCATTAAAATAAACATTCATGCGCTCAAGTTGCAGGTCAGATGTTCCTTGATAACTTAACCAAAAATCTTAGCAACAAGAAATAGGAAAACGCGATGAAATATTCCATCCACGTATAAAAACTTACACTCCTGTACTATCTAAACCATGTTCTCCACTAATTGTAGACCAAAAAGACGCGCCCTGAAAACCGTCAATAAAAGAAAAATCTCAATAAAAGATGGCTTATATGCGCGGATTAATGCGCATATAAGCCATTGACAATCAAATGAAACAACTTACAATCTGGTTCCCACATTGTCCTGTAAGAAATGAAAAAAATGATGAGAAAAGGGCTAAAAAAGATTGGAAAAAAACGCACCTGTTTGAAGATGGACCTGTTTAAAAGAAAAAAAAGTTAGAAATGTTAAAAAATACAAAAATAAGCTTCAAAACATACAATTTCTCTCATATTTTAAGCAAGACGTATATTTTGAAAAAAGTTTGTCTTGATTCATTCGAACATTGACACGACCTACCTTTTTTATCATATCACGTGATCAAACAAAAGTCAGTTGAAATGGAACGAGGGTTAGGGTAAATCTTAATACGGATGAATTTAAGGGTAGAGGGTTTAGGGGGTTGGGTGAAGGGTTAGGGTACAAGAGTTTTTATATTAAAAATAATGTATAATTTATGAATAAAAAGGGGTTATAAATTTACATATACAATGCATAGATTATATATATATGCACATGAGTCATTTTATGCATAATATATAGATAATATATTTTTAAAGTTAAAGAACGCTAAAATGTACGCCAATCCTAATAAAGAAAATTATATAGATATCCGATACTTAAATAATATTTATCCAGATTTAACAAACCAGATACAAAAATACATAAATTATGTATATATAAGATTATAATTATAATATCAAATTATAATTAATGCTAATTATATAAATAAAAATAGGCCATTGGAACTCTTAGAGTATATGATTAAAAATATCGAAATTAAGTTATTGCTTTATCGATTTTTTATCTCCTGATTATCTATTAATATCGAGAAAGCTTTTTGAAAAAAAAATAATTTTAAAAATGAATTACAATCCATAGGAAAAACCTATTTTTAAATCCTAAATAAAAACCTTAACTATTTGATGGATATATTATTGATATAATTTTTATAAAAATACTTATGCATTTATTTAAATATTTAATCGATCCAGTAAAATATAGATAATATTCGAAATTATAATTATTTTTTCATAAAAGATCCTATAGAATAGAAATTATTTTATAATATTTACTATGATTCTCTTTTAGAAGCTTCATCACACCATTCATGAACTTTTTTCATAAGTCGTTGAGCACGAATAATTCCATTTCGTACTTGCATCAAACATCTTATATATTCCATACTTCGATCTAATGCAGATTGAAGCAATTTACGTAAATCATTTATATCAGTTTGGGATAAACCCATTTGTTGACACCATAAAAGAGTATCATTCATAGTAGAAGAAAAATCCATAAACGAAGGCAATTGACATGGTATTGATTGAGAAACTTCAATTCCTAGAGGTAATGTCTTAGTCATTGTTTGATCTGTGGAAAACTGGGTCATTTCTTTAGTTTCTTGAAATTTTAAATGAGATGTCATATTAACAAATGTATCATCTCCAAGAAGAAAAGAAAGAAGTTTCGATAATAATATATTATATGTACGTTCTTCAGAAATAGTATCCAATAATTGTCTTGCTAAACTTTCTAAACAAGATTGTAAAGATTTTCGACAAGATCGACGTAAAAATTCCGCAGGATGAGAAATAGGTGCCAATAATTCTAATATTATTTTAATATTTATACATAACTTATAATTTCTCTTTGCTCATTATACCATCAATATCAATATCGTGATATGGATCATCCGAATGAGTAGACATTTCTGTATCCGTATCGATTGACCCATCTCGATGTTTTTTTCTTTGAATTACTGTACGCCCCTTTGATCCATAATATACCGTCTATATATATTAAACCCCATTCATTCCTTTATCATAAAATCCTTTTTTTTCTTTAATACCTTACGGTCTGTAAGAATACTGGAAGGAATTCCAAGTTTTCCACGATAAGCATAACGTGCTTTGCGCTTTAATTTACATCCTCTATTTCCGAGATAAATATTAACTGACGAACTTGAATCAGATGCTAAAAACTGTTTAAAAACCTAACATTTTCAAAATCTTTTTTTTTAAAAAATACCATTTTCTGGCCGTGCAAGTGCCTCTTTAAATCGACTAAAAATATGTCAAAATCAATCTTTAAAGTAACAGAAGCATACATCAATTCTTCCAGAGTCTCTTCATCTTTCATCTTAAAAACATTAAAAAAAACCTTGAAAACAAGTAAAGGATTTTATAAAAAGTCGAGAAACGAGATAAATGACAAGATACCTAAACCCTAGTCCTAACTATAATATAGGGTTATGTTAGAATACCTCTAAAGTCTATATCATCTTGTAAAGCCATTTGAACATCTTGAGGAGCTATTTTCAATTGAACATGTGCTTGTCTTTTACCTCCATTTGTATTAAAAAAAATAATTCCAGCTTCAGCTAAAGCGAAAGCAGAATTTATAAGATTAAGATCTATATCTATTGATAAACGATAAAACTCTTGAAGACAAAGTTTTTCAGTGGTTTTACACATTCGAAGACAGATATCTATAATTTCTCCAAGTTTATGAGTAGAAAGACCAGATCGTTTCATTTTTAACATCAAAGATATTAAAAATACTTTATATGCCAAAGGAATTGTTCGCAAATAAGTCTGAACAGGAGAAGCAGATAGTTCAGAAATTGCTCTTTGAATTGTCTTCATTGTTATTTTTCCATGATATATTTGATCTTGATTTATTAGGGAAGATTTTTCATTTGTAGTAACAGATATTTCTGCAATCTCAACAGCACGACTTGGATATTTAATAAGATAAGATAATAAATAAGAGGAAAAAGATACCGGCAAATATCCAAAGCTCTTCGAGCATCACCACTTATTGCGCTTACTTTCCGACTAGCTAATTCGATAGCATCCTGATCCATTAAATGACCTGGAATTCCCTGTAACCTTGTCCTTATAATGACTTGTAGTTGGTCAAATGTATATCCTGAGAAGCCAATACGTGTTAATCCTATAAATGGTTCATAACAATGAACAAAAAATATATTAAAGAATTTACCTAGTCTACTAGATATTTTATTAGTTAACATACGTTCAGGTAAATCCATTGTATTTGCAATTGAAATAACAATCAAGCGAGAATATTGTAAAGCAGGCCAATTGAAAAAATTATACATTAATTTTTGATCCTTTGTCACCAATTGATCCAGTTCATCAATCATTACAACACTAAAACAATTAAACAAAAATTTATTAGGATTCGTATATACCATGGGACTCTATTAGGACTTGGTTGAGAAAATCGCTTTTCCAAAAGCATCAACGCATGTCTTGAAGTAACTCTTTCTTCTGTCAAAGCTTCCCATAATAATGTATATGCATGATTTGGATCAATCATTCTCATACCATTAATTTCAACATATTTAAAATCATCTATTTCCTAATTTTGAGTTAATATTATCTATTACCAATATTTCTAAGCTAAAGCTTACGCCTTCATCGACTTTTTGAAATAGACATCGCACTACTTCTTTAATTGTTACCGTTTTACCTGTTCCTGGAGGACCACTTATATAAATACACTCACCATGTCCTGCTTCAAGTGCATTTAGTACTTGAGAATAGATTAAAGAAAATTCTCGCTCTCTACATGGTAATGACATAGGAACAGTTGACACATGAAGTCTTGATCTTGCACTTTGATAAGGAGAAAGCTGAGATTTGTCATAAAAAAGATATCTTAACGGTAAAGGCGTCATTTCCAGATGTTTTTTATAGCATCGTCGTTTACCTGATGTCATACGACGTCCTGATACAGGTGTTACTAGTTTCGGTGTACTTTTACCACGTTTATGTGGTGTTTTGTTTGAAAAAGTATTATTAATAGATTCGTCGTCTTCCGTATTTATAATATCTGAACTTTCATCTGATTCCACTGGCATATAAATGTCCTCAATGTCACTATTTTCAACATCATTTTCACTGACTGTTTCTTCTTTTACTAATTCATCCTAAAACCAAGATTAAAAAGAAATTTATCATATCAAAAAAATATACTGCTCCAGACTCATCCACTTCTATATGTTTTGAATGTTTTTGTACAGAACATGCCTGTATACAAGTAGTGTTTACCCATGCAATTAAAGCATCAAAATCAGTCTCTTGATGACGATAAAATTGATCCCAATCAATGAAGTCCAGGTAAATCTCTTTTCTTGAATGAAAACCACTTCTGCAATAAAATACTTTATCGTAATCATTCATATACCTTGTCAATCCTTTTGGATATCTTTTAATAAAAGCATCATATGAAATAACTTGAATTTTTCTTTGAAAAACAGAAAGTTCATTAGAATCCTTAGTTCCACAAATAAATAATTCACTCTATATATATAATCTCATTAAACAAAACCTCCAATAATAAAAATAATATGATTTCATACATGACATATAGGATGTCGTTGTTTTTCTCGTCGTATATGAGTACTTCGTTCAAACCACAATAAATCTGCCATTTTTTCACCTAATTTCGTTTCATAAAAACATGTGATCATTGCTGCCCATGATCCTTTGCCACTATTACTACGTACTAAGATACAATCCCCTATGTAAAATGTTTCCTTTTCACAACAAACTGCTTTATAAAAAAAAATTCCTTCACTTGATTCAATACCCTTTCCAATCCATTCAAAATCGTTCTCATAAGGTTTTATAATTGATTTCTTTAAAGGCATTATTAATTTCCTTAATTAATATTACTTTTATTTTAACTCTAAATTTTAAATATTTTTTAATTACAATAATCCAATCTTTAAACTATTTATTTATTTATCTAAATTATTTCTTAATTTAATTTATTAAACTCTTTTAGCCCTCTAATTAATTACCACTTTAAAATATTTAAATATTCTCATTTTATTTCTATAAAATGTTTGGCGACTTAGCAACTAAATTAATTCTTGATGCAAAACGAACACAGCATCTTAATCAACTCCCTCATTATCAAACCGACCTAATTCAGTCTATTTTTAAAGAAACAGATGCTTTGAATGAAGCATCTAAAGAACTGTTAACAATTCATGGTGGACCTGAATTTTCTCATTCTAAAAACCCAGGAATTGCCACTCACTTATTGATTCAACATCTTTGTCAACTTCGTAATAAACGATGTCTAATGGCTTATCATCACACACGTCTTAATCGTTTAAATCATATATCTTGGTTTGAAATAAATCCTTTCAATATACCATGGATTGCAACATCATTAAGTCCTGATGAACATTTATATTTAAGAAAATATATTACTTTATTAACTCATTTTAAAAGTCAATGGATGGGAATTGATTTTAATGGTGATCTAGAACCACCTAAAGATCTTTATATTAATATACGTGTGCTTCAAGATGTTGGAGAAATTCAAACAGAATATGGGTAAATATATAAATATTATTTGTTACTTATAATATATAATAGTGCGATTACATTAAATAAAAATAGTCAGTTTTTTCTACGACAATCAGATGTAGAAGGGTTAATTCAACAAGGATATTTACAAAAAGTTTAAAAATTTAATGTTTTTAAAAAACTATAGAACATTGGTTCTTTTCATTTTAAAATGATAATTATAATTATATATTAGTTATTTATTCTTAAATAAATTCTTTGAATTTATTAAAAAGCTACAGCACGTCGTATTCCCATATGGTCACCCACTATAGTACTGACGACGCCCTTCAGAGCTTGACTTCGCAGATCGGACGGGATACGGTATATTCTCTGAGGTATGGCCGTAACTACTTAAGTAATTTATAAATAACTTATAAAGATATAAAAAAGATAAAATAAGAATTTAAATAGGAAATAATATGTAATATTACTGATTATTTATTTAATATTAGATTTCTACTTGTTAGGGTTTTTCTTTTAGATCAATTTTATAGTGAGACTTTTCTAAAAAAAAATAATATAATATAATTTGGAGTTTTTTCCCATTAAATTATCCCAATATATATTCTATCAATGTGTGCTATTAAGTATCTATATATTATGTTTAAGAATTTTCATTATAAATTGATTGAGTCCAATCATATTTTTCCCAGGCATGAATAAATGCCTTTTCCCTTGGACCTTGTTCACCTGTCCATCGTCCACGTTTTCTCCATATAGTTGGATCCAGATCAAGCATCGTTGCAAATACTTGTCGTGAAAATTGATCACCTTTACCCCATTTGCTTAAATCTTCGACAATATGTCCTATACCTCCATCCAATTCAAACCAAACATGAAAGTAAGGAGCTTCTTTAGTCATACTACGTCTAAAGGCCATTTTTCCAAGTCCCTTTTTGGCTCTAGCTAAAGTATCAATAATTTTTTGATGTTGACTCCATTCTTCATCTGAAGAAAGAATGGCTTCTCTAAAGAATGCAGGAGCTTGAGCAGAAACATCTCGTGGAACTGGAACTGCTTCAATAGCAGTATGCATACGCCGATGAGGCGCAGAAGCATTTTCATAAAAAATCACATCTTGATCTCGTTCATCTGCCATTCTAATCAAACATTTCATAAAATTCTGCCCGAAACATAAGAACTTTCCTTATAAAATTAAAGAAATTCTTACTCTAATTTCATCCCATTCGTCATCATCACATTCAAGTGTATTAATTCTATGATGCAGAGGAACAATTAATGCATGATATTTTGCAAGTTCTGGAGGAGAAGGAAGAGATAGATAAACACGAGTTCCTATAGATATTATAGGTGCTATAGGTGGAGAAGAATCTTGATGACATAAAGGGCATGTATCAAGAATTTTTTGCGTTCTTTGAAAATCTATAAATAGAAAGATTAACATTCTTCAATTAAATTTCATACCTGAAATAGACATATTTCTAAAATCAATTTCTCTCCTCTGAATTCGTTTTGAAAGTTTTTCAGCATTTTCATCATAATAATCTAAATCATCCTAATATGTTTAATAACAATTTTATTACTGACTTTTATATACTTTAAAATCAGGATCTCGAATAATCTGTTCTGCCATTTGCCTATACTGCCGTTTATAGTTTTGATTTCTCGTCATTTTTTCTTCTTTTACCATATCTTCTATTGTCATATTATTTGGATCAACTATTGATGATTTTTTATTCATAATATTCATATTAGTTGAAATAGTATCTTTTCCCGCATTTTGTGTTTCAAATATAGAAACTGCAATCTCATATTGTTTTTGAAGCTCAGAAGAATTGCTATCACCACGCATTTGCATTTTTATAATCTCTGCTTGTAATTTATTAAGAGTAGAATGTGTAACAATAGTAGAATTGGATAAAGACAAACTAGATTTAGAATCTTGTTTATAATTTGATGCATTTAAATCTTGACGCTGTTTATAAAGTGATCCTGTGACCTTTTCTTTAGATGGTCCATATTTTTTTCGACGATCTAATTCTTCTCTTTCTTCACGTGCTTCATCAAAAGCTTCAAGACTCCCGTATCTTTCAAGTGCAACCGTATCTACACTTTTACCAGTTTCTGAAGCAATTTCATATATTTTTTGAAGTTTCATCATTCTCCATGAAGATCCTGCATCACCAATAGTATAAGAAGGTTTTACTATTTTCTAATTAAAAAATATAGAAAAAATATAAACAAGCTATTCTACATTCTTTAGGAATCTCCTGTGATATATTTTGTTGTTCCGGTTCATTAAATTCCCATTTAGACTATTATTTATAAGCTATTTTTTTTTCCTTAAAAAAAAGATACTTCTATATTTTTTACAGGTTTTTGGGTCAATTTAATATTCTTTTTAGAATTTCCTATTAAAAAACTAAAATCATCATCGTTTTTGGTGTCCTTTGGTAATAACATCCACTCATCTCTCTTATTTTCCTGTATTTCAGATTTTTTTAAATTCTCCTTCATTATCTAAGCCTTTTTTTCCAAAAAAAAAAGTATTACCCACTACAAAATATAAAAAAAATATAAAAAACATATATATCTTACCAGAAAATATTTGTTTTTTTGTCTTATTTTGCTCATTACTTTTATTCATTTTAAATAATCCAATTTTTATGCAAAAAAAAAATTGAAAAAAAAATCTGGGACAAATGATACAATTATATACTGAAAATGTCCTTTTTATCTTCTTTAATCTTCCTTTTTACCTCGTATTTTGTCCATCATAAATTTTATCATTTTTTTAACGTTGATCGGGCTCTTCAAACGTTCAGAAAAAACGAGGTTTGAAATGGATCTTGCAGATGAGTTATTGCATGAGGTTTTCGACCAGAGCGATGTAGATGACGTAGATGAGAAAATTCAGAAGCCTTTAGAAGGCGCTTTTTCTTTTTCGAATGGTGAAATGACGTTGAAAACTCATGAAGATAGGAATTCATCAGGTATCACCAAAAATTCTAGAAAAACAGAAAAGAATGGCACTGAAAAAACTCAATTAAGTAGTACAAAGAAGCTATTTAATGTACATACTTTGTTAAAGTCGGAATTTATGATTAATATTTTAAATGTGCGTTTTTTTTTGATCAAGAAAAGAAATTTACCAAGAGCTAGAAAATCGATGCTTATAGCAAGAACCAAACATTATCTTTTCAAGGAAATATTGAAGATCATCCTGAATATCAATTGATAGTAGACTCTAATAATCTTGCGGTTGAAATAGATAATGAAATTATTACAATCAACAAAGTATAAAAATTATTAGTTAAGTGTGGATGATGAACAATTTTAGTTCATTCGAGATAACTATTCACAAAGATTTCCTGAACTTGAATCTCTAGTTGTTAACCCATTAGATTATGCAAAAACAGTACGAATTATTGGTAATCAAATGGTTTTTTTTAATTCCATATAATAAAAAAGAATTAATAAAAAAACAGGATATTACGCAAGTAAATTTATCACATCTCCCGTCAGCAACAGTAATGGTGATTACTGTTACAAATTCTACATCTGAAGGAACTCTTTTGCAACAAAATAAACTCGATATGGTGTTTGAAGCATGTGATTTAACACTGGAACTAGAGAGTGCGAAAAAAAAGGTGAAAAAGAAATATAATAAAAAAATATTTCTGACAGAAAAAGATTCTTGAATATGTTCAATCTAGAATGAATTTGATTGCGCCAAATTTATTGGCTATAGTAGGATCTACCACTGCAGCAAAGCTTATAAGTGTAGCAGGTGGTTTAGCAGGTCTGGTTCGAATGCCAGGATGTAATATTTCGGCATTAGGTGCAAAACGTCAAAGTCAAACAGGATTTTCAAGTACTATTGGTATTCGACATCAGGGTTTTCTTTTTCATTCAGAAATTTTACAAAAAGTTCCTCCTGATTTAAGAAAACAGGCATTACGTATTATTAGTTCGAAAATTGCCTTAGCATCTCGAGTAGATCGATTACATCAAAGTCCAGATGGATCTATTGGCGCTTCTTTAAGAGAGTATATTGAAAAACGGTTGGACAAGTTATCACAGCCAAATCCATCTAAAACTGTAAAGGCTTTGCCTGCACCAAATGATGCAATAAAAAAGCGTCGTGGTGGACGACGTATGCGAGCAATGAAGGAGAGATATCAAATGACAGAACTCAGAAAACAGCAAAATAGATTAGCATTTGGCAAGCAAGAATTAGAAGTGAGTATTAATGATGAAATGGAAGGTATGGGTATGATTGGACAAGATGGGCAATATCGAATCAGAGCACCCATTATAGACAGTCGTTCTAAAGCAAAAGTGGGCAAGGCTATAAAACATTTTGCATCATTCAGTCATAATAGTGGAACAGCAACAAGTGGTTTAGCAAGTAGTGTTGTTTTTGGTAGTAATGTTGGCATGCAGCTAATCAATCCGGAATTATTATCAGCACCCAAAACAACTGAATCAAATGACTGGTTTAAGGGAGGAACGTTTACACAAGTTCATAAACCTTAAATTACTAAGTCAATTTCCGTCATAAATAAGTTCTTATTATAAAATACACAAAGAAAAATAAAATAAACGTTATATTTGATCTTTTTCCTTGACAAATCCTTCTCCTAAGAGGGGTCCAATGGGAGATCGGACAGGTATATACAGGTCTTTTTTTGTGGACGAAACACCGAAAATTTTCTGTCGAGCTTCTCTATATCGCTGTTCTTTTTCTCGCTGACCTTGTTCCGATTCAGTAGATATGGGTTTCTGGGGCAATACAGTAGAAGCAGATGAATTATATAAATGATCAACAGAACGCCTAAGGATCTTAAGAGATGGTTTATATACTGTTCGCGGTGAATTTAAGATTTCTACATCTGGAACTTGTTGATTACTATATTTCCTCAGAAAAAAATAATAAACATATAAAAACAAGATATATTTACGCTTCTTTCCAGAGGCGCACATTATCTTCATGGGTTGTTTTTTTGTTACAAGATAAATCTGCTTTATCATTGGGAAATCCCTTAGAAATTAGCAAAAAAAAGCGGGAAAAGAGGACATACCACTATTCGGTTTTCGTTTTCCCATTCATCCCATAAATCTGGCACTTTTTCTTGGTATTTTTGGTCATTCATGGCAGTTCATGATTTTTAAGTTTAATAACCGACAAAATGGTTGCTATGGAACCAAGTGCCCGCCTAAGCACCTCATTTTTAAGATAAGGAAGAAATGAAGAGATTGGAAGGGGATTTTCCCCGTTTTACATCTAAAAGAAGTAAGGAATGGGAAGAAGCAGAACGTAGGGTTCAGGCTGCAAAAAATCCGGTTGAAAACGAGCCACAACCGGACCATCGGTCGCTTTATGAAAAATTGCAAGCAAATAGGATTATAAAGGAGGAAGAGTATCAGGAATCATGGAAATTATGTGAGTAATAGAAGGATATTATAGAGAAAATGGTTAATGTTTTTTAGCAAACTTGATCCGGACGTTAGATGATGAGGAAATTGATTTTTTAGATAGACTAAGAAGAGAAAAAATACAAGTAGAAAAAGAGGCAAAAAAGCTTGTTGAAGAGGGTTTGAAAGTTTTTAGAAGGAATGTTTTGAAGATGGGGTTTTTTATATATAATAATATGAAATAGAGAAAGAGAACAATTCGATCAATCGATTCAACAATCTATATATCGTTCATGGTCAGCAACGGAAATTTCTAAATCTCCAGAAATTAATGAGAGACCATTAAAAAAGATGAAGGAAATGACGTTGAAAGGTGTTATTCTTAAGAAAAATAAGAATAGCCTTTCGAAACAAAACGATTCAGAATCGAAAGATCAATATAATATAAAAAGTGCAGAAAATACGGGTGAATCTAATAATATTTTATCAAATATGTCACCTAAAAAAAATAAAAAAGCGGGCGAATTTCCAGAATCAGTCATTACAACCTCCTCTATTGAAACAACAGATCAAAAATTGATCGTTTATACAAGTGGAAGTGATGAAAGAGAAGAGTAGTATCTTTATAAAAGTTTCAGATATGTAGGATATTTTATTTAAATATTTTGATATATTCTTTCTAAACATATTTTATAGATTTTGAATTCTTCAAAAAATATTTAATATCATATAAATTTCAATTTTATATAAGAAGAAAAGTCGAAGAAAATATATCAAGTTAATATTTTTTTTATTCAAAAAGAAAAAACTTTCTAATTAATATATTAATTATTTCGACATGCTAGGAATATATTTTATTTAAAAAGTTTATTTTTAGAAAGGCACTAAGGTATTGTTATTTCTATTTTTAACGTCAAGATAATATAAAAGAACATAAGAATTAATCTTTAAAAGTAAATAGGTTTAATAATTTTTTATAAAACAATTCAAAAAAGAAAAAAATAAAATGATTCAATTTAAAAATCATATAGGATCTCTAATACTTGGACAATTTATATTAATAACGAAATACTATTTTCTAAAATAAACTGAAAAAAAATAAAACTTGCTTTATTTCTTTTTTTTTCAAAAAAAAAAAAAGAAAATATAAATTCTTATATTCAACATTAATAGGTTCATCTGTCAAATAATACTTAAATGATATGCGAATATGAACTTTATCTTTACAATTTTTTGACTTACGAAATTTCGTTTATCTAGATTTTTTTAACGTCAAAAAAAAAGATTAAAAATATTTTATTAAGATTTTTGGATCCAGAGGACTTAAAACATAATGAAAAGAAATAGATATGTTTTCTATAGGTATCTTAGATGTTATAATTCTTTTGAAGAGATTTTATATCTTAATCCTATGAATATATGGCCTTTTTTTATACTTAAAAATCCATATATTTCATCTATACAAGTGCATTCTTTCCATAGATCTATACCAAGTCTTCAGGATGATAAAGGGGGTTATAAGAATCCTTTTCATGTCTTTATAGATACAGTTAAATCAGAACTTGAAAAATCAAAAGAGTTTCAAGAATCTGTTAAAGCACTTCAAGATAAGTCAGGAAGATTAGGTGAATCTGAGGCATATAAGAAGGCAGTTGAAGCGTATAATGTGGCTAAAAAAAGTGCGGATGTAGCAGGAAATATTTCTAATCAAACTTTGAAAAAAGCTGGTCAAATAATTGGAGATAGTGTAGTTGCAGCATGGGAAAGCGCACCTATTAAATTAGCAAGAAAGGGGACTTCTATGACAGCAAATGCAATTTCAGCTGCAACGGATCCTATCAGGAAAAATAAAATTTATAAATCGGTTACTGAGTCTGTTAAACAAGCGATTCATGACGGAGATAGTTCTCATTATGCAGGGTATATAGATAAAAAGACACGAAGACAAGTAAGAAAATCAAAAAATAAAGAAAATATTGGATCAGACCAAAAAATGTTTAAGGAAAATCCAAAGTATTTTTTTTCTCTTAATCTTTTCATATTGACCAAGCCATAGTACGGATCTTAAAATAATTATATACAAGGACTCTGCTTGGAAAGAATCATGGAGAAGATTTAGAAATAATGCATGGATATTTAATTATTTTGATAATTGGCAACGACTATTTTATCGTTCAGAAAATCCGGTGATTGAAATGACAAAAGCTATATTGACAAGTATAAAAAACGTTTGGTATAAACTTTTTTCGGAAAACGAAGCGGCAAAAGTGGCTCGACTTCTTAAAAATATAGATCCAAGTTTTCGGATAGAATCCTTTTTACAAGAATTAAGAGAATATATACTCCCTGAACTGGTAGAAGCATATGTTAAAGGAGATTTTCAAACACTAAAGTTATGGCTAAGCGAAGCAGTAAGAATATATTGTATCTGATTGTTTTTTATTTTTAAATATATATAGTCTTATCAAATATGGCTTATTACAGCAAAAGAATATATTTCACAGGGATTAATTTCTGATGGGAAAGTATTAGATATTCGTGGAGTTGACGTTGTTTCATATCGCGTTCTTTCACCTAATGACATACCATGTCTTGTCATTTCTTTTCGAGCACAAGAAATTCATCTTTATAAAAACGCAAAAACTAAAGAACTGGTTGCTGGAAATGAGGATTTTATTCAAGAAGTCACCTATACTACTGCTTTTACTAAGTTTCCAGATGAAGTTTTAAATAATGAAACTAGAGGATGGAAAATCATTGATTTCATTCGGTAAATCATTTCTATTGTTTTTATTTATTTATTTTTTCTTTAGAACAAAAACGAGAGATATACTATGATATATGATTCGGATTTCATTATACATTTAAAACATATATAGATTAACTTTTCTGCATTCTAATAAATATCATGATGTTCGAAAACTTGTATCAAAAATCATTTGCATTTTTTAAATTAAATCCTACCTATTCTATGTATGGTTTTAGAAAAGCCAATATCTTTTGTACACTCAAATGTATGAATTATGTATTATAAAGATTTTAAAAAATATAATTTTTATTATTTTTTCCTCAGATTTTTATTTGTCACAAATTTTCTCTTTTTAAATAAATCAGATGTATCCTCCTCAGTTGTTTTTTCATCTATTTCTAATGGAAGGGTTTTCTCTTTAATCTTGAATGATCTTAAATCCTCATAATCTTCTCTTAATCGAACTGAAGTTGATATGGTTAATAAAGAATCAGACGGTAATATATTTTCCGTCTCATTTAAATCTTTCTTCTTTTCTTCAGGAGGAACAATCTCCCATGAACCCACTATTCCAATAGTTTCTTTGATATCTATTGGTAATATTGTTGTTGATTTATATGATGTAGATTTTGCCTTTTTAGCTTGAATTTTTGTTATTTTTTTCGGAGAAGCTACATCAATAGAACGTGTCCCAAGTCCTGTTACTCCTGATATTCTATCTAGTTCCTTTTGGACCGCCTTTTTTTCCTTTTCTTCCTTTTCTTTTTTTTTGTCCAAATCTCGTAAAAAACGTTTTAAAGAGCCCTGATGACGGTCTGAAGCCTCATGCTTCTTCTTCGTAAACGAGTCATTACGTACAAACTATTCTTTATAAGTCCCTTCTTATTATTTCCAACAAATTGTTTGGAAATACCGTTTTACAATATTTACACCAATAACTATGCAAATTTAGCCAGAAAAAAAGGATTATCTCTTAATAAAAACAAAACCTACTTTCCTACAGATTTCCAGACATCTGTCATGTTTTAAATTTTTCAATTTAAGACTATTTAGAAATGTGAGGCTAAAATATAAATATGTAACCCTAAAAAAATATTGATAATTACCATTTTTCATAAAAAAACATCTTTTATCATTAAAAAAGCTATAACCCTCTTCAGAAATGCAGAAAGATACATATAAGCCTTCTATATTAGCAGATCAACCTATTGGAACTGCACAGTTTGCTGCACGTTCAGTTCAGATGTCATATCTTTGTGCAGGTAATATAATTAATAATCCAAATGTCAAGAAAAAAATAAAATGCCTTTAACATTATGGTTAAAGCATTTTAAACTAATTTATTTCAAGATTGTGGAGCAATCAATCAAATCCAAGCAAGAGAAGTAATTCGATGTCGTGAGTGTGGTCACCGTGTGATGTATAAGCAAAGGTTTGATAGATAATTGAACCTAATAATTTGGCTTAGTGAAATTTAGAACAAAAAGAATGATCCAGTTTGAAGCTAGGTAGTGATTATTGTATTTTTTTTCTTCAAAAATAAAATGTATATATTTGATGATGTTAATAAAAACTAAATTAATACCTTTAAAAAGTTGATGATTGAGATGAAAACCGATTCGTAAATAATTTTGAAAATAAGATTCCATATTGATTATTTGTCATGAAATTTATCAAAGTCCAAATTAGAAATTCTATAAATGTCAAAAATGTATCATTCAATATGTTTATAGTTGTTGTTTTTTAGAAGTATCAAAGTTAATACTTCGGAAGAATATTCAAGAGTTTGAATAAGTTCGTTTGATTTAAACATTAATGAATAAATCAATTGTGTATGTAATACTGAACGATCTGGTATTTCTTTGATATACAAAAGTTCCTTAGTATTCACGAATTTTCCCTCAAAAAAGCCACATAAAAGTAAAAACTGTCCATTACTTGTATCAATTAAATATATAACACGTTTTAAAAAAGATGGCTCTATACAAGAGGAGAATGTAATAATTGCTATAGGACCAACAACCATTTCCTTTAAAGCCTTCAAATCTTCTATTTTCGATTGTAATGAAGCATCTTTGTTTAACGATTTACTTTCTAAATCTTTAAATGCTGCTTGTAAAGCACGTATAAATAATCGAATTCGTAAAACCTTAATATTAGCACCTAAACCATACAATTTTCTTCTTATATATTTCCATGCTTCTGCGCTAACATTGTTTTGTTGTATAAGAAGGAATGTTGGATGTAACTTAATAAGTTCGAGATATATAGTTTGTATAAAAGCCTTTTTTTCCTTTGGTGTAATTTTTTTAGAACAGAAACCTTTAAAGTTGAGAATAGGATGAAAATTCATTATTAAATTTGCTGTATTTAAAATATATTGATTTTTTTTGATAGAATTGATTTGTGGATAAATCATATATTTTTTCCTAACAAAAATAGATAAAAAAACCAATCTTTCACAAGATAATTTTCCCATTACACTTAAATCAATTGACAATTAGAAAAAAGGATTAATCAAGGTCTCTATCTTATGATATCTAATATAAATAAAGTTTAACACTAAATAAACCAAAGTTAATAGTTTTTTTTCAAAAAGAAACAAGACCTTCAAAAGAATCTATAAAAACATGTTAGAATAACGAAAAATATATAAATATCTTTCTTTTTACTATTTTTTAAGTGTTTTTTAATATGGCTTTCTTTATCTTTGCCTATCAATTATCATAAAATTATAATTGTTTAAAAAAATTAAAAGTAAAAAATCAATAAAAACAAAAAAATAATGAAAATGTGTGTGTCTATTGGTTGAATTTCATAATTAGTGATATCTGTTTTAATAAATTATGAAATTTCTATTTTTTATGAATAAGTTGAAAAAAATGTTTATATATTATAGAATTAAAAGTATTTATTAAGTAATATGGATTAAAAAAATAGGAAATAGTGATTTTATCATTCTTTTTTTAAAAAATGATTATCTCTTGTTAAATTTCTAGATGATAGATAAATAAAAAATGATTTTTTCCTTACCATTGTTAATTTATAAAGAACTTTTATTAAAAAAATGTGATTGTTTACTAAATTATTTATAATTTAATAAATAATCATATTTTTTTAATAAAAGTTCTTGATATTGACAAACAGTTTAAAAAATTGATAAAAAACATATCAATTATAATTGTTATATATATAATTTAAATGTAAAACTTCTTTTTTATTTAATTTCATAATCACTAAAATATTTAAATATTTTTAAATATATACATGTAATTAAGTTAAACTAACCCAACAAATATAAATCTATTTAATTCCTAAAAATCCTATTTCATACACAAATAGTAAATAAAAAAATATTTAAAATTCAGAATATATTTAAATTCCATATAAGAATATCTGTTATTTAAAATCAAAAAATACTTATTATTTTTTAAAAATAAAAAATAATAAAAAAATTATTATACATTTATAAAGGTTTTTTTCAAAAAAAACTCCAAAAAAAAAATATAAAAATTTCAATCATCAACCCGCCATTTCATCAATAAAATAACATCCATTAAATACTTATATTTTATGGAAAATATATTGCCTTTTTTTTCTTAAATATCATATATTTTTCGTAGTGAAATTTCATAACGTACATAACCTGTGAAATTTTTTAATAGAAATTATTTTGTATAAAAGAACATAATATTAAGAGTTTTTAAATCATTTATTAATAATTATTTGGATTAGATAACTTAAAAAGTATAATTTTTTGAAAATATAATGATACGAAATTTTGGAGTCAAGAATTTTTTTATTCAATATATATATAGAAATAGAGGGTTTCATTTAGGAAATCTTCAAAAAGTACATACTCAATCTTTTAAATATGTTTTTATGAATATTCGGGGTTATTCAGATATACCCAAAAGAAAATTTAATCAAACATCTTTAAATCTTTTTAAGAGGCAAAAATTACCAAAAAATACTATTATCAAGTACTCATATGATGATATATGAAACTTTTTTTAATTTTTTATCATTAGATTTGTGCCTCAACAAGAAGCTTGGATTATAGAGAGAATGGGTAAATTTTATCGAATTCTTGACCCGGGATTAGCTATTTTAGTACCATTTCTAGATAAAATCAAGTATGTTAAATCCCTGAAAGGTTTTCTTTTTTTTTTTCAATAAATAAAATGTTTAATTTAAGTAGAAATTGCCATGGAAATTCCATCACAGTCAGCTATCACATTAGATAATGTAACACTAGAATTAGATGGAGTTCTATATGTCAAAATTCTAGATCCGTACAAAGCATGGTATTGAATATTTTAATTTTCTTCTTAAAATTAATTATTTGTAAAGTTATGGAGTAGAAGATGCAGAATATGCAGTCGCTCAACTAGCACAAACGACAATGAGATCGGAAATAGGTCAATTAGCTCTTGATCATGTTTTAAAAGAACGTCAGATGCTAAATATTAATATTACAGAAGCAATTAATGAGGCAGCAGAAGATTGGGGTATCAAATGTTTAAGATATGAAATTAGAGATATTCATCCTCCCCAAAATGTATTATTAGCAATGCACAGGCAAGGTTGTATTTTTTTGCCATTATAAAAAATATTCAAAAAGCCTATAGTCTCAGCTGAACGTTCTAAAAGGGCAGAAATATTAGAATCAGAAGGTCAAAGACAGTCCTGCATTAATATTGCTGAAGGACAAAAACAAAGTCAGATACTTAATAGTGAAGCTATTAAACAGGAAAGTATTAATAAAGCAACTGGTAATTTACAAAAATATTTTTTAACAATTTAATATTATTTATAGGTGAAGCAGAAGCAATTCTTTTAAAGGCTGAGGCAACAGCAAAAGGCATTTCAGCGATTGCATCTGTTCTCTCGGAAAATCCAATGGGAACAGATGCAATTAATTTAAGAATTGCCGAAAAATATTTAACTGCTTTCGGAAACATAGCTAAAGAAAGTACAAGTATCGTTGTTCCTGCAAATCTCAAGTAATAATTCTTAATAATCATATATCTTTAAATATTTAAATATCGTTAGTGATATTAATGGAATGGTCGCTCAGGCATTAACAATTATTAATAAATTGAATCAAAACATACCACAAAAAAAAGAAATAAAATCTCCTATATCTAAAACAACTCATTCTTTAAAATCACCTACATCATCTAATGAACTTAAAGAAAAAGCTTCATAATTTTATCAAATCGATAATACAATATGATCTATTATTTCATATATTTCAAAAAAAAAACAAAAAATATCAGACAAAATACAATCTCTTTTATTAATAAATCGACTGCACTTATTTTCAAAAACGTTTTACAAAAAATATCTTTTTATTTTTCAAAAAAAAAAAACATATTCACAAATCATCTTCTATAAAATATTTTTTCTATTTCATAGAATCAAATCATTGATCATCTTAGAAGAAATAAGGGTCAAATAAAGACTTAAGAATTTTTAAAGAAATCAAAGATTCTCCACTTTTCTCGAATAATTTTTTTCACCAAAAAATATTAATAAAATATTAAAAATTAAAGATAAAGACTATGTCAGCACCTCCTTGGCAGCCGAAACCAATAAAGGCGTCGGATTCAACGGGTTCTAAATGGGAGGCTTATAAAGCACCTGATGGACGTATTTATTGGAGTGATGGAACAACGTCAGTATGGGAAAAACCAGATGAACTTAAAACAGAAGAAGAAGTATGTTTTTTTGAGAGAAAATTAGGTAAATAGGTGATTTAATGAATGGTTAGATAGCTATTGGTCAGCTGAATTGGAGAGAATATACAGCACCAGGAGGCCGGAAATATTGGTATAATAAAAAATCAGGTAAATGAGAAAAAAAAGGAATTCTATGAATAATATTGGATTTTTTACAGGAGAATCTGTTTGGGATATGCCAGAGGAGTGTAAGAAAGTTATAGAGTCTTTAAATGCAAAAAAAGAGTAGAAAAAAAATATTTGAAGAGAAAAAGAATAATGATAATTAGAATGAAATTAGATGAAGAAAAAAAGAAAGGAGACGAAAAGCAATTAACATTAAGAGAAGAAATGTTGGTTGCTGGACCGGATGGGAAAGCTCAGTCAATTGCTTTAGGAACTACATGGACAGAGGAAAATTTTCAATGTGGAACTTTCGAAGAAGCAGAAATGGTATTTATAAAAATGTTAAGAAGAAATGGGGTTACATCTGATTGGACGTGGGAACAAACAATGCGAGCAGTAATTAAACAACCGCAATATCGTGCAATTAAAGATCCTATTCAAAGAAAATTAACATTTGAAAAATATATAAGTGAAATGAGAAAACAGGAATCAGAAAAAGAACAAGATCGATTAGCAAAATTAAAGACAGATTTTAATCGTATGTTAAGGATGCATCCTGAAATTAAATATTATACAAGATGGAAGTAAGTGAAACAAAAAGAAAAAAGGAACATAAAAAGCTCATTGAAAATTAGAGTTGCACGGGAAATCTTGGATGGAGAAACAGCATTTAGAGCTACAGAAAATGAGGCAGAAAAAAAGCATCTTTTTGACGAATATGTCGCGGAATTAAAAAGAATTGAAAATGAGAATGAACAGAAAGCAAAACGAGAAGCAATGGATGCATTCTTGGTATTACTTGAATCTTTAAAATTAAAGCCATATTCTCGCTGGTCAAATGCACAAGCAAAATTTTTAGAACATCCAGAATTTAAAACAAATCCAAAATTCAAAATATTAAGTAATTTAGATATTTTAGTTGTTTATGAAAGCCATATTAAGGAACTTGAACGGGAATTTATCAATAAACGACAAGAAAATAAGGCGAAAAAACAGCGAGCAGAAAGAAAAAATCGTGAAGCATTTATAGTAAATACTTTTTTTTTTAGATGAAAATAAACTTATCTTTTTTTATTAGAAATTATTACAAAACTTGTGTCATGATAAAAAAATAGGCCCTGGTACAAAATGGATGACAATTTATCCAATGATTAAAAACGATATAAGATATAAAAATATGTTAGGACAATCGGGTTCTACACCTTTAGATCTTTTTTGGGACATTGTAGAAGATGCAGAACGAGATATGAGACATAAAAAGAATTTAGCACTTGGTATTATGGAAGTAAGTATAAATATTTTTACATAATTCTATTTAATTTTTTTAAGGAACAAAAAATTGATTTTGATGAAAAAATATCTTTATCTCAATTTTCAGAAATAATAAGCAGAGATAAAAGAGGTGCGGAATTATCAGATAGTACACTTTCATTTGTCTATAATATGGTAAAAATCTCATTAACAATAATTTTGCTAAAAAAAATATAGCTGCGTGAAAGAGTATTTCGAAAACTTGAAGATGAAAAACGAAATGACGAGAGACGACGAAAACGCAGAATTAGTGCTTTAAGATATGTTATAAAGCATCTTAGGCCTCCTATACAATTAGATGACACATGGTCTAATGTAAAAAAAAGAATTGAACATACAGAAGAATTTTTAGCAATAGATTCTGAAGAAGACCGTGAATTAGCATTTAAAAAACAATTACGTCGATTAAAAGAAAAAGATGTTTCTTTAAAAAGTTATCATAAAAGCAATCGAAGTTCTAAACATTTTAGGTATAGTTCAAAAAATAGAGATACAGATTCTAGAGAATTTAATGATAATTTATATTATACAAAAGATTATCATGGATATAGAAATAATGGATATAGAAATCATGATAGTGAAAACGAGAATGATTCAAGATATAGAAAGGTAAAACTATTTTTTATATAATTATATCATTTATTAAAAAAAAAAGCGTATTAAAAGCGATAAAGATTATTATTCTAACGAATATAATTATGATAAAGATGATAAAAATACTATTGAATCAAGTGAAGAAGGGGAAATTCATTAAGAATTCTTTTTAAAAAATATATTTTATTATAAAATAATAAAATGGATCTTACATATTCATACATGTAATCGTATAAAAATGATTTAAGATTTTTAATTTTGTTCAATTGTTTCACGAGCCTAAAAAAATAAGAAAAAAAAAAAAATAAGAAATCATACAGAAACATAAATCCCATCCAAGAATTTCCGAATACTGTATCAAAATTAGATAATACAATATATTTTTAGAAATTTACTCTTTATTCCGAACATTACAAATTTGTTGAATAGAAGCTGCCGATTGTGAAACATTTTCAAGACAAATACCCTCAAGAATAATTTCATCCTTTTGACTCTTAGAAAGCTCCACTTTAACCCCTTCCAACATATTTACTCGGCGTACTACCTTTTCACCAAGAAAATTTCGAATTTCTATCAATTTTCCTTCTTCTCCAATACTTACATTAATTGGAAAGTGAGCATATACAAATCTCATCTAAATCTCTATTAATTTTTTTCTCTTATTTTTCATATATATATATATATATATATATATCGTTTAATCCTTACTTTATATCGATACCCTTGTGTAACACCAATAATCATATTATTAATAAGACTTCGTATTGTACGAAGACATGCAACATGTTTCTTCCCTCCATGCCATATAATAAGTCGTATACGATTTGCTTGTATTTTTCGAATATCAATATTAATATGTTGAAAGTTTTGTTTTAAGAATCCACGTGGACCCGTTACCCTGACAACCCGTGCCTTAATATCAACCTTGACATTGTCTGGAATAACTAATTCTTGTTGTTTACATATTTCCTTCATAACTTAATAAAAAAAAATCTACAAATTATTTAAGGAGGCGAATTTAAGTTGAAATAAATCGACTTTATATAGTAATTTCTTATATAAATTAAAGTTTTAAATATTTTAATATTTTTTCTCAGATCGAAAATTTTTAGAATTTTGTACCTGAAAAAAATCTAAGGGTTAGGTTTTGGATCTTAATTGATAAATGTTTTTACATAAAATTTGCCAATTTTCAATAAAAAATACCAAATATAAGTATATTCGAAGGCATTTAGATAAGACATCAATATACTATTTTTTAAAAGATGATTTTCCTGGGTTTTCTAGGGTTCGTTATGCTTCAGGAACGCCTAAATATTATGAACCTACATCAGTCTTGTTTGGGGAGGTAAATTGGGTTTTTAATTAATAATAATAATTGAAAATTAACGAATATGAACAAAGGAAACAGAAAATCAGGATTGGCGTACAATTTGGAAATACGGAATGGGTGGATTTATGTTGATAGCAACTATTCTTTATATATATAAACCAAAGACAGGGTAAAAATATATATAAAAATGTAGTATTTTGAATTTAGAATGATAGGATAAGAATATGGGCTTTAGAGGAAGCAAAAAAAAGGATATATTCAGAAAAAAAAGAATGATGATATAGATATATATAATAAGAAATTTTAATGTAACTTTAACTTTAAATATTAATATCTAATGACATGTTTTATTATTTTTAGCAAAACTAATACATTAAGACAAGAATTCAAAAAAAAACAGAAGGGAAGTCGTAACTAGATAACTTTTATATCCATATTGAGATTTCAAATAATTAGTTTTTATGAGGAATTTAAATTCAATTTAAATATGATATTTTTTTAATATTTTTTAACTTTTTAATAATTATTTTCTAAAAAATACAATAAATCCAGCACCAAAAAAAATTAAATCCATTAAACAAAGCTGATATCAATTCTTTTTTAATCTTTTTTATAATAGTCATCTAGATTAATTTTTATAATATATATTTTGATTTTAAATTACTAATGCACTTAATTTATTCATTTCAGGCTGTTGGACTTTATATATAATTTATTTAATTATAACCATTATCTGAAAATTTAGAGTAAAAAAAACATTAATGCTACAATTATTATTTATTTTAATATCACTTGTACTATCTAACCAAACTCTGTAACTTGAAATATACAAGTTGTTGGCTTTAAATCTTTTGAAATAGTAAACTCTGGTTTAATAACTAATCATGAGCAGTGCAGAAAATAACAAATATACTTTAAGGTTTTATTTCTATTGCAATTGATGACTATATATAAGGAATGTTTCATTTTGAAACTTATAAAGCATTTAAATTAGTTTATATTCACAACAAAACCAAGAAAAATACAAATAATTAAACAGAGAAATTTTTATTTCTATATAAACAGATTTTTTTATGTTTATTTTTTTAAAAGATCAATTGTTTATACTTTAATTTCTTTAAAGCGTTTTGGAAAAATAGTAAAAACATATATATAAGAATTCAATGTTTATTTTTTCTAAGGAGCAATACGCAATGTTTTTAAATACTCATATATTTTATGAATTAGATAAATTTGAATATTATTAAAACTTTAAAAATCATTTATAAACATTTTACTAAAAACAAATTTATCTAATTCATAAAATATTATTTATCAGACTATTCTATTCTTTTAATTATTGTTGAAGAAACTCTCAAAGTGCTTGTCATTTTATTTTTAAAGTCATTTTATATATAAAACTATTTTTTTAACAAAAAAATAAGACAAACTTTATAAAAATCTTTAATTACAGAAATATAAATATTATAACTTAAAATATTTTTATTATATATGATTAATATATTTAATAAATGAATCGAGTTTCTTAATTTTATTAATTCATTTATATACTTTTTAATATATTGAACAAAATTTTTTATGAAAGATAACACCAAATTAAATATTTTTGTTAATTTAACATAAATAAACATTATTATATATAATTTAAAAACCATTAATATTTTACAAAAATTTAGATACAATTTTGCAGTAATTGTATTAATAAAAGTATCATTTTAAAACAATAAATAAACTAATCAACCATATACAAAGAAAATTTTTAAAAGATATCATTTATTTAGATAGAAAAATAAGATGTTAAAAAAAAATATAACATAAATTTGTCAAATAGATATAATTTTCTAAAATATAAATTACGAAAGCAAAAATCTTATTAATAAATACCTTGATCAATGAAGAATTTTTAGGCTCAATCTAAAAATAAATTAAAAATAATAAATAAAGAAAAACATACAAATAATGCAGTTGCATCCGCAATAATTACAGGCTTATTTCCTTTATTCGAAAATAATGAATAAGAACTTAATGTTTCAATATGTCCTTCAATCCAAACCTTTCTTCCTTCCATTTTTGTAACTTTTGCTTTAAGAACATAATAATTATTCGCCTTTGCCTATATTTATTTTATTAATTCAAGAATATATATATATAAAACAAACAGGAGCCCTATAATTAATATTAAGATTAGCAGTAAATCTTGGTTTATTAGGAAACATCAAATAAGACTATAAATATTAAAAAAATAGAATTTTTTTCTTAAAAAAATAACTTACACATCTTGCAAATCCTTCATCTATTAATCTAAAGATAAATAAATAAAATAAAACAATATATATATATATATTTACGTTGCAAGAAGCCCTCCATGAATAATGTTTTCTAAAAATATTAACTTTTTTCAAAATATCATTTAATTAAATTAACCATAACCACATATTTGAGTTCCTAAATGAAAAATAATTGTAATCTCCTTTTCCTTTTCATCATAAAAACAATATGGAGCAACTGATATTCTCCCTTTACCAAAAAGTAGACCTGCTGTAAAATTAAATGACTTGAATTTTAAAGAAAGATCCAAATAAGGTCTTGTTTCAGAAATATATGGTTTTGATCGTAATAACTGTGTCAAAGAATGTGATTCAATATAATTTTCAATTTCTTTTTTAACTTATAAATCTTTAAATTTTTCATCCAGTAATAACAATTTACCATAATCTATATTTGTTTCTATAATTCTCTCATTACTTAGATAAAAATTTTTGCGCAATAAATCATTTAGTTTATATCCAAAAAATATTGAAAACGAAGAAATTGAGAGAATTCCGAGCATTTTTATGTATTTTTTATTTTGTCTTAAAATTACTGAAATACTTCTTACTCCTGGATAACTTTTGGGAGTCAATAAAAACGGAGTTTTTATTTTATAAAACAAATGAATCCTATGATGAATAAATTTATTGATGTTCATTATTATAATATTTCAAAAACGATATAATTATATATTTCTTTTATATTTTAAAATATTAAAAACAAACTATTTTTCAAAATTTTGATCGAAGGTATTCGTTGTCTTATCAGATTGTGCGAATGAATATAATTCAACACCCCTATCACGTAATGAATCATTAAAGACCGCAGTTTGTGGTAAACCACTAGATATACAACCTCCAATAGAACCTGCCATTATTGCAGGCGCTAAGGTTGCAGCTCTAAGACTAGGCGTCACAAAGAATTGAAAATTTTGCTTAGATAAAAGATCTTTAACTTTTTCCGTATCCTCACCCGTAATATGAATAGCTTGGGTTAATTTTTCATAAAATCTATTCATTTCCTGAGTTCTCCGGGAATAATCTACAGTATATCTATTTTTAAGAGCTTTAAGAAATACCAATTCATCTTTAACTTGCAAAGATGCAAGATCCCATTGTGTTTGACTATTAGAAAACGAATTATCAGATTTCAAAAGCGACTGTTTAAAAGAAAGAGGAATTATTTTCATCAAAAATCTATCAGGAATATGCCTGACTAGGATAAAAACAAGTACTGATAATGCACCTAAAAATATTGAAATCCCCCATTGCTCTAAATTAAGAGGACTGACTTGAAATGCTTTACCACCATAAAAAACAATAATAACTTGTCCCGATATCATAATAAGGTTAATAAAAATATACCAAGGATTCGATCTAATCCCTTCAAAAATATTTACATCATTACCTAATCTCCAACAACTTTGAAATGTTAGTAAATTAAATTAAAAGATTTTTCTATACTTTAATTCATTAAAAATCTGCATAAAAACAAAAACATTAAATATCAAAGTAGGCAAAGTATCAAACATATAAGCACGTTCATTATTATATCTAAATATAGTACCCCCCCAAAAACGTAAAGATAGCATAACAAGAAGCTGATATATAGATTGCGCAATAATCATTTTCCACATTTCAAAAGTAATAAGAGATGTTTTAGGCTCAGGCTTACGATTCAAAATAGTCGAATTAGGGGGATCTGTTGCTAAAGCTAATGCAGCAAATGTATCCATGATTAAATTGACCCAAAGAAGTTGCACTGGAGTAAGAACAGACCTCATTTCCGAATCTGTTATTGCTGTTACGAAGACGAGAAATACAGCTGTAATGTTGACTGTTATTTGAAACTAATATATTTCAACACTTTAATTTACAAATAGTAGAAGAAAAATTATACCTGTAAAAACTTTTTAATAGCAAGATTTATCGTTCGACCCCATGCACATGCTTTAACAATAGAAGAAAAGTTATCATCCATCAAAATAATATCGGAAGCTTCTTTGGCCACATCAGTGCCAGAAATACCCATGGAAAACCCGACATCCGCTTTTTTTAATGCAGGCCCATCATTTGTGCCATCACCTGTTACGGCTACAATCTCACCTAATTCTTTAAGTTTAGTAACAAGAATTTTTTTATCTTCAGGAGTGGATCTAGCTAAAACTTGAAGTTTAGGAACAATCATATCCATATCTTCAGAACTTAAATTTCTAAAATCAACACCTTCCATAAGAATACCTCCAGGTGTATATATACCACAAAGTCTAGCAATAGCACTAGCTGTAATTTTATTGTCACCAGTCACCATTCTAACAGTTATTCCCGCTTTTTTGCAAGTTTCAATAGCATCTTTCACACCTTCTCGTAATAAATCCATAATACCAAGCACTCCAATAAAAATCATCTGAGAAAATATGCTATTAAAATTAATCTCTGAACCGGTTATTGAATTTTGCAAATTATGATCAGGCCAGACGTCAAAATCTTTATAAACAAGCGCAATCGTTCTTAAAGAATGTGTTGCATATCTAACAATTGTTTTGTATATTAAATCTTTTCCTTCTTGTGTTAATGGCAACACGGAAAGAGTATCCGATTTTCTCGATAAAGGTTCATGAAGTACATATGAAGAATATTCCAATAATGTTTCACTAGCACCTTTAACATACAATCTAGCACCACCATTAGGCAAAGAAATAATTGATGCCATATATTTTCTCGATGAACTAAACGGTATAAATTGTAACACATCTACCTTTGCTCTTTCAATACTGGGATCATCCATATTAAAATATTTCTGAGCAAATTCTAGTAAAGCACAATCCGTTTTGGATCCTAAAAAAGAAGTTTTGCCTTGTTTATCTGTAGCTAGAAACGCAGTTGAACTAACGACAATACTTTGAATAATAAGCTGTGTTACAGAAGGGTTTAATGATTTTAAAAGGGAAGAAGCTTCCAAAGTGACCATTTCACTTGTATTTTCATCAATTTCCGAATCAAAATTATCCCGAAATTGTGTAGAAAGACCTATTATTCCAACAACCAAAGTCATTTTATTTTGCGTCAAAGTACCCGTTTTATCTGAACATATTGTAGTAACATTACCCATAGTTTCACAGGATCTTAAATGGCGGACTAAATTGTTTTCTTTAGACATTTTTCTTGTAGCAAATGCCAAAGCAAGAGTAATAGCAAGGGGAAGACCCTCAGGAAGAGCGACAACAAGTATGGTTATAGAAACAATTAAAATTTTCATAAAATTTGTCGCCTTTTCATAAATAGTGATTTTATTATCCACCAAATAAACCAAAAAGCGGCAAAAAAGGATAACAAATAAGGAAAAACTTACGCTAAAAGGAATTATTACATACGATCAAATAGTTCTTATATATAATATTTACCATATTCCAAATTTCGAGATTCCAATGGCAAGCTTAGATAATTTTATTTGCAATGGGGTACTATCTAATTCTGTTTGGATAGATACCATAATTTTTTCGTAATATGAATGTAGCCCTACAGATGTAACAATATATTTTCCCGTTCCTTCGACTACTTTACTCCCACTTATCATAAAGGGATCGTACTTTTCATCAAATATAACATCAGGGGAAGTATTTTCTAAACATACAGAACAAGAAACTTTTTCAATCGCATCGGATTCACCGGTAGTACTTGATTCATCACAGCATAAATTATAACTATCAATCAAAATTCCATCAGCAGGAAGAAGATCACCAAGTTCAAAGAGTAATATATCGCCCACTTGAAGATCATAAACAGAAATAAAAATAGGCTTTCCAGATCGTATAACTCTAACATCATGATTTTCTTTCTAAAAACAAGTATAAAAATGAATTACAAAAAAAAGGGAAATAATTCAATAATACCTTGGCATTTAATTGCTCAAATTGTACTTCTTTTTGATAATCATTAACTGCACTAACAACTGAAATAACTGCTATTGCTACCAACATAGCAATTCCATCCACACTATAAAATTAATGATTATTTTTTGTAACATGAAACAAGCATTATATACTTTGAGTTATAAGATTCATCATCATTAGAATGAACAAGTCCAAAGTATATATCGATACCAAAAGATACGATAGTAGAACAAAGCAATAATATAAGAATAGAATCCTTAAAAACATTAAAAATCAAAGGGATTATACCCTTTATATGACGTTTAGGTGTACGATTAATACCAAAAACTGAAATACGCGTTTTAAACGATTCACCATAAAGACTTAAAAATTCCTTATAAGATTCAGATTTTCCAATAAATACTTCCTTTAAAACCCGTATAAATTTGATCTTAAGCATTAATTTTGGAATGAAGCACAATATTCGTAAAATAGCATTATATATCATATTAATACAATGAAAAAACTTTTTAAAATATAATTTCATGCAATTCGTTTTTTCAGAAAACTTTTTCTTCATAAATAAGGAATTAGAAGGAGAAAATTCCATTTTTTTCTTTTTCCAAAACATGCATTTTTTCTTAACATTATCCTTTGATTTTAAATTTTGACATTCTATTTTATAATCCTGGCACATTTTTTCATACCTATAAAATCCATTAAAAACTGAAAATCATGTAATCCCAATCAACATTAAATAATCATCTGTACTCATTAAATCTTTTAATGTTACTTCCTTTGCAACGCATTTTTCATCAACATTTAATCCTAAAATAGGATCCGTATGCAAACCAAGACACAATCCTTCAATTCCACCAATAATCCGAAGAATTTCAACATTCCTTGGATCAACTAATACTTCAAGTTGTTCTGCTGTAAATGCAAAAGGTCCTTTTCGACCAGACCCTCTAATTGCTAATGTACGTAATGCCATTTCACGAAATGCGTAAGAATACAACGCTTTACGAGCGATACATGATGTTGCTGTAGACATGTCCCATGAATTTCTACTTAAATATTGCGTAGAAGTATCACATTGTGTAAAACAATCATATTGAACAAGTGAATCAACACATGAATTTTGATCTGATCCTCTCGACCCCTGATCATTCCGATTTTGATCCTCCGATGATGTAGATATAGGGACATTCTATTGTAATATGTTAATTGATAAATTTTTGAAAAAACTCTATTTCTTTAATTATTAATAGCAAAAATCAATCAATAAATGCATAAAACTATTCTTCTAAACAAATATACACACAAAAAATACATCTTTACCGGCTATATGCGCATGTACTTACCGATGTATCAATCATAACAACTGGAACTTGTTTTTTTATATCTTCGTCCATTTTTTTAATAAAAACTCTATAACTCTTTAATAAAACCAAAAAACCCTGTTTTATACTTATTTATAGAGACTTCAAGTCTTTAATGTATTCTTTTAAGACTTTATTGACTCATTGCATTTCCCTGAACAAAGTTTAAAGATACGAGATGAGAGCCTTTTCTAAATTCATCGATAAAAGTCAAACGGGAGAAAATAACTAAATACGGTAAAAATCGATTTTTATATCGTAGAATACATATATTTTTAATAAAATGAATTAATGTAAATAATATATATATTAATATTATATATAAATAAAAATTGTAACTTATAATTAATGAAATTTGAGATTAAATTTAAAGGTTATATATTCCATAAAGATGGTTTAGATTTATTATGTGAAGCAAGCATTGCTATGGAAGCACGACGTACCATTTTAAGATATTCGGGCATTCGTTGACTTAATAAAAATGTTTGATAAATTTTTTTATCATCATCAGCTACTATGCAACACAATTCCATGCATGCAAGAAGATTTCTATTAATTTTAATACTAAATATGAGAATAAAAAGGAATTTTTATATTTACCTTGGAAAAAAAGTATACGTTTCGTAATAAACTTTATGTAAAAGACAAACGAGATCCGGTATATAAATATTTCTTATTTTTATAAGTTCATTGTAAACAATTGGATCTATTATGTATTTGTAATTTAGTAATTTATAAAGCAAAATTTAATGTATACCTTCAGCTTCGGATGTAAAAAGAGTATCAGGATATAACCAATTTCCTTGAATGAATTCATGAAATGTTGATGCGCACTCTTCTACTGCTTTCTAAAAAAGTTTTAATTTTTTTTTTAAAAAAAGAGAATATTAACTTGAAGATTTAATTTCCATTGTCTTCTTCCAGAAAAATCAGTTCTATTTTTACTATATTAAAAAAATAAACAAAAGATTTATTATTAAAATAGTACTTACATTTCATTTTGACCATTTGACATGATATTTTTCCAATTTTCATATCTCATATATCCAGTACATAAAGAAGAATAACCCAAATATTCTACAGCATGTCTAAATTTTTTATCGTTTCCAGGACTGTCTTCACTTTTCACCATGTCCCTGGTTATTAATATTGATGAAGATAATCTTAAATTTAATGCTTGAGCAGCATTTAACTTTCCTTTTACTAAAAATATTAATTCGAGTTTTATCTATATAGAATCATACGAAGAAAACGTCTATAAAGAATATTTCCTTTAAAAATAATGTCATATTTTAGATCTTCAGAAAATTTCATCCATTCTAAAGCTCTAATTTGATGTAAATCCCATTCGGATGGACTTTCTGTAATAGGCACTAATTCACCAGTAAATGGAGAAAAAATATCATCCTTGATTAACGCTTCAGAATATACAATGTCGACAGTTCTTCTCAATGAATTTAACATATCAAGTTTATATTTAGAAGATAAACGCAATTGATTAATACGTTCTTGATCATCATCAATATCTTTGCATATTAGAAATATTATTTTAGTCTATATTTAACATACTACTTAAAAATTTTGCATAAATTTCCAAAGACATATCACGAGGAAGTTGAGCAACATATAATGGGATAATATCTTGCTAATGAATTATAAGATTAATATTTTAAAATAAATATAACTTACTTTACCGCCAGCAGCCAATAATTCTATATAGGCTTGTATTAAATTATTACAATTATTATGATCAACTGATACATTTGTTTGTTTTAACAATAAAATAAAATGAACAACAAATCTCAAAAAAGATGGAATTGACGTTACGTCAACAGAACTTATTCCATTTCGTATATCTTGCAACTGAATATTAAGATTTAAAATTAATTCATCAATTCTTGATGTTATAATATTTGACTGAATAATTCTCATCGGTTCATTTGCAGAATTTCTAATAATATATGAATTGATTATCAAAAGAATTATATACCTTATTAATTCATTATCGCTATGAGCTAAACTTTCTAAAACAGAAGATATCGAAATCGAGTCAATATTTGGAATAACTAGATCATGAGATTGCTTAATTTTTCCGAGCTGTTTAAGATTCTATTATAATATAAATATTATGTTTTATTATATTTGGTCCTAACCATAGTTATTTGATATTCACAAATAGAATTATAATGAGCCCATAAATAATCTTCCCATGTTTCACAAACTTGAAGCACCTAATGATATTAAAATGATTATTATTGTCGATATAAGAAATACTGATTGAAGATCTCCGCATAAAACTCCATATAATGCTCTTTCATAAGGATCTAAATCGGTCTGTTTAGATAATTGATAACACATCTTCTTCCAGAGTTGTTTTCTTTTGGTTCCCATAACGCCCATTTCAACATTATTTTCATCTTTTTTTTATTTTTAACAAAATAAAATAAAAAAAAAGCATACCAATCAACGGATCTCTGTATTCAATACATCCTTGAAGAATAGCGGATCTCAAAAAATTCCCTGTATCTTTACAAAGGTCACATGCTTTATCAAAATCTCCACATCTTATAAGTAAAAACAAATTACGAAGAAATTTGCGTTCAAATTCCTATAAAAGAGTAAATTATAAAAAATACAAGGCAAAATTCTACTGAATCCCTATCATCTAAAAATTTTCGTTGTCTTGTCGGGGCATCAGGATCCAATTCATCAATTAATTCATCTTCTTTAAATGACTTTCCTTGTAATCTTTTCATTCTTATATTCTCTCTTGTATATAACCATTTCTTTCCGGATATTTCTAATAATGATGGCTCCAAAAAAATATCTTTTAACCAATTCAATATAATCTAAACACAATTAATCATATATAAATAAAATATCACAATAAACTGTATTTTCCATTGCATCTGGATTTTGAATATAAAATGCCTCTTCCAAAACAACATTTGAAGAATATTCATGAACATTAGGTAATTCATGTGATTTTTGCACTCGATGACTACTATTATTAAAAATCATAATATACCCAATATTAATTACGAATATAATCTTTGAATTAGATCCCATGTCTTACATTCCAAATCCCATTGTTCAATTTCCGGGCAATTATCATCTATTTCTGATTCTATTAATGTATCCAACCTTTTCTTTTTACAAAAAAATACACAAATTATAAAATAAATAAACCTCTTTTGTCCATACATATAATATTTAGAAAGAAGACCTGTTTCTCCAAATATTTCTATATCTTTATATTTATCAAAAATAATTGCATATTCTTCAAATTCTTTTCCAAGAACAATAGTTGATTCTTTTACAGTGTTATTTTACATGATAAATTCCGTCATTTTACTCATAATTACCTATTCTTTCGTCTACTATACTACTCTTTTCAATCTAAGTTATGTTAAAAATCTATAAATTCATTTTTCAGGGCAAAAAAAGCATTTTTTAATGCGGAAAAAAAACCTTTTCTACATTCATATCATTAGAAGAGTATTTCATGCCAGAATATTAAAAAAAAGTATTAAACCGCTTTCTTTGGCAAAAAAAACATAGCTTTTTTTCTGAAAAACTTTATATTAAACTCTAATTTTAAACGATAACGTCCATTTTTTAAAAAAAACAAAAATTGGTCTATTTTAAGACAAATAAGCTACAAGAAGACGAATTAGTTGAGAGAAATATGAAGTGTTGGTATTGGTTAGTCTCTATTCCCGAAAAATCCAATCAAAAAAGGGCAATTTTAGATGATTTTACGAACCATTTGTCTTGTGCAGGTCATAAATATGCAAATGTTTTTAAATTTATAATACCTCAATTAAAAGTTGATATACTAATATTTTTATTCATATAAATGGTATTTTTAATAATATTTAGATTGGAGATTTAGATTCTTTAATTTGCCAAAGTGAAGATCTTGCACGATTAGATGATCAAGCAAAAGATTATATTTTAAAAATACCCGAAATCCTTCGAATGGTTTTAGACAACGAGCTTGAAAAGTGTATGCAACAGTTAACAGTGGACAATAGTTTGTTTTTTTTTAGTTATGTAGATTTATATTTTTAAATAAAATTAGAGTCGGTTGAGCAATACATTCAAACATTTGAATGGGATATCATGAAATATAGGACAGATCTTTCTATTAGTGTTTTAATAGATATAATTGAAAAAGTCTTCAAGACACTATATATATATAAACTAAACTAAAGGATTATTAGGAACTTTTTTCAATAGAAGATTTAAAAATGAAGTATCAATTATATAATCAAGCAAAAAATAATCTTAATGGATTGGAGAAAAAATACATGTATAATTATATTGTTTAATATATTAGGTATCTAATATAATGTATAGTGGAGATTTATCACAACGTACTCTAACAAATATTATAAAAAGAGAACATGTGGTCTTAGAATCAGAATATCTTGAAACATTATTTATTGTGGTGCCTATGTTTATATTATAATATTTTTTAGCTTTGTCTTATTTTATTTAGTTTTAACGAAAAACTCTGGCTTACATCTTATGAAACGCTTACACCAATGGTTGTCTGTCGTTCTTCTTTGTAAATTTATCATTGTTTTTTATCAATATATTGATATAAAGTAGTGAAATTACGAAAGATGATAGGTATATTCTTTATAGTGTTGTTGTTTTCAAAAAGCATACGCAAGAATTTAAACAAAAATGTCGAGAAATTGCGTTAGTAGAGTTATTTTATTTTATTAAAATTAACCTTAATTAGATTTATACCTAGAGATTTCCAATATGAAGATGACCTTTCCACAAAAGAAGCAATTACTCTTGAAAATGCACGGAAAAAGGAAAACAAACTTTGGGTTAGTTTTATAATAATAATTTTCAATACATTTCATTTTTTATTAGTCCGAAGTCTTACATTTAGCACAGACATCTTTTAATGATACATTTCAGGCATGGATACATTTAAAAGCTATAAGGGTTTTCGTTGAAAGTATTTTAAGATATGGGAACCCCCCTAATTTTATTTCTGCCATTATAAAGGTCATTTGGCAGTATATTATATATTACTTTTCTAACTTTTTTTAAAGCCTAACTTAAAATACAAAAATAAAGCCAAAAAAGCTTTAAATAAAATTTATTCAAATTTTTCAAATGAAACTTATGCGAGAAAATCATTCGAAAACATTTCTAATGACGAAAAAATTGATAAAAATATTTCTACATTTATGAAAAATCTTCATATTAATGATGAATATACAGACTATATCTTCTATGAATTTTGTCTTGACTTATTCGATATATAACTTTTTAACAACATAATCTAAGACAAATTTATATCATCACTCATAAAAAATATTCTGTATATATCATTTAATGAAGTTTATTAATGAAAGATATATTTTTTAGCCGGCTAATTTTTCTAAAAAAAATTAAAATGTTAATTAAAATTAGTTATCATAATAGAAATTCTATAAGAAATCCTTCAAGATATCACAGTTTTCCATCATATTTGTTCTTTAATTCTTGTATTCTATTCTTTTCTCATAAACGCTTCAATTTTATCTCTGTAAGACCTTTTTTTTTATTCTACTCACTAAAGGAATATATAGACCCATTCAAGGCCATGTTTAAGCAATATATTTATTCCGCATGGTATTTCTTGTCAAAATTCCCAAAAAATAGGTATTTTTTATTAATAATTATAACTCAATTTAAGATTATAAGATAAAAGTGGACATGATCTTTTAATTAAAGCTGGATTTTTACGTCAAGTATAAAATATCATATTTTTTATACGCTAAATGATTGTAGTCATCATCAGGAATATATACAATTTTGCCACTAGCATTAAGAGTTCAAGAAAAAATAGAAAATATTATTGATACATCATTATATAAAATTAGTAAATTACGAGTATATATTATTTCAAAAATAATATTCTAGATGCATCTAAAATCTCTCTTCCAAATCTTTCAACATCTTATTTGTGGAAAAAATCAAGGAGATGGGATTTATTAGGAAATGAAGTTTATTATTAATTATAATTATTTTAAAATATTTATTTTATATAGCTTTTTAGACTGAAAAATAGAAGGGGAACAGAATACTGTCTTTCTCCTACGCATGAAGAAGAAATAACAAACTTAATTGCAACAGAAATATCAAGTTGGAGACAACTTCCTTTAAAATTATATCAAACAGGCAATATAATATAATTTTTATTAATTATAATTTAATATTTTAAAGGAAAAAAGTTTAGGGATGAAATACGTCCTAGAAGAGGTTTATTAAGAGGATATGAATTTATTATGAATGATTTATATACATTTGATAAATCTAAAGAAGATGCGCTACAGACCTATAAATTAATATGTGACACATATAAAGAAATTTTTTCTAAACTTGAATTACCAATAGTTATGGTAGTTATAAAATTAACATTTTCTCTATTTTAAATGTTCTAGGCAGAAGCGAATAATGGTAACATTGGAGGAGATCTTTCTCATGAATTTCATATTATATTTTCATGTAATATAAAGATGTTTTTAACTCTTTTTTTTAATTAACTATATCGTTAGGCGGGGAAGATACTCTTATTATATGTAAATCATGTGGATATATTTCAAATGAAGAATTTACACATGTTAAATTGAAATTTCAAATTCCATTTAAATTAGAGAATTGCAATTGTTTCTACATTAAGGATATAAACGACATTATTATAGGAATTGCATATGTACCAATTGATAGGGAAATTAATCTATTACTTGTAAATAAAATGATGAAGAGCATAAACTCGGAAATATTTACTATAACGCCGAATACTGATGTAAAAAGAGGAACTAAAAATCATTACAAAAATGAAATTATTCATATTCTTGATGAAAATTTTAATCCTAACTCTTTTACGTATCCAAATCATTTGAAATGTTTTCGAAATAGATTAATAACAGCATCTATCATTAAATCAAGAAAAAAAGATTTATGTTACAAATGTTCCAAACCCTTAATATCTCAAAAAAGTATAGAATTAGCACATACATTTTATCTTGGTACAAAATATTCATCAGCTTTATCAGCAACGTTTACATCTGAAAAAGATAATAATATTTTACCAATTGAAATGGGTTGTTATGGAATAGGCATCTCAAGAATATTATCTTCTATAGCAGAAATAAATAAAGATGACAAAGGTTTAATTTGGCCAATAACCATTGCTCCCTGGAAGGCTGTAATTATATCAACATCGGATTTAGATCATATGTTATATAAAGTATATGACATGATTTTTTGTTATTTCGAAAAAGATTCTATTATTATAGATGATAGAAAAAATAAAGGATTTATATGGAAAATGAAAGATTCAGATTTAATAGGATTCCCGTATACTATAATTATAGGAAGACATTGGAAAGAAACTGGAGAACTTGAAATTCAGATAAGGAAGACAGGGGAAAAAATATTTGTGAAACCTGAAAATATTAAAAATATTATCTAATAATTTATGATTTTTCTTAATAAAATACAGATATAATAATTTTATTATTTTATGAACAAAACTCTAAATATTATTATCTAAATGCTGAAGAGACTCAAAGAAATAAATTCATTAAAAATATAATATATAGTGATAAAAATTATTTAAAATTGAAAGTCATATTTTATAGCCAATTATAAAGCCATTATTATAAAATCTAGAAATCCTATTTTTTCGATTAATGCACAATCTTTAAAAACATATAGTTTAACAACTTAATCTTTTTTCTAATAATAATTGTATTAATTTATTAGATCAAAATTTATTAAAAAAAAACATATCAACTTTCTAACATGGCGGAATATTCATTAACAGATGCAAAAACAGGCAATTGCTTTAATTTTTTTCCTTTAACATAATTTGATTTTTCATTTAATTTACGCTTCGATCCAATTGAAATAGTTGATAATTCCTTATCTATAAATTCATCATCAACTAAATCATTTTCAGATTCATTAAAGTCAATATCGTTTTCATCATATCCTTCATCACCTATATCACTTTGATCATAAGTATCTTCACTTAAATTTTCATCTGAAATATCTTCTATACTTTCTGAATCTTCAAAAACATTACTTTCTAATGATCATTTAAATTAATAAATATCCTTAATAACACTTTTTTATTACCATTGTCGGAAGAAGTAACCTTTGCTTTAGTTGACTTTTTTCTATCATTTATAATCTGTTTTTGAGAAAAATACCTGAAATAAAAAATCTCATCAGGAGAAACTTGATCAATCTTCTGCTTAACAAAAGATTCTTTATTTAAAGGGCTATGTGAAAATGTATCTGATTTAGTTAAAAAAAACATGTTTCTATTTTGCTTAGATATTGGCTGCATAATAGAATTTCCTCGAAATATAATTTTAGTTTTAGGATTTTTGTAGACGAACTTATTCAAAAAATGTGAAAGTGTAAATAACGAAAGGTTAGGTTTTGATGATATTCGGTAACCATATAATAATGACTTTGCAAATGAGGATATGGTTGGATGGAAATGATTAAGAAAAGGAATCTAAAAAATGAATATATGAAATAAAATATAATTTTCTTTTACCAATTCCCATAAATAAGAATTATCTGCATTACTATAACGAGGATCTCGTTTATAACCATCATACTTGTTTAAACTGTCTTGCAAAATTGATACATTGTTGTTTTTTACAGATAATACATTTTTGTCTCCGTTCAAGATATTAATAAGACTGTTTCTTTTTTTATTATAAACTTTTTCATATCTATTGTATAAAGATTTTATTTCTGGATGAATTTTCTCAAGCTTCATATTTTAAAAGAGATTATAAAAATTTAGATAAAAACCTCATTAAGCAAAATCATTATTCCACATATAAATGTTATTTGATGCATATTAGAGTACTGAATTAACCTTTTTACAAAGGATTTTACTCTCGTCTTATCTGTATCCGCTTTGATAGCTTTAAAAAGAAGATTAAGATACATAATCTGTTTAGATGAATTAAATAATCTAAAATCTTGAATTGATTCATATAAAGTTTTATAAAATCTGTCGAGAATAGTCTTAAAAAATATTAAAACAATTTACAAATATATCTTTAAATTTACTTGTTTAAATCTTGATATCTGAAAAATCAAGATTAATGCCTGAATAGAAGTATTAAAATTAATACCATGCACAATAACAAATAAAGAATTTACATGACTCTCAAATCTATTAAAGTTAATATTAATTTTAATAATCAAAATAATTTACACTCCATCATCAATTTTTGAAAAAGGAAATGCTCTATTTATTCCAGATATAATAGCCAAAACTAGTTTAGAATTTATTTCTTTTTCATATATATCATTATCGCTTTTATTTTTCTTTAAAATATCCTTCGTTTTCCAAGGAATTTTATATGATTTCACTTTTTTTGTAGCATTTTCATTTTGTAATAATTTTGTAAGTTTAGTAAAAAATAAAAAATAAATATTAATCAAATATGTCGCAATATTCGTTTTTTTTGATAAAACCATCTGATTAAGAGTAATTATTGCGTAATATTGTGCATGTCGTGATGTTGAAGGACAAAAAAGGAATTGTTCAATTTCAGATATAATAACTTCTTTCATAGCAGGATGTACTATAGTCAATTTCAAAATACAATACGATGTTTTCGATGCAACTTTCTTTTCTGGATCACCTAATTTATTTACCAAAAGTTTTAGTAAATTTTGTTCTTGTTCCGGTTTTTCTCTAATCAATTCGAATACACAAACCACCATACGTTCTCGTAAAAAAGATAAAGAATTTTTCAAAAGGCTTTCAATAACCTGCAAATATTCGAAATAATAATACTTTAAAAAATCTTCAAATGCCCACAAAATTAAATGTTTTTTAGTCACATCCTTAGAACCAAGAGATTCTTGTTGTTTAAAATATTTTAATTTTCGATTCGGCAATACTGTCGATATAAAAAGATCTTTTAACGCTTCAACGCTTTGTAAAGATTCTGTTCTACTCTTTTTTTTTGTCATATTCAACAACATTCTCATTTTTTTCGATGAATGTAATGGAGATTCTTGTATTGATAATGTCAATGCACTTATTCTATCACTTAATGTTCCAAACTTCATAATATTATCAAAAAAATGCTTATTTGAAGATGACTTGTGTGAAAATCTGACATATTTTTCCTCTTCGATCTCGTGATATTTTTTTGCTTGTATATATAATTTTTCTGCCAAACTATCCCCAATCTTTACACTTGAAATAATAGGAAGCTCTTCTAAATGCCATTCAATTTTAGGTTCAAACGTCTAATCATCTTAAATAAAAATAAACTAGTTTTAAATAGTCATTAATACCAATTTCTTTTGATAACAAAATACTTCCTTATCAGTTGCTGTGGAAACCGTTAAATCTGTCTCCAATTTTTCTATAAAATCTTTTTGCTTATTTTTCTTTTCATTATTTTTTGAAACACCATCCTCTTCTTTTTCACAAAAACCATATCCTTTCTTTACCTTTTTCGCCCATTTAAAAAATAATTTTTTAATTCATCTTTTTTACCTTTTTATTTAAAATTTTCTCTGCTTTTGATTTTTTCTTAAACTTTTCTACCTTATTCTGGTCTTTCATAATACTAATATTGTTTTTCTTATGTAGATAATGTCTTTTTATCCTTTTTTTGTCCGCATTAAACTTATTTCCTGTTTGCATCTCATTAGATATAATTTGATCCATCAGGTTCAAATTCTAATGAGTTTAATATACAGATCCATATATAATACCCTATTTTACCTTTTTGTTCACTTCTTTCTTAGAAAAAAAAACCTTTTCTTGTCTTAATCTTTCATCTTTATCTAGATCTTGTTTATACATTGAATACACTTTATATTGTCCTTTTAAACCCCTAATATCAAAATACATATAAATAAAACATAAAATAAGGCAAATAAGTTATGTTTACAGGATTGTATACTCCTTAATTTCGCTTTCAAAATCTAGAGCCTTTAAAATTCACTCGCAAAAAACTAAAATATCAATTAAATCAATTCAATAAAAAGAATTCGTTAATAATAAGCAGAATAAGGGAATATATTTCAAATAGGAAGATATTCTCGGATTATATTTGCCTTTAAACTCTTATCCAAGCATCTTTTTCTCGATCGCTATTGTTTTTTTTACGACTTATACATAACCTCTACTGCACTGAAAACTCTCAGGAGCATGCAGAATTCCTACAAAGAAGTAAGTAAAATACATATATTTCTTTATTAAAACACTTAACAGCCTTAGTTTTGTTCGTGGAATTTACAAACTAATGTATTCTTAGAGGACCTCTTATCCAGTATTCGCTCACGGCCTATGCCGTGGGAAGGACATCAACGAGCGGGATTAATAACACAAGAAGATACCAAGAAAATTAAGGCATTAGATTGGCAGCCGAAGAAAGGACGTTCAACAGTTCTTTTAAAAGTGAATTTTCATTTTTTTCAAGTTATTTTAGGGAATTTTAAATGAATTTATAGGAGGGAAAAGAATATGCAGAGCTTTTTTTAAGATTGTTTCAGCATCTTCAAAAGATCGATCTTCTTCAATATCTCTTAACGCTGTGTACAGATCTTCTTGATGGTGGATTAATTGCTTTTTATATACGTATTGATAATATTTTTAGATATCCCAGAATTTTCTAATATTCTTCTTTTATACAAAAACAAGGAAAACTTGCCATTCTCTCCATTATTAAGGTACATTTTTTCAAAAAAAAACATAGGGTTAATGTATTTTATTTATAATCAGATTGTTAAAACATGATGATCAAGTTATATCCTTATTATCCGGCAAAATAATTACAACATTAATTAGGTAGATTAAATATTAGTATGAAATTGGATTAATTCTTTCAGTTCAGCTCCATTAATTCCTATTAATATCCTTTCACGTTTTTTTGAATGGATCTCTTCTCTATGTCAATCATCTGACCTTAATATTCAGGATTTAGCTACTCAAGCATTGATTGAAGTTGTTAAAACGTCGTTTAATCGTTTGCAATTTTGGAAAGAATCATCGTATATGCAGAATTTAATATGTATTTTAAAAAACAATCATGATAATTTACAATTACAATACCATACTTTACTCGTTATATGGCTTATTACATTTGAACCAGAAATATCAAAAGAAATTAACAGGTATTATTATTATTATTACTATTATGCATATTTTTTATTTGTAGACGACATAGTATTATCCTTATTTTAGTTAATTTACTAAAAAACGTTATAAAGGAAAAGATAATACGTGTCATTTTTGCTATATTTAGAGTTCGGGAACAGAGTTTTTTTTATTGAAACTTATTTTTTTTGTAGAACTTAATTAACTTGGCACATTCTGAAAATCTTTCAACTATGTTGGCTATTAAACTTCTTCCACTCACTGAGACTATTTCAGATAAAAAATGGCTTGACAAAGAAGCAATTGAAGATATAGATTATGTAAAGACTAGTTTGAAAGCGGATCTCGAAGGATTAGCGTATGTATATTATTATAACAAATAACTATTTCAACTTATTAGTACATTTGATGAATATATTTTAGAAATAGAGTCTGGACACTTAAGCTGGACACCTTCACATTCATCAGAAAAGTTTTGGAAAGAAAATGCATTTAAATTAATGAACAATGATGGCTTATTACTTAAAAAATTAGTCCGTTTACTTCTTACTTCTAAAGATCCTCTTGTTTTAGCTGTAGCTATTCATGATATAGGTAAATTTATTCAACATTATCCAAGCGGGAAATCGTAAAGACTTTTTTTTTATTTCATTTTCTAATATTTTTAGGCATCTGCAAAAACTTGGAACTAAACAAAAAGTTATGGAATTAATGACACACACTGATTCCGATGTAAAATATGAAGCCTTAACTACTGTCCGATTATTTATGTCACAGTCTTGGTATTTTATTACATTCTTTTTTTCTATTTTTACATATATAGGAATTAAAAATTCTGTTTTAATAATTCTTACTTTGAATATCTTATTAAAGCGTTTACGTTTATTTATACGTGACAATACAAAATTTTTATTAGTTTTTTCTTCATCTGACTTTTTCTAATTTATAATTATAAAATTCTCTACACTTTTCTATTCATACCCAACTTTTCTACATTTATTCTAATACATCTTTTAACGATATAAGGAGAAAACATCAATAAATTTTTGATTACAAAAGTTATTTTTTTATAATTTACATTTATATCTTTATTGCTTTTAAATCCGATATATTTATTATATATTTAAGAAAATTACAATATTCTTTTCTGAAAAAGAGACTTCTTTACATATACTCTTAATTATTTTATTTTCTCTATCTTGACTCACTGGTAATCTTACGTAAGCGTTAAAAAGGTCAGATCTTAGATAAACAATATGAAAATTGTTAAGGTAAGATAAATATATATTATTTTAAATTTTTTAAAAGAATTCAAGGAAAAAGTATTTTTTTTATATTAATTTTTTTTTTTTAAAAAGATTTTATCATGTGGAGTGATTTCTTAAAAAAAGCTATTAATAATGTAGAACAATTCAAATATGATACAAAAGGTATGATTTAATGTTGAGCTAATGTATAGTTTTTAATATAGTTTTATTGCTTTTTAAGGACTTTAAATGATTTAAATTAGGCTAATTTGTTTTACTAGGGTTATCAAATAGTTTATCAACTACTTTGGAAAAATCACCAACAAAATCACATCAACAAAGCCCAAGGAAACCAATGCAGGAGAGGCTTTCAGAGATTGTTACAAGTGTTCAGAATTCTGGGCGTTTTTTAGAAAGTCAATCTCTTATACAAGAAAAATTAGATGTTATGAGTGCTTATTTGCATTCTATTCGACTAAACCAGAAAAAAAAGGGAAAAAAAACTGAATGGTGTCCAGTTTATGAAACGGATGAAATTACTGAGAATCGATGTTCTCTTGTATTTCCGGCATCTATGCCAAATACTATTAAAAAAGAAGAGATTAATGACGCAGATTTAAAAAAAGCAAAAAAAAAAAGTCATATAGATACAGGAGAAAGTTCTGTATTGCCTAATCAATTTGTTGATTTAGATATTATATCTTTAAAACATGCAATAGATGAAAAAGATAGAAAAATACATATTTTATTAGAAGAAGGAGAAGAACTATCTAAAAAGGAATTAAAACATCTTTCAATTATTAAAAACCTTCGTTCTAAGATAGAGAGGGATGGAAAAGATATCAATGAAATGAAAAATAAAACGAAAAAATTAGAATCTGAAGTAACAGATTTAAAGAAAAAACTAAAAAATGTATCAGAAAATAATAAGTTACTTTCAAATCGGTTAAAAGAAATGTCCGATCTTGAAAAAGAATTTAATCTTCTAAAAATAGAACAAAGCCGATTTGAGGTTTATAATATTTATCTAAATAATTTATCATTCATCTCTATAGATTGAGAAAAACAATGAATTAAAAAACTTGGAAGATGAAACAATAGCTATAAAAGAAACAATGAGTCTTCAACATCTAGAGGAGTTGGAAATTGAAAAATCAAAATCACATTCTTTACTTGATAAATTAAATGAAGCGAATATTAATTTATCTTTATTAGAAGAGAAAAGCAAATCAGAAATTAATTCTTTATATTCTCTTTTAGAAAATGAAAGAAAAGATTTTTTTATTAAAGAGAAGAGCTATATTGAAGAGATATCTGTAATTTTGAAATTTAAAATTAAATCAATCAATTAATTATTTTATAGGTTTTAGAAAGAAAAGTTGAAGCTTTAAGATATGAGCTAGAAGAAGTATCTCATAATGCGAATTCTAATTTTCATGCTAATTTGTTACAACAAAATGAAGCATTACAGGCTCAATATTTTACTGCTTTCCAACATTGGAAGGAGAAAGAAAGCGATATATTGATTAAAAATGCACTTTTGCAGGAAGAAAATGAAAAATATCTTAAAATTATAAATAAAGAAACTTTAAAGTCGAAGAATATAGTAAGAAATATTTTTAAAACTTTTTCGATTATTGATTACATAAAAGAATGAGAAAATGGAAAAATTAAAAATGACACTATTCGATAATGAAAATATTCTTAAAGAAACAAGATTATTAAATGAAAGTCTTACAAAAAAAGTTTCTAAACTTGAAGAAACTATCGTTAAAATAAATTCTGCCCATAAAAATGAATTAAAGGAGTTAAAATTATTATTTGAAACTCAATGTAAAGTTGGAAAAAAACCTAAATTAACTGACAATGGTAAAGATATATTACAAATGTTACTGCATATGTCTCAAACTTATAGAAATACCATTAACCAATAATAGTTTTGATTTACAATATAAAGATTATGATATTTTAAAACACAATGAAGCAAAATCATCTATTTTTTCAGATTCTATGGATGATATTTGCTACCAAAAGAGACATTCTGGCGACTTATTTGTACAAAATATATTGCCTTGTTTACCTACCACTTCTAAAAATTATACAAATAATAACAAAAACGATGACGTTAACGATAGCAATACTGATGTTTATTTTGATAATGAATCCGTCCAATCTGTTTCAGCATTGCCTATTCTGCATTCATTTAATTTTTCTGATCATGATATTTCTATGTCTAAAATTAGGCCAAATATTAACATAATATTACAACTTAGTTTATCAATTCAGAGGCTTAAAGGCCAATTATCTATGAAGCATGATGAAATTAATCAAATAACCCGGCAAAGAGATGAAGCAAGAAATGAATGTGTTCAATTGATGATTGAAGCTGAAAAAAATAAGGAATTGAATAATAAAATATGCATTTTAGAGGATAAATTAAAAGAATTAAATGAGCGCTATGAACAATGTTTAGAACTTTATGGAGAAAAAAGCGAAAAAGAAAAGGAATTAAAACAAGACATCGCTGATATGAAGGAAATATATACTCAACAAATAGAAGAGCTTATTGCAAAATTTAATCATTCTCAAGAGTTAAAATGAATATTTATTGTTTCAATAAAATATATATTAAATAACCAAAGCATTTTGAATTATAGAAACAAATAATAGTTTTTCTAAACTAATAATTTTATTCCTTCATGTTTACAATTTATTAATACTTTCTTCTTAACATCTATATCACCACAAACTTCTATAGGGGTTTTGTTATCATTATTTTTTTGTGAAGTATCTGCACCTTGTTTTAATAATTCAATAACAGCATCTGGATGACATTCTTCAAAGGCATGATGAAGTGGTGTATTTCCTCCAATGTCTAATGCATTTATAGAAGATCCCTTAGAAAGAAGAAGACAAATTAGGGCTACGGAACCAATAGCTGATGCACGATGCAACGCTATTTGATGTTGATTATCTTTCTCATTTACTAAAAAAGGTGCCTTTTTAAGAATTCTTTCCGTAATCTTTAATTAAAATATTCAGATAAAATATTTACAACAAATAAAAACCTTTATATGATTTTTGCTCACTGCATAGTGTCTTGTTTAAATTAATTAATCAATATTAATCTATTTAAGGGAAATTACAAAGCAGTTTGACCTCCACGGTTCTTTATTGATACATTGCATCTTTCTAGAGATAATAACTTCGTTACTATTGCTTCATTTCCAAGAGATGCTGTATTTTTTTTATTTATTTTAATCATTCTATATTTTTTTATATTTCAAAAATTACCTGAGATATGAAGAGCCGTCCAGCCTAGAAAAGAAAATAAGGATTATATTCTTCTAGCAACAAGAAGCATTCAAACCACTTTCATCTTTTGCATTTATATCAATATCTGGTCTTTCAAGTAGCCAAAAAACAATATCTGTATGTGATCCAACACATGCCCAGTGCAAAGGAGTTCGTTGATCCTGATCCCTACTATTTATACATGATGGATCATCAAAAAGAAGAGTGTTAATAAGGTCTTGATTGCCATTTAAACATGCTATATGTATATTTTTTTCCATCCAGATTTTTTATGCGCTGGAGATATCGATAGGACTTCGACGTATCTAATTTTTAAGAAATATTAAAAAAGGAACAAAAGAGGTAAAAAAAAGGGATTTTATTAGGAACAACAAATAGAAATAACATCTTTTTAGCTACTATTTTTGAATAACCTTTTTTTAGGAAAAAAAACGGATTTTTTTTGGAAAATATATAAAAAAATATAAATTAACAAAATATTTTGAAAAAATGTGTCTAAGAGGCGCAAATTCATCAGAAACTCAAATGTCAAATCTTCCATGTCTTTTTAAGAATTCTCTTGTTATTGATATGAATGAGAAAGAAAATTCTTTATCTCAAAAATCTGGAAATTCAAGCCAATCAGATGTACTTGAAAGTTGGGAACAATTATTAGACAAACAAAATGAAGCCTCTGAACCCTCTTTAGAAGATAAATCATCGTCAGAGGAAGTCTTGGAAAAAGGAATTTCAGGAACTCTACATTCTTTAAACTCAGAAAATCAACCTACAGTTATAGCAAATATACTTGAAATATCAAATATGCCACCAAACATTTATTCCGAGGATATTTATAAAGCTTTTGATATTAGTCAGGATGAAATGACGATAAAATGGGTTAATCGTACGAAAGCACGGCTTTATTTTCCAACAGAAGAAACTGGTAAGTTTTTCTATGAAAAAAATATAATATTTTATTTTCTTATTAGCAATCAAAACATATTTCAAATATCTTTCTTCTTCATCATCTATTGGAACAGTATCGCCTTTACCTCCTGATTATCATTCGATTCATTCATCTACATCATCTGCTTTTACTTCTCGTGCTAAAACACCGCTTACAACGTTTCATAAAAATACATTTTTTACAACATTGGAACCTTCTAAATATTTTTTTGATAAAAGACCAATTAAAACATCTACTGTTGCAAAACGTTTAATCACTGGAGTTCTTGGTGTACGTTCTTCACGTACACCAAAAGAAAAAGCCTATGATGAAATGATGATTCGTCAATTTCTTGATACACTCAAGGAAAATGAAGCATTTGAACATCGTAAAAAAGAAATATGGGAAAAAAGTTTTTAATAGATTTAAATAAATATTCGATATAAGATGAATAATTCTACTCATTAGAATAAATTATAAAGAGCCCTCCAAAAAAAAGGCCTTTTTCGAGAGGGAATGAATTAAAACATCAATATTTAAAATGATATGTAAAAATGATATTTACAAATAACCTTTATCTTTACCACATCCTAACATCAACCCTAACCCTATAACATTTTATATTTGACTGATACCCTCCCAGCTTTTTAAGTTAATATATTAGTTTCTTTTTTTTACATATATCTCTTACCTGTTCAATCATAACTTCAATTTGATCTCCATCTTCCATATCTAGCTGTTATATATTTAATAAATTTATTTTTTTACTATAAAAAAATACCTGAGCTGGAGTTTGTTCTGGTCTTGCACGTTCACCATCTACAAGAAAACGAAGCATATTCATTGATTTGCCTTGTCGTTCACAATACGCTTCCATTAGTTTTTTAAGTGGTGTATGACGTTTAATTTTGAAAAAAACTTCATTACTGTCATAACCAACAACCTCATAAAAATTTAATTAATTTATATATTTTTTCTTTAATATAAATACTCTGATATTTATATGTTCACTAGGTTTTTTATCTTCTTCAGCTGATGCAGACATTTCAGATATGAAATCTCGAGAGGTTCTCCGGGAATGAAAACTAAGGACAATGAATAAAAATGTATTTAAAAAAGTATTGAAATTACAAAAATATATTCAAAACATGAAAAAAATATCCATGATAATCTATTTATTAATAAATATCTAAATATTTTAAAAATTGTCTATGATTTAAAAAAAATCCTATTGATTTAAAAAGTAAAATATTATTTTTATTCATAATAAAATTCAAAAAAGAAATCAACCATATAGATATTTTTATTAATATTATCAATATTTTTATCTTTTTATTATATGTATCTATTATATTTACTCAAACAAAAGAATAAAGTCATTTTTTTGATATAAAGAATTGTTTTTATATTTTACTATAAATATTTCATCAAACAATCGAAAATTATAATCATTATTTTGTTCTAAATACTGTTTATTTAAATAATTTTATTTCTTTTTTAATCTTAGATTTTCTTAATAAATTATCTACAAAAAAACAAAAATTCAAACTTTATAAGATATTTCTTGTTTTCCTACAAAAATATAATCAATTATATTAATTACCTTCTCTCTATATATAGAAATTCCTTTTTTTACCTATTTTTCTATTATTATATAAAAATAGATATTTTTTCTTTTTTTTTTCCCCCAAAATTTATTAATATTTAAAATTGTTCATTAAATATATAAATCAAACCAACTAGTTCCTTTAAAAATTGCTTATTTTTTCAGATTTTATTGATTTTTTTTTAAAACATAAATATCTATGTTTTTATATTAAGAATTGCCCTTTTTTAAATAATAGAAAACAACTCTTATATCAAAATATTATTCTTTATCTTTACCACTTATCGTCTATTTTTTATATTTTTTTAAGATATATTTTTAAAAACTCCGAGGACTTATCTGGAGATGGGTAACTGCTGGAGCCTGTGTCAAGGAAATAGACGTCATCAAAGCGTTTGAGCCTTATTTATAATAATATAATAGCTTATCTTTATAGACTTTACATGAACGTGCATCTTTGTTGCATTCAAAGCACGTTTCCTCATCTTGGTTAATAAAGATGTGTTAAATCCTATTTACTTATTGATATAGTCCATGTCGGTCAGAACAAACACTTTCTAGCGCAGATCTAGCTTTAGAAGAACAGGAGGTTCTTTCTAAGATTGTTTTAAATGCATCGGAGTCTGTTTTGTTGTTTAAAAATGATATATAAGTGTTAAAAATGATTTAGAAGGTTAATTAATATGTATGCTTTGACATCAGAAAAACCATCACTTCCAGACACATCAGGATTGAAAATGGATGATTTGTAGGAGTATCAAATCCATAGCTTCATGCTTAATATTTGTAGAAAACGATTAGAACAATTAACAGCACCAGAAATACCGATATATAATGGGTTGATTAGTATAGGAATGACTCGTAAAGAATTGGAGTTAATGGATGGTGTTGCAAAGTTGGTAAAGGAAGCGATAAAGGAAATAAAAACGATTAAAAATGTTGGTCAAGTGATTGTTAAACTTGATGAGTCGAGAAAAACAGGTTGAAAATGAGCATATTTGTATTATTGTAATATGAACTGAATGTCGTGATAACGTTTTGATTATTTCACAGAAGTTTTGTGTATTGAAAATCGGTATTTAAAATCTTTGTTAAAACATCTATCAAAAGCCTGCATTTTGTTTAAAATTAATTATATGATAAATCTCTGTTTAGTCTATGCATGATGTTCATCGATTTTCATAAAATTCTATATTTATTTTTTATTTAAATATTTTTATCAGTATTTTATAGAGCAGAATTACTCATTTTCTTTTTGAAAATGTCTAAAGCATCTAATTTTATTGTGCCTAGGAAGGTAGGATGTGTTTTTCCTTGAATAATATTTTGTGCAATATTATTCAATCCATTTGTAAGATATTTTTGTGAAAATTCAGAATAAAGGGTTTGCGAAAGAAGTTCTTTTAGCTGATGTCTAAGTATTTGAATATCTTTTTTTGATATATTTTTTTCCTTATCACTTAAAATAAAATTAAAAAAAAAAAAGAATAAAAAAATAGATTATTACTTTTCAGAATTTAATTCATTAATATTAACACCTAAATCATCTGCAGCTTCTTTCAACCAGACATAATTATGACGTTGTTTATTTATATGACGTATAACATTTGTAATTTTTCGTCCAAGATTAATACGTGGTTTTAGCTTTTTTAATAAGGAATAATCCACAGGAAAAGATAACATTTCATCGGCATTTTTCCCCAAAAAAAATAACATTTTTTTAAGTTTTATTGTTTCATCAGGTGTACATAATAAAATAGATACTCCAGAACTTTCTGCACGAGCTGTTCTTCCTGATCTATGAATATAAAGATCCGTTGATCTTGGTAAATGATAATGAATTACATGTTGTATTTTAAAGATATCTAATCCTCTAGCTGCTATATCAGATGCGATTAAAATACTTGTCTCATTTTCATTAAATCTAATGAATTTAATTGTTATTTTGAAAATATATAATATTTACTTTTCAATTACTTGTAATCTTCGTTTTTGAGGGAGTTTAGAATGTAAAGGAAGGGGATTTATGTTAAATTCATTTAACATAAGGACAATACGATAAACATGATCTATACTATTCATAAAAACAATAGTACGTCCTGGATATTTTAATAAAAAGTAATACAAATATAAATCCTATAAACAATAAATATATAAAATATCAAACAATTCCTTATAAACCTTATCCATATTTTCACATTCTATCATTCCTTCTTTTATTTTTTTAGGAATACTTTCTTCAGGATTAGTATCAATAAAATCAAATTTATTTTTAAATTTTAATTTATTTAGAAATAATTCTAATAAAATTAGAAATAGACTTATTTCATTCTATATCAAACCTATTTCATTTTGTGTTGAAGTACTTGTTTCATAAACAATATTATTAATTTTTTTTTGCAAACTTTTTTTAAAAGTTGCAGAAAAAACCAATACTTGCATTTGATCTTTATATCCTTTTAAAGTATTAAAGATATCATCTAGTTCTTTAAAATGGCCTTCTTGTAAAAGTCTATCCGCTTCATCAAGCACTAAAAATTTAACTTTAGAAAACATTTTAATAAATCCATCATTTTGATTCATTATTTCCCATAATCTACCAGGAGTTGCAATAATAATATTAGGATTTCTTTTAAGCAGTCGTTCTTGTTTTTGAATTGATAAGCCTCCTGCAATAGTAATAATAGACAATGAAGAAAATTTAGAAATAGATTCAAGATGTCTTGCAATCTGACGTGCTAATTCTCTAGTAGGAGCAAAAATGAGAGCAGAAACTATACAAAAATTGTTTTTGATAATATAATCAATTACTGGAATTCCAAATGCTAAAGTTTTTCCTGATCCTGTCTCCGCTTTGGCTATAACATTATTTCCTTTTATTATACTTGCAATAGCCTTTCTTTGTATTTTAGTCGGAGATAAAAAGGAAAGATCACTAAGACCTTCTAATACGATCTTTGATAGGTTAAAATCTTTCCAATTTGGAAGATCTAAAGTTTTATTAGTTTCCTCCGAATTATTAATAGATTCAGATTTAAATAGAGCCAAATCCTCTTTTTCTTCAATCTGTTTATCTTTTCTAGAAGTATCTTGTTTTTTATTTGAAATTTCAGCTTTTATACTTGACTTTGATCTCTTCTTTCTATTTCCTTTATTTTTATCAACTATTTTCTCCTGAATATACCTTTTTTTCAGAAAAAAAAGAATATATGTAATTGAATACCTTCTCTTCATCTTTTTTATGTCTTTTCCTTCTTATTTCTAAGTCTACACCCTCTATTTCCTCAAGATCTATAAATCCTTTAATATTTCCAAGTCCACAGGAAATATTAACTTTTTTCCATTTCAAATCATCTAACTCTTGTATATTATTTACAAAAACATTATTTGATTGTTTCCTTTTCATTTATTTATCTTATTAATATAAATAGAATTTATCAAAACTCCTATAAAACTGATAATATATATAATAATACTGAAAAAAACATATAAATCCAAGTTGAAAATATAGATATAAAAAAATTTTATATATTTTTAAATCATTTATTTATTTAACTGATATGTTTAGCTCTGAAATATAAAACTGAAAATATTTTTAAAAAAATTTTAATTTACCTTTTATTTAACAATTAAATCTAGCATCAATTTTTTAAAATATAACAAACATTAATAAAACTATTCCTTTTTATTTATAGAAAATATTTTAAATATAACTTTTTTCCATAAAAAATTTAAATAATTAATAATAAACTTAATCTTTGACATTTATAAATCCATCAATTTTAAGCTTCATATTATTTCAAAGTAAAATTAATTTTGTTAAAAATAGAATAATTATATTTTTATAATGATTTTTATAGAAAATTTATCCAATTTAAAAAATATTTTCAATTTTATATTCAAATTTTAAAATTCCAAAATAAATGTAAAGTATTTTTAAAGTCAGTTTTATAAAATGTTAAAATTGATTGTAATAACACTGGTAACTAAATATATTACAGTTATAAAACCTCAATCTTATCGCGTAGAAATATAGAAGTATCGTAGAACAGGTTTATTAAATGGATTGGATCAAGACAGTAAATTCTTTACATAAATTTTATTTCCAAAAAAAACATTTTAATTTATTGAAGAAAAATGTATAATTACAAAGTCTGGTATAAATTATAAAATTAAAAATAATTTGATATTTCAAAAAGTCTTAAACAAAAAAATCATTTTAGAATAAAAAGATTATTAGACAACCTAAATAATATTATTAGATATAATTATTAATTTTATAAAGAAAATATTTAACCAATTTTTTTATTAGATTTATGATGAATGAACTCCACGATGTCCAACAGAATGTCCAACAGAAACAGCTTCCCAATTTGCACACTGACTAACAAATTGGTGCCAAATATCGGGAGTTTCTAATAAATGTTGCTAGATAATCAATTCTATTTTATTTAAAATTATAGATTATATTTACCTTTATAACACGTGCTTTATCTTTTAAATCGACCTATAGAGGGTTAATTAATTTTATATAACTTTTAAATATCTATTACTTGAGTCCTTCTTTGAAGCCATCCATGAACATCCATTTTTTTAATTTTAGCCCATGAAGGCCCATAAATGCTAACAAGATCAATCAAAGCAACAACTTCATCTTCTGTCCATTTTTGACGCTTTTTAGTTGAATGAATTTGTGGTGATGATCTCATGTCCCGAGAAACTTTATACAATGCCATTGCAGAACTTGGAGGATACGGTTCTTTCTGACTAAAACTAGAATTTCTCGTAGAATCACCGGAATAGTCACTATATCGAGTTTTTAATGGACTATTGCCCTCTTTATCTCTAGAAAACAAAGGAGTTCTAAGTGAAATATCTATATAAATAAGGAAAAAATATTTCAATATTGTAATAACCTCTTTGAGTTAAAGGTTCATAATGAGGATTTGGTGACACTTCTGCTCTATTAGAGATCTCTTCCATAACTTTTCCTTTTAATAATTCCATTCTAAATAAATATTATTCATTAGATCCTTCTAAAGATTTCTCCTTCTTACGACTCATTCAAATGATCTAACTGTTCCTTAAACCGTGTTTCATTACTATCTAGCCGCTTTAAAATACGATCCAATTGCTCATTAATCATAGAAACCGTCTGAGCACTTATTTTTCGTGATGATTCTTGCTTTGATACTGAAACATTTGATTTATTTGTTTTCTTCGATACTTTTACACCATTCTCCTCTTCCAATCCCTCTTTTTCACTTGATTTCTCTAAGTCCCTCTGAACTTCCTTTTGTTCACGAGATCTTTTATAATTACTAGAAACTTTCTGCTTATGAACTAACATAGTTTCCATAGATCTTGTACAAATCCCTCGTCTTTCTTTTAAAACATTCAAATCACTATCATTCTTTGTATTTACTCCATAAGTACATTGTTGTTTAACAACTTTCTTTCCTAATCCTTTTATATTCTCATTTGATTCATTTTTTGACAGATTTTCAGTAACTGGTGCTTCCTCAACTCTTCTTTTTGCATGACTTCTTAAATTTCGTTCTATCATCCTTTTAACTTCCTCAAAAACGAACACACTTTAAAAAACAAAATCCCTATAAGTCAGAAAATGTTTGTTTCCGGAAATATTCCTTGTTTACACGTACCTCATTCACTATTTATACTATTTTTCTTGACATACTCTTAATCAGTTTAAAAGACATTGAGTGAAGTTGTCGAAGATCAATACAAATCAAAAATTCTATGAAAAAACTAATAGTTTTAAATTAGAGGGTTTTTAGAGAAATTAAGAGGAAAAAAGAAGTTTATAAGAGTGTATGATACGGTTTTGTATTATTTGGTTGAGATATATGCGTGTTTTTTTTTGATCAAAAGGATTAAATAGTTTATCAAAAATCAGATGAAAGTATGTTAAAAAAAAGACTATATATATTGATTAAAGTGACGCATATAGTTCGGAAAACAGTTGATTTTAAGAGCAGCAGATCCAAAATGGTCTCAATATTACCTGGATTATAAGATGCTAAAGAAAGTATAAGAGCGAGATCTAAGAAAAAGTCTAAATCTTATGATAGTTTATAAAGATCTCATATGATGAACTAAAGGGTCCTATATTTCTACTATTTATTGATATTTGCTTATTATATGCGCTACAGAAATGAATTATAGTCATGAAATCTTAAAAAATATTGATAACGAATTCTATAAGCGTTTAACACATGAGCTTGAAAAAATTGATAATAGATATTGTTATATTGAGAAAAATTCAGCAGATTTGTTAGAAAGATTGGATGAATCAGTAAGCTTGGAAGTTGCAGAATCGATGGTTTATAATATTTGTAGTGGAATGATGAAATGCCAGTTATAGAATTAAATGAATGGTGTGAAAAATGAAATGATGAATATTTCTTATAAAAACAGGAGGAAATCTCTTTTACAGGTTATTACGACGTTAGAAGAATTACAAGGTATAATAATAAATGAAATTACTAGTTTTATTGATGAATTATAAGAATATATTCAAATTAATATGGTGGCGATTGTTAAAATCAAAAAAAAATATGATAAGAATGTAAAAAAAGGGAGTTGTTTTATTTTTCTAATATTTTTAGTTTAAGTAAATTGAAAAAAAAGAAAATAAAATCAAATGTTTTAATGGTGATAGATTTTTATCGAATAATCTGCCGGCAAAAGCATCTTTGAATTTGTTGAAAACGGTAGGAGGATCTAATGAATTAAATATTAATTATTCTCCAATGGCATCTAAAATTGATAAATATATTACACCTAATTTACATTTTGGAACATGTAAGCACGATATTGGATTTGATAATAAGGAAATATTAAGTCTTACATCTAAATTTAAATTTTCAATGGTTGATATGAACGAATATTTACTTAATAAAGCTCGGGAGGTTTGGGTTAAACTGATAAATTCTTTAATCTTATGATTTAGTTATGGAGAAAACATACTCCTCCTCCGGAGGTTCCTGAAGGGTGTCCAAACATTAAGTTATTAACTTTGGATGATTCCGAAATTCCTACAACAACATCTTTAGATTTAGAATCTTTACCTCGGGGAAGAATTAGTAAGTTGTGGATTTCTCTTATTGAAGATGCTCTTAAACCCTTATCTGTTCCCGTATTAGTCGCAAGAGGTATGTATATGATTGAAAAATATTTGTCATTTGATAGGAAATAGGTGTAAAACATGGTCCAGTTGTAGGACTTACATGTGCTTTACACGGTAATGAAGTTAATGGTATTCGAGTTGTTCATCGTTTATATCAATCTGAACTCAATCCGGAGTCACTTCATGGTACTATTGTTGCAGTAATAGTTGCAAATATTCAAGGATTTCTATCATCATCTAGAGGGTTTGAATCACAAGACTTAAATAGATTAATGCCAGGGTAATTTGAATATATTTGTAGCTTTATTTAGAATTATTAAATAGAAAAATTAGGAGAAAGAATGGATCTACTTCTCAACAATATGCATATAATTTAATAGAAAGAATTGTAAAAAAGTTCGATTATTTAATAGATCTTCATACTGCATCTAAGGGAAGAGTTAATTCTTTATACGTTAGAGCGAATATGCTAGATGATCGTACAAGAAAAATGGCAGTTTTACAAAATCCTCAGGTATTTAATATTTAAATCTATGATAAAATATTAATTAAAAGATAATCGTGCATAACACAGGTCCAGATGGATCTTTAAGAAGTGCTGCTATGGCTGTTAGTATTCCTTCTATTACTGTTGAGGCAAAATTCAAACAATTAAAAGTACTATATATATTAACTTAAAAATAGATAGGGAATCCGAGTATATTTCAAAAGAGATTCGTCAAAAATGCTTTATTGGGTGTTTCCAATATTATAAGCCATTTAGCTATGATTCCGGATGAACATCAACAAGCTGAATTTAAACCAGTTATTTGTGATAAAAGTGTAAATATGCTTTTTTCTATCATATTTTTTAATCTTAAATCTTAAGTATTGGATATTCACCACTAAGGGTGGAATTTTGAGTGGTAATATATGAAGATTTTGACGGTAATTTATATAGCTAATAGCTTTAGTAATTCCCGAAGTAAATACATGGGTTAGAAAGGGGGAAGTAATTGCGACAATTCATTCTATTTTTGGACAGTTGATTGAGACTTACACAGCGCCAGAAGATTGCATTATAGTTGGTAAAGAGATAGATCCCGTTGCTAGTTCAGGTATAACTATATAGATTTGGGTTTAAATTGTTTTCTTAACTCTAAAGGTTCTCGTATTGCGCATATTGGGGTATGTCGAGGGTTTTATGGCACAGGCAAAGTAGATGATGGTCATATATAAATGTTGATGATTCTATGAATTAATAGAGACGGCTTTATATAATGAACACCATTTTGATTATGTTTTATCCCGTTTTTTCTATAGAAATTGTACATAGAAAAAGATTATATATATTGTAATTCACCTTTTCTTTTCATTTCAATGGCTTTCTTATAAGGAGGTGCTAAGCTCTATATTAACAATACTAGTATCATTTGATTGATATATGTTACCAATAGGAGATTGCACAGGATCTAGACTTTTATAGTTTTTATCATTATCAGAAAAATATGTTGCTTCTGAATCATATGCACTTAAATCTCCACATGCTACAAAGGGAACAATACTGTTTGTGTCCAAATCATCTCTTAGAGAAATGGGTGTTGAAATATCTGGTTTATAATTATCAGGCAAAGAAAAATTCTGGCATACTATAAATGCTTCTAACAAATTAAATAAATAAGAAAATAAAAGAATATACCAATAGAACTTCCTCTACTACTACGAGGCTTTGCACATGTTATTTTTTCGAAAAAACACCCTAACTGGGCATATAAAAAACTAATATCTTTTCCACGAAATATCTTTGCAACAAAATTTCCACCAGGCCGAAGTACAGATATAGTTAGATTTAAAGCAGACAATAGAAGTTGTCCCTGAATATATTCGTCAAGATCATGTAAACCCGTCACATCTAAAAATTTAAAAAAATTTTAAATTAAATATATATCACACCTGGTGCACCATCACAAATAACTAAATCTGCAGGCTTATTACCAAAGATTTCTAAGATTTTGCAAAGTGTATCAGAATGCGTAATATCTGCCTGAAGAGTTCTTACGCCTTCAATAGGCATGATTGGCTGCAGATCTACTGCAACAATAGTTGGTTTTTCACAAGAATCCGTATTTTCTCTAGAAAAATTAATCTAAGAAAATATTTTTCAAAAATACATCAATTTCTTAGAAAGAACTTGCGACCATGATCCAGGAGCTGCACATAAATCTATAACTCTTTTGACACCTTAAAATTATTATTTATAATGATTTTTTTTAAAAAAAAAACCCATTAAAAGACCAAATTCTTCATCCAATTGAATCAATTTAAAAGCGGATCTTGCTCTCCAACCTTCTTCCTTAGCAAGTCCTGTTTTTTTGTAAATAAAATAGAGAATTACTTTATAATATCATACGATAATAAATATCTCTCTAATTTTTTATTAAAAATCCCTATTTAAAATCCAAAAAAATCACACCTTATCTTTACTAGATTTTCCCATAAAATACTGGAATAGTATTCAAAAAGATCTTTGATTCTCTTTAATTGCCTATTTTTTATCTAATTATTTAAATCACCTTTATTCACTCAAATTCTATCTATTTTAACCAGAAAAAAAGATATACCACCTATATTGACCTATTTATAGCGATTTATGATTTTTAATTTGTATAAATTTACTATCTTTCTCTTCCCGTTTTTTTTTAATTTTTTTTGACGTTAAAAATTCATCTTGAACCTCAAAATTTTAACTCTTTTAATGAGTATTCAATATCCGTCTTTTGACACTATTTCTCCAGAAGAAGCCTTTTCTTTAGGATGTTTAAAACGTATTGATTCAAGAAATGATGTTTTTTTATTTCAAAAATCCATTGCTTACTCGAGAATTACTGATTTTATTAAAGTCTTAAATTTGGCACTCCCAGGGACCAAATTGACAGACTATATGAATGAATCTGATGAAATAAGAAAGATATTATCTGTATTAGATGTGGTTTCCTCTTGGATAGAAGAAATTCCTCCAGAAAAAGGCCCTAAACGGTTTGGAAATAAGGCATTTCAGAAATGGATTGATCGCCTTGAAAATGTATTTTAATGGTAAATAATGGCCTGAATTATTAAGATTATTGCTAGGAAGCTCTTGTTTTATTGAAAAAATTTCTTCCAGATTGGATTTATCCAGCTTTAAATGAACTCTATCCATATTTTACGGGTGGATTTGGTCATGGAAAAAGATTGGACTATGGTACTGGACATGAACTTTCTTTTACAGCATTTCTTTGTGGTCTTTTGTTGTTGCGATTTTTTAAATTAGATCGGGATGAAGTACCAATAGTCTTAAGAATATTCAACAAGTATTATTTTTTTTAAAGGTAATTTTTGAGGAAATAATTTTTTAATTAGATATTTTGAAATTATAAGGACACTGGTAATAACATACAATCTTGAACCAGCTGGTTCTCATGGAGTATGGGGATTGGACGATCATTTCTTTTTACCATATGTGTTTGGATCTTCTCAATTATCTTGTACAAATGTCACTGTTTTACCCAAAGATATTTTAGATAAAAATATAGTTAAACAACAGAAAAGCGAAAACTTATATTTTAGTGCAATTAGTTTTATTAATGATGTTTTTATTATTTATTATTATCTTAATTTATTAATAATGAATAGGTTAAACATGGCCCTTTTTATGAACATTCCCCTTATTTATATGATATATCTGGAATAGAATATTGGAAAAAAGTTAATCAAGTATAATTTTATATTAAAATTTATCTTAATCGTATTAATTAAAATAGGGTATGTTAAAAATGTATTATGCAGAAGTACTTGGAAAATTCCCTGTGATACAACATTTTCTTTTTGGAAATATATTATTCCCATTTGATCCTGTTCAAAATTGACTTAAAAAAAATGAATTAATATGTTTTTTTCCTTATTAAATAAATCTTCCTATTTCCGCTTCCAAATTTGAGTTACATATCATCTATTTTCTGGATTTTAGAGAATGGTACCTTTTAAAATCCATCATATAATTGTTTTATTACCTATTTAATATCAATATGTGATTTTTTTTTACTAACTCAATTAATAATTTTTAATACATTTTTCTGAATAAAAAATCCTCCATGTTTTAAAATTGTTTGAGGATCCAATAAAGTTATCTTAAAAGAAATACAAGATCTTTTTACTTTCATCATAAAGTATGGTAATATCTGTGTAGGGTTAGGTCAGGTTAATTAATACTCGTTTCATCTGACCGTTTTTTAAATATCAAAAAAAAAAGATGGTATTTTTTCTACTTTTTGTTTAAAAAATAACCTTTTATAGGCAAAAGCTAGTGCTTATTTCCTTCGAAAGAAATCTAAAGCGGAGCTAGAGAAGGAATTAGAGGAATTAAAACAAGAACTTTTGACTTTACGTGTACAAAAGATATCAGGAGGAGCTGCATCAAAATTAGCAAAAATGTAGGTTGTTTATTGACAAAAGAAGTGTCTTATTTAATTGTTTAGTTCAAATGTCCGCCGATCTATTGCTAGAATTCATACTATAATTAATTTGACCCAACGACAACAACTTCGATTGTTTTATAAAGGAAAAAAATATATTCCTTTAGATTTACGTTCCAAGAAAACGAAGGCATCTAGGCTTTCCCTGACACGCCATGAAAAAAGTTTGAAAACTTTGAAACAACAGAAAAAATGTAAATATTTTCCTCGAAGAGTATATGCTTTAGAGGTATTTTTTGAAAAAAATATTATTTATAGTTGATAGCTTATTGTTATTTGTAGGCATAGTTTAGTTAGGCCTATTTATTTAATGTTATAATCATGTATCATGATGTTTCAGCATTTTTGTTAAATTTCATGATAAAATTAAATTAACAACTTTATTTCCTGGTGCAATAATAACATTTTTTATATGCTTTCCAGCATTTTTATCTTCAATCCATTGTTTTCCTTGCTCGCTTTCCATTATAATTTGTAAAATGTCTTCCTTATTAGTGCAATTGTATGGTAATACAACACGAAATCTTAATTTTCCATTAATTTGAATCCCGGCTTCAATGTTCTCATCTTGAACAGACACGTCGGCTAAAGGCCATGATGAATTGAATATAGATTGGTCTTCTGAATAAAGATATGAATACATTTCTTCTGCAATAGCTGGTGTAATTGGTGCAATAAGTTTCAATAGTATTTCTGTAACATGAAAATATAAATTATTAGAAATATCATTTCTAGAAGAATCAAGCTTAATTGTTAGTTTTATCAAAGACGAGACGGCTGTATTTAGTTGATAATTTGTAGAAAAAAAATGTGTAACATCAGATATTGTTTTTTGAACTATTATCCATAATTTTTTTTCTGAAGAATTTAAATTGTCCCATTTAACCTGATATGATTTCATATTTGTAGCTTTTTCGACATCTATCTCACGAACTATTCGAAATATTTTATTAAGCCATCTTTGCATACCAATTATTTTTGTTTCATCCCATTTAAGAACTTCAGAAATAGGTGCAGAAAAAAGAATATGTGCACGAACACAATCTGCGCCATAAATATCGATATATTTTAAAGGATTTATCCCATTATATTTTGATTTACTCATTTTTTCATATTTAATTTTTGGAGTTATATTTGAATTTAGTATTTTTGGAAACATAGGATTCTTCAAATCCAATTCATCAGGTTTTAGAAAACGTCCAGTGATTGGATCAATATATGTTTTTCCATGAACCATACCCTGAGTAATTAATTTACTAAAAGGCTCTCCATTGTTTATATCTTTCAACAATTTTGTTTTAATTGCAAACTTCATAAAAAATCTAGAATATAAAAGATGTAATATTGCATGTTCAATACCACCAATATATAAGTCGACGGGCAGAAGTTGCGATGCTTTTTCCATACTAAAAGGTTCTTTTGAATTTTGTGGATCGGTAAATCTTATGAAATACCATGATGAATCAACAAAAGTATCCATAGTATCTGTATCTCGTTTAGCTAGGCCATTGCATCTTGGGCAATTTGTATATAAGAACTCTTCATCATTTGCTAATGGGGATCCGCCAGAACTTTTTATTATCGGCTTTTTGGGCAGTAATACAGGTAATTTGGATTCAGGAACAGGAATGGTCTAAAAGTATTAATAAAGTCCCAAATAAAAGAAAAATATACTCCACAATTCGAACAATAAATAATAGGAATGGGCGTTCCCCAAAATCTCTGGCGACTTATAAGCCAATCTTTTAATTTCCAATGAGTAACGGTTTTACATAAATTCAATGATTCCATTTTAAGGATTAATTGAGTAGCCTTTTCGGAAAATATTTCAGAAAAATATTTTGAATTTTCATTGGAAACAATGCCATTTACGTTCTTATTAATAGTCTTACTAGTATTAATTTCTAAAGAATTCTCCTTACAAAACTGAAAGTCTTGAGAATCATAAGCAGGAATACCCATAATAGCATCACATCCATAACTGTCTAAAACATATGCTGAAACATAAACTGGAAAAGAAAAATCGGGTATAAATTGATTATATGCATGAATATCTTTTAGTAAAAATCCCTTTTTAGAATATATACCTATATTTGAAATATTTTTCAAAAACATTTGAAGATTTGAATCCTTAAAAGCCAATTTAGAAACAATAGGATGAAATGGAGAAAGAACGATATATTGAAGGTAAAATAATGCAGTGGGATGTGCTGTAAATACATATATATCTTTGAGTAAATTAGGAAGATTTTTGATATTTTTATATTTTAAAGTAAAGAGAATTTCAACACCTGTTGACTTTCCAATCCAATTTTTTTGCATAATCTTCACTCTTTCTGGCCAATCCTTAAGCGTAGAAATATCTTTAAGAAGAGGCTAATATATAAAAATGATTGTTATATAAAAGTTATTTTTTACCTCAGAAAAATCAGTTATTTTAAGAAACCATTGTTTCAATTTTTTTTTTTCAACAATAGCTCCAGAACGCCATGATCTACCTAATGCATCAATTTGTTCATTAGCAAGAACTGTGGATTCTATAGGATCCCAATTAACATATTCTTCCTTTTGATAAGCATATCCTGCATTATAGAATTTTAAAAATAACAACTGCGTCCATTTATAATAAGATGGCAAACATGTAGTAATTTCCTAATTAAAAATAAATTAAAAAAGTATCAAACTTATAAATTCTGATAATACTCTATCCCAATCAAAATCAATATTCATCTTTGAAAATTGTTGTTTCATTTTTATAATATTTTGTGAAGTCCATTCTGCTGCTGAAATATTTCTTTCAATAGCTGCATTTTCTGCTGGTAATCCAAAAGCATCCCATCCTATAGGATGTATAACCTAAAAAAATGAGTCTAAACAATAAACATTCATGCATTTTGAAACATCATAGCCTTGCATTCTTTTGAATCGAGAGATAACATCACTTATTGTATAAACTCGAAAATGTCCCATATGTAATGATCCACTAGGATAAGGAAACATACTCAATATATAAAACTTTTTACATATCTTTTCTTTATATTTTTTATTTAAATTCCTTATTTCCTGCCATTTTTTACCCCATTTATCATCTAAAGATTTAAAGTTAAGTTTCAAGATCTTTGTATCTATATTTTTTTTAACACTTGAATAACTTCTTTTTGTTTTCTTAAAAAAATATCTATAAAGATACATATTATGGAAATTGTTGATATTCCAAATTTAATTCTTTTTCTAAATAATATAAAACTTAAAATTCTAATTATATCATATTTAAGCTATTTTTACCTTTCAAATACTAAAAAAAAAGATATAGAATAATATATTTTCTTCTATCTCTTTATTTTAGAAATATAACTGTCTTTTTTAATGTTTTTGGCTTAAAATGTAACATGTTTAGATGCTTTAAAATAAGAATATTAGAAATCTTAGATTTTAAGGATTTTAAATATATAAATAACTTATTAGCTTATATGCTTTATTAAAGTTTATTTTTTGTAGTTTTAAAGTCCATACTAGAAATATGATTATATAGTATGAAATTAAGATATTTTTTCATAGATATATTTATCTTATAAATGTTTTTTAATTTTAATATTTTGAAGATTCTATAAAATATCTAAAGTTTAAAAAAACATTTTTTATATGATTAAATAGTTTTGTATTATTTTTTATTTAAATTTTTTATATTTTTTCTAAATAAATTTAAATGATTATAATTCTTATATTATATTAGAAATTAAAATTATATAAAAATAAATTAATTTGTAGTAAAGTTTAATCTTAAAACAAGGATTTATTAATATTTTAAAAATAAACTTTTATATTCTAGAAGTTAAAGATTACTATATTTTATGAATCTAAAAATTTTAATATAATTAATATTAACTTTTTAAAAAAATATATTTAAAAGATCAAAAACTGTTTTTATTGTTTTTTGTATAGTATTAATGACTTAATTTTCCTTATTGATACAATATTTTTTATATAAAACTAATTCTTAATAAATTAAGGTTATCCTATCAAAATTAAAAAAATTCAAATATTTAAATTTTGTTAGATGCAAATAATAGAAAGATGATATTTTATTTGTAGATGAATATATGTTTAAAAGCATTGTATATCTTTAAATGAAATCTTTTTATATATAATAATTATCTTAAAATGTTCTATATAAATCCAATATATAAAATGAATCATGATTGAATTATTTAGAAAAATTATTATTATATTGATTTTTTGAGAAATTGGAACTTGTTGAATAAAATGACTAATTTTATCTTAAAATTTATAAATATGATTTAAAAATAAGTTTTCAAAATACTTAAATTATTATTTAATTTTTAAGATTCAAATATATAACTAAATTTAAAAGAATAAAAGATAAAAAAAAGTTATAATTTTTAATATATTTTGATCATTTTTATTTATAAATTTCAATTTTAAAATTTTAAATTATATTATGAATAAACAAAAAACAAAATAATTAATAAAAATTTTAAAAACAATTATATTAAATTTATTAACATTTGAAATTAATATTAAAAATTAAGATAATTTCTCATTTAAATTAAAAAATTAATCTATAAAAAAAATTAATTGTATATTTTTAAATAAATTAGTTCTTTTATATTTATAAATAATTAAAGAACTTATTGATATATTTTTCTATATTTATAAAACTTTGTAAATTTACATATTTTGTTTTAAAAAAATCTTAATATGAAAGAAATAAAATTGTAAGCCTATATAAAAACAAAAATATTATCTTTTAATACCATGAATTTGCAATATGGTATCAATCAAGTTTCTAATATAGAAAATTTGGATATTTTAAGGAAAAAGATCAATCCAAAGCTATTTTTTTTTAAAAAAGAAGTTTTAAGAGCTTTAAAAAAAGCAAGAAGATTCGAATTTCAAAAGATATCAAAAAGAATTAGAAATGAAAGGTTTTCTATCCTTTTTTCTAAAGAAATTAACTTAAATATTAAAGACCAACAAATAATATTACAATTTTAGATAGATTAAAGGAAGAATTGTTAGTAGTTAAAGTATAATTATTTTATTTTATAATAAAATATATTGAAATAAACAGAATCTTAATTTGGAGGCTATTAGGGACTTTTTGTTGTATATTAATTGTTTAAAAGAACCATTATTATTTCAGATTATACATTTAGAGCCAGTAAATTCACCATTAAAAAATGTATCAGAATCAGTTAAAAATGTTATTACAAGGCTTTTTAATTCAAATAGTATCAAGAAGTGTATAAAAAGAGTTATTTTTTCTTTGAAAAAAATAGCTAAAATCCAAGATGAGACAATGAAACCAAAAAATCCTCAAAAAAACAAGAAAAATTCTTTTGAAGATCCTTCTATATTGAATAATAAATTAAGAGGTACGGAAAAAGGGAACTCAAAATCTTTGAATGTAAAAAATAAAGAAAAAAATATAGATATTTTAGAAGAAAAAGTTGAATTAAAAATTAAGAATCATATTCAATTAAAACCTAAAAAAAAAAGAATAAATCTTGAAGAAAAACTCAAGAATTTATCTGGTTCAACCTTTTTACCAAGTCTTTCTACTGGTTATATTTCAGGAAGTGATGATAATAATAATATTGATCCAGAATATAAAGTTATTGATAAACCTAAGAAAAATAGAAGAGGACAGAGAGCTAGGCGTAAAATATGGGAAATAAAATATGGAAAAAATGCAAGACATTTACAGATTAAAAGAAAAAAATTGAATTCGAATAAAAACATTAAGTTATCATATAATAATAAAAATTCAGCTTTAGTAAGTAAAAATAATAAAGAGACTAAACCACTACATCCATCATGGGAGGCAGCTCGTCGTTTAAAAAAGAAGGAATCAAGCAATATAAAATTCGAAGGAACAAAAATCAAATTTGAATAGTTCAACTATAATTTCAAAATATTAATAATAAATTATGAATGCTCTATAGACTAAATTATTTATATAATACCATAAATAATTATTATAAATGCAAATTTATCAGTTTTGTATGATATAAATTTATTTTGATTTCTTAAATAATTTAAATAATTAAATAAAAGCATATAATCTTCAATCAATCGTATAATATAATGAAATATTTCAAGTTTAGTATATATTGTTTCTTTAAATACCATATAAACTGAAAAAGCCAGATATTATAAAATATATTATTTAAAATAATGCATTTTTGCTCAATAAATATGTGCATGTTCCACTTTTTTTCTTTTAATGCGTTAATATTTTCCTATTTTCAAAGTTATTATGAATATGATTAATTTCTTCTAAATAAATAAAATGTAATTTCTCGAAATCCTCTTTATAATGTTTTATGAGATTGTCTTTTTCCTTTATCATATCAGTATATTTACACTTATGTTTGTTAAAAAATAGTGTTTTAGTAAGAAAAGATACTCACTAATATATTTTGTTGTATATTTAGTTTTTTGATAAGTGAATTATGTTCTTTAAGTAAAGATTCTAATGTTAGTTCATGTTCCCTAATTTTAAAAATATGCTTTGTTATCTGTTCATTTTTTATTAATACTTTCTTCTGGAGATTAAAATATTTCTAATAAAAATTAATTAAAAATGAAACAAAACAAAACAAAACTACCATCTCCAATTCAGAAAATTCAAGAAAAAGTATATCGCATTGTTTTGTTTTGTCTTCTAGTTTTTTTCTTTCTTCTTGTAATTCATCTTGAGTTATTTTAAGTTGATCACTGATTTCTTTAATATATGTAGAGTCTTTAGAAAAGACATTGTTTTTTCCCTTAATAAATTTAACATAATTCTTTTTCAAAGATATACAAACTTCGGAGTCTTTTAAAATATTTTCATAATTGTCTTTAATCTCACAATTGTTCTTTAGATAACTTATTTCTTTTAATAATTCATTATTTGCGGTTAATGCGAAAGAAAGCTCTTCCTCGACATTCTTTTTTAACGAATCTGATTCTTCTAATTTTTTTCGTATTTCTTCCATATTTTTAGCAGTTTCAATTTTTTCTGCATCTATAGCTTGCTTTTTGATTTTAGGATTCATTATTTATTTCAAATATTATATAAAACATACCTCTGCAGATATAAGTTTATTTTGAAGTATTTTTTCTCTTTCTATATAGTATAACTTGACAGATTCTAAATGCTCATGAAAATTTAATTGGTTCACATCATGACTCTAAAAAAATAAAAAAAAAGAACCAAATATTAAATTAAACAAAAAAACCTTTAATTGTTCTTCTAAACTTTTTATAATATCTTTAGACTTTTCAATTTCACTTTTTAAAATTTCTGTAGATAGTTGACTTTCTAACTTGCAAAAATTTATTTGTTCTAATAACTTTTCATTGTATACACTTGAATTATTCAATTCAGAAGCCAATTTTTCTACTTCATGACTCAGAGAATTAATTTGTTCTATGTATTTATTATCTTCAGTTTTAGATATTAAAGGACCTTTCTCTTGGACTTCCTTATTTAGTGTATCTGTAATTTCTTCATGATGCCTATTTCTATTCCTTAATTTATTGTTTTGTTGTATTAATTTCAAATATTTTTCATTAAATACTTTTTCCATATCAGATCTTTCTTTAGCAGAAATCAATTCATTTTTTAAATCATTAGCTTCAAACAATGAGCAAGAATCCAATGAATTACAGAGAATACTTGACGAATCATTCATATGAAATGTATTTTCATGACTTTCAAGTTCAAAAAACTTTTCATATAATGACTTATTATGATCTTTAGATATATTTTTCGTTTCTTCCAATGGAAAAGGATCCTCTTTAATACTTTTCGAGTTGAAAAGAAACAATTCCTGCGTGTTCTCCATTTTTTCAACAGGATCTAGTAATGATTTTCTAGAATGCGTTTTTTCTTGATCTAGATTAAACTCTCCCACATTTGACGGTGAAAATGCCCATGAAGATGGCCTCCTTTCAGAAATAGCAACACCTTTCATTATTCTTGGACTTAATTGAGGATTAACATCATTTAAAGGTTCAATCACTTTCAAAGGTTCTACCACTTTCATTCTAATATTTTCTTTCTTTTCCAAAGAAACACTTGAAAAACAATTCCCACTTATTAAAGAACTATTCTGAACTTGTGCTAAAATTCGCGTATTTTTAGATATATCTTGTTTATCCGGTAATTGCTTTGGACATGATAATTGTTCAAAAACTGAAATGGTCCTTTTAATATTCCCGCTTTGAACCTTCAATGAATTATATTGAGGAATCGTTGTTATATTCTTCTGTAAATTAAAAAAAGACATAGATTTTGCCTCTTTTCTCCCTTCTTTTTCTGCCATTATCTTTATTACTACAAAGTTCCTTATAATCTTAAGAAAACTTAGTATATCTTTATAATTTCTTCAACAAAATATAAGAAATTTGGACTATTTCTTAATGAAAACTAATGATTTATTAAGAAATCATTAAAAAATACTTAATTTTTAATGCAAGTAAATGTTAATATTTAACGAAAAAAATTAATAAATCTCAAAGATAAAATAAGATTTTTAGTATGATTAAATATAATAATAAAAATAGCTTTTTAATAGGAAAAAACTATTTAAAATTGAAGAATTTAAGAATTATTAATCAATTTTTTTTTAGTCAATTAAGTAAAAATACAAAGGTTTTACCTTTAAATATTCTAAAATATCCCATTGGAATGGCAAATCCTCCATCACTTGTAAAGAATGGCGAAAAAAACTTAAAAAATTGGAGAGAAAGCCTGAATAATTTATTAAGTTTAGAAAAAAATAGAGAAAGAAGAGAAAAACTGTAGATTTTACTTTAAAAAAAGAAAATTGAAGAAATATCTGAGTTATTTTAGTTTAAAAGAAGCTTCGAAATCATATTGGGATGATTTTCAGGGTATGAAATATCACCAAGGAAAAGTAAATTTTGATAAGTTCATATAAATTTTTTTTAATTGAAGGTTCTAGAAATGGATAGCACCTAATTATCTGTTAAATAAGGATGTAATACAAGATATTTTATTATTTTTATTATATAAATGCATTAACTTTTATACAGCAAGCTTTGTACATTGCAAATTTTTATGGTAGAACTCTTTTAAATGTTACGACAGATACAACACCTTTTATTGAATCATCAGCTGCATCTCTTGTAAGCATTTTTTCATCTAAATCAGGAGAAGAACATATAAAATCATTTTTAAGTCCTAAATTATATTTGGAGGTACCTGATTTGAAATATATTTATATTAATCTGCAAGAAAGTTTCATAAAAGCTATACTTGTTCGGCTTTTTTCAAAAAACATAAGAAATAGTATATCAAAAGAATATCATGTAATGATTTAACTCGAAGGTATACTTTAATATTGATATCTATTTAGAACACATACTTTTTTATTAATAAATTACCAAAAGATATTAAAGAAAATATGATGATTACAAATATGTATGTTGGATATATTTATCTTGTAGATAATCAATCTCAAATTCGATGGGCAGGATGTGGAAATGCAACAAAAGAAGAAAAAGAAAATTTGATAATATGTTCACAAAAACTTATAAAAGAATATAAAAAAAGTGTTGAGTGCTAAGTGATATATTTTAAAATAATTTATTATATGAATCTTTTTAAGAATGCAATTTCATATCATAAAATATGTCATAATAATGCATGCCGAAATAACAAACGACAAAATCAAATTATTTTTTTTCCTTTTAGTATTTATTTTAGAAATAAAATATTTAATTCCAGAAATAAAATCTATTAAATATTAAATCTATTTTCAAATTCTTCTTCAGTTTACTTGTTGCTCTTAACATTCTTTGATTCATATCATGAAGCATATCTTTTTGGTGATAAAAATCATCTCGAGTAGTATACGCTTGTCTAAAGTAGATTAGATATTAAAATTATCTAATACATCACACTTACAAAAGAATTTCATCTGTCATATTATGCGAATTATCAATTCTATTTGATTCCTCAAGAAAATAATCCGATTCATTGTTTTCTAATCCATTTTTATGTTTTCTAGATCATCCTTTAATTATCCAAGATATTTTTTAAATCATACTTAGTATTATTTTTAAAATAATTAGTTTCTTTATAATTTGATTTTCTCTTTTTCTAAAACTATGAAAAAAATAATAATCAATTTCAAGACTGACATTCATTTTTTCATATTCTTCCTTATGTTTTTCTAATATTTCTATATGTCTTTCTACATGGTATCGTTTAATCGTATCTCCTCCATAATCTGGATCTAATAAACTTGATAAAGAATTAATAATTACATTTCTCTATTTGTCCATAAGAAAAACCCCTATTTATGATAAAATAAACCTTATTAAAAAGATCTTGAGCATGTTCTTCAAGTGTTTCCGATGATGTTACAAGTTCTAATAATAGAGATTCTGTCTGTGACTCTAATGATATTAACTGTAATCTTAAAGTAGACCATGATTTGGTTTCATTTAACATAATATACTCGAAAAATTAAAATTTAACTCAATATTCAAGATTAATTTAAGAAAATAAAAATAAATAGAAAAAATATAAGATTATAAGTTTTAAAAATAAAATAAAAAATATATTAATTTTTTATAAAATATTTTTTATTAGATAAAATATATAAAAAAATTTAAATTTTAGGATAAATTAAAGTAAGAAATAAGAAAAAATAATTATAAATTCATCAATATTAATATTAAAAAAATGAGTATTAAAGGAGAATTAGATGAATCTAAAAAAAAAACTGAAGAAAAAGATCAATATAATAGTGTTTTAACAGAAAACACTGCTGAAGAAAAAAAAATAGATATTAATACATTAGATGATGATGATGAATTTGAAGATTTTCAGGCAGAAGGTATTATTTATTGTTTTATTGGTATTTTCTATTGAATATTATAAAATTTTATTATATTCAATATATATTTTTCTTTACTTATAGCTAATATTATAGACTGGACAGAAGCTGATACTGACCTTGGAATAAGTAAAGATAAATTATGGGATGATAATTGGGATGATGATGATATTGAAGATTCGTTTTCTATAAGCTTAAGGTATGTTTAATAATAAACGTTCAAATAGAAATATATATTTTTTTTTAATTTTTAGAGCTGAACTTCAAAAATTTCAAACACCATCTGTTTAAACTTATTAAAAACTTAGTTTTTTTTATACATTTTAACAAGATAAATATATAAGTTAGTTGCTTTATAAATTATATTTAATTCAAATATTAAGATTGTTTGATTCATTTTAAGTTTTCCGACGGGCAAAAAATATAGAAAAAAAAGCTGTTTTAGAATGTCTCTTTCCAATAAATTGTCAGTCAGGGAAACAGTATTGAAAGGGAAAAGAGTTTTTATCCGGTATTATATTTTTTTTGGTAAAAAAACGATATAATATGTTTTTAGAGTTGATTTTAATGTTCCTTTGAATTTAAATAAAGAAATTACAAATAATCAGAGGATTACATCTACTCTTCCAACAATTGAATATGTTATAAAAGAAGGTTTTTATATTGGCTTTAATTTTCTCATTATTTATATGAAATTTAGGAGCAAAGGCAGTAATTCTTGCGTCTCATTTAGGTCGTCCTAATGGTAAAAGAAATGAGAAATATTCATTAAAACCGGTTTCTGAAGAACTCGAAAGACTTCTACAAAGAAATGTTCTTTTTTTAGATGACTGCGTTGGCGAAAATGTTGAAAAAATATGTAAAGAAGCTACAAATGGTCAAATTATTTTGCTCGAAAACCTTAGATTCCATGTTGAAGAAGAAGGAAGTTCAAAAGATGCAGAAGGAAATAAAATTAAAGCAGATCCAAAGGATATTGAGAAATTTCGTAAATCTTTAACATCTTTGGGAGAGATATATATCAGTTAATATCGAAATTTTTATTTTTTTCATAGTTTATATTATTTAGATGATGCATTTGGTACAGCTCATCGTGCACATAGCTCTATAGTCGGTGTTGATTTACCACAAAGAGCTGCAGGATTTCTTATGAAAAAAGAACTTGACTTTTTTGCTAAAGCTCTTGAAAATCCGCAAAGACCTTTTTTAGCTATTCTTGGTGGTGCCAAAGTTTCAGACAAAATACAGCTTATTGATAATCTTCTTGATAAAGTCGATATCCTAATTATATGTGGTAAAGTAAAAATATAATAAAATCAATTTTTATTAAGATTTCAGGCGGAATGGCATATACATTTAAAAAAATTTTGGAGGATATGGAGGTTTTTTAAATATTTTAAACATTTCACTAAAAATTATTAATTTATTATAGATAGGGACATCTTTATTTGATAAAGTAGGCGCAGAAAATGTTAAATTTCTGGTAGAAAAAGCAAAAAATAACAATGTAAAAATTGTTTTTCCTGTAGATTTTATCACAGCAGATAAATTTGATAAAGATGCAAAGACTGGATATACTACTGATAAAGAAGGAATTGCTGCAGATTTGATGGGTTTAGATTGTGGCCATAAATCAATTGAATTATTTGAAGAGGTAATAAAACAAGCCAAAACTATTTTATGGAATGGGTAATTTCTAATATTTAATTTTACAATAAAATAACCTATTAGTCCTGCTGGTGTGTTTGAATTTGATTCTTTTGCTTATGGCACTAAAAAAATACTTGATGCCGTTGTTTCCTCTTCAAAATCTGGAAACATGGTTATTATAGGTTTTTACAATTATCATCTTATTTTTTCTAATTCTATCTTAGGTGGTGGCGACACTGCGGTTAGAGCTTTCAAAACAAATTTATTCAAACTAATATACTTTAGACTGTTGCTACAAAATACGGACAAGTTCATAACATATCTCATGTTAGTACAGGCGGTGGTGCAAGTTTGGAGCTTTTAGAAGGAAAATCTCTTCCTGGCGTTTCAATACTAACTGATAAACAGTAATTTGTTTTAAAATCTTAAAAATCTTAAGTAATATTTTTAATATTTTTAAGATTCTTTTTCAGGAACATTCTTTATGTTTTTTAATCTCTAAACTATATAAAACAAAAGTTTTATATAATAATGTTTTTCATCTTTAAGATTTTGTTTTTCTATTGTATCTTTATTTATTTAATATATAAAATAAATATTTTTAAAAATATAAAAATTTATGGGGAAAAAGATGAATCATGTTTTTAAATATAAAGAAGATGGAAAGAAGACGGTTAAGATATCTTTTGAGGAGCCTCTTATGATTGATTTATTTGAAAATAAAAATAATGATTTATATATTGAGTTAGTTAAACATGTTATGACAAAGTCGAAAAAGGTAGTTGTTTTTGTAGGCGCAGGAATCTCTACAGGCGCAGGAATACCAGATTTCAGGTCAGAAAATGGACTTTTTGCTACTTTACGTTCAAATTTTAAGTTAAAAACTAGCGGGCAAGATTTATTTGATATTTCTGTTTATAAAGTTGAATATTTTTATAAAAAAAGATATATTTAATAAATTTAGAATGAAAATGATATGAAACGGTTCCATAAGATGATATCGGATTTGTATAGGATTTCAGCATCAGCTAAACCTACATTGTTTCATGAATATCTTGCGGCATTAGCACGTTCTTCGCAACTAATACGTCTTTATACACAAAATATTGATTTTTTAGAGACACGGATGCCATATTTAGAGTCTCAAGCACCTTTGCCTATGTTGCCTCCATGGCCTAAAACAATTCAGTTGCATGGTGGTCTTCAAAATATGATTTGTTCAAAATGTTATTGGACAGGGCCTTATGATCCAGATATTTTTAAAGATGACTCACTCTCAGTGTGTCATCAGTGTATAGAAATGGAGAATATACGTACAATTGCAGGAAAACGTAATATTGGAGTGGGAAAATTAAGACCGAGGATTGTTTTATATAATGAATATAATTTAGACAGCGAAGCAATTGGAAAAGTAACAGAATATGACCTTAAAGAAAAGCCGGATGCCTTGATTGTCGCAGGTACTAGTCTTAAGATCGCAGGAGCACGAAAAATTGTTCGAGAAATGATAGAAGCAGTAAAAGCTTCTCATGGTGTAACTATATGGATTAATACATCTGATTTCCCAAAACCCAAGGAATTTGAAAAAAAATTTGATATTGTTATTAAAGGAGACTGTCAAAAAGTAGCAGATTTAGTTTTGTTAAAAAATGATATTGCAAATATTCATTCAAAAGAACCATCTTATGTTTTAGACCCTTCATCGATAAAGCAGACTTTTACAGATGATCTTTTTATTGATCAACACACGAATACTATATACTTTTCAAAAAGAAAACGTATTTTAAAAGAACAGCCTGAAATATCTAAGATTTTTAAATCTGTGAAATTAACAAAAGGTATTAAAGTTTCTAAATAGTAAATATGCTTGTAATATATATAAAAAATTGCATATGAAGGCTATACGCATTTGATGAAGATGAAACTAATATTGAACTGAAACATGTTTTATTTATTTTATGAAAATCTCTAATGATAAAATATTATGTAATAATGTGCTTAGAATAATAAATACAACATTAATATTTTTTTACTAATTATCAGTATTGATTGAATCTCTGGGCTCTTTTGGTTCCTATATTTATTAATAAATAACTATAAAAGAGCGTTTTCAGACTTGATCTTCATCCCATTGTGTACAATCATCAATATACGCCAAAATCATTTCTATCGAACCTTCGTTATGTATATCTAATGGTAAAAATGATACCATATGAAAATCGTCAATCTATAAAATATGAATAAATAATATATATAAACGAATTGTTAATACTAGTTGAATAATGGCTTTATTAAGATCATGATACCGAGGATTTGTCTTTGAATTCACTTCATCAATCAATAAAAAAGGATCAGGATTTAAATAACGTTTTAAATCACTTTTTCGAATTTGTGATTGAATAAGATCCATTTTACTCATGATATTAATATGAGGAATTTCAAGTAATACCATAGCGCTCATAGCACTCATTACTCCTGCAAAAAATTTCGCCTTATCGATAATAAATTGTGATTCTAAAAGATATGCAGCACAAAGATGAAAATTTAATTGAAGATGTAAATATTTTGCAAGCACTGGCAAAACTGGAATATGTGTATATAATTCAATTTGCCCTTCAATTGTTCAAAAAAAATAAACTATTCATTTAAATTCTATACCCGGCATATCAAATACCAAATAATCATTATCAAACCCTACCAATTCCTCTTCAAGCCAATCCAAATGATTCATTAAAAAACTATATTCCTTCTATTAATCGCTTATATAATACCAATTTTCATACTCGAAACAATAAACTAATCCGCCATTAGGACCATATTCAAGTTCTTCCATTACATCTTGTAAACTAATTAAATCACGAATATCTAAAAATTAATCAATCTTATTCTATAATAATATATGTATAATGTTTTTATTTTTGTATTCACCTATAGTGACTCCCAAATCGCTTGTTTCCGCTGCTGGATCAAGATTAATTAAATGTGCTGGACGACCTATTTGTTGTATATGAGAAACAAGTGCATGACTAAATGTTGTCTATATTAGAAAATTATTAAGCATTTTCTATATCATATGAATCTATTACTTTTCCGCTGCCTGCTGGACCCATTACAAGCACGCCTACTCGAGGCATTGTTTAAAAATAATAAATTTATAGATTATACAAAAGAAAGCTTAAGCAATGCCTTTATAGCTCAGTGGTAGTAGCGTAGCACTTGTAATGCTAAGGTCCTGTGTTCAATCCACAGTGGAGGCAACTTTAAAGGACAGTTATGTGTCCGAACCATAAATTTTAATACTAAGACAAGCTTATTTTTAGGCTATTTCAATAATATTTATCCTTATTAAATAAGTCTTTGGCGTTTTATTAAATACTACGTTTTTAATCCATTTTTCCTATTGAAAATATATTTATATTTTATATTTACAGTATCTATATATATTCTATACATTTTATCTATATTTTAAATTTTATCTATTTTAGATTTTATAGGATTTTAGATTTTTTATAAACTTTTTATATAAAACAGTATACAACGCGTATATCGTTAAATGACAATCTTTAAAGATGTTGTATTTTATCTCGATGGGTTTGCACCAGATGTTGATAAACAACTTGAAAAATATGGTGCAACACGAGCAACACTTCCGGATGATTATTCACAATTAACACATATCATTACTACAGATTTCAATAGAAAAACAACACGTTTGATGAAGAAAAAAGGAATTCCAATCATCAATGTTAACATTTCATGATAAGGAAAGCTTTGATACTAATAATATTTAGGTGAATTGGGTAGAAGCGTCTATTCGGCGTAAACATCTTCAAAAGTAGTGTTTTTTTATAAATTATTACTTTATGACATATTTTGTGTAGTATTAAATATTTTTCAGCAGATCCCCGGCATTTTTTTACAGGAGTTGTAATTACATGTGTTGGGGTGAATTGAAATGAGTACATAATAAAATTAATTAAAGATATATAAGCTTTCAGATGGAAATCGAAATGCAATTCATGAAGGAGCTTTGGCTCTTGGAGGACAGTGCACAGAGGTTTTATCAAAAAGTGTTACTCACATTATTACATTGGATGTAAATAATGTAGGTTTGATGTATATTCCTTTAAAAAGGAAGAAAACCAATTAGAATTCTAGGAAACATGTAGACAGGTTTTAAAAAGACCGGAACTTGGGATAAAAATACTCTCACCAGCATGGTTTGTCCTTTTTTATTTATAGAAACCAAGTTTAAAACAATTAGGTTTAACGATTGTTTAAAACAACGACAGCGTGTTGATGAAACGCCTTATTTATTGACAGATTATATTTTTGATGAAAATAAAACTAAAACAGAGTCAGTTTTGCCACATATGATAAAAAAAATAAATGATTCTGTTGAAAATTTGAATGAAATTCCTTTGAAATTTACAAAACAAGTCCTGAAAAATAAGAAAATATTTTTTTCAAAAGATTTAGAAATAAATGAAAGTTTATTATATACTATTGAAACAATAGTTGTCAGTTTCGGTGCAATAGTTGTATCGTCCATACAAAATGCTACTGTTTTTATTGGGATATATCGAGAAGGAAATGAATATATTCAAGTAATTATTATTATATCTTCAATGTTTGTTTTAACTATATATTAAGGCGGCTCTTCAAGGAATTATTATTGGTAATTTAACATGGTTTTATTGGATGTATGTATATGAAACATGGGTTAATCCAGAACTAAATCTTTTGCATTATCCTATTGTAAAAACTGGTCTTCCAGAAATGCATGAAATGGTACAGATTTTTGTTTCTTTTTTTTAGATTTGTTTTTTTCTAATTTTATTAGGTTATCACTATTTCAAATTATCAAGGAGAATCTCGACAATATCTTGAAAAACTTATTAAAGCTCTAGGTGCAACTTTTACAAAAAATATGACACCCAATAATACACATTTGATAATTCCATGGTATTATTAACCTTATTCTGTATCAATGGTTATTTATTGAATAGTGAATCTGGACAAAAATATTTGGCTGCATTGGAATGGAATATTCATATAGTGAATCATCTTTGGCTTGAAGAAACATATGCAGAATGGAAACTTCAAAATATTACAACGCCTCGTTATATTTATTTTCCTCCTAAAACAAGCTTCATGAAAATTGTTGGAAATACACCTATAAATTTGGACGTGATAAAACTTTTTTATGAAAATGTAAGTAATGACCTTATTGAAAAAAAATCTCCCCTTAAGGAATCAAATTTATTAAAACATTCAAACAATATCTCATCAAACAATAATGAATTGTCATTGGATTCTTTTTCATCTTCACTGAATATGCCATCAACTTTGGATAATTTTGATTTACAGATTCATAGTGATAATGAGTCTTCTTTTCAGGCATCTGATTGTAATTTAACAAAAGAAAATTTTCCATCTTTCCACAAAAGAAGGGCTGCTACTGTTGCTTTAGAGAGGCTTCATAATGAAATAATGCCTGATGTTTTATTATATCAGAAAGAATGCAAAAGAAAAACATTTTCTGATTCTTCTGGAGACATGACAAATTCAAGAAAAAAGCCCAAAGAATTATTCATTGAATTTAAAGATCTAAAAAATAGTCAAGTCTTGTAAGATTATACATTTATTTCTTAAATAGTATTTAACATTAATTCAGTGCTAGAAAAAAGACTATAGCCAAATTTTTTCCAACAAATAAAGATTTTAGAGATTATAGTGTCCGAATTTTGGTAACAGGATATAAAGATTGGGATAATCAAATGGAAAAGGTTACTAATATGTTTTCAAATATATTATTAACGATAAAAGGCTTTGCTTACTATAGGAATAGCTACTGTTCAAGACGCTAAAGATTGTACACATCTTGTTACTTCTCGAATTCAACGGACTCAGAAATTTTTATCTGCACTTTCTTATGCTCCTAAAATATTATCTGTAGATTGGATTAAAGCGTGCCTTAAAGAAAGAAAAATTATGGGTATGTTCATATATCATGATTATATTAATTCTAATTGTTTGTTAGATGAAAATAATTATTTTTTAATTGATCCTGAATCTGAACTGAAATATAGTTTTAAACTTTCGGAATCTTTAGATAGAGCGCGTAAAAATAAACATTCCTTATTTAAAGGATATTTGTTTCAAATTTCTCCTGCGGCTGTGTCAAATTATAATAATGGAATAGATACTATAAAACAAATTATAGAAGTAAATGGAGGAGTCTGTATATCAGCTATATCTCGGAAAAATAGGATAGAATACGGACTCTCTCCCATATTAATATCTAATATTTCGGATACTAGAATTTTAAAACATTTTATTGAAAAAAGAAAAGAGGCAGGAAAAGTTCCTCTAGTTTATAATATGGAATGGGTTTTAACGACAGTTTTGCGGCAAGAACTTAGCTTTACTGATGAAAATTCGCTTTTAGAAGAATATAATCATTTATTTATGTCGTAAATTTTTGGAAAATATATTAAAAAAATATCTTAAAATTTCAACTCCATCATTTGTAATTAAAACAGTGCGTTCAAATTGAGCACATCGGCTGTCCTCTGATGTAGATATTGACCATTTATTTTTCTATAGAATTAGATCATTTGCGTCTCCTTCACAAAAACATGATTCAATCGTAAATATTATCTCAAGCATCATTTCTCCTAGATCACTATTGTCTAAACTAATATTAAAATATCTATATATGGAGGAAGTCTTATAATGATGATAGATAAGTAAATATGAATAAAATTCTTGTCTTATTACCATGCCTCATTAAGCAATTGCTAACTTTAAATTCAGGCTCTTTTTCACTACCCTCTTACTTTTCCAACAACATTAAATAGTTTTTTAGGTGAAAATGCATTAATCCTTGCTATTTATACTTTTTTTGTGTAGTAAATTAGTCTTTTAGAATTTTCAAATATATCTCCAATACCAAAAGTTGAACTGTCTTAATGGAAATATTCATTTGGATAATCAGGGTGCCTTACGAAAAGTGAAATATCTATATTTACAATATCTCATGAATGCAAAATATTTCTTTTATGTATTTAATTTTTTTTGAATATTAAATTAGCTTTACTTATCAGGAACCTCATAAGCAATAATGTTGTTAATACTAATACAGCAACTTTCATTAAAGTCTTCATAATTTAATAGTGATGAATATATTTTCTGAAAAATGCGCATTTTCTAACTTGATCAATTTTTTCTGCTTGGACACCAGGACATGCAAGTGTTTTTGAATATCTAAGACATTCTGCTGCTAATTTTCCTACATGATGCATATTAGATAATAATAAAGGGCCATAATTCTTGCTTTTATCGTCAATGGAAAGAGGAATTTCATTATTTCATCTGCCTTTTTCTTAAGCCTTTGTATAATAAGAAATAGCAATGGATTGTGGAATAGAAAAATCTTAAAGAATGGCTTTTAAAGGAGAAAATAACTTGACTTTATAAATTGATAAGTTTTATGAGTTATCTAAGGATATATAGTGTTCTTTCTGCAAAAAAGATGTCTTTGAATAATCATTTAATTGAAAAAAGAATATATCAAAATATATATGTAATAGTATTCTTATAAATTATATTAAAAATTATATGCATTCTATATAAAAACCATATATGACAAAATATATTAAAAAATTAATATCTTTTTCTCGTAAGTGTTGGTTTCCAATCAAGTGGATGGGTTGCTTCTGTAGCATTTTCATCTTGTTTATAAACCTTAATCGTTTTGTCCGCTTCACATGTAATTAAACGAAGACCTGTCCTGTCAAATGTACTTGCAAAAATCCCTGCTTCACTTTCTAATGATCCTGGCTGAACAATTGTATTTAATGTTTGATATTTATATCCTGATTTCCAATCATAAAACGACATAGATCCATTATCTGCACCAGCGAACATAATATCATCAATGTTTAATGATAATGTATTTATAATAGCATTGTGTTGTTCAAAATTTTGCATAAATAATCCTTCAGGAAATTTCCATTGTTTAATATTGTCTGCACTTCCACTTGCAAAACTAAATTCTTTTTGGTGAAGAACAAGAGCTCTGACACCTTTTTTATGGTTCGTCAATACAGTCATGGTTTTACCAGCAGCTAAATCCCATAAACGAATTGTCGAATCCATAGAACCAGAAATAACTTGTGGATCTACATCTTGGCATTTTACATCTGCAATTGTCTGATTATGTCCAGAAAGCACGTGAACATTGTTTCTAGTACGCATATCCCAAACCCTTACAACAGAATCTCTCCCTCCTGTACAAAGAACATCCAATGTAGGATGTAAAGATAAACAATAAACACCGCTAAGAGATCCATGATAATGTCTAATTACTTTGTTTGTTTCTAAATCCCAACATTTAATCATTTTATCTTCAGAACATGAAAAAAGATAAGGATGTCTAGACGATACCGCAAGACCCCTAATAGTCGAAATATGGCCTGTTAATGACAATTTAAGAGTACCAGATGCAAGATCCCAAATCTATATTTGGTTAAAAATAATAAATATAATCTTATAAAATGACTTTTATAACACGATCACCAGAACCTGTAACAAACCACTTATTCCCGGGTTCTACTGCTATCGCTCTCACCCAGCCAAAATGTCCACTAATTACCCTCATTAATTTCCATGGAGCATGCCATTCTGGTTTCTTAAAAAATGTTAGTAGAAAAAAAATTAAATAAAATATTTTACAATAGGTTTAACATTTTCTCGCCATATAAGCCCTGAAGATTGTTTATTTTGTGTATTTTTTTGCATATGACTTAATGATTTAGATGAGTCCATTTTAAGTGGAAGTGTTAATGCCATTAAATTTTTATCATCATTTCTATATATAAAAATTAACATTTTTATAATATTTTCATAGAAAAAATACTTATGATTCTCTGAGAGAATTTTTTCAAGTAATTTATTTGAACCAATTTCATCTTCATCTTATAAAATTAGGTTTAATATAAACATTTATTAAAATATAAAAACCTCCATTTTCTACCTTTTTTTCTTTATCTTTTTCAGATAAATCTTCCTTATGTCTACTAAAAATGCTCTGTGGCAATTCTTTTACATTTTCATATTCTGTTTTTATTTTATAATTAATTTTGACTTTTTTACTAAAAAAAAAGAAAATCATTTCATATCGATTCATATATATATATAACCATGAAAATACCTTGATTCATCATCTATATTTGAACAAAAATAATATTCTGAAGAAAAAAGTTCTTGTGTTCGTTTCAATAATAAATGTATCTTCTATTATCAAAAAATTAGCCAATTTTCTCCTTTAAAGAGACTATATTAATTGATCTTACATCTGATATTATGAATTCGTCTTTATTTTCTCTTAATTTTTCTTTATCTACCTTCATTTCTTCATTTAAATATTTTATATTTAATCAGAGAACGTTAAGAAAAAATTAAGATGGAACAAAAAGGTAAAAATTATAAATAAAATATTAAGGAATCTTTAATAATCTTAAGGAGTTGACCTAAAATCTTTAACAATTCCGCAATTAGATGAAATACGCAAACAAATAGAATTAGAGTTAAATTATTTTACAAATAGTTTTTCTAAATTAAAACAAGCTCAATTTAAGTTTAAAGAATGTAAGAAATTGGTTAATACGTTATTAAAAAAAGAAAACAATAGTATATATTTGTAGTTATAAATTTTTTATCTTATTTAAAATGGTATAGATAAAGAAATATTAATACCGTTAACAACATCTCTTTATGTTTCAGGATTTTTAGTTTCCGATCCTGAAAAAGTGATGGTAGATATTGGTACTGGGTATTATGTTGAAAAAGTTTCCTTGAAGCAATTTTATGTATTTTTTTTAATTTATATAGACAATTGATGGAGCAATAAAGTTTTATGATGAACGAATAAAGTATTTAGAGACAAACTTTCGAGATTTAGAAACACATCTTAATGCAAAGTCAGATAGCTTAAAAGGTAATTTAATTATTTATAGATCAAAAAATGTATATTAAATTATTTGTAGCTGTTACAGAAATTATGCAAGAAAAAATTAAGAATCTTCAAACATCTCCTAATTAAATATTATTTTATTTAGATAAACTTTCAACAAATAAAGTAGAATATGATTAATATATGACAAAGTTACTGAAAAATTAGATTTATTGATTATTATTTTAACTGTATCTAAAAGTTATTTGTTATAAAAAAACCTTAAATATTTTAAGATATATAATAATATATATCGTATATATTATTGAAGATATTATTAAAATAATTATGTCTAAATCTAGCTATAAAGATTAAATGATTTTATGATACTATTAGTATATGTACAATATATACATTAAATATCTAAAAAGATTAAAAAATATATATTAATATTGAAAATTATCGTATAGCATTTAATAGGCAAGGATATTGACTAATAATTTCTGAATAATTAGCATTTAATGCTCTAACAAGTTCTATTAATTCATTTCTTATAGGTTCTGTAAGTTGTTCCTCAGGTGGTCCTAAAACAGTAGCAAATATTGGAATAAGTCTTTCTGTTAATGAAATGATATTTATGTCATTTAATTTATATAATTTCAAAATAGCAGAATACACGGGAAAGTTTTCCGAATAATCATTTTGTAAGGGTAAAAAAGAGACCAAAAGAGGTAATATCTGTGTAAGAGGAACAGATGCAGGGTGTGAAATAATTAATCGAGATACACATCCAATTGCATTATCTTTAGCATTTTTGTGGTTATTATTAGAAAATAGAGATTGAAGTTTTGAAAATATTGTCATATATTGGCTTGTTAAATCATACTTAGAATATTGACACAAAAGACCCATGGAACAGGCTGCATTACTCCTAATTTCTTCATTATTATCATCAAGTGCCTTCATGAAAATATGAAATATTTGCTAAAGAAATGTTAATACAAGTAAAGAAATAAACAAGAAATATACCTCCGTATATGGAGTAATGCCTGCCTTTAATCCATCAATAATCTCACCAAGGCCACTAATCACCATAGATCTATCATTTGCAGTTTCACTTTCCTATAGCACCATCAAAAATAATTGTATATTAATATAATAAACCTACATAATATTTAAGTATATGAGGTAAAAAAAATCCAAAAGTTTGAGAATATTCTTCTCCAAGAACATGAGATATAGAAATCAAAACATCTATGGCAGAATCTATAAGCAATGCGTCATATTCTGCAATATCTTTATCATCGTTTTCAACATAATCATCATTTTCATTATTATTAATTAAATTATCTATATCTTCGTCTAATTGAGATATATGCTGTTTTTTTAAAATTTGAAGAATATGTTCGGATATTTTTTGTATTGCTAAATCTTATGTTAATAAATAATAAATATTTCTAAAATATTCCTACATTCAGCATCTCCTAAAATCCCGGGACCACACACTTTCAACGTTTCTGAAATATTTTGACAAATTTCTATAACAACAAGTCTTTAAGTAGTTAGCTAAATTTTAATTTAAATAATAAATATAATAAATATATTATCAGGAATATTATTTAGTACGATTTCGTTTTTACATCATTACAATTATGTATCTGAGTGAGCTGGGTAAACGAAAATATTCATCATTAAATAATAATAATTGAAAAAAAAAACATCAGAATTACATTACCTTTCACTTTCATCCTCCAGAATTTCTATAGTTATATCTCTTACAGAAGTTGCAAACTTATCAACATCTGTGTGAAGTGGAATTTTCTAAATAAAATAAGATAAATTCAATGCCTATCTAATTATACCAATGGTAATCCTGGAAGCCATTGTTGTGGATTACTTATATTATATAGAGTGGCTGTAAATCTCCATAAACTTGATATAGCGGCCTTCCTAACTCCTTCATAAAAATGGGTAGATAAATTAATGAGCCTTTCTTTGCTCTCTTCAAGATATGGAATAAATAGTTCCTTAGTATGAGAACATATTTCTCCTAAAGCATCTACAGCAATTTCTTTTTCCATAGTAATTGCAGAATTGACTTTTGACATATCAAGTAATGTATCATCTTTGTCATTATCAAAATTTTTTATACTATCATTTTCATCACTATCTTTATATATATCATCAGAGTCATCTTTATCCAATGATTGAATCAATGCAGGTATTACAACATGAAGAAATGGTGCAAATTCATGTTTGTACACTCGAGCTAAAATTGCGAAAAAGCAAAATAAACATTCACGTAATCTAGGATGATCTATTTGCATTCCTCTGTATGCACTTTGAACAACATATTCGATATAAGGTGTAAATTTCTCTTTTCCAACAGTTTCTGCAATTGTTCCTAAAGTATCTGTAACCATGCCTCGAAGCTCTAATTCGTCTTCTGAATCCTTTAGCTCCAAAACTGGTATAAAACATTCAATAGTTCGTTCAAAATATGGAGAAAATTGATCTTTTGCAGAATATACTGCGCTTCCAATAGCAGCGACAACAGTGGATTTAATTTCGAGTGTCGAGTTTGATTGAAATAATCCTAATAATCTTTCCATGATGCAAGAAAAATAGTTAGAAATACTGTTAGAATCAAGAGACTCTAATAATGCATCAAGTGTATTGAGTGCAGATTTTTTAGTCTCTTCATGGGAATCTAATATAAGTTCGAGGAGAATAGGCATTAATTCTGCATGCCTTTCTGATGTTTCTTCCGGAAGCTCATCTGCAAATTGCCCTAATGCTAATAATGCAGCACGCTTTACAACATGATAATTATCTTTTAATCCGATAATAATTAATGTAAGTAAATATGAAAATTGAGTAGACACAAAATTAGAAGAACCTTCAATAGCTACACCAAGTGCAGTCAATGCAGATTTTCTATATCCCGGGTTTTCAGATTGTAAATATTGAGGTATATAATTCATAAGAGGGATAAATACATGTGATGGAGGTAAAGAAATAGAAAGAATATCTATACATCTAAATGCAAGACGAGAGGGAGAGTCGTCATCTGGTGAACCAGTATCTTCTTCCGTTCCTATTAACAACATACTAAGAATAAGTTGAGGGCCAAGCTTCAGTGCTTGGATTTTGTTTTTCCGACTGTTAAAATTGTTATAATAGATAAAAAAGAAAAATAACACATACTATCTAGAACACGTAATGAGGAAGTTCAAAGCCATACAGCGAACAGAATCATCTAACTTTGTTGTTGAAGCTACGTGGACCATAAATTCAAGTAAATCTTTAATAGCTTTCGATATTAAAGCGCCTTCACAAATCAACAAAGTATTAAAAACTTCAAATGCATTTTTTTGAAAATTTTCATTGTTAGAATTAATTGTTTCTTTAAGAACTAAAAACATAGACGGAAAAATTTCTTGAAATGATTTAATGCTTTGTTTGTCATCCCTATCAATAATTTCCCCAACTTTTCCAAGAATCATAAGTGTAGTCATCCTAACATCATAACTTTCCTTATCATTAATCGTTAATTTAAGCAATGAAAAAAGCTCCTCCATTTTATCAATAAACATTTCTTCTATAATCTCAAATAAAACATATAAAATATATAAACCCGTCTCCCTATCCAAAAAATTATGCGACAGTGATGCCTGATGTATAAATATAGGAAGATCTTTCCATTCTTCAACTGGTAAATCAATTTTTGCAATAGATGAAATAACACGAGCTGATGAATGTCGAACAATAGAAACCGGTTCTAAAACTATTGACTGAAGAAGCGATTTCTTTATTTGACATTTCAAAGATTTACTTAAATCCTCCCAAAATATTGCAATAAGTTTGCGAGCTTCAATTGCTGACAATTGACGAATCTTTCAAAACAATTAGACAAATAAATAAATATATAATTATTACTTGAGGATTTTCAGACGATTGCATAATATGTAGCAATCCAACTAATGATTTTGATTCTACAAAGTATTCATTTTTTAATATTTTTGTCGCATTAAATATTTCATGACTATTAGTCGAAAGTGTAGATTTAAGAACATCTTCCAATCTTAATATATAATCCTGCTATTTATATATTAGTCTATAACGAATTTATATAAATATAATATTCACATCCATCTTATTTTATCTTTTTTTTCTAAAAACCAATTATTGAAAATTTTTAATCGAAATTTTGATAAGGTCGATTATAAAAAATATATTTTCATCTGATATTTTTACATAAAAATTAGGTATTTAAAACAATAGATATTTAAAAACAATTAGAATTAAATTCTAAACTTTTATAGTTTTAGAATTAATATTAGATAATTTTAATTATTTTTAAAAAAAAGCTTAAAAACATTTATAAAAAATTAATACTTGGTCATGTTCTTTATTTTTATTATTGACAGTTTTTTATTATTATTTTTAGATTTTAAGAATTTTTTTAAAAATAATTAAAATTTAACGTTAAAAAATTTAAAAAAATTATGAAAAATAAATGGAAAAGATTTTAAGTTAAAAAAATGGTGTTGGATAAAAGTGAATTAAATCAATATCAATATCAGCTAGATAGTGTTAATTTAGCACTTTCACAGGATCCAGATAATCAAGAACTTAAGGATTTAAAAGTGGAATTGACGGATTTGATTGCACTTACGAAAAGATATTTTGAAGATCAAGTTAAAGAAACAACGACAAATACAAAGAATTTTAGTCAGGTACGATATGAATATACAGAGACATATAAAACAGGTGAGACAGTAATGGCTAGATGGGTTTCTGGAGACAATGCGTTTTATCCAGCAAAAATTACATCGGTGACAGGATCATCTACAAATACAGTTTATACGGTTAAATTTCTTGAATATAATACAATTGAAACTTTACAGGCTTATCATGTTAAGCCTATTTCTGAAGGGAAGAAGAGGGCTATTGAAATTGAACAAGAAAAGCCGCCGCCTCCTCCATCAGTAGCAAATGCACCTCCGTTACCACCTAAAAAACAGAAAGCTATTAAAGCTAAAGATGAATTAATTGCTGGTCAGCGTGTTTGGCAATCTTTTTCACAAAAAGGTGTTAAACGGGGAAGAACAGGAAAGGTTGAGCGTATTGGAGAAAAAAGTATTTTTCGTAGCCCGGAAGAATTTGGTGGTAAAGTAGGGGTTATTGGAAGCGGTAAAGGCATGACTAAAGAGAGTTGGAAACGATCTCGGTATCACTTTGAACAAATAGTAGAGGATGATTGATTGATAATATTTTTTGTTTAGAAAAACCTTTTTCTTCGTTGAAAATTGGTATTTACATTTATTATGAAATTATTTGGATTTTTGTATACATACTTTTATGATTTTGATATCGTTCTAAGAGGTTTCTGTAATAATTATATAAATGTTAGATGGGAATTTTTAAAAGTAATTTTTAGTAAAGGTATGCTTTTCTAGTTATTTATTATTTTTTTAATTTTAAAATAGTATATTTGTGTTTGATGTTTTTTTGTTTATATCCTTAAGTTGAAGAATAGCATTTTATTTATATTATATAATCGATTTATTATACATATAGTAATATTTTTTATATTTTTAGAATTATACATATGATTTATTCTTTATAAATTATTGAATGGCTCTATTGTTTTATTGAATTCTTAATTCTAAAAATTTGGGGATATTTTATACAAAAAGTATATAATATAGATATAGATATTTTTTAATTTCATATAACTATTAAATGCGAAAATAAGATGTATACGTATGTATAAGACTTGGTAGCTTAATTATTTTAAAAAATATAAATCCAAAAGTTAATAATAAAGACTATATATGGTTCATATATATACAGATAAATAATGAATTATATTCTTGCAATTAGATATTAGAATCCGAAAAGCAGAATCATATGCAACTTATGAACTTGAGTTGATAGTTTTTGTATTAGTAACTCCAGTTTGAAATGTATGAATCCCCTGATCATGATGCAAAGATCCTAAAGATACTGACTGTCTGCCCAAATTGTTAAGATACTCATGCGAAGGGCTGATAAATCTTGTATCTGACTCTTTTTTAATATAATTATGCGGATACATCCCTTGAGTATATATTCCTGGAGGAGTTGATGTTTTTGCCACAATTTCTGCATTTACAGCGCCAAAATTTGTATCATTGGTCAAAGGTATTGTATTACGAGAATACAAGATTGGTGCAGAATTTATACCTGGAGAAAGAGATGCTGGTGCAAGTCCTTGATGATATTTTTGAGTATTTCTCCTTGTCTCTTGAATAAATCGATTACTCCCTTCTTCATTATATAGATCATGACGAGATACTTGTCTTTTATAAACATTTTCTTCTGTCATGGTAGGAGATGAACTATGAGACCAGGATGATAAGCGGAAATTAGCATTCTTAGATTCACTATTTCTTTCTTGTAGACGAGTTTCTTCTTCAGATTTTTTAAAATTTTCAGGATTAAATGTAAAAAGCGGGAGCATTGTTTGTGCTGCTTGCAAATCTTCCGAAGATAAAATTGTAGAAGAAAAAATAAACTTGAAATGACCTGTACATAGATTCTCCAGGATTTTATCAAGAAAAACGGTTGTATCTGTTTTTAATAGTGAAGTAATTGGTGATGTAGTTGTAGAAACATGCTTCGGTGGCGGAGATAATATTTTCTGAGATGTTCCATTTGTAGAAGGTTTGTTTAACTGTGTCAATGGTTTTTGTAGTAACGGTGCCTGGGAAGGAGGATTTTTAGTAGCCCATGAAACTGTAGGAGGTAAAGCAGAACCTTCGTGTTCATTAGAACTATATAATTCATTAGAAGAAATCGTCTCTGTGATTTTCAAGGAACGAGATGGCATTGATGATGTATTTAAATCTTTAGGAGATGGAATCTGATTAGATTTTGCTGTATATTGACTGTTTTTGGATCAGTAAAATTCATTAAAAAAAAAACATACAAAGTTGAAAGATCCTCACGCATAAAACTATCCGCTTCTTCTCCAGGTTCATGTAAATACATACAATTCGGATTAGGACATGGTTGATTGCGAAGATAAGTAGAACAATATTTCGTTGTTCCATAAGATGCACGTAATATTCTTCCATCATTAAGACTTCCATCAACAGCAGCAATTGCCTTAGCTGCATCTTCCTTCCTATAATATGTAATATATATACCAAGGCTGCCTGATCCATTCGGATGCGATGCATTTTTCTTATTAATCACAATTTTTTGAATTTTTCCGTATTGTCCAAAATAATCATGACCTCTTAAGGTTTGCAGAAGCTCTTCATTTGCCGCTTTTGGCGAAAGGCCTATTACATAAACAAGATTCTTCTGCACAACACGTATATTTGCTAAATGCTTTCGATTAATTGTGTCAATTTCTTTACGTTCACGATCTTTTTGTTTTCTCTGATTCTTTCGATATTGATCCATCTTCCATCTAATATTCTTAATGTCTCTTCAAAAAATACTTATTCTATCAAATTTACTCTTCTGCTGTTAATGGTTTAAATTCAATCGTTTCTTCTGAATAAGGTCGACGACATGCTGGACAACGTCCATTCAAATCCTATAAATTATAGCATGATTTAGAAAAAGACCCTTTGTCATTCAAAAAAATCACCTTTCGAATATGGTTCCAACAAAAACGACATACTTGATAACCACATGGACATGGTTTAAAATTTCTATCTGAAAGATCCATCTCTTCCATACAAAGAGGACTAAAGATTAATTTTATCTAAAAAAAAGCACATTAAATACTTACCAGTCAATATCCTCATTGTCGTCCGAAATATATGAATCTTGGTGTTGTCTTGACATGTTTCCTTTGTTTTTTTCTCTTAAAAATCTTGGTCGTTTTTCTTTACGTTGATTTTTTATAAGAATTAGGGTTTATACCCTCGATAAGACCAACTCGAAAATTATTAAAAAAAAATATACCTTAACATGTACCTTCAACGCTTTAAATCATCATTTTCTTCCTTAAAATGCTCGAACATATACTTAAGACAAGGATTATTAAGATTTAATTTCCATACAATAAATTCTACATTATGGATTTCGAAAGAAATGGGAAACAAGAATGAAGAAAAAAAAACTTTGGGACCAAATAAAGAAACAAAAGAACGATTATATAGTTATGGAGGATATATTATGAGTTGTCTTCCAAAATTTGTTCAGCAGTTTTCTGTATGGAAGGATGAATTGGTTATTTATACATCAATTAAAGGATTGCTTCCAATTATGTATTTTTTACGTGATCATACAAGTTGTCAATTTAAAAGTGTTATGGATATTGCAGGAGTGGATTATCCTGAACGGGAAAACCGATTTGAAATTGTTTATAATATGTTGAGCGTTCGATATAATGCACGGATTCGAGTAAAAGTTTATGCAGATGAAACAACTCACGTACCTAGTATAGTTGAATTATTTCAGGGAGCTAATTGGTATGAACGAGAGGCGTATGATATGTATGGGATTTTCTTTGTTAATCATCCTGATCTTCGAAGAATTTTGACGGATTATGGGTTTGAAGGTCATCCACTTCGAAAGGATTTTCCTTTAACAGGATATACGGAAATTCGATACGATGAAGATAAGAAAAGAATAGTAGTTGAACCGCTTGAAATGACACAAGCCTATAGAGATTTTAGTGGAGGAACAAGTGCATGGGATCAAGTTGGAGATGGTGTAGATGATAGGCCAGATAAATTTAAAGTATCAACTTCAAAATCAGAAAATTCCTCTTGAAGAAATGGAACATGAATAAAAAATACAAATACATATTATAAATTTCTAATGGTAAAATTTCTATAATATGATGTATAATATTTTATTTACATTTTTCGGAATGTATTTTTGCTTGCACGTCGTCGACTTACTTGTTTCAAATCATTTTTCTCTGTTTCTAATGTACAATGCGTGTTTTTCATATTATTATTAATATTATTCTTTTTTTTAGGCATTAAAAATGTCATTTCCATATTTCCTTTACCATTTATATTTCTTTTAATATCGTTAATCATTAAATCTTGTTTTTTTTCTGTTTCTTTGTTTTGTTCTTGCATCTTAATTAATGTTTCAAATGACTCATTCTGCATTGTATTAAGTGATGGCTGATAATATTCAATCACTTTCATTCTTATTTCTTTGTCCTCGGCTTTCAATTCCATATTCTTTGGTTTCTGATAAAAATCAGCTTCTTCACTTTCATCATTATCGTCATCAGTTCCAGAAAACGAATATGCAATAGATTTTTTTTCACTTTCAGAACTACTTATGGTTTTTGAATTTTCATAATTTTTTTTCTAGGATATTTATATAATAAATTAGAAAAAATAAAAGAACTTACTGATCGTATGGGATTCAATTGCATAAATTCTACGGTATTCTCATCAATTTCATAATCAGGATCATTAAAGACATCCTTAAAACGTTCATCTTCAAGAACACTAGGCCCTCTATTACCCTAAATTTAGTATTAAAATGAATCTTTTTAAAATGATTTAATTTACTTTCTTTTTCATCCTATCTTTTTCTTCTTTATGTAATAGATGCTGGGCCAAATTATGGTTAATTTTGGTAATTTTTGTTGAAGAACGTATACGAGATTGTCTTTCTTTTTCAATTTTATCTTTGATAGCTTTTTCACGATATTCTACATATGCAAAAGGATTCATAATACTTTTTGCCTATAAATTATTAATTATTCTGATTACAATAACTAAGAAGAAAACCGTTTCGTAAAGACGAAAATCAATGAAAAATCCGTGCATATAACTACGAATTACGTTGGAACCAATAAGATGATCTAAACCAAGAGATTTTAATTCATTTTTTGTTAAAAATTTATAATTCTCATAAATATTTTCAATCGGATTTTCTTCCATTTCTTCTGTTAAATTATCCAAGAAAGAACACCATGCTGGAGCAGGACCCAAAGCGGGAATATAATATATGTGCATTGGAACACCTTCATTAGCAACGAATATCATACCTGTAAAATCTAAAGGGCATACATCATTAATATCAACAGAAGGCTCAATTGATGTAAATGGATTTCCTGAATTTTTATCCCATATTTTTATAATCTTTTTATCAGATGTTAAAATTAATTGCGAAACTGAATCATTTGATTTTAACCATTTTATGGATTTTATTGGACTATCATATCCTTGATCTTTTTGTAATAAAACCTGAGGGCTTCTTAAATCATATAATAATACAATTCCTGTTGATGTGCCGGCAGAAAAATTCAATCCATCATGTCTAAAGCTAGTAGCACTTATTTCCGCTGTTTTCTTATGAAACATGGGATTTAATGATCTAGAGATATCCAATATAGTAATTCTTGATCTATATCTAGGATCCCAAAATTCAACCGTTCCATTATCTGTTCCAAATGCAAAAAGTTGATGTACTGGATTGATATTTACAGTATTGACACCCATTTTATTTGTTCCTTCTTCATTATCTGCCAAGCTATCTATCTTAAAAGGACGTAAAAAGCGTCCCTGATAAAGGTTTAAGCGATACACTTCATCTCCAGTTGCTGCAATTAATAAATCACATGTAGGAAAATGATACCCCATATCTCTCCCAAATTTAGGAATTCGAAGACGATAATGCATTCCCCCCTGTGTATGAAACTCAATAGAACGATCTTGCTGCAAATGAACCGTTTTTGTCCAATCGTTTGATAAAATTTCAAAATTTACATTCTCTGCATTTGTATATCGACTAAATTTCATAGACATTTCTGAAAATTCATAAATTTTCATATGTGGTTTATAAGTCCCCGTTGCAATGGCATATTTTTTATCAGGTGTTACTTTAATTTTATTACTTGCTTCTGGAAATTCAAAATCTTGTAAAAGTTCAATTCTAGATGACCATTCTGGATCCTTTTTTAACGCTTTTTTTTTCTTTCGAATAAACCATTCAGGTAAAGATCTAGATGTACCCTCTCCACAAACTGTATATACTTTGATATTGTTTGGATTTTGAACTTTAAGAACCATTTTTCATTTTTTTAATATTTTGAAGTGGAGTCAATTCTTATTTAAAATCTAAAGAATTTTTAATAATATTTTTATTGAATTAAAATCAAATAGTTTAATTTTTCAAATAAAAAACTCTTAAATAATCTTTCATTTTAAAATAAGCTTATAATTTTTATAATATTATTTTAAAAAACAAAGAAATATCAATATAAAGCTTTTTTAAATTATATATTTTTAAAGATATTTTTCTTAAAAAATTTAAAAAGATAAATTTAATCTAATTAAAAGAATACTATAAAGAAATCCTTTTGGAATTAAGTTGTAAAATTGTAAGTGACGAGAGTGGGATTCGAACCCACGCGGTTTCCCACTGCGGAACTGTTCTAATAAACCTTAACACAGCGCCATAGACCAACTCGGCCATCTCGCCATTTCCTAAGCTTTCTAGGAAAAATTAGATTATAAATTAAAATTTAGTAAAATGTAAAGACTAAAAAATTTAAATAAGAATTAAATGACAGATAAATATTTATTAAAACACCCTAAAGACCGTTCATTAGAAAATGATTCAGAAAATTGTTTATTAGAAACAAATATAAAAACAAAAAATCAAGGGTTGTTAGAGATTTCATGTGAAAATGCTTCTTTAGATTGTCAAGAAAAATCATTTAATACTAAAAAACGGCCGTTGCATGTTGATAAAGAATTATATCTTTCAGAAATAATAAAAGTAGAATATGTGATAAAAAAGATATTATCATGTTATTAATTAAAATTCAGGATGCTTCTGAAAAGGCATTAGACTTTAGGAAGGATCTAGAACCCTTAGATAATGCAAAATCTCTAGTAGATAAGCAAGAAGAATCTCATAGGAAATATAAAACTCCTAGCATTGTAAAAGAACAAACAAGTGTAGATCGTAAATACGAAAGAGAAAGAATTCGTATGAATCAAATAAAGACATGTATACAAAATCAAAATGTTAGTGATGTTGTGCGGCGATATTATAATGAGCGTCCTGAAGTAGGAAAAAAGAGACGTGAAAGTTCACCGATTATTGGGCTTAGGAACTTTAATAATTGGGTTAAATCGGCATTGATTAGAAGATTTACAAAGGAGTTTCCTAAGAATATACCTTTGATTGTATTAGATATTGGATGTGGGAAAGGAGGTGATCTTTTAAAATGGAGTAAAGCGGGGGTTGCAGGATATATAGGTATTGATTCTGCAGAGGTTTCTATTATGCAAGCTCGGGAAAGATTTAGAAAAATAAAAAATCTTAATTTTGCTGCAAAATTTTATGTTTTAGATTGCTATATGAATTCTCTTGAAACTGTTCTTCCTCCAGATGAACGAAAATTTGATATTGTGAGTATGCAGTTTTGTATGCATTATGCCTTTGAGACAGAGGAGAAATGCCATCAAATGCTTTCTAATGTATCAAAAAGTCTTATACGTGGTGGTAAATTTATTGGTACTATACCTAATAGTGATTTTATTATCGAGAAGATCAAAAAGTTAAAGAATGGTAAAAAAGACTGGGGAAATTCAATTTATAGGGTGCAATTTATAAATCTTCCGAGTTCTGAATTTCGCCCGCCATTTGGACATCGTTACAGTTTTTATCTTGAAGATGCTGTCACTAATGTACCTGAATATGTCGTACCATTTGAAGCTTTTCGAGCGTAATATTGCTTTTTTTTTTTTTTTTTTAAAGAAATTAGACTTGCACTGGACTATGATTTAGAAATGCTTTATTGTAAACGATTCCATGATATTTTTTTTGAAGAACAAAAGGATTATGAAATAAAGATGCTTCTTGAACGTATGAATTTAGTTGATAATCAAGGAAAAAGACTTATTTCTGATGATGAATGGGATACTGCTGGTTAGTTTTTTATTGTTATTTTATTTTATTGATTTTTTTTGTTAGGATTCTATCTTGCATTTGCATTTGAAAAAAGAGGTTTCTAATAAATATTTTATCGAATATTTTTGAGAATATATTTTGATAAATACTATATAATTTATTAATGTTTAAAATAATATTTGATAGTTCTATATCGATTAAAGTTAAAGTTATGTTTTTTCTTAATTTTCAGAGTATTTTATTTTTATATATGAATTTCTTGATTTTTAAACTTATCTATTGATTTCTTAAAGATTTTAGAATTAATATTTTAAAATCATATAAACTATTCTACATGGTAATTATTCTATTGGATTTCAATAATTAAAAAATATTTAAGAAATATAAATATATACTTATTATTTCTTTTTATTAAAATAATAATATTTGTATTTTTTTTAGTTTTTATTGATTTTTATTAAAATAAAAGTAATCTATACTTTTTTAATAGTTTTAATGATATTTAATATTTAGAATTATATATTTATTTAACTAAAATAAGAATTATTTTTACATTTGAAGCTCGTAAAAAAAATCTTGAAGTTTATAAAAAAAATACATTTTTAAAATTTTTTAATATGAAGGAAATACCTATTGCTCCTGTTCCTGATTTGCGTCTTGCAGATTATATTTTTGTTATTTTAAATGATAAATCTTTAGAACGAAAAAAAAATGCTACAGAATTATTATTAAGTGCAATTAAAGAAGGAAATCTGGCGCCATTATATCTTTATCTTCATGAACATATTCAATCTTTTCCTTTTGATACTTTACTTTATAATGATTTAAAGGCTGAAAATGATAAAGAGTTAGAGAAATTAGATAATGAAATTAAAAAAGTCCAGGAAATGGATGGTGAACAAGAAATTGCAGATATATTGAGAAAGAAAGCAGAGTATTTTGCTCGTATTTGTGATAAAGTAAAATAATTGGATGATTGGAGTTTTATAATAGTTTTTTAGGAAAAAGCTTTAGAATCATATCAAGAAGCATATAATAATACTGTTACAGGCTTTCAAATCGATATATTGTTTGGAATTATGAGAATCGCTTTATTTTTCTCTGATACATCACTTTTTATTCGTAATATGGATAAAGTAAAAAATCTTATTGATAATGGAGGTGATTGGGATCGGAAAAATAGACTTAAAACATATATGGGGCTTCATTATATTAGTATACGAAATTTCAAGGAAGCGACTCGTCTTTTTCTTGATAGTATAAGCACTTTTACTAGTACTGAGTTGATGACATATGAGGATCTTGTAAAATATACAGTGATTTCGGCTTCTATTTCATTAGAAAGAGTCCATTTTAAGCAAAAGGCTTTTATATTAATGAACATTTTATTAAATATTTCTGATTGCAAATAGATTGTAGATTCTCCTGAAGTACTTAGCATTATTATTACTGATAAATCATTTATATCTTTAAAAAATATGATCAATTCGCTATATTATTGCAATTATGCACTTTTTTTCCGAGCACTTGCAGAAGTAGAAGAGAACTATCTTAGGGTTGATCGATATCTTTTTCTTCATGCTGATTATTATCTCCGAGAAATGAAAAGAAAATCATATGCTCAATTATTGGAGGTTTGTACTTAATTTTAATTTGTTAAATCATCTTAGTTATATATAGAGTTATAAAGCGCTATCTATTTCTTCAATGGCATCTGCATTCGGTGTTTCTGTTGAATTTATTGATAAAGATTTATCAAAATTTATTGCGAATAAACAATTAAATTGTATTATTGATCGAGTAAACGGTATAATTGAAACCAATAGACCAGATAGTAAGAATGCACAATACCAGTTATTAATAAAACAAGGTGATCATTTACTTAATAAACTTCAGAAATTCCAAGCAAGAGTTATGGCTGGTATGTGAAATTGTAATGGTTTACTAATGAGATTTATTCAAAAAAATATAATGTAATTAAAATTAGACGATTTTTCTGTTATTTCATGTATTTTATGATAAATTAACAATTTTATTCAAGATTTATATATTTAGATCTGTTATTTTCTTCTGACTCATCAAAATCCTTTTCAAACTCTTTAGCTATATTAATTCTTCTTTCCATTATTTTGTCAGGAACTAATACAGTATTATCAATTATTTTGTTACATCCTTTTCATTATTAGAAAGTTTCAAATTTAGATAATACTAACCTACTATAGGACATATATATTTTCCATTATTAAACTTAAGAATCTCTAAAATTGCATGTTTAGAAAAATAATGGCCACAAATATTTGATTTTAAGGGTTCTTCAAGATATGACATAGTAAGAGGGCATTTTATATTTTGATCTAGATAAGATATAACAATATCTTCATCATCTGAAATGAATGTTTCTAAAAATAGAAATAGATAAATAAAATAAATAAATAAATATTACCCTTAAAAATGGATTCTGTAGTTAAAGTCCGAGCATTTTTACGATGGACGTTTAATATACGTTGTTTGAAATCAATGTATTCGCTTTTTTTAGAATATTTTTGAGAAGAACTTAGAGAATCATATTCTTTTTTTTTTTTCATATAAAGTTCTTGAAATTTTAGTTCTAAGTTCTATAATATAATTAAATTAAATCAGAAATTCTTATATAATTCCATACAATATCTTTATTGGATTCTTTTGAAATTTGGGATAATATATTTTCTTGCAATTTAATATAAGCCATAGAATCAATTAGACTTTTTAATGCTTCTTCAAGTTTTTTATCCTAAAAAAATAATTAATTAAAAGAAATATATGATAAAATTACTTCTAAAGAATTGGATTTTTCAGAATCTATAAGATTTTTCAAAATTGCTGAATCTGTTAAAATATTACAACATTGAATAATATAATTCATAATTGAAGTATATTCTGAATATAACAATTCAATTTTATAAAGATCTTTGATATCTAAAGATGTATATGAATTATTTGAGTCATCATTTATATTTATATTATTATTTGTAGATTCCATAACTTAAAATTCTGATAAATTTTCTATTTTAATGTTTCAAATCTCATGAAAAACAAACTTGTAAATATTATTAATGTTTCGTATTTAAAAGTATTGTTATATTTATTTTAAATATTTGGTATTTTTTTAAATGATTTAATATCTATCTAAAAAGTTAAAAAATTTCTATACTTCAATATTTTTAGGCAAATTAAATACAAAGGGCTATAAATTAATAAAATCTGATACTAAAATTTAAAAAAAAAAAAATTGAATGATTTAATAGTTAAAACTTATAAGACTATTATAATTTATAATAAATAAACCTTTGAATAAAATATGTTTTAAAGGAAAATATAACTTTTATGAAATCTTTTATAAATTTTTTTGTTCTTTAGACTGAATATCTATTGGTAGAATTTATATTAATGCAGAATTAAAAAAAAAAAAAGAATAGAAGTTCTAACATTTTTATAATAATATTACTGATGCGAATATTGGAACTTTATAAATCTTTGATCATAAATCTATTGCTTTTTTATCAGATAAGGATGATTTATTTATATTATTATTATATATATATTTATGGGTAATGAATTTAGTAGGATACTCTAATCTTTCAAAACAACATAATATTTAAAATACAAGGAAGCTCTCTGAAGATTCTATTATTTAGTAAAAAAGTTGTTGAATAATATCAAAAAAATTGGAATATTTAGTTTTAGTTAAAAAATTAAGTATTCAAGTTTTTAAATCAGAATGTCTATCTTCTGATTATGGAATTTTTCTTCTTATTGGTATAAGTGCAATTGTAAATTTTATATTACAGATGATAATTTTACACAATAATGTTGAAATTATGATATTTACTATTTAATACAAATTTTATATAATTAAAATTACTTTATATGATGAGAAACCTTTATTTTATATTTTAAATAAACTGTTTTGTAGATATTATTGCTATTGAAAAGATAATTGAGAAACAGAGAATAATAAGATTGAGGTCAAAGTTGTTGTTTTTATTAATTTAGAAGCAATGTGTTGCTATGTTTGAGTAAAAAGGATATGAATAATACTATAAATTTTTCATAAAAAGAAGTCAATTATCGATAAAATCTATAAAAAATGTTACAAAAAATGATATTTATTTTATTAAAAAAGATTATATAGGAGATTTTTCCTTAATATCTTAATGAACATGTTGAATTAATAAGTTTGTATTGTCAGTAAAAGATTTATAGGTAAATGTATTAGAGGACATTTTGAGTTAATTGAATTTCATGATGAAATGAAATTCTAGCTTTATGAACATATATCTACTAGTTTTTGTTCTCTTATAAGTAGAAAAATAATTGTGGATCTTATGATCAATCAATTCAAGAAAAATGATGAAAGTTACTAAGCTTGTAGTAGATTATATAAATAATATTTTTAAAACATGCAAAAAAAAACTTATGAATACATTTGATAGAATGAAAGATATCTAATATTAAAAAAATTTAGTAAATTACATGGTATTTTCATCAAATTAACGAAATAAAACAAACAATGCATATATCACCTAAATCCGATCATCCCTAAAAGGCCATTTTCGAAGAATCAAATAGACTTCCTGATGAATTTATTCTATAAAATTTTTAAAAGCTATAGATGTTTGTGTTATTTCAGATAATAGTTCTCGTCAAGTTTAAAACATCATTTTAGAGCTTTTCTTTTTAATAGGAATATTAACAAAAATTTAAAAAAAATAATAAAGAACTTATAGATTAATATTAAATTTCAAATTGGTATTTTTGTAATACGTTCTTAAACTTTTAAAATTTATGTTTTAAAATTTTTATATTTATTTTTAAAACCCTTTACGATAAAATATTTATTTATATACACTAATTATTAATAATTTTGTTTAAAATTTTTGTTTTTTGCAATATTTTATACAAGTACGTAACTTTAAGGTAAACACCTTGATAAATATATATAATAAAAAGATATATGGATCAGAATTCTTCATATGAAACGATTTTTTCTAAAGAAAAAGGGCATAACAGTTCGATAAATATATTTAATGATCAAAAAAAAGTATTTTCTCAACCAATCTTTATACAATCTTCAAAAATCTCTTTAAATAATCCTAATCATTTGGGAATCTCGAAAGAATATATAAAGACACAAAGTTCTCTTTCTCCATTACCTGTAAATTCATCTATTTGGAGGGAAAATTATATTTCTCAAATAAAAAAGTTACCGTCTGATGCAGTTTCTATTACAGTTCCTTATAATTCTTCTCCTTCATGGGCTAAAGAATACAATAAGTTAGATTCATTAAAGAATGTTGATTCTAAAAGCCAGGCTACAAGGAATTCTCATTTTCCAGTCTCAGTTTCTAATTTTGACTCTATAAAAATTGAAGATTTAATTAAAAAATTATTAGAGGAGACTTTTTTGGATCTTCATAAGACAGATGAAGAGGAAAAAGATTATAACAGTGATAGATTTATTCCAGGCTTAAAAATTAGATTACTTACACATCAAATAAATGGTCTTCGGTGGCTTCAAAAAAAAGAAGACCATAATTCTGAAGGTGAAAAAGGAGGAATTCTTGCTGATGATGTAAGATACCTAATGTAATTTCATATAGAATATAGTTGACATTTTAGATGGGATTAGGAAAGACAATACAAAGTATAGCTCTTATTGTTTCTAGAAAACGCCCAAAATGTTTTCAAAATATATATTCTAAAAGTACACTTATAGTAGCACCTTTATCAATTATACGTCAGTGGGAGTCCGAAATTAGTAGTAAGACAAATCTTTCTGTCTTGGTATATCATGGTGCTGAAAGAAATAAACATTCTAAAAATTTAAAATCTTATGATGTAGTAATAACTACATATCATATTCTTGCATCCGAAATAAAAAATGCTCATGGAACTAATGTATTATTAGAAGACAAATTTAATATTAATTCAGAACTTTTTAAAATATCTTGGTGGAGATTAATTTTAGATGAAGCGCAAATTATTAAAAATAAAGATTCTAAAATAGCAATTGCTGCATGTTCTCTTAAAGGGCGTAATCGCTGGTGTCTTACGGGAACGCCTGTTCAAAATTCTCTTGATGAATTATATTCTTTATTTAAGTTTTTGCGAATTGAACCGTTAAATAATTTTTCTGTCTGGAAAGAACAGATATCTAAGCCAATGTCTCAAGGAAATTATGAACTTTCAATAAAAAGGCTTAGAATTGTACTCAATTCTATAATGATACGACGAACAAAAAATATTCTTCAGAAAAATGATGATAAAAATGATTTATTATTCCTACCAAAACGAATTATCAAATATGAAATGATTGAATTAGATAAACATGAACGTGAATTTTATAGTAAACTTGAACTATATATAGATAAAAGTCTTTCTAGATTTCTTAAAAATCAAATTAAAGGGAAAAATTATACTAATATGCTTTGTCTTTTATTACGACTTAGACAAGGTTAGTAAATTATTATTAAAAGTATTATACTGATTTTTTTGAAAGCTTGTAATCATTTTGAATTAGTAAAAAAGAAGCTGGCATTGGATAAAGATGCTATTGATATTTCTAATTCTTTTAAACATCTATCTGATATTAATTCTCTAGATAATATGATTTCATCATTTAACAGTTTAGAATTGGAGAATAATAAAAATAATAAATTTAGGTGTGATATTTGCTTAGAAAAGTATGTTATACATATATTGATAATTTTCTATTAATGATTCAATTAAGATTTTTTTTAGAAAATGTTAATTCTAAAAAAGATAAATGTGAAAATTGTCGAAAAGCATTTATGAAAAATCCATTTTTTGAAGATGAAAGATCAGATATACCGAAAAAACTTGTGATTAGTTCAAAAATTAGAAAAATGATAGAAATTTTGCAAAATAAAGATAATAATTTATCTGATTCTAATCATAAAACAATTGTATTTTCTCAGTTTACTTCTATGTTGGATTTGGTTGAGCTATTTTTAAAAGAAGAAGATATAAAGTTTACAAGATGTTTTAATATATTGGTATTTCATATTTTTTTCTAAAATTTTTTAGATGATGGTTCAATGCCATATTATTTAAGGGAAAATGCTCTTAAGAAAATTCGTGAATCTGAAGACATAAGAGTATTATTATGCTCTTTAAAATCAGGGGCATTGGGACTTAACCTTACAATGGCAAATAGAGTAATTTTATTAGATATATGGTGGAATCCTGCAATTGAAGAGCAAGCTATTGATAGGGTTTATCGCATTGGTCAAACAAAAGATGTAATAGTTTATAAAATAATAGCCGAAAATACTGTCGAACAAAGAATATTAATCTTGCAGGAAAGAAAAAAGGAACTTATTAAAGACATATTTGGCGATGAAAAAAATAAATTAACTGATATTAATAAACTTACTCTTAAAGATATATTGTTTCTTTTTAATCATAAAAATTGAATTATTCGTGTTTATATGCATATATATTAAAAAGGTGCCAAAATCTAATATTTAATTGAATATATGTATTTTTTAAGATAACTTTATTTAAACTATAAAGATTTAAATAATATATATTATTTTTTAATGTCATTGAAAAAGATTTAATATATATATAGTTTCATATTAGGTTTATATTTTTAAGTTTTCCAATTATTTTTTTTTCCTTAATATAGCTATATTAATCTATTCCTCTGCTTTTTAGCTTTCAGTATATAGTGTTTTCTCGTTTTTTATAGAATCTTTGATTACATTTTTTACCTCATTATTTCTTTTATTATTTTTATCTTTAATCAACTCTTCACTTTTGTTTGTGGAATCTTTTGAAAGATTATTATGTCTTCTAGATTTCGATAATTTTAAACGAGGACCACGTGTACGTATCCCACGGCTAACTTCATTTATTTCAGAGATGATGCTTTTTTGGAAATTAGATCTTAATCCCTGATTATTTTTTGGTGATTTATTGTTACCTAAATCAGCTTCAGCTATTCTTAGACCAGGTCTAGAAATTGTTTTTTTCTTTGCTATGTTCATGTTATCCTTTGAAATAAAATATACAAATGCATATTTAGAAGAACTTCCTTTACAATTCCGAATAGATATATTAGTAATAGAATCTACGATATCTTTTTCAAAAATAGAATAAGCTTCTTCTTTAGTGGAACATGGGGAAATAAAAAGGGCGTATTTAGATAATTGAGATTTATCTGACGTTTCTTTATCCACATTTTCTTTTTTTCTTTGATTGTTTAAAGTTTTTGATGTTTCTGAAAGCATATTTTCAGTTTTCTGGACATTGTGAGAGTTTAAAGATGTTGAATTTTTAGATAGGGTATCGGTAAGTGATAAATGTGTTGGTTCTTTGGTTTGCGATTGTGAATGTTCTTTGAGTTTTTCTTGCGTTGTATTAACATTAGATTTCTGTGTCTGCAGAGCTGCAGAAGAGTGATCAGATGTTTGTATAGATCGATGAAAAATTTGTTTATCTATGTTAGTTTGTGATATATTTTTTCGATATGAAAAATTAAACCCTTGAGCTTTTGTCTCTGCACTTATACGGCCTTCTGAAATGGATAAAGTCACAGAGCCATATGCTGCATCTGGAAGATTAAAGTTCCACATATTTTTAAATGCTGCGTCAATTTTTTCTCTATTTTGTGATAAAATATCATTTTTTAGCGAGTCTTCTTGAGGCATGGATTCTACAAGATTGATCATAGACTGTAAATGACTCCTTTGAGTATCCTTTATAAGTAACTCTACCTCATCCTTTACAGTTTCCCAAACATCCATAAATTGTGCTCTGGAAGTCGCTAGTTTCTGAAGAAAATATTCTGTTGATGGAGTAACACTAAAATCATTATAGCTTGAGCCGTAACGAAAATGAAGACCTGCTGAAATGGTAAAATCAGCTTTAAGAGCAAGTGATATTTGTTTAAGCAGCCCTTCTCGACCAGGAGAATGATATGTTACAAAAACCCTAACTTCAGAATTATCCCAGACTTTGTTAGCAGTATGTAAAAGTTCTCCCATTTGTAGTACTGTAGACCACATGGTTCCTTGTCCACCTGCTATTGTCGTTTTTCCTTCGCCATTATCAAACAGTTTATGCATTATTACTGCACCACCTAAGCCAAATAATCTTAACTTAATATCGCCCACATTAAGACATTTAGAAGAGTGCTCGTCAATAATATACAAATTTTTTATTTTATATTCTCCACTACGAAACTTTTCAAGCACGCATACATCCTCGCATGATCCCCAAATAGTATAAACTGGAACGTCAAGTTCCTTTTCTCCTGATAAAAATGATGGCAATTCAGAAATAACAAGTTCAGAATGAGAAATTGTATTACGGATAAATTCGATAGAGCTATTTGCAGTAAATTTTGAGCGATAATAAGGCTTAATTAGAGGAGAATATTGGATAATATGTCTTAATGTTCTTTTACGATAAGTGTTAGAGAATAAATGAAAAAATGTATACCGTTCATTTATCCTATCCAAACTAGTATTGTCATAAAATCCAAAATCGCCTGTATGAATGATATACTGAGCATTGGCTTTCTTGCAAAGTTCGTTAAAGAAAGAAATATTTCCTAAGATTTTAAAAATTATTTCTCTAAAACTTTTTTTTGATTTGTAGCTCACCCCTTATATCTGCAATACATAGAATTCTTGTACAATTTTCAGATATAAGAACATGTTTATCTGAAGAAACGCCAAAGTTACCATTTGGCTTCTGTAATGATTCTATTTCTGCTTTTTGTCTTATCTGTCTAGGTTTATTTACCACATTCAAAAATTGAGGCAAAGTACGTGTCTATAGAAAATTCATTAATACTCAAAAATTTACCCCATATTATTTTTGAGTATTACCGCAATAGCCATTAATCTTAGAATTAATAAAGTTAATAAGTTACTTTTTTAAATTTAAAATTTAAGTTATACGAAGAAAAAAATGAATTTTATTAATATAATTGATATTAGATAAAAATATTTTAACTATAATATATAAAGTATAATATAAGAATAGAAAATATGCGTCTTTCTTAAACTATAAAAAATAAAGTATATATTTATCTATACTTTATTTATTATTAAATGAAAAAATCTATTTTTAAATATTAGATATTAACACAATTAGAATATATAGATATATTAAATCAATATAAAATAGTGTTGATTTTTTATATTTTTTTAAAGGCTGTATTTTATAAATATTTCTGATTTATAATTGACCTATAAAGGTTATGGTTATTTAGAATGCAAATGTATTATAATATATTATTTATATCCATAGAATTTAGTTCAAACTTTAATTTTTAGATTTTAGAATATATTTAATGTTTTTTTAAAAGATTTTAGAATATTTTAATATAGAGTTATAAATTATTGAGTTTTTTAAAATACATTTTAAAAAAAATTAAAATATTTTTAGATAAAACCAAGAAAATTTAAATAAATTTCTATTTTAGAAATATTTATTATTTTTTAAAGTTGATTAAAGTTTAATTTTATAATTAAAGAGATATTAAGCATATATAAATATAAAAAAAGTCAAACAATTTTTATTTTAATTATAAGGAACACTATTATTTTTAATTATGTATTTTTTAAAATGTTTTATGATTAAAAGAATAAATCTAGTATAAATTAGGATGTTAAGTTTATTTTATTAGAAATATTATCATATGTTTTATTCATTATTATATAGCATATGATTAATAACAATTATAATTGTAGAAATTTCATTTCTTTATATAATCATTGTAACAATTAAAACGTTAATTTTATTGTACAATAATTTCCATAAAAACAATGAATATATATTAATAATATAAAACTGAAAGATTTTTTATTAATTCTTTCAATTTCTAATTTTTTAAGATAAAGGTCTGTTAATATATAAACTTTATCTTTTTATCGATATTTGAAAAGCTTATTTCAAACTCAAAAATATTGTTTTTTAGAAATTTTAAAATAAATAAAGGAAAAATGAAATAATTTATCATTAATCTAAAAATAATTTTAAAATAATGGTCTGATATTATTATATTTATGTGCATTTAAGTGAAAAATTGTCATTATTAAGATATGAAGGATATACAAGAAACTGCTGAACAAGCATATAAGCATCCTGAGTCATCTAAAAATGATTTATCTTTGAAAAACAATCATGAAATAGTTGATAAAAATTCTATTTTCCTGAAAAAAATGCTATTAAATCCAATGTATGCAAAGACAACACAACATGATACTCTAGTCAAAACGGGGCCAAATTCCTTAAATGATGATGATTTCAAACAAAGAACTCTTCCATTTAATTTATCTAATATAAAAAAAAAGCATAATCTTCCAGAGACATCGTCTAAATACGAAGATGTTTCTAAACAGGATTCTGTATATAATAAGGTATTATTAAAAGAGAAAAATAGCAAAAAAAATTCAGAAAATGCCTTTGAGGTATGTATTCGTGAGAAAAATTCTTCAAGATTTTTGAATTTTAACAATAATTCGCACAATTCTTTATTACAAGTGGGCACTTCAATAGACTCTCAGTTATCAATATCTAATAAAAATCCTTGGAGAAATAAATTATCTGAATTTTCTCCTCCTACAAAACGAAAAAAAGCTTCTCAAGAATCTCATGAGAATGATGATTCTGTTATTTTTACTGGGCCCGAAAATCCATTTATTAATTCTACAGATACGTTTTCCAATGCTACTAAAAAGCAGAAAATATTGCAATTGAATTTTAATCAAACAAATACACCCATACCTAATAATACTTCAAAGGATTTTGTTAAATTTAATCAAAAAAGAAATAATTTAGATCAAAATAATGGAGGTGTTAGTTTACTTTTTTCAGGCCTGGAAAAAATTCGCAGAGAAAGAGAGGAATTAGAAAAGGAGCTTAATATTAAGGTATTTTTCCTCTATTAATTGTTATTTATTTATTAATTATAGAATGCTGAATTATTGCATACTAATTCGGAGCTTTTATCTATAAAACAAAAAACAAAAGATATAAAATTTAAATTTTCTGAATTCCAAAAATTTCTAGATGGATTAGCTCGTGATCATAACTCTCTCCATAAAGAAATTATAAAATGGTCGAATGAAATAAAATTATTTCAAACGGATATTATAAAGTCTCGTGAAAGTCTTCAAGGAATTATAAATCAATGCGAAATCCTAACTAATCAAGGAAAATTTAACTCTAAACTTCATAGAAAACTTGCTGAAGTAAAAGAGGAATTAGTAAAACGTATATTATCTCGAATTTTTAGAATAAGAGTTAACAATTGAATATTAGAAAATATGTATCGTAAAAATCTTCAAGAAAAATATTCTAAGGATGCTGATCTTTTGGCTGAAGAACGAGATAAGGTTCGTATTTTAGAAAATCAATTGATAAATGAGAGAGAAGAAAAAGATAACCAACGTAATAAATTTTTAAAAGAACAGGAAATAGTAGAAAAATTATTTCAAAGTTTTCATGAAGAGACTCAGAAAAATGAAAATATATTGAAGAATATGTTTTCGTTATGGTATGGATCTATTTATTTTAATTGTTTTATAATAATTTGTTATTAGGACCAACGAAGCAAGAGCAATAGAACATAATATCTTACATGAAATAAGTTTGAATTTTCAAGTTGGGCCAAATATTTTAGATCCTTTTCGAAAAATAATTCAAGAAAATTTGGAAAAATATTCAAAAGAGTAAGTATGTAAATTTAAACTGCATATATTTTATATTTTTAAGGTATCTTTCTGTCTATTCTGACATTAAAAGTTTTCATTCAAATATTCTTTCTTTTAATAAACGTATTGAGAATTTTGAAAAAGGATTAAAAGAAACAAATATATTAATAAAAGATAAAGAAAAGCATAATTATATAGGAAAAATAAAAGATTTTATTGAATTAATTCAACCTTTTCGATTAGAAATCGAAGAACTCAAATTGCAACTTGGAAATTATGAAACAAATTTTAAAAAGTATTTAATAATTTATATAAATTTAAATTCAATTTTAATTATTCTTTTAGAGAGTTATATTTAAATGAAAGTCATTCAGATAAATTTCTAAATATTCAGAAAATTTCTGAAAAGTTGAAAATTTCTGAGAAAAACTATGAACAGGTTTCTAATGAAAATATTATGCTTAAAAATATTCTAGAAGATATGAAACGAGAATTAAAGAGCACAAAAGATGAATGTGATTTTTTAAAGGTTATTATGTTTATGATATAATGTTTAATTGATATTTTATAGAACAAATTGAGGAATTTAGAAAGTTCGAATTCTTTATTTCTAGATTCGGCTAAAAATATTGAAGATGTAGGTTTTTTTTTTGACTAATCTAATCTGATTATTTAAAGCTTAAAAAACAATATGAAAAACAAATAGCAGAACATGAAAGGCGTTCTTTGAAATTAAAAGAAACGGAGCAGGCAAAATTTGATAATATAATAAAATCTAAGGATAATAAAATTAATAAATTAGAAAAAGAAGTCTCAATTTTAAAATCTTTAAATACTATTGATGTCAATAATATGGTAATTATTATTATATTATTATTATTATTTTAATAAAAATTTTAGAAAGAAAATGATAAGATTATTTATAAAGAAAAGTTAATCAATATGGTTAAATAAATATATCTATTAAAAATATATTTAATGATTTTTAGATTGGATTGGAAAAAACTGAATTAATTGATAAGATTACTGAACAAGATAACGTAAAAAAACTATATTTTTATTTTTTTTTTATAATTATAGGCAATAAATTTATTAAAAAATGAAATAGAAAAATTACTTAACACGAATTGTTTAATGGATGATATTAGTAAAAACTTTCAAAAAAACAAAATTTCTCAATCAAGCAATAGAATAATTTATCAAACTTCAAAAAAAATGAATAACATTTCTAAAACTACTAATACTACTTCTGTTTATTTACCATCTCAAATGATATCTCCACCAAACGAAAATATAATTAAAGAAACATACTCTAATTCTTTAGAACATTCAAATACTGGGAACAATAAAACCAAACCAAGGTTTACAAAAAATGTTAAAGATGGTTTACAACAGGAAGCTATTTCTGATAAAATGGAGCTTTTAGATAAAGATTCTATTTCGGATTTTCCTAAAATATCTGAAAATTTATTGACACCATCTGATTCTAATAAATCTTTATCATTAGAAAGATATGATTCTTCCTTAACTATACCGGATAATGATGTTAATATTCAACATGAGGCTATTGTTTCCGTATGTGTTTCTTTTATAAAAATGTTTCTAATATTTATAGTCACAATTAAACTTACAATCCTCACCATTTTTAGAAAAAAATAAAAGTATCGAAAATTATAATAATGTTAGTATTAACAAAGTTAAGATACATAATTAACTTTTTAGATACACGAAAATTATACTAAAGAAAATATTGATGCTACTTTTTCTGAATATTTATCTATAGATACTACAAAAAATACGGAAAATGTTCCTTTAAAAAAGAAGAATCAAGATAAACAAAAGAATTTGAAAAAGGTTTTATTGTTACTGTTTTATTTTTCTAATTTATATAGTTATCGATCGAATATCCTAATAATGATTCTAATTTTTGGCCTACAGCAGAATTAGAAAATTCTACTGATCAAAAAAGCTACTCAACTAGAAATATAACTAATACATATAAGAAAAAAAAGGTAGGGAAATATTTGTATTAACATATTAATTTCTATATTTAAATGGCTCTTGCATTTATTTTAAATTATTTAGCATCATAATTATATTAGAAATTGTTATTAATTTACTGTTGTTACTTTTCATAGTATTAGATGAGTTTATGTTTGATTTTGTTTTTAATTATAGCATTTTATTATTATTATATTTTATATATCATCAATGTTACATTAATTTAATTGTATATTATTCTATTGGTGTTAGCATGATTATAATTTGTTTTGTTTAGAATATACTTATATTATTGATAAATTTTCTGATTTTATGTGAAGTTATAAATGATTTAAAAATCCTTTCATAAAAAATTCAATTACTTTATTTTAACTTCTTCAAAAAGTACTCTTTTATTTACTATTATACATTAATGTACAAATGGTATAAAAAACTAAATAACCTCTAGGATCAAACTTGATACAAGATAGTTTTGGCGATAATCGAGGACGATTTGCAGTATAAAACCAACCAGTACCAACAGTAGATAATAGTTTTACAAGAATAATTCTATTAATTTAGAATAATACTATAAACTACAATATTTATATTAACCTGGATTTTGGTTTTTTTGCCATAATTCGAATAACTCTAAAATTAATGTTTTAAAAATTAAAATTTATTGTTCAATAGATTTAGAATTTTGAAATAGCTTCAGTATAAATAATATGTAATTAATAACTTTTAAATCTTTTTTTGTATATTTTTAGGATTTTTAATTTTCGTAAATTTTTAAAATTAATTTGTAAAAATTTTAAATGAAATTTCACAAAAAATATGCAGTATTTGGAGGGACTTTATTTCTTACGGGGCCTATAGCTATGATCATGATGAGTATTCATCATCAGAAGGTAATTTGTCATTTATAATATATATTACTAATAAATATTGAGATCGTAGATTTGCTTGGTATTTTATTAATTATTATTTTTCAGTATATTTGACATTTCCTAGCACCAACTGCGGATAGAATACAAAAAATTAATGGTGGATTTTTAATATTTGCTAGTATTTTGATTTTATGTTCATTTCCTCCAATGTTTGGACGAGAAATTGCTGCAATTTTAATTGGATTTGTATATGGATATATTGGATTTATAATTGTCTCAATCTCGTATGTTTCCTTTAATCCATATATTTTTCGTTATATAAAATAGTTTTATTATTGGTGAAACATTAGTATTTCTTTCTTTTCGTCATTTTTGTCATAAACAAGCCATACAATTTCGAAATAACTACAAAAATAGTTATGGAATTTTTGTTAGGATTATAGAAGAAAAACAGATTACTATGATGTTCTTAATATCATTAAGTGCTATACCATCTCATTTTTCAACACCTCTTTTTGCAACTATTGATTCGATATCATATTATTCTTGGTTATTAGTCGCTATACCATGTTCTGTTAAGGTTTGATCAGTTAAATCAATAACATAGATATTCTAATTTCTAGCATGTTATTCCTGTATATGTTGGTATTTTATTTAGACGCAACCAAACTTCTTTAGCTTCGACAGTTCTTTTAATTTTTTCAATTTTCATTACTATTATTTTTTTCACTTTAATATGTTTAAGATATCAAGAAATAAAAAAAAATATGATTTTTCTTAATTCAATTTCTGAAGAACAAGAATTAGGTCAGAATAAATATTTTGATATTTCTAATTCTTTTGAATCTGCGAATTCTGATTTGGAAGACTTTTAATTGAAATATCTTTAAAATTGTTAATATTTGATTTAAAGAAACGTAATTATTTTTAATATATTTATACAGATAATATAACTAAAATGATATAAATGGAAATTAAAAAGTTATTTAAGACTCAAGATTTTTTAAATATAAATACATTAGAATCATTTATCAAACTGCACAGGCTTATGCGTAGGCTTATGCGTAGGCTTATGCGTAGGCTTATGCGTAGGCTTATGCGTAGGCTTATGCGTAGGCTTATGCGTAGGCTTATGCGTAGGCTTATGCGTAGGCTTATGCGTAGGCTTATGCGTAGGCTTATGCGTAGGCTTATGCGTAGGCTTAGGCGTAGGCTTAGGCGTAGGCTTAGGCTTAGGCTTATGCGTAGGCTTATGCGTAGGCTTAGGCGTAGGCTTAGGCGTAGGCTTAGGCTTAGGCTTAGGCTTAGGCTTAGGCTTAGGCTTAGGCTTAGGCTTAGGCTTAGGCTTAGGCTTAGGCTTAGGCTTAGGCTTAGGCTTAGGCTTAGGCTTAGGCTTAGGCTTAGGC